CACAAAGGAGTAATGGTGATGCTGAAATTGCTATTTTGGTAATCACTACGGTTTTTGAGACTCAGAAGGATTTCTGGTACTGGACGTTGCGGCCCCGAAAACCGCCAACTGGTGCGTATTCCACCACAATTTTGAATTTTTAACCCAAGCCATTGTAGAGAAAATACGAGAACAAAAATCGCGTTGCTCACGAAAACGCTGAGGACGAATTTTCAATAAAAAATCCAAACTTTCGAAGGGTGCCATTTTAAGCCAAAAAATGCCAAAATTATTTCATCCCCCTTAGAGTCCACACCTGGCCTCTGGTAACTCCTGTGTATTTCGACATTTTCAAATAAAATAATTTTTAAAAAAGCTTGCTTAGGCGAGGCGCTGCTAAAAGTGAAAAACAAGGCATATCTTTTAAATATCTCGTACCTTTATCATTGTAATAGGAGTTGCTGGCTTTGCATCACCGCGAGGCCAAACATTTTGACCGTATACCATACCACACCGTTTATTACTTACATTTTCTGCTAAGAAATTGAATTATTGCTAATTAAAATTGTATCCATATGTACATATAAATGCTTAAAGAAACGATTATTACTTCGAAAGGGTTACAAAATTGTAGTTTGTAAACTTATTACGCGGAGGACCAATATAATCAATAATGTTTATTAGCTCATAATTTAATTCAATAGTTAACCAGTAGTTCAGGTAGCTACTAAATTTTATGGACGTGCACAATTTTCCGCAGGTGTTATGCAAGAAATTAAGATGCCAACGCGCGAATAAGGAGGATACCACGCGAGGATGTATTTCCTAATTTTATTTATATATTAAAACAACTAGTTTTCAATACGAATTTAAAAGTGATAATTTTAGAAATTCGTGAACCCGCAGATTATGTTCTTGCGAATTCTTGAGAATATATTCTTTATTTCTAGAGATTTAGCGTAACATGTTTGGCCTCGCGGTGATGCAAAGCCAGCAACTCCTGTTACAATGATAAAGGTACGAGATATTTAAAAGATATGCCATGTTTTTCACTTTTAGCAGCGCCTCGTCTAAGCAAGCTTTTTTAAAAATTATTTTATTTCATGGATTTTAGGTGATACACATTTTCAGACAATTAATTTCACCTCAAAATTGTTAAACTTTTTGAAATGAAGACCGAATGTGCTTATCTTTTTCATCACAAAATTAGTTGAAAATACCCACAGGGGGTCGCAAAATTAATTTCCGTGTAATTCACATAAGTGATTGAAATGCGTTAAAATCAAGTATTTGATGATTGCTTTCGCTGAGTTTGTTGATGTGTTTTTTTTGCTCAGGCTTAGGGATTAAAGATTAAATAATCCAATTTTTTTTAATTACGATTAATTTCGTAAATAATAATTTTTCAGATATTAGGTTTTACGGGGATTAGTTATTTCGCGAGAACAATCTGGATTAGGGATTAAGATTGTTTAATCTGGATCATATTATAAATTACAAAATGAACTTTAAATCCAAAATATATGCATATAGGATGTTCAAATTTAAAATTTGTAAATTTGACGCAGTACTTAAAGAACAATTTTTTTGAAATTTGAATTTTCAAAAAAATTTGCAATTAATCTGGATTAATAATCATGCCCAAAGCTGATCAGGCAGAAAGTTTTTGGGCGATTGGCCAAAAATGGAAATTACAATTGACCAATTAATTTGGCTAATTGCAATTGCGTAAACACAACTACTTGTATTTGGAAAATTGTTATATTGATAGCTAGTAGCAACCAACTAGGAATATTGTAATTTTTGCTTAGCAACATGAATAGTCTCAGATGCCTCCATCAAAACTTTTTCAGTTTTAGACCGATCTCAGTCGGATTTGTTTTAAATGACGCATAACCGATTTCTGCATGATAAAATCATGTTTTATGCATATAGTTCCATGGCACAATTTTTTCAAATTTCGATTTTAAAGTTTCAAATCGAAATTTGAGAGCGAAGAATACAACTTTTCCATGGGGCATATTGAAAAACATCATCTCCTAATTCTCCTCTGCACGATTGCTCTTTACACCATTTGCGTAGGATTAACCGTTTAGGCTCTAGCCTTGTCTACAGTTTCAAAGGGTGTATACGAAAGCATACTTAGGCTTCGCCGTAACCATGGTGACCATTTTTTGCGGGCACCCATTGTTACTTTTGCCTCACCTAAGAAAAAACCTCAGGGGGAGGAGATTTCGACGATACATGAGGTGAATCAGCGGTTTTGACTTTTTTTCGAAAATTAGTCATAAAACCGGGATGAAGTATTTTAAATTTAACGGACCAAGAGTGTTGACCTCTCAGGGGACTACTCTCAAAAATTGCAGCGCAAGTACCCCAAATTATTTACAGGAACATGGTCAGAACGGATACTTTCTGTGGTCCCCTCGTAGATTACACAGAATCCGACCCAGTTTATTCTTGCTCATTATAATCTGTATGAACTACTTAATTATTGCATCTGCCCCTTCTTTAAAGTCAACACCGTCCTGAACAAACCACGAACATTTCCCTGAACAAATTTAACCATCGTTTTGTGCGTGATTGTCATTACTCCAGGATAACCGAAAGATAGTGGTTTGCAGCTTTTTCTAAATTTTTCCATGTACCTTGTCTCCTGCTTCGACCATCCTGTCCCCCCAGATTTCCACGACCTTATGCAAATTTGTGAACCTTTGTGCACTTTAGCAGCGTACGAGAGAAACGCCATCCACGATGCAATCGTGAATGGAATGAAACCTAATAGAAATAGCGATAAAAATGGATTTAAGTTTTTCCCCTCAATAATTAATATATATCCTGTAGAAATGCAAATTTGACCAAATAAAGCTTGAGCAAGAGGAATAAACAGGCCTACCGCGGAGGAAACTAGTTTCATGATCAATTGCAGACTTCTGTAAACTAAGGCGATATTTTTGGGATGTATCCTTAATTCAGTGGCACAATGAAACTTGGTATCAAAATTATTATTAGCTAGATTTAGCTCTTCTCGTATAAGTGGAAGGAGGAATATAAACAACGCAGAAAACCCTAGAAATACCGTCTTCACGAAATAGACCCAGTGATACACGTAGTAAATCATTGAAGGAAAATATATATAAACGACCAAGTAAATGAACGTATTGTAAGGAAATATGTTGGGCAGGTAGAGGGGGTGTTTTGGTACAAATAAAATTGGCAGAGTTGCCATTATTGGGACAAGGTGCAATATGAGATTCGTAAGATTAGTAATTGGAATCCATTGTCGATTGAAGTTAGCAGCAGCTTGAGAACTTTGATTAGACCACCATCGAGCTGAAATTATTGTAAAGTGTTGTAAGACATAAGTTATCCTGAATAATCTACAGCGGAGTAAATATTATTCATGTACGTAGATTAGTATTTGTTCCAATTTATTTTACCGGTAAATTTTATCCCATACATAATCAAGGAATTCCACAAGCAAGCAATCGCATTGCCGTTAAAAATGAGCATAAATTCACCAAAACATACTGCAGCTATGATGTAACAAATTATCAATAGGAAATTGAAGGTTGTCGGATCATCTCCAAGAAGCCTGAACTTAACGGCTTGATAAAGTATGATATTTGCTTTTAGAATTAAAAATATATGCACAATAATTAAATTTGCATTGTGCCTGGGGGAAAATTCCAAACGGTTATGCTTAACATTCCAAATGTAAGGAAAACTAAAAATGTTGCCAGTTTTTATAATTCGTCCAAACTTTTTCAGAAATTTGTCGGTAAACATTTTTTTAACTGGGGAAATTGTCCACGAAATCAGTCCTGGTAGTCGAATGCTAATATAGAAAATAAATATTCCAAACCGTAAATACTAACTTCGTTATATTTAGAAGCCATTACGCAATACACTGACTAATTAACTACATATGTACATAATCAAGTCCTTGCATCGTCTAAGACTCTGGTTAAACCTTTAGATCCATGGGTTAAACTCAATTATGCAATATGTAAATTGTGAAACTATAAGGATAAGTATATCTTTGTATAAAAGTAAATGCACTCATGGGTTTTATATCCACGTAATAAATTATCGTTAATTCGAATAAATTTTTATTTATTTCTTGCTGCATGACGCATATATGTACATCTTGCCTAGTCGAACCGAGTTTTTTTTTGTTAAACTTATCACTATTTATGCACATTAGGATTGTCTCAGTTTAAAATAAGACTGCATTTTAAATATTCACGGATGTCTAACCTAATTAGTTACGATAAATTGTAAATATGTATTTTCAATTAAATTATTTAGTTCGCGACATGCCAAGATATTCAGTTGGAGACTGTCAGTCTAGTTGGAGCTGCAAACAGTAGAAAAATTTTACCGAGGTGAAGCTCGTGCTAAAGGGTAAATTTCTTACCCTATATTACATACAAAATCGTAATCTCAGGAATTTATTCTTAGAAACAGGAAAGGAAGAATTATAAATTTTAGAAATTGCACACAATATCCAAACGTGTTGCATACTTTATTTCATGTTAAAATTTACAAAAAAACTACGTACAGTAATTAGCCCAATACAGTAGAAATGTACGGATTTTGCAAGTACATTTTGCCAAATCTTTTTCTTATCCAGCTCACGAATCACGAAACGATTTTAGGCTGATATGAATCACCGTCATTCGTACAGTACGTAGATATGTGTACAACGTAAGATTCCACCTTAACAGTTGCATAACAAAATAAAACCAGTTTGTAGCGAGAAGGCCAAAAAAATATGCGACTACAATTAATTTTGACTGGAGCAGTAGGACGATTGTCAAAATCAAGTTTCGATATTATTTATCGTACGTACGTAAGTAAGTAATAAGTACTTTATTAATATGTACATTCATACGTATCGGTATAGATATGCATACATACGTAATAGCGTGATGGGCGAAATAAATTGGAAAAATTTGCATAAAACCTATGCATCTACATATACCTACACTTTAATATAGGATTAGTTACCTAGTAAATATACCCTGGTCCTCACTTTAATTTGCTGTGGGGAAGACATCACATGAATGAATTCCTCCAGCGAAAATTAAGTAGTAAAAATTTATCGTCTAAAACAAATAAAATTGTATAATTCAACACCACGCACGTGTTTTTATAAATTCAAAACGTTGAAATATTTCACCAGTGCTTAAGTGAATATTGTTAAAAAAACAAGATTCCAGACTTATTTAAGAATATAAAATTTCGAAACTGATAAAATGCTGCCAATGAAGTCAACCCTGCTCCCGATCCAGATCTTACTTTCCATTTTCTCCCCCACGTTGAGACACAGATTTGAGGAGAATGCGATCTGGGAGAAAGATTATCCCGAGATAAAAGCGCTCATGTCATCCGATGATAAACGCGAGTGTCATCAACAATTCAAAGACATACAGGATCCTCAATTGCACAGTGATCTGATTGGTTTAAGCATTGTAAATTTATGCAATTATTTATACACGCTGATCTCTTGGACTTGTAGCATGAGTTTTTAGTAAAATTTGTAAAATGTGTGACACTGACAAATTTTATAACTCGAACTCATTTTTTGCGCCAATGACTAAATTTTATTCAAAAAATTGTAAAATAAGTTTACAAAATTTTCTAAGCTGCCAATTTCTGCGTGAATTATAAATTTCCTACTTTTTTACAGGACCAACGCCTCATCCGGTTGGGATATCCGGTCCAACGAATAAACGTGACTACAGAGGATGGCTACATTTTGGGAATTTATCGAATACCTTTTAGTCCGAAATCTCCCTTAGTGGAGGGTGTCGTCAAAAAACCTGTGATACTGCAACATGGCCTTGGTGGGAATGGTTTATGTTTTCTGATTCAGGATAGTTCTAGAAATTTGGGTATGAATTAAACTAGTAATCTAAACTGAATTATGATTAAATATTAAACATTAATACATAAATAATTACTTAATAAATTATTAATAATCGCCATTTTTAGCAATGATGCTTGCCGATTATGGCTTCGATGTATATGTCTCCAACTTTAGGGGAAGTAGTTACTCTCAAGGACACATTGACCCGGATATGACACCAGACAACTGGAGATATTGGGATTTCAGGTGACATTCAAATCTATTTGTAATCTTCCAAAAATTAATTTATACAATTACTTATCTCCCTTAGCTTCCATGAGATGGGGATATTCGACGTTCCCGCTATTATTGAAGCCGTTACGGACATCACGAAGCAGGAGTCCGTGTACTACGTGGGTCACAGCATGGGCGCTGCTGCACTCACAATTTTGCTGTCCGAGCGACCAGAATACAATTCGCGCATCGCGACCGCTTTTTTCCTCGCTCCCGCCGTGTATTTAGGTCACACTGGACTATACCTACATGCCTTCGTTCGATCTGTTAATTACTACCAGGTGAGTGCTGATGTATGTATCAAAGGGTGTTATGACTATGGTAAATGGTAGTTAAATATTTGCATATGCTACAAAAATTTTCAGATTCATTTTTTTTCGAAATTTCTATCATGAAATTTTGTGTCATAAATAGAAGAACTCGTCCTTAATTACGATATCTGGAAATTTACATTTTGTAGATATTTACATACTTAAATATTTTTATACGTATCACATAATGCGGGTGTTCATTACTTCGTTTCGTATATTCGCATAATAAGATATGCAGTTTCGAAATAAATTGTCAGTTACATAAATAAATATTTACTAAATAGCTTTGAAGATGCGCAAGTTTGCAAATGAATTTTCAACCCAATTTTTTTTGTAAACTTGTGAACTTTGTTTTTTTAGCTAACGATGAGAACTCGTTATGAATACCTTCGCTATGATTGAAAAGACATACTCGTAAATACGTCTATTTTTATATTTTGTATCTAAGTAAATATGTATCCTGTCCGCAGTACACTTTCAACAAATTCCTCGGTGGTAAATTAGAGATGGAAAGATTGGTCGAAATATTACTCGGGTCCTCACCAAATTACCGATGCTCCGCGGAAGAATATGCCTGTGGTAATACCGAAATTATTTAAAATACGTTTCCTAACAAAATATAAGTGAAAGTATTTTTTTCACAATTTCAGAAATTTGCGCAAACATGTTTAATCTACTGGCTGGATATGACGGTCCTCAAACTAATTACGTAAAAAAGATGAAATAATGACTTGTAACCAGTACGAAATTGCAATATTTATGTATTTATGTCCGACAGACTCAAGTCGGTCAAATCTTTGACGCTTTTCCCGTCACCATGTCGACAAAGACGTTGACACATTTTTTCCAAATGATCAAAACCAACACATTTTGCCAATTTAACCACGGATTTAAAGTGATTAACAGACTGCGGTATGGTCGACGGACTCCGACGTGCTATAATATGGAGAATATTTCTAGTCCGTTACTCGTATTTTGGGGGGCTAATGACTTCGTCGTGAAACCACAGGTAACTAAAATATAACTACGGAAAATTCACTTGCGTGTTTGTAACTCTGTAAACTGACGAAACATTTACGCAGTTAGCAGTCATTGGTAACTCGTAAAACCCGTAATTTTTACCGAATAATTGTACAAACTTTTACAAAATAAAAAAATAAAAAAAACGCCCTTGATCTGAGCAAGTTTGCAAAAATTTGCAAGGCAATGTTCCTTCAAAATATGTATTTGTAAAATTTTGTAGTAATTTGTCAGTTTATAGAATTTATGGATTTTACAATGTTACCAAGGCCTGCGTGAGTTTCATCATAAACATATTTGTCAAATGATTTTCGCATGTACAATTTTTCAAACATTTAAGTATATGGACAGAGTTTGTTAGATACAATCGTAAAATCTGAGTGAATTACCTTGAATGTTTGTTTTAAAACTTGAGAAATAACCTACCAACATTTTGGTTTTAAGGATATCGGAAAAACAGTGTCTCATATACCAAAGGCAGCTTTAAAGGAGTGCATCAAAGTGGATTCGGAATACTTTACTCATTTAGACTTTATTTTTGCCAAAGATGCAAATACTTTAGTGTATAAGAAAATAGTGGATGTAATGCTAAATGCGACGTATGGATGATTTTATGCTTATATTTCCAATAAATAATAAATATGTATGACGTTTCATAAGTATATCTAGCTAGTTTATTAAGGAAATTATTTAAACTTAGAAAATACCTATGTGTACATAACAGACCTGCTACACGGATGAAATCAGGCCATTTTGATGTAAACATGTACTTCATGTATTTATATCATAACAATAATTAACAAATACTCTTTGGCAAATAATGATTCTCATAACGACATGATCGAATATGTGTGAGATAAGACATGCATGACTAAAATGCAGTTTTATTTGAACTTGAACCAATTCTAATGCGCATAAATACAGATAAATTTATAAAAATAACTCGCCTCGAAAAAGCCTTAGCAAAATGTATGAGTGGTACACCCATAAATAAAAATTATTCGAATTAGCGATAATTTATCGTGGAGCATATCTATAAAACGCATACACATTTATTTTTATACATATATATGTATATATTTAGGTTCATAATTTGCTCATTGTATAATTGGGTTTGACCAAAGTTTTAGACAATACAACAATTTAATTGCATAATAAACTCCAGCAACAGATATAATAAACTCGCGGAAATGGAATATATTTAGTATCATAGTCATTTGCTACGAAAATTTTACATTTTATTAGCTTTGAGCTCGTTCCCCCATTTATACGCGTCGAAATTCTCGACGGTGATTCTGAAATCGTCACCCAAACTGCATACGTCTAAACCCTTTAAAACAAAAAAAAAATTGGCCTTAGATCTCATTCACCGTGGCGCCGAGACATTTCGACCTACACTTCTTACTTTTAAAATTAGATGTCGACATCCGAAAGCAGGACTCGAAAAAGTTAATTCGTTTGAAAGTTATCGGCTGCCCGGTAAGAAGACCGACAAACGGACAAACCGAGTGACAAAATTACGCTTCACTTCGTTCCCCTCGTTAATAAATTAGTCCTTGGATTGCTTAGATATGTAAAAGCTTTTATACAGAAATTCGCCACGGCCTCGAATATTTTAAAGCTATTTATTTTCCCCATTAGCACACCGACTTCCTGAACTATAAGTCAATTTCTTTACATTACAAATCCAAAATGTTCACCGAACAATTTCTCACCAAGTTTGGACAAGTTGTAAAAATTGGCAACATTTTTAGTTTTCCTTACATTTGGAATGTTAAGCATAACCGTTTGGGATTTAACTCCTGGAACTATGCAAAGTTAATTATTCTGCAAATATTTATAATTCTACATGCAATTGTGATACTTTATCAAGCTGTTGCTTTCCGGCATCTCGGAGATGATCCGACAACGTTCAATTTCCTGCTGCTAGGTTTTTACATCATGGCCGGAGTAGGCCTTAGTGAATGTGTGCTCATCGTCAATGGCAAAGCTATGGCTTGCTTGTGGAATTCGCTGATTCTGTATTCGACAGAATTTAGCGGTAATATATTTACTGTGGCTGCAAGACCCGAAACTTCTTACACCGTCCAAATTCATGAAATCAGCGGCAAAGATTCGAAAAACTTTGTAAATATTAAGTTTGAAGCAAAATAACAGGCTCAGACCTACGTCGCGAGAGACAACTTGTTAAACACTTGTATGACCTTAAGGTCAACTGCGGTGACCCTTCGAAGTCTAAACTACCAAGTCATCATAACCCCCATATATACACAAATATTTAATGGTAAATATGTTATTTTACAGGCAACGAATAATACTTAAACTCTAAAAAATACTTTACACAAATTTTTCCAAGTCCCCCACGACATTCGGCGGCATAACGGAGACTGAGGCTATCTGCGCTTCTGTTGATGCGAAACCAATGTACCGCATACGACATGTCATTTTTTCAGCTTGTCGAGGTAATCACAGCATCAATATTCAAATTCAGGAACCACATCACTTTTGTGGGGTAGTTTTTTTAGGCGCCAGTTTCAACTTTGCAATTCAAGCATTGCTTATTTATGATTCGATAAATTTGGACGGTGTAGAAAATTTCAGGCCTAAGCTGAAAGCCAATTTAGCATAACTAGCATATTTACTCTTTCCTTGCTTCAACGCAAGTTGGTCATGAGAAGGAATATTTGAAAATACTTTACAATAATTTCAGCTCGTTGGTGGTCTCATAAGGAATCTCAGGCAGCTGCTAATTTTAATCGACAATGGATTCTAGCTACAAGTATTCTAAATCTCATATTTAACCTTATCCCATTAACGTCAGCTCTGCCAATGTTTTTCATACCAAAGCACCCGATCTACCTGCCTAATATATTTCCTGCCAATTCGTTCGTTTACTTCGCAGTTTATGTAGCATATATCCCTTCTATAATTTACTTCCTATATCACTGGCTCTATTTTATGAGGACGTTATTTTTTGGGTTTTCTGCATTTTTTATATTCATTCTTCCACTTGTCCGTGAAGAGCTAAATCTAGCGAATAATAATTTTGACAGGAAGTTTCATTGTGCCCCCTATTTAAGGATGAATCCAGAAAATATTGCTCTAGTGTATAGAAGTTTGCAGTTGATCATGAAACTTGTTTCGTGTGCGGTAGGATCGTTTATTCCAATTAGTCAAGCTTTATTTGGCCAAATTTTTATTTCAACAGGATACATGTTAATCGTTGAGAGAGAAAATTTGGATCCGTTATTATCGCTATTTCTTTTAAGTTGTATTCCATTTACGATTGTATCGTGGATGGCGTTTCTGGCTTTTGCTGCTGAAGTACACAAGGGGTCACGAATTTGCATAAAGTCATGGAAATCTGGGGAAACGGGATGGTCGAAGCACGAGGCGAAGTACATGGCAAAATTTAGAAAAAGTTGCAAACCACTATTTTTCGGTTATCCTGGAATAATGACGATCACGCATAAAACAGTGGTTAAATTTGTTCAAGGTAATGTTCGTGGATTGTTCAGAATGGTGCTAGCTTTTAAGAAGGGACACATTCCTAGGAAATAATTATCTAAGTAGTTCATCCAAATTATAATGAATAGGAATAAACTGGGTCGAATTCTGTGTACTCTTGCTTGCAAATATTTATTTGACTTACATATGTATGTAAACCAATTTTTAAATTATGCTCATAAATACAAATAAATACCACTAAAAATAAAAATTGTGTTGGACTCTCACCAAAATGGGAATTTATACTAATTAGTAATTAATAATAGTAAATTTTGTGAATCTAGTTCATTAACTAAATAGATTTGTGTGTATGATTTGGGAGCAAGTGATCACTCAAGTTGACCATGGATAACTATCACGTAATGCATTTATAACCAGTTCAGCTTTGTCCAGTTCCATAAATCACAGCTTAATGATGCTGAATATCCTGTTATTTGTTGATGTCACATTCTTGGGGTACGTTTCGCGTTATGTAAAAAGATATGTATGCATGTTAGATTAGTCATGAGAATTAATGAAATCTCAACTGTATCAGTTTATATGCTAGTTAGTACATTGTCAATATTTACATTCAATGCTAATGTTTTTGTAGTATTCGTTAACATAAAAAAAATAATCTTCAGTCCCGAGTTAGATGTGTTCATGTCAAGTGCTTAACAAATTCGTATATTGGATTCCAAATGTGAAACGAAGTCGGGTAAGAGTGCAATTGTTACTGTCTCGATCTTATCCGAGATCCGTGCCTGTTTTCACGTGTTTTTATCTATATTTTGTGAGATTAATTGTGCGTGGAGAAATTTAAGAAAGGCCAAAGTTCTTTGATTCATTTATGCCCTTAATTATTTGTCTATGCAATAAATATTTGCAATTTTTTTATTTTCTTGATCACAGATACTTATATATTTGCAGTTGTGCTGAGTTTTATACTTTGCAAACTTTATAAAAGGGTTTTAATTCTGTTAAGTAGTGAAGATTACTGACTGAAACTAGTCAGCAAAGTGTGGCATATGTATCTCACTTTTAGTTGTGATTGTGAATGTTTAACATTGGTCATTTACTCTGCAATTACTCGAAAATCTGTCACATCAACATGCACGGTCCGCTTTGCTCCAATTCCATACAAATCCAAACGTTTATAGTGTTTCTCCCAATGTTACAGAGACAGCCCATCATAAATTAGAATTATGACATTTTGAGCATTTATATAAATAAACATGTACATACATAAGTACATACATAGGTATGTAACTATAAACACCCCTTCAATTTCCATACATCCTGGCCAAATCTTATATCATAGTACAGATTAATTCATGTTCCGCCTTTAACAAAAAATGCCGAGACAAATTATTCCACAAATTGTTAATTATCATCCTCCTTGAAACCATAATCACATAGCATTACTATATCGCGGATATGAATCAATATGTATGTACATATATGCATACGTATATATCTACTCAATGCGTACATAATATGTAGGTATCTGGTCATCGTCTGCCTAAAATCTGCAAAATGTACCACAAAACCAGTTTCAAGCGCATCGTAAAGAACGATGCGTGACAAAAGCTACTACAATCTTCTATTAAGTGATTATTGTAGGAGAGTGTTAGATATGAATGCATACGTAATTCACGACTGATAAGATAACCATCACTGCCTAAATGGTTAGATAATTGTGTCGATTAACAACAACGTGAACTTGATCATGGTGAACTTGATCCACGTCGGCCTGGAGGTCAATGAGGAAATTGTTTTTTGGACATTATTCCTGCTGTCTGTGTTGAGGAAGGAATCGCATAACATGCGATTTTGTAAAAACATTAATTTTGTATTGGCAAAAACTTATATCCAGAATTTTATATCAAAGTATGTAGATCACGGTTAGTTTACTAGTGAAATTCCATTATTCAATAGTTAAACTTATCTCAAGTTTATAAAAAAATTGAAAGATCTCATTTTGCAAAAAGTTGCAATTATGAGGTCAACCCTCCTCCCACTGCAAATTTTGCTGTCCATTTTCTCCCCCACGTTGAGAAACAGATTTAAGGAGAATGCAATCTGGGAGAAAGATTACCCCGAAATAAGATGGGCCATGTCACCCGATGACAAACGCGAGTGTTACCAACAATTCCAAGATCTCAGCGACCCTGAATTCCATCGGGATCTGGCTGGTTTAAGTATTGTAAATTATTAGAATCATTCAAATTTAACTCTAGTGAACATTTGTTAAATAAATGAACTATTTTTTTCAGGACCAAAAACTCATCCGGTTAGGATATCCGGTCGAGCGGATAAACGTGACGACGGAGGATGGCTACATTTTAGGCCTTTATAGAATCCCTTTTAGTCCAAAGTCTCCCTTAGTTGAGGGTGTAGTCAGAAAACCCGTGATATTGCAACATGGTCTCTTAAGCAATGGCTTATGCTTCTTGCTGCAGGGTGACTCTAAAAATTTGGGTATGACTGAACTTGTCATCTATTTATTGAATATACATATATGTAACAATTCATGCAATGCTTGGTAACATTGTAAAATCCGGAAACTCCCTAAACTCAAAAACTTTTGCAAGTATGTATCTATCTAAGGAAAATTAGCTTACAAATAATGTATGTAAACTTATTCAGATCGTTTATTTTATTTTGTAAAAGTCTGTAAAATTATTTTAGAAAACTTATGTGTTTAACAAGTTACTAATTACTGCGTGAATTGCCTAAAAATGCTTAACTGACTGATATGAACAATTTTGTAGCAATGTTGCTAGCCGACTCTGGCTTTGACGTGTACCTTGGCAATGCTCGAGGTAACAGCTACTCTCAAGGGCACATTAACCCTGATATGACACTGGATAATTGGAAATATTGGGATTTCAGGTAATAAATCAATCTACACGCGATATCAATTTTATTACTTATCCATTTTTACGACCATTTAAATATATACCCACCCTTACATATGTAGTTACCACGAGATGGGAATATTCGACCTTCCCGCCATTATCGAAACCGTAACGGACATCACGAACCAAGAGTCCATGTACTTCGTGGGTCACAGCATGGGTTCCACCGCACTCGCAATTATGCTATCCGAGCGACCAGAATATAATCGACGCATCAAGACCGCATTTCTACTCGCTCCCGCAATATTTTTAGGTCACAGTGGGTTGTATGTCCAACCATTTGCCAAATCCGTGAATTATTATCAGGTGAGCGCATAATTCTACGGTGCATACTTATTTACTAACCCAGTAAACAAAGAAGATAGACAAAAGTGGCAGTGACGACAGATATTTAATCGAAACAGCAGAAACTAAATTTGAAACTTTAACGAAATTTTAACGAATTTTATTTACATAATTTGAAAAAAATGCTTCCATTCGATATTTGATCTTCAGAGGTTTCATACTAAATTTGTTACATATGTAATTCTTGTATAACGCCACCACCGAGACCCTTTTGTTTATGCCTAATCTGTTGACTCACAGACTGTGAGGGATTTAAATCACAAATTTTATGACCTCGGACCCTACAGGTCAAGACCAACTTTACCCATTCGTGTTCGACTTCACTCTTTATGTAAATCAATAACTGCACACGGAACAACCTACATATTAACTTTGCTTAATTCCGGAATTATTTGCTTAAACTAACTTCCATTAAAGTACATATACATGTATATAGACAGTGGCCCAGGATGCCGTAGGGCCATCTGGGGATATTGTCATTGCAGGATAGGGGAGAGATCGGATTATATAATATGGGAAGCCTACGGGGACTTCGAATAACCGCAAAGACATTGCCCTCTGTCCCCACGCTTCCGCAGCCACTGTATGTAAATATGTGTAATAAACATACTACATATGCAAAATATGTTCTCTAGTACACCTTCAACAAATTCCTCGCTGGTCGAATAGACGTTGCAAAGTTTCCAGAGTTACTGGTCGGATCATTCCCAAGTGCTAGTTGTTCCACAGATAAATATGCATGCGGTATGGAACACATTATCGTGCATGCATACATAATTTAATGAGAAACTTCACATTTTACAGAACTTTGTACAAACGTGATGTTCCGCATGTTCGGGTATGATGGTCCTCAAACAAATTATGTAAGTTTATTAAAGTTTGCATACAATGGCTTTCTCACGACAACCTTACCGCACAATTGTTAATTGCTTAAAAATTTTAAGTTAAAATTTAGCATATCAACTTAATCCACGATTTTTTGGGAAATTCTCAAAGCTTTTTGCTCCTGGAAAACAACAAGATTTATTTTTCCAAAATTTATCAAGCAATTTTTATTTCATAAGATTATTATTATTTTTAACTTTTTTGTAATCGAGTTACGATGCGTTGACGTGAGCACGCCGACAATTATTATCACCAACAAATTCCAATTATTGTTCAATTATGTAACGCAGACCACGGTGGGTCACGCACTGGACGCCTTTCCCGTCACCACGTCAACCAAGACGCTGATACATTTCATGCAGTTCATAAAAACTAACAACTTTTGCAAATTTAACTACGGATTTGGAGCAATTAACAGACTTCGGTATGGTCGACGGACTCCGACGTGCTATAATATGGACAACATTTCTGCTCCGTTACTCGTATTTTGGGGGGCGAATGACTTCGTCGTGAAACCACAGGTATTCTGGATCGAAATATAGTTTGACACTTCAATTTTATGAATGAGAAATTTATGAAAAATTATTTTTAAAATATTTTAAAAAATTCCTATTTTTTCCAGGATGTTGGAAAGTTGGTGGCACATATACCAAAGAAATCATTAAAGGAGTGTATCAAAATAGATTCTGAATACTTCACACATATAGATTTTGCCTTTGCTAAGGATGCAGATATTTTAGTGTATAAAAAAATACTGGATGTAATGTTAAACTCTACATATGGATGATAATAAATTAATATTTGTTTAAATAAATATGAGTGTAATATGTATGAAAACTAAGAAATATATGTACCTAATTTTGATAAGAACTTATCCACAATGCATTTCAAGCACCATGTATGCAATTGGATATGCAACTGTTTATGTACTAGTGTTGCAAATTAAAGTTGCATTTAACACGTTGCATTACGCAACATATCAATTATCACAATCTCTCAAATTTTCATGCAATAGAAAATCAACCAATTTATTACCGTTTGTCGTATTTATGAAGGCGGGAATGCAATCAAGAAGAACAAAATTTTATATATAGGAAATGAGATTTAATTAACTACAGAGTTTTTTACATTAATTCCTTGTACATTTTTCCTTGAGAGATAGAGATACATCAAGACAAATTAATACGAACTACAAATTATTTACCAACTTGACAGTTAGCAGCGGCTGGCCAGTCGCAAACATTGACCGCAGTATTGAAATGAAGTCCGCCCGGGCACAATTTCTCAACCGGTTTGAAGTTGTCGCACTGACACCATTTCCCACAATCCGAGGGGTGAGCGTGGTACATGTCTTCGCGATCGTTGGGATTGCACACGATGGAAGTGCAGTCCTTCGGCTGAGGGGCTTCGGTAACAGGAGCCTCGGTCGGCTCAGGTTCCGGAACCTCTTCTTCGGACGATTCGGATGATTCCGGAGCAGGGGCGTCGGTCGGTTCGGGTTCTGGGTCTTCAGTCGGGATTTCAGTAGATTCGTCGGACGCAGGTTCCTCAGATTCCTCGACGACGGGTTCTTCCGTTGGGACTTCGGTGACTTCCTCCTCCGATCCTGGACCTTCGGTCACGACCTCTTCGGATTCTGGGACTTCTTCCGACTCTTCGACGACTGGGGTTTCTTCCGTTGGGGCTTCGGTGGCTTCCTCCTCTGATTCTTCAACCGGACCTTCCGTCACGACCTCTTCAGATTCTGGGACTTCTTCCACAGACTCTTCGATGACTGGGGTTTCCTCTTCCGACTCGGAAGATGCTTCAGGCTCAGTTTCTGGTTCCTCGGGTTCTGGTTGAGGGGCAGGTGGGCACTTTCTGAAAACGTAGTCCCAGACAGATACGCAAACCTGGCATTTCTCGGTGAAGTAGAGATTGTCCTCACAGGCGAATGTTTTCAGACCTTTCGCCGTGCACTCGCGGTAGGAATGCACGTTGAAAAAGATCGAGTAACGTTTCCCTTGATCGGATGACTTGCAGGAGGGGAAGAGCGTTTTCGCGTCGGCGCCTCCTTAAAGAGAAATCATTTTTTAAATTTATATGAATACAAAAAAATTCGCAAAAAACTATTAATCGTACCGGCAACTTCGATCGATGCGGCGGACACGTAGGCCACACAGCACAGTAAAATAGCAGCGTAAAGTTTCATTTTTGAAATTTTATTCCTCGCAATTAAACCTTTGTTGCGACTGAATGAATACTCGTTGCAGTGATAATGAGACCATTTGGAGAGAATTTGGTCGTTTTATTCCCTCTGAAAACAACGTCATCCGGAATTCGTAAGGATTATCGAGTCATTAGATTAATCGCTATTAAACACTTAAGTTACAAGTAAATTATAATTAATCCATTGTGGATTTAATGCAGGACTTGGGTCTTGGTACACATTATATTGCGTAAATTTGCATGTACGGAGCCCTCGTGATACCTAAGTATTTGGTGATATCTGCCATATTAAACAATGTGATATGCTATAAAACATGATAAGCTCCAGGGGCGGTGTTTATGTAGGATTTAGCCGGCTTATCCAATTACTTATGTATGTTGGACTCTGATTTCTCGTATATTTCAAAGTTTTAACTATCTCTACTGGAAATGCGGGTGCGTCAATTAAGTAATTCTGCAACGTCATCAGGTCATCTCGCTCTGCGTGTATATGTAAATATCTAGGTAGCCTCTTGATAAGTTATTTATCCAATGGCTGGTAAATTACGGTAAGAATTTTGTTGTTCAAATTTTATGGGGGTAATACTTTTATGACATCTCTGTGTAAATGTGGATTATTTATTGGAAACGTTTTACTGCATACTTGTTGATTCGATTTGTTTCGGGAAATTCCATAAATTATGGATTTAATCCATTTCGCGTCATGCAGATTATGGTATGCAAATATTATATTTGCATATAATATACTAATAAACCTATTTGAAATCCGTCCATAGTTTAGAAATATACAAATGTACGTACATATTTACTTATGTATAGTACGCCATGGAGGAAGTACGACATTGGCATGTTTTGACGCGTTTGCAAGCATGGAAAACCAGTATCACTGAAAATGAGCATAGTGAGATTTCGGTTCCATGTGAAATTGCATAAAACACTTTTGCATAATACACTTATGGCATAAAATTTATTGCATAACTACCACTTACCATAAAAGAGCTTTTTACATAACTCCATTTCACATAACAAGTGTAAATTCACGATTGGTCATAATAATGCATACAAAGACCAGTGTACCAGTAGAATCTAATGTAGCCAAGGTTTTTTTTGATGATTTTCAAGCATTCAGGGATGATACAAGTTCCTAAATAATTGTGTTTCTCTGGTAGCCTTTTTTCTCGCTCGCCGATGAAGGCGACCTTATCTAGTGGGCAGTACCCGATCTTGGTACTCTTTGGATTTTCCTGATCCTACGTAAATAGTTGTTCAGCTAGTATTTTAAATTCAATTTTTGATGATGAACGGGGAAAAAACGGTTTTTTCGTGTTTCCCTTTTGTGAATTTGATTGGGTGTGGTGGGCGAAAATTGGGCAATGGAGTAAAGTACTATTTCACTTTTGGTGCTCTTACTAATACCTTCTTAATTTACGAATTATACTAAATAGCATTATGCCAACTTGCTGTTTACATAATTCGGAAGTATGCAAAATGACATTATACGATAAAGGTGTTATGCAAAAAAAATTATGCAATTTCACCGCACACGGAGATTTCTGCAAATGAGGTGATCCGCTACAATAATTCTACTGTACGCATATGAATATATGTATAAAGAATATACTGATTTCATACACGCATAAAGTAAACGGTACGAGAAATATACAACTCAATTACATAATTCTTACTTAATAATAAGTAATAGCACAATAAAAGTTAGTTGGAAGCATGAATCATTGAACAAATTAGCTGGTATACATACGTATGATATGATAGCGAGCAATAAAGATACAGACTGTGGGGGAGACATTTCGTCTCATTTTGATGTGTTTTGAGATAACTCGATTGAATACATCACGTATTATTAAGTAGCTTCAAGCTCATTTATGCGAATACTTTATCATAGTATGCACATAGGTATGTCTGTCTGTCTGTAAGCAGGATAACGCGGGAACGGATCGAGATAATCAAAAACTGTTTTCGCCATGATCTTCCTAATTTCTATTTATTTTAACTTCAATAATGGGGTAAAGAGCACCACCCCCCACAGAGGGTGTGGACCGACATTATATTTAAGCTTAATTTTCATATGGAGCATCATTTTAACGAAAATTTCACCACGAATTCAACGCCGTCAATACGTTTAACCTCATGACCGTTAATCGTTATGTCGAGGTCAAAGGCTAAATACATAATTTTCATATACATATGTATGGTGCCATTTAAAAAAAATCTAATCGTTCACCCAAAAACCCTGCGTTACTCTAATTTCAAACCAGATATCAACTTCCACCACCTGAATTTAATTCATTCTCCAGTCGTGTCTATTTTCATAAAAAGTGGCAGGATTCCATTTACATTTACGTAAGGATCAGTACATAACGATGAACACGAGGTGCAGACTTTCAAGATGGTCATAAAGTAAAGTATAATACCGTAAAACCTCTATTTATAGCCGGGGCTAAAATCCAAAACTGAGGGTCTCGGACCCGGCTACAATTAGAGACCGGCTATAATTAGAGATCCGGCTAAAATTTGGAAATCTTGGTCTCTAGACCCGGCTATATTTGGAGACCGGCTATAATTAGAAGAGGGCTATAAATAGAGGTTTTACGGTAATAGCATTTCACTTCTTCTCATTAAAAATTCAGATCGAATTGGTCAATAGTGCCCTGAAAATTTAATTATAATGCCTGAAAACTGTCGGAATAACTGAATTATTTAATGCAAAGTAGGTATACTTTGCATAATTTTATGACACGTTTGTTACCTACTATGCAATCCCTACCGCTTCAATAATAGTTTATCACCGAAGGGTAATATACGTATGTATCTGTATATACCTATGTACAGAGGCTAAACTTTGCTCAGTCCCCAATGGTAATAAAAATATCATCAACACCGGACGCAATTTTTTACCCCCACGAGGCATCTTATTACTATATTGTTACCACGTGATAAAATTGCATAGCATATTGTACATACCCGGTAACAATCGCATCACAAAATTATTAAGAACGTAAATTATGTATTTACATTATGCGCAAACCTATATTTAAACACCTATGTACTTATGTACACACGATAGGAAATTCTAAAATTGATCTAGTATTAACATACTTTCAATGAAGTTTATGCAATCCTGTCACTAATCATAATTCGATAAACAATCTGGAAAATTCCTCAGAAAGTGGCTAACTAACTTCCAAACGGTAAATATTTACTGATCCGTTTACCAAGCATATTTACAAAAATGTCGAAAAGTCGTGTCCTCCACCGAGTAAGACGCCATTTAACATTAGGGAACCAATTTCGCAGCGTTTTCCTAAACTGGGACAAATCCTCCAGTACAATTATATTAATTTCTAAAAAGAAGGAAAAAATCGTTGTTGCCTTTACATTTTTGCAATTCGTCGTTATCACCGCCAAAGCATGGTCGATCACTGCAAGAACAACAAATCTTATCGAAAACATCCTCGGAATTGCGGTATTAACAATGTCCCTTACTCCATTTCTGTTACGATGCCACACCTCCGCTGACCATGTCCACGTGCAATTCCTCAACTACATATTCTTCACAGAATGTTACATACGTTTTTGTATATTATCACCTTTTTAAGCAAACTAAAATGTAATTTTTGCTTTGGCAGATGTCGATAAGGTCGGAAAACAGAAGCGTCTTTTTAAATATCTCGTCCTGTTCTTTGACGCGATCGAAATCAGTTATTACAACATTGCTACGATACACTTGTTCTTGGTGATGATCTTTCCGTGTCAGATGGGACTCACAAGCTCCATTCTTTGTACGGCAGAAAACGGTTTCCAGAAGGGCATCATCGCAAAATCGTTCTTTGCAGTGTTGGAGTTTCTGATATTCATTCAAGGCTGTGCTGGTGGGGGATACTACATGATAATCCTTCTTCTGACGGGGGTTATCTTTCTCTGGATCGAATGCGATACCTTCATAAAACGGTGTAAAATTGGAACTGCTGGGCAAATCGGTTACAGGAAAGTGCAAATTTTGAAAAAGTACAGAATGCCTGCACACGTGAGCAGATTTTCTTAACGACAGCAATTTTCATTTCGGCTTGTCAAATGATTAAACTGTTCGCAACGATTAAGATGCTGCAATCGGGGCATGATTTTCTGGCGATGGTATTTTTGTGGATATATTTCCTGGCCTTAGGTTTCAGTGTGATAATGTTTTCGGCAGCTGCGAAGGTGTACAGGGTAAGCCAAAAGTGGATAACGGGAGGAAAGGGAACGAATAAGAAGAAATTCTCAGGAAAATTTCATAGGTCGTTGAGACCACTGAGGTTGGAGTTTGGGAACAACTTTGTCGGAGTACTAACTCCGCTGGTCGTGCAGGAATTTTGTTTGATTCAGACGGTGTCATTTCTACTCGTGACAAAGTAAATATGCATCGGCTTAAGCTCTTTTTCAGTACTTATTTTTAAATAAAATTTCACTTGGGTACGAGGTGGATTTCAAAATTACTTACGACAGCAACAGCAACCAATTAAAATTTTCAATTTTTTTAAAAATTTGGTTCTATATAAGTTCTATATATCTATTTCAACTTCAACCAGTCGTCAGTTTTGTGGTCACCAATCGCGTTACTAACAATAAGCTACGATTTTTTACGAAGCTTGATCCTATGTTTTTTTCTTCGAAAACTAGTTTACAATACGAGGAAATTATGAATCCTCTCAATATAAATAATCGTATTTACCCATACACGGTTATGAAGAAAAATTCGATGTTATCATTTAATAAATTTTATTTTTCTTGATTCGAGTTGAATTCCGACTCTAAAGGAATATGTATATGTAATAATTATTTGTACATATATTTTTACAGGGAATATTAAATTAAACTTATTGTTAGTTGTCGTTTGTTTTCATATTCGTCAATTTTCTTGCCGCTGTTTACCTTTTGCCCAACCACCCCCACCCAACTGGTCGCAGCCAAGGGGGGAAACAGTTGTAATAACCACAAAATAGGATAACAGTGAGCCAATAATTTGCCAAGAATTTGAAAATAATTACACAAATTTTAATCGTTTTAAAGAACGGGACCTTCTTCACTTTAACTTTCACGACGGCCACGGCTGTCGTGGTTACCACGGGGGCAGGAGTGGTCGTTGTTGTCGTTGTCGTCGTAGTTGTTGTCGTGGTCGTCGTGGTTGTCGTCGTGCATTGTTGAGGTGGACAGTAGCACGTGCAAATTTTCGCGAATGAGTCCGCCGTTCCGAATATGGGTCCATCGTACACTTCTCCGCAAACCATTCCTGTTCCATCGGGACAGAAATCGCTGCAAAATCCGTTGCATTGTTGCATTTCAGCGGCAGGAGTGGGAGGATCGGCAGGTCGGACGGGACACTGATCGCCAAATTGGTTGGTTGGTGGCTAGATAAGAAAATATGGGAAGTCTTAGAAATCCGGTCTTAAAATAATACCAAGCGGTATTCAAATCTGACTCTACTAAGGAGGTATTATTAAGTAATACCGTGAAATAGTAATTGCTCGGTGTTAAAGTTTTACAATATCAATAGCAATTTTTTCAGGCCAGCATAATTTTAATACTAAACGGTAGTAACTTTAATACAGAGAAATCAATACCTAAATACGTGACTGGTAGCAGATTTACATGTACCAGGTTTTTAAGTATGTGTACACAAAATTTGGAAATGCGTCCAATTTTTCACATACAAATTAATTTCCTCACCGCAGTATTGCAGGCATAGTTGCAAACACAAATTCCACTCGCTGTACAGGTGTCGAGACCAACTGGGGGTTGAGCGCCGAGGTCATAACCACACGAGTGGTAGCAGAACGTGTGCCCGAAATTGGCAATATGCAACGCCCCCACATTTGGATCGTTGCAGTTTCGGATAATGGTTTGACAATTGGTCTGTAACGTAAAATTGTTATGGACTTAATAAATAATTGTAATGTCAAAAATGTTCACAAAACTTGCCTCCCCGAAACAGTTGAGCAAAAGTATTACTACAAATTTTCCAAGTTTTAACATTATTTTCCAGATTTTAAGACAATTTGGTGAGACGTCTTGTCATAATTAATATTTATTCATGACTTTACAGCGGGTAACGTAAGTGAAGTGTGAGCAGAAAAGTGATCGCTTTTTAGTAAAATTCTGGCCGCATATTGAAATCTACACTGTTCTTGATATCAATATCACCCACTTTTAACAAGCACTAAATCCATTTCGTCGCCATGAAAACCATGACCGAACTATTACCCACGGAAATCAAGGTGGCAGAATAAAAACTTAATGATTTATAAATTTTTGCTTGCACAACTTCTTCGGCTAATCGTAACTTTAAATATTTTGTCCCTCCAAGATCTGCAAATTGCATGCTGTGTATGCAAATATCACAACACTTCACATCGCAACTTGCAACAAATAACTGGCTTCCATTTGCAGATCATTTATCACCGTCCATCAGCATGCATCATTATCCATCGTAGTACATACCTACCTATTTAAATAGTGGTGCAGTGAGGTACCCAAAATTCTAAATAAAGGCCAATTTATCTCATCCCTGGCAATCATCACCCACTTTTCCGACGGTAATACAAAAAGACAGAGAGAGAGAGCTGTGACCACGAATAAGGAACGGACTGCACAAAGACCAAAATAAATGCAAAAAATGACGTGAGGTGATTTGATGCACTTCAGTTTCTTGCAGTGTTGCTACAGAAGTAATCACTGTACGCAGCGGCTGCAGAAATGTGAGGACATCTTAAAATGGAAGTCTCCAAGCATGTGCTCTCAGACCTTTACCAAATTAACGTGAATCGATCACAAATTTAAATAATATGCCATTTGCAAATTACCTTACTGTACATAGTGGGGTCATAAGTTCTCGTGAATGCATTTCCGGTAATAAATCCCAAAGTATTAGAGCTATCTGTTCGAAATTTTTATGGATTAACAAGGTATTAATATTGTTTAGAAATCATAACTTCTTTGTCAAGATTTCGTCCACGGGCAATTAGACAAGACATAACTCGTGACGGCCACAGGTTGATCGTGGTACGCGCCAATTTTCGTGCCAAAAGTATTTCAGACTTTTCACCGTTGGCAAAAAATTTAATAGAAAAAAAGGCCAGATATTTGTTGTACAGAAGTCTGACATCCGTTTAAGTATGCGGAAGTCAATACGAAGTCATCACCGTGGTGTGCATGGGAGCAAGTTGGCTGGAGAAATGAAATCTCTGTTTTTTATCGCAAAGGGTACAAGTTGAAGCCAAGAATTATTTTCAGAGTGTCCTAAAGCCAAACGTTAATAACCTGAACCCTGGACCCTCCGAAAATCGACATTGGACCTTTCAACAAGACCCTGTTCCTGCGCAAGGTGCAAAATTGTCCAAAACTGGCTTCAGACGAATTTTCATGACTTTTTTTCATCCGTAGAACGGTGCTCAGTATCTGCAGACCTTAATCCCCTAAATTATGACTGGTGGTGAAAATTATAGGTACAAGTATGCTCTAAATTTCACCCAAGTGTGGAAGGGCTGAGGTCGCACTTACTGAAGATCTGGCGCTTTTCCCTGGAAATCCGTGCGTGCCGCGATCGAGCAGTTTTCGCCACGACTTATGTCTTGTGTACAAGCCCGTGGAGGAAATTGTGAAAACGAAGTTATGATTTCTAAACAAGATTAATACCTTGTTCATCCACAAAAATTTCTATCAGATAGCTCTAATACTTTGGGCTTTATCACCGGAAATGCATTCACGGGAACTTATGGTCGGACTATGTATCTGCTAATACCAGGTTTGGCACATATTTGGATCCGAAGAGGAGAAAACGTGCAGTAAATTTGGAAAGTGTAAAATTTGTCAGCTTTTTGAGCGTGTTTTCTCCTCTTTGGATGCAAATATCTGCGCTCACAGAATATAGATTCTACCAGAAGAATCGATCTTATGTATTCTAGTGACGCTTATGGAAGAACGGGGAGAGCCAACCAAATAACTCGGTGTACATTTGGCCCACCTCGGGGATGGCACCTCCGCATCATCATCATCACCACATCTCCTGGCATCAAAAAATGATGATGAAAGCACCATTTTTGTTACATAGGTGGCGGTGGCACCCCTAATTGTGGACCAGAACGCACCCTCGTAGAGCATCAAATTTGTGGAGACGCAGCTCAGAATGGTGTGTTCTGGTGTACAAATCGGGGTGCCACCGCCACCTATGTAACAAAAATGGTGCTTTCATCATCATTTTTTGATGCCAGGAGATGTGGTGATGATGATGATGCGGAGGTGCCATCCCCGAGGTGGGCCAAATGTACACCGAGTTATTTGGTTGGCTCTCCCCGTTCTTCCATAAGCGTCACTAGAATACATAAGATCGATTCTTCTGGTAGAATCTATATTCTGTGATCTGCGCTAAACCCGCGTATTGACAGATAGCGTCGTTTGCAAATTTCATACTAATTAAATTTGTGATTGATTGACACTAATTTGCACTAAAATCTGAGAATATACAATGGGAGACCTCCTTTGTTGAGTTTTCACGTCGAATACATATCTAAATGTGGGATATTAAATTAGCTTCTGCTTTCGTAAAGTCCCCACGACTTCCGCGTCCACTGTCCACCTGTTGAGATATGCGTAGCCTGCCGAGAAGATGGGTTAAGTTGTTATTCAACCGTCACACTCGTTTTAAGACAGATTGCGAGGCGAGAAGAATGACAGAAAAATGTTAATAACGATGACCACGCAACTTCTTCAGAGAAAGGTTTCATTTCAATTCATGAAATGAGTCTAAATGTACCCATGTAGGTACATACGCGTAGATCGGTACTTTGTAAATGCTAAACAAATACAAACAAATTAATACAATGTATTCTAGGGCACAAATAATGGTGCAAATGTTTCCCCAATGCGGCAAATGTTGTAAAATACAGTGTCGGACAGATGTCTACGTCCACATAGTCGCGTCAATTTCATTTTCAAATTGTCACTGAACTGCTGAACCAATTTTCATCATTGATATATCAAATTCTCACAAATTTAACGTAATTTCATAAAACATATGAGTTATTTCTGAAAATTCTGGGAAAACTGAGAATCATAGTGCAGAGCGAGAGAGGATGAAATTTGAGCGGACAAAAGTCTACGTCCACTTCACTTTAATTGTCAACAACAAAAATCTCTCCAATTTATAAAATCAGGTAACTTAATAAATCTATCAATAACATATGCCGCATTAATTTTTAAATAATTTTCTTCCAGAAAAATATGATGGCGTCGACACGCAAGGAAATTCCTATCGCTATTCGAGATCTTGTCATTCAGGACTGGAAGGGTGGACAAAAAGGGGGCTGTCGCAGAGACAAATATGGACCAAGTATAAATTAGCAAGGACAACCATCCAGACAATCATTAAGAACTTTAGAGCTAATGGTTCAGTCCAAAACAAGGTCAGAAGTGGTCGAAAACCGATTTTGGCTCACCGAGAAGTACGCCACGTGCTCAACAAAGTCAACGTTACACCCTCACTTAGTGCTCCAAAGCTATCTACCGAGATCAAGGAGATGTTCGGCAAACAGGTTAGTCCTATGACCATCCAAAGAACACTGAATAAGGGAAATTTGAAATCCCACAGAGCAGTCCGGAAGCCTCTTATTGTACCGAGGAATGCAACCAAACGAGTGAAGTTTGCCAGAGACCACATTTCCAAGCCACAAACATTCTGGGACATATTTTATGGACTGACGAGTCAAAGTTCAATGTCTTTGGGTCAGATGGGCGTCGTAGAGTGTGGAGATATCCAAAAGAAGCTTTGAATCCAAAAAATCTCAACCCCACAGTTAAGCACGGCGGCGGGTCGGTAATGGTGTGGGGATGCATGGCTTCAAGTGGGGCAGGAAAAATGGAATTTGTTGACGGAATTATGGACCAATACAAGTACCAGGGAATACTTGACCGTAATATCCAGGAATCTGTTCGAAAACTTGGACTTGGACGACGATTTGCCTTCCAACAAGACAACGATCCGAAACACTCTGCCACGTCCACCATGGAATACTTCAAGAAAAAAAAATTCCGAAGCTAGAATGGCCTCCCCAATCTCCAGACTTGAATCCCATTGAGCATCTGTGGGACCACATTGAAAGAGAAATAAGAAAAAAATCTTTTTCAGGAATTCCGGGCCTAAAATCCAGAATTCGTGAAGTTTGGGAAACCATTTCTGAAGATGTGACCAAGAATTTGGTAAACTCTATGACTCGACGCCTTGAAGCCGTCCTTAAAGCGAACGGAGGCCCAACCAAATATTAAAAATTAATTGTTATAACATTCCTTATAAATTACAGTTTTTTTTGTATGTTTTCTCTGACTGGACGTTGATTTTTGTCCATCCAATTGTTTTCATTTTGAATTAAAATACATCTCTGGCCTAAAATAAATTTTTTAGCGGAAAACTAATAATGTGCTATGAAATTACGTTAAATTTGTGAGAATTTGATATATCAATGATGAAAATTGGTTCAGTAGTTCAGTGACAATTTGAAAATGAAATTGACGCGACTATGTGGACGTAGACATCTGTCCGACACTGTAGATGTGTTTTTAATCTGAATTTTGTCCACTTTTTGGGTGAAATCATGACTTCGTGCCTTTAGTTTTGAATTAATCGCCATTAAATTAAGCGAAAATAAGCAATTGAATAAAAATTACTCAAAAAAATATTAATCAAAAAACGATTTTCTCATCACATCACAGAATATTCGCATAGATTGATAAGTTTTGAGTTTGAGGTAAATATTTTCACAGTATCAACGTGACTTTTGTGCAAATTAAATGGCAGTGATCGTATCAATGCATGAAATGGATCGGCAACAATTTCTTTGTGTTTCCGCAACCATATTCAATCTCATCTTCACCTAGATTTCTTTCAGATGTAAAATACAAAACAGTAAAATTGGATCGTTTTACTAGTGAACTTTTGGTTTCATGGTATACCTAAAATACGCACAATATTTTGGAACATGAGGATAATACCCATTCGAATGAAGCTTAACAATGCCTTTCTTTAAATTCAAGACGCACGTGTGTATTTATAAACTTTTGTATTTATTTTGTTACTCCGTTTTTGGGGCAATAGTATTCACATTCTTTATACATTTCCCATCATACTGTTAGGATTTGCAAAGATTTGCGTATATTTACAGATTAAAATTACTATGTATATATTTACAGCTTTAGGTTATGTACAGCATAATGAAACCTACCTACTTAATATTTTTTAATTCAAGAAAACGGCAAACTCAAAAAATACCTCACATTTCTTAACCACCACATATAAATTCGCCATAATCTCCTCCTCCACCCCCAGCTAACAAACATTTCCGGAACACCGAGACAATTATCGTACACACAATAGAGCAGGATTTTAAGCCAAAAATGGACACACAATTTTATCCAGAGCACACCAAACTTGACCACCTTGAACAGCGTGGGAACCTTTATTTTCAGAATAGTTATCGAGCTCGTATCCGGTGCTGGGGTTGTTGTCGTCGTTGTCGTCGTGGTCGTTGTGGTGGTCGTCGTGGTCGTCGTAATGCACGGTTGAGGCGGACAGTAGCACGTGCAAACTTTTGCAAAAGTGTCCGCCGTGGGTGGAATCGGTCCGTCGTAAACTTCTCCGCAAATCTGACCCACTCCGTCGACACAGGCCGCGCTACACGTGACATCGCAAGCCGTCTCGTCTGCCGGGTCGGTGGGAGGATCGGCGGCACGGACGGGGCACTGATTTCCAAAGAAGGCAGCGGGGGGCTGAGATTTATGGAAAAAATGAGCTATAAATTGTGGCTTTTATTTTAAGAAATTTTGCAAATTTCATACATACCGCAGTATCACAGGCGTAATTACAGACACAGATCCCAGCTGCGGTACACATCTCCATCCCCACGGGGGGAACGGCACCGAGGTCGTAGCCGCACGAATGGTAGCAAAAAGAGTGACCAAAATTGGCCATGTGCAACGCCCCGATGTTGGGATCGTTACAGTCTTGAAGAATTGTTTGGGAGTCGATCTGTCTATTAAGAATTTAGTTTGAGATTCAAGTTGGTCAAGTAAATATGTGCATATTTCACTTACGCCAAGTCGGATAATGATGTTCAGGTGGAGTACGAAATTAGGAATTTTCCACATTTTGCTGTCAAATTGTAAAAACTGCGAACTTCACATGGCTGGACTTTGTTAATAAAATGCAGAGGAAAAAGTGCGAACGAGAAGCGAGAGGAATATTTTTCGTCTCATTTTTCTCTTTTATGTGGTTCTCACCACCGTCTCAATCTGAACGAGATTGAGATGTGAGACTAACTACGAATCTTCATCTGGTACATGTGTACGTTCATAACATAAGGATGCGAGTGAGGTGGTTTGATCGGGTGATGTTGGGGAAGGTTGTGTAGCCTGTTGGATAAATTGTCTTGCGTAGCGAATAAATAATGTATTAGCCATTTTGCTGCCTTGATTGTGATGAGTGCAAGTGTATAAATTTGGTAATGAAATCTGAAAATGTTTTCCGAAATATTTCATTGCTGAAACTAAATTTTATACTAGCATACTTAGCACACTAATTTGCCTTTATCTGAATCAGCATTTGAACATATAAAATATTTCGCTTTTATTTCTGATACCCAAAATAGCTCAAATATTGAAATACCACCGAAGCCTAACTTGTTATTTTGGAGCTCTTCAGAGCTCTAACATGAAAATGTTGGTAATAATATGTATGTATCTTTCGCAGAGACAGAAGGATACGCTTGCTTAAAATATGTAAATACCTCTCGCTACTTATTGGCGCAAACCTATTCGTATTTCGGTAGCAAAAAACATGATTATCAAATCATAATGATGTCTAGAGATGTCTTGAATGTCAAGAATGTATCTCCCAAACAAAGGGTGAGAGATAAAATCCGGGGTTAGCATATATGTACTTATCTTAAAGTATCTTATTAATGCAGCATGACTCTTAAAGACCATGTTTCACCTCGCTTTTATAGATACATAAGCACAATCTTCAACTTCACAATATTGACGGTGTCATATCCTTCAGTTCAAATTTTATGGTTTTGTTACTTTGAACCGAGCAGCAAAGGGTTTGAGCTGAAGGATCAAATTTCACTATTTATTTTTGCATCTAAATGTGTTCTACAGTTGACAGTTGGTTTTAAACAATGTATGCACAGCACATTGTACTTTATGTACATATTACATATTATTATTTTTTTAAATAATATTTCTAGAATGAATATACTGTTTCTTATTCGGGTAACGATATACAAACATAATCCCGAAATACTATCTCACCATGAGAATATTATCTGAGAATTAAAAATTCTTTTATTTACAATGACTAATTTGATTTATTAAAAATCCACTTTTCAATATTTTTTGAAAATTGATAAGTTACCAAGAGTTTGCTATTTTTATAGATTTCAAAAACTGGCATAAACACAAATGACAAAGAGCAGTGGTTCAAATAATTTTATTGCAATTTTCATCGTTTTATTTTAAACTTGTCGTCATACTTCACCTAAGCATCTCGTTTTTTTCGGGGTTATGGTACATACAGGGTGATTTAAATCATTTAAATTCAATGTTACGCTACAAGGAAAATTTTTCAATTAGAAAAACTCACAAATCTCCATTAGTTACCGAAATTTTCTCTACGAAATTCAACATTTTAAGAATTTTGTCTTCAGTGTTACATCAGTTTTGCTAATAATTAATAAAAATCACAAAGCCGTAAATCTCTAATAGAGATTTAGGGTGACGTTGTTTAAACCACCCTGTAGTTGCACAGATAACGTAATCCTCGATAAACACCCAGGATCAACGCAAGAATATACATACACAGCTTTAAAATTGTTCCAAGCTTGGTGCAGTCGTATATGTAGCGAGACCGCACCACAAAAATAAACCAATGTAAATACCGTATGATAAAACAAAACATATTTGTACTATTCATATCACTACACCGGCTGCTGGATGAATCATTCTTCATCCAGCAGCCACATACAGTCAGTCGTCAGTCAGAGCTCACACTTTTTTTCTTTGCATCCCAAAATGGTCTGGTCAACCCGTACCGATCTCCAATGTTTAGGAGGAATCGCTTCCGGATCTTCCGGTCAAGTTTATCACGCATATGGGCAACTGGAAAGAAAGGAATTCGCCGTTAAGCGACTTCGCATCCAAAATTCTGCACAACTTGCTCAACTAATAAAAGAAGTAAATATTTTGATAGAGTTGAGTCATCCCAACGTGAACAGATATTTTGACAGTTGGAGTGAAGGTGCAAAGGAGGAGGGAGGCTGGAGGTCGGTCACCTCAGCAAGTAATTCGCAACTTCTCTTCATTAAATTGGAGCTTTGTTCGACAAACTTAAAGGACTATTTACGCGATAAAATACCCACGCAGGGGTTAAAAGTGCACCATCGAGATGTCATCCAATTAAGCATAATTCCGCAAATTCTTAACGGACTGCGTTACATTCATGGAGAAGGGATCGTGCACAGAGACCTAAAGCCGGACAATATTTTCATGATTGAATCCGAGTCTGGACTTACCGTTAAAATTGGCGACTTTGGTTTGGCCGTGTTTATTGCAAGTGATGCCGAAATTGTGAAAAGGGTTGGATCGGAATTATATAAATGTCCGGAGGGTGAATTGCAAAGTGAGAAAAGTGATATGTTTTCGGCCGGATTAATGTTTTTGGAAATTTTGTACGCGTTTGAAAATGCGAAGGAACGAAGTACCGCATTTGACAAGGTTCGAACTGGTAGGTACGAGTGGACTGGATTTAAGGACATGCAAGAATTTATGACCTGGGTAAAATTAGCGGTGATAAGCATGACGAAAGTTGAAGCGGATGAGAGGCCTAGTGCTGAATCGATTTTGGAAATGATGAAGTCAACGAGTTGTAAGTATAAATATATGGGATAATTATTTCTAATGATGGTGGGGGCATTCACGTCAATTTCGTAAAAGTTGTAAAATTGACTGAAAATATGTATCTTCGCAATTTTGCGATGCTTGCGAAAAATTGTAATACGACAAGCAATTAGAATCCTTTATTTTTTATGAAACATGTAAAAAAAATCGCATTTATTATCGTCGTAAAATATTTGTTGCAAACTCGTCGCCAAGTGAATTTGCATTTCTCGTCTCTTTTTAAGTTTATATATTTTCATTTAAAATAACTCGCTCACGACATCGGTTTCGCAAAAACTGCAAGTTTGCAATGTTGTGAAGCGACGTTTTTGCATGACGTGAATACCCCGAAATAAATAATTATTAATAAATGGAAAATAATTTATTCTTAAATTTAATTTAATTAGCTGTCACCCGGCAGACTCGTCCACCTGTACCTCACGTTACCATGGAAACTGAACAAGTCGAGGGACGCGTTCCCCACAACTTGACCAAGTTTATCGGAAGAAAGGCAGAACTTGCGTATCTTCGCAATCTGACAGAAAACTACAGCGTCGTCGGAGTCTTTGGAACTTCTGGAATTGGTAAATCTTCCATCTGCCAAGAATTCGTAAGTCGTCACCATTTAACCCGAACAGTTTGGTTGGATGCCTCCAATCGAATGAAATTACGGTCATCTTTACTCAGCAAGATTACCGACGGTAGAAATATCGTGAGCAGAATGTCATTAACCCAGCTATTCAGACTCGTCTTAAACAAAATGTCGGTGTCCAATTGTCCCGAAATTTTGGTCGTACTTGACAATTACTTGGATCAATTTTGTCCCATTAAAATGCACAATGATAATCTTAATCAGGGCAATCAAACCTCCTTTAGTTATACGGAACATTTAGTTCAAAAGCTAAAATTGGCAACGTTTCAGCTTTCAAGCGGCCAAATTGTTCCCACTCAATCAGAAATTTCCATCCCTGATACCGTCCCTTTATTACGGAACGACGAACAAAATGAGACACTTGACCACTCCGTCCTCTCAGAAGAGCGCAATGAAATGGCTAAATTTATCCAAAATATTGCCGGAATACATTCAACCGGACAAAAAGTTGTTGTCCTAATTACCACCATTTCCCAAGTCAATTTGCCTAATGTAGCCAAGAGATTTAAGTTGAACCCTCTAATTTCTAGCGACGCCGTGGAGTTAATAAACTCCAGTTTTGGCTTTCCTTTAAATGATCCCTCTTCTACGGTCACCTTTGCCACAAAATTGCTAAATTTTCCGCTCTATATTACCCAAGCTGGCGCAATTTACCGGAATGATAATCAAGTCCACGACCTGGCTCACTTTTCCGAAACATATTTGTCCCATATCGACCGCGTCAAGTTTAATTGTACCACGGCCACGTATAAATATTCGGTCGTTCCAATCCCACAAATTATGACGAAACTAGACGTTACGGTCATCTCGGTCTTGTGCATTTTGTCATATTGTCCAATTAAGATCAAGTCCTCCATACTGACTACTTTTATGACGGAATTGTTAGCCAATTTGGTAGGTGGTTCCGCTACGTCCGTCCCCGAATGCCTCTCAATTTTAGAAGGTTACGGTTTAATCTCGCAGGACCTGGGTCCCTGCAAAACTGTGACGATGCATTCCCTCTATCAAAGCGAGGTATTCGATTGTCTCACCCAATTAAACTTGCAAGACAGCTTTTTGTTCGAGTTAAGCCGTGTCCTTAATCTAAAACTGCAAAGGTTTAATAAGATACCAGAAGAACATGGAGATTCCGATATGCATCAATATGCCAGTCTGGCATCCTCAATTTTTGCCATGTACGAGACACACTGCACCAAAGGAATCTTTCCTTGCTTGCATATCCCCCTATTTTTGGACAACACGTGCACTCAACTCTACACGAGGACACGATACGTAAAATTGGAAAACATCCTGGAAAATGTGATCAATGAAATCACAGAAAATCCAACATTAGTCGATGACTCAGCCAATCGAGAAGCATTTGCACAGTTATCTAATCGCTACATTTACTCGGCAGCCTACAGTTACATGGAATTCACGAAATGTATCCATCAGTTGCTCAGGGTGAGACGGATCATGCCAAACTTTTGCATAACATCGGGGCAAAATCACGCCCAGTTCACGGGTCGAATCTATGTCACGTTTATGTTGGCCTTGGCCGTGTTCATGGTCGCCATGGTAACGGTTCCTTTTACCCTCTCGACTGGTCATGATCCGTACTCTGTCGTTTCATGGGTTGACGACGTAACGGTCTCGTCACTCGTGGCGGCGTCCGCGTGTGTCTCCGGAGTTCAGGTGTACATCCTGCTGACAATTTGCAACTCCTGGTTGCGAATATTTTTGCAATATGGATTAATGGGGGTTTACCTTGGCTGCTATTTTGTCTTTGAGAGTGTAGTGAAACATTATAATGGGTCATCTCGAGGAGAAAATGAATACGCAAAATTCGTCATTATCATTGTTGCGTATACATTAATCTTCTGCCACATTGCAAAACCAACGCTGGCCATAATTTACTCCAGTGTGAAGTTTGCTGTGAGAAGTGAGCGACGTGTGGGTAGGATTGGGCTGTTAATTTTTAAAAATTGTCACCTTGAATTGGTTAACTTCTTGTTTATTGGTGTCGTATTGGTGATGGTGTGCTATACGTATCCTGCCAGTGTTAAGTGGGGAAGCAATGTGGAAATGTATGCAATAATGGGTGCAATTGTGGGTGTCACGATGTTAATATTTTTCATACTTTTGGTCACCATGTTTCGAAATTTTATATCATTTTCGTTATGGTTGTCGCATAAGTGGGCGGAAATGCAGATAAATTCTTAAATTTATGTGTATAATTGTATTGGTTATTTTGTTAAGATTATAAATAGTAGATTTTATTATTATGCAGCTTTGAGTAGTAGAAAATTTGTGGTATTTATTTTCGAAATAATAAGAAATTAAAGGTTACTAGAGTTCAGCTTAACGTTGTATATAAAAAAATGACTACTGTATATTAAATATACAATACAAGGAAATTATTCTTACAATTGTGATTCAAAATACTTAATCGATGCACTTAACCCATAAGCAACAATTTTTGAAATTGGATAGGTTCTTGCGAAGACTAAAAAATCGCATCCTTAGGTTTAAGTAGTGTAAAATTAGCAATACAGGAAGCAGAAATCTTTTTTAATGCCAAAGTCTGACATGTACTGCATAATTTTAGACATAGCATTCACCATGATAAAATTAAATAGTTTCCGTCCATACTCGAAATAAGTAAATAATCCAGCCCTTCCGATACTTACATATTAACTTGTTAAATAAACGAAATGCTTAGGATTAATTGAATAAGCACGTATTGTATAAAATACATTATTTCAAAGTTTAATGAGACATATGTAATATAAGGATGACTCGTGTATAAATAAATCATAATCAATACCTTTTGTGTAGCTATCTGTCATACAATAGATTACGATGCCAATATTTTTAGCCCGAGTCAGGGCTTATGGAACCGTCATGTCCGTCCGTCTGTCTGTCCGGCACGATAGAGCCAAAACGGCTGAACCGATTGACTTGAAATTTTTACCACATGCATATTGGACAAAATTAGGAAACGAGTTCGAAGATGGGCGAAATCGGTCCAGTGATTGACCGGTGGGGGTCATCGGAGTAGGTGGGGTCTTATGCACCAAAATTTCAAAATTGTCGTAGAAAGCTGAAATTTGGCACAGAGGTTGCTAATGGCTCCTACTAGATAAAAATGACTTCGAGTTGGAAAAATTTTCATCTTGAGCGACCCTATGGGGTGACCCATACCGGTTTTTAAAAACCATCATATCGAACTGAAATTTGGTGGAGAGGTTGCTTATGGGGTTTAATGAAAGAATATGATATGATATTGGTAAAATTGTTATCAGGAGCGACCCTATGGGGTGACCCATACCGATTTTTAGAAATTGCTTTAAAAAGATGGAATCCGGCACAATGATACTTAATGGCTTCTAATTAAAGAATATGAAGTTAAAAGTGAGCAAAGTGCAACCAGAGTGACCCTATCGGGTGACCCATACTGATTTTTCAAAATCGTTATATTGAGCTGAAATTTGATATGGAGGCTGAAAAAGTGAAAACCAACATGCATACAGCTTAGAACTTCATGATGTTAAAGAAGCCCACTGGTCATGGTGGTCAAGGCACATGATTTGTAACTAATTCAAAAATTTGGTACCAAATAGTAGAAACTATCTAACAAACTTTTAACCATCCACAACACGGAAGTTGGTGATATTATGTCGGTCGGAAAAAAATTAGAAGTGGGCTCTGACTTATTGATTCAGGGACTATGTCCCTGACTCGGGCTATATGGAGTCTGCACTGTAGGTTTTTTATAAGCTCTCGCTAGATTAATAAACTATTTTAAAAAATTATCATGATTTTGAAACTAAATATGTTGCTGCCGTGTTGGCCAATTTTTCATAATTATTTATTCATAATGTGTACATCATGCAATGTTTGTACCCAAAAATTTAGAATTATACTTGTTGCTTATATGGTCAGTCTATATATTTTTTTATATACTTAATTTAACTGTGAAAACGGATATTTGATTATTAGCAAGATACACTTTTACTGTTATCATTACTTGGGAAAATGTGGATAACGTGGAAATATGTATTTTTCAGGATTCTCTATTAAATTAATTCTAAACAAAATGCATTTTGATACTCAACCCCTGTATAAATAATTGACGCTTGTATAAATTATAAATTTTCATTTTTTAATTCATTGCTCATTAACTTTATGGAATAAAATTCATTGTTTAAACCATTTTGACCAAATAATACAATCTACACATGTACATATTTACATATTTACATGCTCGTCATCGTCTCATCATCACCGAAACCCTGCTCCCCAGTACCAACTCTCCTTATGGGAGGAAGGTTTTTGGGTAAGTTGGTGGAGCTTTTCTGTATGTAAATACGTAATTTTAATACTCGGGAAGAAAAACTTAGCGATGCTTTTTTTGGATTGTGTGACATAAATAGAATGTAGTAAATTATCATACATGGAACATAATTTATTTTTAACAAAATCATATAACTATCTACTTAGATTTTATTTTTCTTAAAAGAAATAAATTTCATAACATTCGTCTCGCTGATTATTCTTAATTTACAAGCACTTTAGTTTGTCGCCATCATTATTAACACAGCTCTTCCGCACTACTTTCATACTCTAAATTATGATTTCAATTTGACCCTCAAATCCATCATCAAGGTTTCCCTTTGGTGTCATCAACAAATCTTCTCCATTTTCACGAACGAATTGAGAATCATCGTCGTTTTTCAATCTTTTTTCATCATGACTCTTGTAAGGCTCGACCTTGGCGATTTTGTCGGTGAGCCAATCCGGAAAGTAAATCTCGCCAGTGTACTTGTCCTTGCCTGCGAGGGTGACTTTTAAGTGCAGATGAAGTGTCCGGACGTGGTACCAGCCTGGATAAATAGTTTCAAATTTCGCCCGTCCGTTCGAATCTGTGAGTTGAATCCCTCTCAGAAAAGTCGCCTCCTCACTTGGTTCAGCGTGCGGCCCTGTGATCTGTAATTTGGCACCTAAATACGATATACTGATTTAGTCCTTATATTAACCTGGGTAGGAAATTTGTATGAGAAGACTTTTTCATTAAAGTTACTTAAATGCATCTGAATGTATGTATGCAATTTGATCACAACAATTATTCATTATTTAGAGACCTCCATTATGTCTGTAGATACATAAGTAATTGTTACCCCAGTTTAATAACGATACATAGGTTTATCATATGTGTACACCGCATGAAATTTAACCTGGTATAGTCAGGCAGGTATAGATTTCTCGGTATTAGGGTTATTGCCATGTGCTATTAAAATTAGGCCGGTCCGTAAAAATTTGTTACCGATGTGGCAAAACTCCAATACCAAGCTATTACAATAAGGTATTATTTATCAATACCACTGTGGTAGAGTCATATGTATTTAAATACCACTTGGTATTATTTTTTAATACCAAGCGGTAATATATCAGATTTATAACAGAGTTATAATAGATTTATAAGATCATATGTACATACATATGTATATGAAATAGTTAATACAATGACACACCAATTTAACATACAATGCGCATATTTACGCTTTTAAAATGTGTATCCTAATTTAGCAAAGTTATGTATATAATTGCTTACTTGGATCTCCGAGTGGATAATAGTCGCTGTATGCAGAATACACACCAAGCGCGTCGGCATGCCATACATGGACTTGGGCGTCCTGAACCGGGTGACATGTCGTGTTTTTAACAGTGAATTCAACTTTTAACGGAACTCCGGGACGTCCTTCTCGAATATCTTGACGAATTGGTTGATTAGGAAGAAAAAATGGCCCCTCGGATGATGGTTGAGTTAAATCACACTTTTCATTAATCACCTCAACCGTACAATTTCTGTCCCCTTCTGTACAACTTGGTTGATTGGGCGTGGTTGTCTTTACACGAAAGCAAGGTTCTGCAGTAACTTTTTGCTTGTGTGAAATGTTACTCGTCAAAATTACAAGAATGATACTTAGAGAATTGATGAAAACCATATTTACTCGGTGTGCAAGTACCTAAAATGTGTACCTATGATTCGCTTGATGTCGCAACAAAGGTAGGATTAACTGACTTATATGGTAGAGATTGTGATATTTATACAAACTGCAACTGACAAAACTGGTTTATTCTTGGAAAAGATGTACGTGATCAACCTACAACCAAGTGCATCTGTCGTCACTTGATTTTGGTTTCTTGGAAGACTGGCTTGTCTCAGAATTCTATACTGCATGCAAATAAATGAGGAGGGGAGCTTCACTACTTGTCACTCAGATTTCGAAGCGTTTGGATATGTTAGAAGTATTTAGTACAATGAGTGAACAATGTCCCACAAGTGCTTGATGCCATGGCCACATTTTCACCCCCTCAAATTCGAAACAATTGCGAAAATCAACCTCTTCAAAAGTTCGTGACAAATCAAATTGTGCCCGGGGCATATGTAAGGAAGCAAGAGTTTTCAAAATCCGAGTAAAATTTGGCTTTTGGTGAGGGTTTGAGTGAATGAAAACCAGCTTATTTCCGTTTTTGACCCCTCTGAGTGGGTGTGCGTGTGTGTGGGGGGCATAATTGTTGCTGTGGCATCAAACCATTTTGAGGTTCTTGATCATTCATGAGAGGCTATAACATTTCCAAATGGCATTGAAATATGAGAGGGGCAAGTAGTGAAGCTCTCCTCCTAAGGCAAGCAAGACGTCATTTACTTACTACTTGATGCAATTAAACAATACTAAATATGTACCTTACAATTATAGTCTTTCGTACTTTATAAATCGTTGCTGCAAAATTGCGTATGAATCGATGCTATTTTAATGCTCCACTTATTTATCAAATTTTATTGTATTGAGTTTAGGAGAGTTACCATTGAGATGAAGTCCTTATAATAGCAGATTGCTGTACATGTATCAAATTTAAATTCTCCTTAACACGTCAAAGGCCCACCGCACCAATGCTGAAAATGCATACCCATTTAACACCGTAAATTGTTATCAATTAAAATTCTCCAGATGTCCAACAAATAAAAAAAATTAATTAAGTATTATTTTTAATTTATGCTACCCCTCAAACCCATAAGCAACAGAACAAATCGTCTTATTAATTTACATATACATTTCCATTGGTCTAACAGATTTCTAACTTTTTTACACACCTCATTTATTTAGAACAAAAGTAACAAATTAGCCGTTTCGGTTGAACAGAAGTGCTGAATTACCAAAGTGGTCGACTCATCTATAAAATTAGTTCCAAATTTTACCTTAAGCGATACATACGATTTTAGCAACCTCTTTTCAAATTTCGCCTTCACCTGATCCCTAAGACCCTCAAGGTATACCTTGCTCTTCCTGTAAATCACCCCCGCTCCGGTGGAATACAGCACATTCAGGACAAACGTGTCTACCGCAAACAAGCTGACGAATATCATTTGGGATGACGACATCGTATCATTATACTTGATAAACACGAAGGTTGTCAAAATTTGCATGGATGGACACACAATCAGCACCGTGGGCAGCAGAGTCCGTCTAATGCATGAATTTAGTATAGATTCCAACACCTGCAACTTCCGAAAACCATTGTTTTTTATTGTGTCGGGGCAAGCGAAGACGCTGGACGATTTCTCCCATAAGTAGAGTATCCCTGCGATAAGGACGTGTACTGCGTGGTGTCCTGCATTAAGGTAGTGGTGGTAGGCTAGAATAGCTTCCCAAATGAGAATTAGTACACGGATTACTAAAAATGAGGGATCCGATTGCAACATAGGTTTCGAACATTCATTCCATGGCAGGATGAGCGATCCAAGAAGTGGCATTTGGCAGGGTCGCCAAATCAGTAAAATAATCATGGCAAAGGGAAATATGATATAGGCTGTTAGATATACTAAGGAAAATGCTATGTCGATCAGCCTCATGGTTCCAAGAGAGTTTTGATTACCTATGTGAAGTATAAATATTAATAAGCTACATTATTTAGTAGCTGTTTAAAAACCTAGTACTCAGGAAGGGTTTTCACGCTAAATGGCAACTTGCTCAGATTCTGCTAAATCTTTCACTTGAGCGAAATTTGTAAGTGGGCAGAAAATACAACTTTTCCACGCATGCATATGTATTTTACTCAATTTTCACTCATAAGTGGTTTTGAGCTAAAAAAAAACTAGTTTCACTTGTTCTAATTGTGCATTAACCGCCTTATTAACCAAATGTTATTAAATCGAGCGAAAACTGCTCGTGTGGAAAAATTCTACTTAAGTTTCGCTCGAAAAGCTGAGTATCACTCAAGCTTAACTCGAGCGGAATTTAATCAAAAGTAATTTTCAACTGAAAACTCCATCCTGAATACGTACCTCAAGGAAAGAAAATACATATGTATACAAGTAATTATGCATATTTTGTCTACCTTACCCTTGAAACGTTGATTTCTCGGGTTATGTATCGTGTTAACCAATTGCATGCTGGTAGGATCAGCCCTCCACTCTAATCCGACGACGAGACATGCTACCCACATGAACGTAAAACTTGCCGGGATTATATTGTCAGCCAGCTTAGCCTTGACATTGCATATGCCTACACATTGAACGGGTGATGGGAGAATTCCTCCCGCTCATCTCCTCCCCCTCATATGCTCCCGCCCAACCCCTCCCGCTCGTCTCCTCCCGTGTACATTTTCCTCCCCGCACTATCTCCTCCCGTAAACATTTTCCTCCCCGTTGCGTCTCCTCCTTCCGTATTCAACTTTGTCTGACTACCCAATATATTCAAGATAGGGGATCTAGGGCCGTTCAAAGTGTGTGACATGGTTCTGACGATTTTTTAAATAATTGAGGGTATTCATTACGAGTTTCCATATCATCATAATTTAAAACAAAAAAAATCAAAAACAAACTTAGGTGAGGCATTTCTTTTTACAACGTGCAATAATTTGATGTGTGCATCATTAAATGATAAATATATGCATGGAAACTTTAGCGTGGACATAGTTTGAAAATGTCATAGGAAAAACTTTTTAATTGTCTGATTTTGAACCTTTTGGTACCAAAATATGCAGAATTCAGAAGACATATTAAAATCAACTTTATGCATATGCTTGCATGGTGGGAGACGGTAAAATTTCGGTTTTAAACTTTCAAATCAAAATTTAAGACAGAAATATATATTTTTGTAGATGATATTCATAATTATTTGAAGATTTGTAAAAATCCCCAAAACCGTGCCACCTAATCTGAACGGACCCAAATCTCGGATCTTATAACATTGGGTAGTCAGACAAAATAGAATACCGAGGAAAAGCGACACAACGGGGAGGAAAATGTATACGGGAGGAGATCAGCGGGGAGGAGATATTGCGGGGAGGAAAATGTATACGGGAGGAGACGAGCGGGAGGGGTTGGGCGGGAGCAAACGAGGGGGAGGAGATGAGCGGGAGGAATTATCCTCCAATCCATTGAACGATTAGGTAACACGAATTGCACACAAGCAGTACACGCGACCACCAGTGGTCAAAATTAGTGCTGGGGACCAACTTGTGGAGACGTTTATTCCAAGCGTAGTGCAAGCAGTGATTTATCCGTCCGACTTTTAAGTGTCGTTTCAAATGTGGGAGCAAGACGTCGGATAACATGGTTGTTGGTTAGAGTAGGGAGGCAAATAATGGAAATATTGTCACTTCCGAACCGAATTTCAGCTAGCTTATCGGATGATCAACGTAAACAATTATTTATGCATGTCGAGGGTTATTTCCTATTAGAATAGGGTTTACCAGGCACAATCCTCTCAAAATCACTTTGCAGTGTCCTGTGAAGGCTGTTGACCAATATATATATATACAATAAATTTGGTTGATTGATTGGTATTTTGTCGGAGTTCCGGGTTAATATTTTGTGAAGTCATTTCATTTGTACTCAAGAAAGAGGCCTGCATCGGGTGAGTTCCTGGATATTTTATAAATTTGGCAATACGTGTTAATAATTTAATAATTTGGCAGTCCGTGTGCTTATTTGGGAAATAGTGTGTGGGGTATCTTATTGAAATCAGTCATTTGCCCACAAACATGCTCAATACCTAAAATATGCAACAGCCACCCAATACCGTTTCTTGATTAATCTATCTTAACCATGTCAACGTATGTAAATAATAATTAACACATGGAGCCTTTGAAGCTACAAAGCAATAATCTACAATGTAGATTCTACATACATAAACAAGCTTGGATATATCTTTGAATAGAATATTTACATATAGATTGGAATGATTTATTGTTTCGAAGTCCGTTTCATAAATATATATGCTAGTGTTCATGTATTTTCTTGTCTGCTTTCAAGACATGAAGAGGAAATGAAAGTATTATAAATTCCGACGAAAGCATGGCCATACATAAAGGGATACACCCATGCCTACATAATGATACTAACAATGGAGGTCTCCCAACGTATGCTCACAGATTTGGATGAAACTAGCGTCAATCGATCACAAATATAATTAGTATGAAATTTGCAAATGGCACTATCTGCCAATGCGCAGGTTTGGCGGAAATATTTGCATAAAAAGAGGAGAAAACGCACCCCCAAGGCTGGCAATTTGTTCATTTTCCAAATTTTCTGCGTATTTTTCTCGCTTTGGATACAAATATCTCCGCCAGACCTGCGCATTGGCAGATAGTGCCATTTGCAAATTTCATACTAATTATATTTGTGATCGATTGACGCTAGTTTGGTCCAAATCTGTGAGCATACGTTGGGAGACCTCCATTGTAAGATTAAATGGAGTAAGCATTTCTATAGACATTAATGTTTACTTTAATTATTATAAGTTATGCACATGCGGTTAACCAGGTACCTACATGCTTATGCATAAGCGAATATTAAAAAAATAAATGAACGCAGTTCCTTAAATGAAGACCTTTTAGCAGAAAATATTTGTATACGTAAAGCGGGATCGTTATACGCATTCATATGTACATACATCTGCTAAATGTGCAAATTTAATATACACATGCACATAGGTAAATGTGCATTTGTAAATTGAAGAAAGATTAGTATGGACATGTGCATAAACTCGAGTAATGCTGTGATGCTGCTAATCCCAATCCTGAATAAACCAAAAATAAGTCGATGACAACATGCAAGTATTTTGCATAAACGTTATGCCATAAAGTATATGCATATGTGTACAAGCGAATAGGAATCGAATACATATTTACTAATAGAATCCTTTTAACGTAGGTACTTGAATTAATTGTGCCGAAATTTTACTGCATATTTATAACACGTTGTTAATAAATAATTTGTTTAGGTAAAAAATCAATTCACGTACTGATATTTTTCACCCGCTTATGTAAATAAATACTTATTAGAAACCGGAGATGTATGCATATGCTGCATATGCATATGATATGCATATCTGATATCAGATGTGTAACAAGAAACTAATACTCATATTTACATATGTATATATAATATGACATACATATGTGCGTACATATGCATCTACATACGAATTATATTTATTATTCGTTGTAAGTATGAATTGTATCGCAGAGTAGAGTACTTATTTACATCTTATATTTTAAAAAAGCTAAACGACCAGCGCCTCATACATATGTGTGTATGTACATATGTAAATATACATATCTATACGTAACGTATAATACGTTACAATTTCTGATGTGCACATGTCGCCATACATTATTGCTGACTGCATGTTTTTCTACGATGAGTATATTTAGTATAATTGCAGTGCTTATTTACTTGTACAAATTTCCGAAATCTGACAAAAATCAAGTACAAGTTCTACTGGTTTACGGTGGTTAGAGTGACATTACAGATTTCAATGCATCAGATTGAAGCCGGCGATGGGTCCGTACGTGATGGATGTGGATGTATGAAGTTGGTTAAAGCCTGCTTTCTCCCATGTTAATTATATCAGCCATGGACTACATGTGTATGCACATCAAGATTCATGGAGAATGAATAACATGCTTTACGTAAGGTCCCGTATATACATATACATGCATATTTACTATCATTAAACTCCACTCCAAATATTGAAAGTCGGTGGGTTATGTACATATGTACACATTATGTACATAATATGTACGTACGTATATAATGTTACAAATGTAAATATATTCTCGTTCAGCTGATGAAATCAGCAAATTATAAATTCAATTGTACTTATTATTTATTTTGGAAGGTATTAAGTTCTTCCATTCGTATTTTCTAAAGGTATTATAATATTTAACTAGATTTGTAACCGCTTACACGCAAGCATGGAATTAATGGAATCAATTTTCGAGAATGAACTGGTACTAAATATATATACTAATATTCGTTTTTATGTATTTACATATTTATTAAAAATTAAATTCATGTTTCAATTACCTTACAATTCTTCTCGAAATTTTACAGTTACTTGGAGGCATATTCTCCTGGTTGGACCTGGATACGATTAAAATAGTTCGTCTCGTGAACAGCAAGTATAAAAGAGTCGCATGGAAAAGATTTTCAGAAATTAGTCATGTACGATTATTTTCTATGATTATTTTTTACGACCTGTTTTAGACATTAGACATTTATGGAAACCATGATATATACAAACTTATAGCATACAACTTATGACTTAGCACTTGATTTATAAGTTTTAAGTCCTGGAAATTCTAGGCAACGTGTATCTGTCATCTGTACTTATAATTATAAATTACGTTATAGATCATAAGTTAAATGTTTTAAGTTATATGTTCATGGTTGCTATAAGTGTCTAATAACAAATGTAATTGAAAGAACGTATGTTTACACTCCAAAAGTTGGGTATATGATACTAGCGTATAAGCCCGTCTCCCGCCGGGCGAGAGATTATTTGATTTTCATGAAAATGAGTGGAATTTTGAAAAACTCTAACCAACTAAATATTTAAATCTATATTATAAGCTGAAATTCTCTGTCGCCGACGTAGGTCAAAGGAATTTGTGATGAACGTGAAAGTGATGATATTAGTTGATGGAGGTTAATGTTAATGGTACAGTGCATCGAAGTCAACCGCACAGAATTTCTACGCGCCAAAATTACGTGCCCATTTTATTAACATGCGGCGGGCTGAAATTCAAATCAAATCCATTCGGTTTACCACGCTGAACCTCAATAGTAGGAAAACTATAATATTTAAGAAATCTAAGCAATTCTCAAGCTATACTATGTGGTCGTAAATATACGGTCACAACGAATGGATCCTATGAATTAAAGCAAAATGAGTATCATATTGTTATACCCGGTTCAAAATCTGACAGATATGTTTGACGTGTGTTCATATGTGACCTCTGACTTGGTCCACACGCACACGGTCATTGGTGTGTGGCATGTGACTATGCATATGATATCATACATATTCCTGCTCAGCGTTCAAAATCTGTTCAATAGAAGAATCAATAGAAGATTTGACTAATTCATCGGAGGTCTGCATGAAGGGAATCGATTCTATTTCTTTAATCTACGTTGTCTGCACATGAGGGGAATGGAATGTGTATAACATGGGCATCGAATTCGATAGGAACATCGAATAACCATGAGGACATTGTCCCTCTGTCCCCATCCATCCTTACGCGGGTACTGTGTATTTTTTCTGGTGTTGGTGGCGGACATGCTCTTTATGTGAAATTGGGGTTAGACGTGCAAAGGAATCTTGAAAAAATATTAAATAGCTGAGCTCATTTATTGGTGAGTTTTATTCCACACATGAAGGGAACGGAATCCATTCCCCTTCCCTTCCCTTGATGCGAGGATTCCCTACTTCGCCTAAAGTATATCCAAATGGAAGGGAAATCCATTCTCTTTCCCTTCCCTTGATGTGAAGATTCCCTACTTCGCCTGAAGTATATCCAAAGGGAAGGAAAATCCATTCCCCTTCCCTTCCCTTGATGCGAGGATTCCCTACTTCGCCTAAAGTATATCCAAAGGGAAGGAAAATCCATTCCCCTTCCCTTCCCTTGATGTGAAGATTCCCTACTTCGCCTGAAGTATATCCAAAGGGAAGGGAAATCCATTCCCTTTCCCTTCCCTTGATGTGAAAATTCCCTATTTCGCCTAAAGTATGTCCAAATGGAAGGGAAATCCATTCCCCTTCCCTTCCCTTGATGCGAGGATTCCCTACTTCGCCTGAAGTGTATCCAAAGCGAAGGGAAATCCATTCCCTTTCCCTTTCCTTGATGCGAAGATTTCACTACTTCGCCTGAAGTATATCCAACGGGAATGGAAGAGGAAGGTAATCCCATTCCCTTATGTGTAAGCTAAGTAAATCTATCTTGAAAATTAAACAATCCAATGGGGAACCCATGAAGGGAATCCGTTCTCCCTACAATCATTCAGGCATATCACTGGTTTGGAAACGGCCCTGAATGAATGGACCTGAACGGAACGTCGGTAACCATATCCCAGGGGGGCACGCCCCCCCCCGACTCCCTCAGCAGAGCGATAATCATATCCCAGGGGGGCACACCCTCCACTTCCCCCCAGCAGAGCGGTAACCCTATCCCAGGGGGGCACACCCTCCACTGCCCCCAGGAGAGCGATAACCATACCCCAGGGGGGCACACCCTCCTCTTCCCCCCAGCAGAGCGATAACCATACCCCAGGGGGGCACATTCTCCACTTCCCCCAGCAGAACGATAACCATATCCCAGGGGGGCACACCCTCGCATTCCCCCCAGCAGAGCGATAACCGCACTTAATAATTTTTGTTAACTTCCCTTCGAGATAAGCGAACCAGCAAATCCTGGATAATTGACTTATCGACTTTCCAACCGCTTGCACCAACGCAGCTGATATGCAAATCACTTTCTCCACTTTCACTTCCGTTTCGGAAAATAACTTTCACTTCCGTTGCAGAAAGACATTTCCAGCTTATAATATAGATACCCAACTTTTGGGAATGTGATATACCGTATATCCCATTCGCTTGCAACTTGCGCCATACATAAACTATAACATTGACGCAAGTTACTGACACATTCATAGAACTTTGAGCGTACAGGGAGCGTGTTCTTTTGTGCAGATGAAATTAGTAAAATTTTAGCCTGGAGGATGACGTTGTCATGGCAATTTTTCATGAAAATGGTTCCGTGGGGATTCCATGGCAACTATTAAACTTTGAATCATATGTATCTACGACACTTCCACACGCAGGTCGTGAAAACCCCCAATTGTCGTTAAATATGCACAATCAAATTACTATAAATTTGGTAATTGATCATTAACACTTGCAGGTTTATGTCCACCTACACCTCGTATTGGGGACGGATTTCGACAATGCCCGGTTACAATTGGACCTTAACGACCAGCCCTTTCTTACCCTGGAGTTGGGCGAAGATATCAATACCGCCTTGAACGATCAGCTCACACCTTTCAAAAATTTTAAATTGGAGTTCACAATTATTCAGAGAACATTAATCAGTGACAGAAGGATAGAAGTGGTTTACTTTCGTAAGGATAAATTTCATTTGATGATTTTACAGCGAAAACAAAAACCAAGAAAAGTAGCCAAATTTTGTTACAATGTATTTTGAAGTTTGATCTCAAAATATTTCCCTTCCATGATTTTCAAACCTGGCTTGAAAACTTCCGTGGCAAATTTATTTTTAATTTAGATCTATTTAATTTACAATTTCCAATCAATGATTTTCAGGTTTGAACCAACTCATTCGCCACCTGTGGCGTCCGAACGGCTCACTAATTCATTCCCTCTCGGTGCTCCTGTCGTCAGAGGTTGGCAATGTTTCGAGGGATTTATTAGTCTCAATTATTCAGGCCTGTAATTCTTTTTCGCACGTGGAAATTGAACCCAAAGGATACGTCCTACGTAAGAAAGTGGAGATTATAAGTTCTCAACCTTTGTAAAACCAGGTTAAAAATATGTTTCCTTATTTTTAGTTAATACTTCCGACCTACCAAGGATGACTTGTCACACGCTAAGAATTAATTATGCTGCTTTTCGTTTCGGAAATTTATCAAACTCCTTCTCAAATTTTGAGAACATCAAAAAAATCATTTTAGAGGACGCGTCTTCAATAAATTTGGATACAGTTGTCCGAGCAATTTTTGATAATGGGGAGCAATTCAGAAACCTGGAGGAAATTGATGTAAAGATTAAACTTAAGTTTGATGTAAGTATTTTTACATGGGAAAATTTTATTTTAATTTCCTAATTCTTGTTTTTTTAATTAATTTCTATTTTATTTCCATTAGCAACTCGTAGCTCTTGCAGGATTGCGTGGATTAAAAAGATTGACAATCCGAATTGTGGCTGCGAATATGTCACAAAATACGATCCCAGCTTTGCAAGAATGCGTCGCAAGACATTCTCAAACGTTGGAGTTTTTGTACTTACAATTTATCAGATGCAAGGTTACGTCAGGATTAAGTTTTGAAACGGTGTTCCCAAAATTAAGGATGCTTTACTTGGAAACTGCAAATTTGACATTTGAAGAGTTTGGAGATCAAGATCAAGACATTTATTATGAGGATGAAGCCTTTAAAGAAGTTGAAAGTCCAAGTGTTGACATTTTTTATCTGAATGGAGCCGTTGAGGTATTCAATTCATCAAACTTTTAATATGTAAACTCTGTAAATTTCAAGAACTTGAACGGAATGAAGGATGTCAGCTTTCCAAGTTGACATATTTTATGTCCCAACGCATGCAAAAATTAAAGAGCTTACTTCACGTGGTAATTTTGTTAGGTTTTCTCAAAAAGGGAAAGTACGACATAAATGTTGTATTATTTTCAAAGAACAAAAAGTACAACGTATATAAATTTTTGCAGGCGTTATTTAATTTTATAAAATATTTTTGAACAACGAAGTAAATGTTTCGCGGTAATGCAAAAAAAGTACCTGTGAATTGCAAAATTTGCAAAATTTCATGTTTTTTAAGTATATTTTTTGAGGAATCGTAAAATAAAATGAATAACTAATTTTTTTACAGAATGGGACCATGCGTAAACAATTTGCGGCACTGCAAAAGATAGAAGTTATAGAACCACCCGACACGTCTCATCCAATCTTGAAAACTAACAATATTTCAGAATTTGGAGTGAAATATGGTATTCAATTTGTGTACAATGGGGTGTGGAAAGGACGAAGTTAATCTACCATCAATCAACTTGTCATTAATCATTAGTCAAATTATATGAATGTTTAAAAATTGTGACCTATTTATTACAAAATTGACTATTTATGAATTGTTATAAAAAGGTATATTTGCATTTTGTTGTCATTTAAAACAAAGCTTGCTTATTCAAACTAGTCTTTCCGGAAAATTCACTTATTTTTATAATTTCATGTAGGTATGTACAAACATATATGTACACCTAATTCATGAACCTGTCCTGGACGCTGGACTATTCCGAATTTTGATTTATTTTTGGGGTCAGAATGCATGCATATTTCGCATTAAATAAAGTTTGAGAGTGGCAGTGGGTAACATTACTACAACCCGGGTATAGGAGGGACCATGCATAAAGCATGCAATACCTGTAAATTTGAAGATATACGGGATAAAATAAATATTATAGACATCTTTCCCATTTTAATTATGATATGGCATCACGCAAAATGAACCACATTCTTTACGCAAGGTCTCATACTATTGTCGTCATCAAAGAATTGCATGCAATATGTATACGTCATACCGTGCAATCTGCTACTAACCCACATATTCCAGCTGACGAGCATGGAATTCTAGTTTTATTATTATTGAAGGTGCTATTTTCTGGTCGTATTTTTATAAAATTACATATATATTACCTGCATATTGTACGTATATAACTGTTAAGATTACGTATAACACTATGGACACAAAGGCGAGCGTGGAGTTAATGGAGTCAATTTTTGAGAATGAATTGGTTTGTGCCCAATATTTAGTTCTGTTTCATATATTAAAAATTAAATAATTATATCGGTACTAATTTTCCCTTCTTTCATGTGTATATGTAGTTGCTGGCAAACATATTCTCCTGGTTGGACCTGGACACGATTAAAATAGTTCGTCTCATTAACACAAAATGGGAAAGCGTCGCACGGAAAAGGTTTTCTGAAATTAGTCTGGTACGAAATATTTTTCACAGCCATTTTAGTAACTGTTTATCTACCCATATGGATGTCTTTTTCGTTTTTATAAAACACTCGACGTGGTGAATGTTTTCATGGCGTCAGAAATCCTATGAAGTTTAGAATGAAGCAATTCGACGTGAATTCGAACGTAGGCCTTGGTAACATCGTAAAATCCGCAAAATCCGTAAACTTGCAAACTTTTACAAATATTTCCGAGGAAAACTGGCTTACAGACTTTTGTAAACTTACTCAGACTTAGGGCATCGTTTTATTTTATGAAAGTTTGCAAAATAGTTTTACAAAATTTACGCATTTTACAAAGTTACAAATGACTGCATGCGTGAATTGCCTCATTGCAATTTGAGGTCAGCAGGTACACTTAATTATTACCATTCGTTACCAAGCGGTCGAGCCCGAGGAAACCCCTATGTTATTAATTTACAAAAAACAAAAGAACAAATCTGTACTTTTGAAATGTGGGATTAATCACTAATTACTTTATTTGCAGGTTTTTGTTCGCCTGAAGTTCGACTTAAGCTCCGCCAATACCCGGATAAAATTGGACCTTAACAACAAGCCCTTTCTTACCTTGTGGTTAGACGATGGCAATGATATCATAACACCACTCTACGATCAACTCGCACCTTTCAAAAATTTTAAATTGGTGTTTACAATTTATGCGGAAACAGTAATCAGCGATGAAAGGATGGAAGAAGCGTATTTTTGTGAGGGCATTTTTTTATTTTGATGTGCATGCATCCAAAATTAGAATCTGGAAAATGAAAAAATATACACTTTGTAATTTAAATTTCTAATCCGTGAATTATTTGCAGGTTTGAACCAGCTTATACGATACTTGTGGCGTCCAAATGGGTCCCTAACGCATTCCATGGGGTTCTTTCAAAATACGTCTAAGGATTTATTACGTTCGATTATTGACGGATACAATGCCTTTTCACACGTGGAAATTGAGGCAGGAGAATACGTCTGGTTTAGTAAGAAAAATATATGTATAAGGCGTACTCACGACAAGGTGTTATTTAACAAATTTACGAAGTTCAAAAAATGTATTTCGTAGGGGGATCAGCAAAATATGGGTTTCACAAAACTACAAAAACCTTGTTATTCTATTTTATTTTGGTGTCCGTTGAGCTATCTAATTTCTATTTCTTGTGCTAAAGAGGGTGAGTTTGCGAAATAAAAGCATGCCAAGTTTCTTATTCTGGGCAAATTTCTGGGCAAAAAAATCCCAACTTTGCAAGGTATTTTGCTAAGGATAAGCTCAATTTTCAATTTACATACCTAAGTACATATGCGAGGTATGTTGTCTTGAGTACGTCCATAAATTAGTAAACTTCGTAATACCAGCTTAAAAACTTTATGATTCATTATTTGTACAGTTAATACTTCCGACCTTCCAAAGATGATTTGTCACACGATAAGAATTAATCCTACCACGTTTCCTCTCACAAATGTATCCAACGTGTTTTCGCATTATGTGAATACGAAAAAAATCATTTTCGAGGACGCGTCTTTAATCAATTTAGACCAGGTGGTCCGAGCCATTATTGGAACAGGGGAACAATTCGGTAAACTGGAGGAAATCGATGTAACGATGAAAATGAACTTTAATGTAAGTCACGGTAATGTGGAAACATTCAATTTTGCGTTGTATTTTTAAATTAATTTGTATTTTTATTTCAGCAACTCGCAGCCCTTGCAGGACTGCGTGGGTTAAAAAGATTGAAAATACGAATTAATGATACGATTATATCGGAAAGTCCAATGCCAGCATTGCAGGAATGCATCACGAAACATGCCGCAACGCTGGAGTTTTTGCATTTGGAGTGGATGAGATGCAGGGTTACGTCGGAATTAAGTAAACTTGATTCCATTGAATTCCAAAAATTAAGGAAGCTTTACTTCGGAAAAAATTTGCTATTCGAGGACGTTGCGGAACACGAGGTTGACCTTTTCGATCTGCATGTGGCAATTCAGGTGTGTAAATATCTCTTTCAATTCAAAACTGTAAAGCTACATTGTTTACGATATTACAAAACTCTGAATCTCATGAAATTGCAAATTGGAAATATGTATGCTATTTTGCATCCTTTGAGGGATCGTAAAATAAAATGAGTTATTTTTTGTGCAGAACGGGACTTTACGTAAAAATTTCCCGGTATTGAAAATGATCGAAATCATGGAACCATCGGAGACGTTCTATCCAGTTTTGAATTCAAGCAATATTTCCGAACTTGGAGTGAAATATGGCATTCAAGTCATGTATAATGGGGCTTTGAGAGGGTGAAATTAATCATCCATGAATTTTACGAAAGCTTGTCGAAGTTATCAAGCACCAAAAGTATAAATACAGTATTTTTTGTTAGTTAAGAACGTGTTTAATTTAATTAAAAATATTTTTCTGCTGTGCAAAACTACTTAATTAAACTGCAAATTCCACAAAGATGTATTTCACTTTGCTTTAACAGTACAAAATATGTATGTAAAGTAATTAGAACATCGGCAATATCTTAGGTCAAACAGTTCCTATCTCACAAAGATAACATAACTTTATGTAATCAATGGTAGGATATTAGCAAGACCAAAACATGGCACAAACTACTAAACCGTATGCATACACCGCAATTGATATTGTAAACATTATTCTCTATAGATAAACTTGGAGCTGGGATATGTCTACATAAATATATACATAGATCAAAGCTACATACGTATGTAGTGGAATGCAGTGTTGAAATTGAAAATAAATAAATTGGAAACGTGCACCCACACAAAGAATAAAATAATTTGCTGATTATTTACAGTAATAAATATAGTTTTGAATATCTGGCGAAGCCTGTTTGTCCCACAGAGTCGCAAAATTGTCTAAAAGTCAAGCAACACTGGTTCCTTTTAACGTGTAAAATTTCATCATGAGTCATGAAATGATTTTCCCAATACTTCTCCGCCTGTTTAATGGTTTTACTCTTAGGATTAAGCGGATCAGGTGAAAGAGATAATATTTGGCTAATCTCCTCTAAAATATTTCAATTGGGTTAAAGTATGCAATCGAAAACAAATTAAGTGATATGTGCATGGATAATAAATTGCTGTCGTTCGTAGTAAATATGTATGTATGTATGTATTTATTTACTAAATATGGTTTCATACTTAGGTTTTTTTTGCACTTCACGATGTTCTTCGTCAGCATTGATCAAATAAATCGAATGATTCCATAATCGAATGATAAAGAGCTAAAAATACCATTTTGCGCACGACATCACGATAAAGGTCGTCAGTTATTTATTTATAAGGTTAACTAATTGGGATATGTCCGACCATTCTTTGGACAAGTTTCGCAAACGTATCATACTGTTGACCGTAGCTTCTTTAGTAAATTAAAACTCTGATGGAAAATTAATTCGTGATGTTTAGAATGATTTCATAAAATGTACTGTGACAAATTGGATGTATGATAATATTCATGCAGGAGATGATCTGCAAAAATGATTCGATCAAGCTGCGCAATTAAGACTCGTTAGAAAATATATGACATTGATACATATCTGTAAGCTGATAAGCCAAGTCGATTTTCACGAATCTACTTACTCCATAAGTCGCTTATTACATATGAATAACTGGTTAATGCCGGATGAATTAATGGTTAAGTTAAACTAAACATAAACACTATCAATCCATAACACTCCCGTCTTGTCCATGAAGATAGATATGCAAATACACATTTGCATATGTACCAACTAAATAAGAGGGGAGTCATCCAGACACTGAAATTCAGTCAGATTTGAGCACTTTCTGTCTCTCCGTCTCGTTCATAAAATCGTTCCACGATACTTAATCTTAAAAAATGGCAAACTTGAAAATTGAGAAGGTGGAAGTGACCGATATTCGATTTCCAACTTCGTTGGAGGGTCATGGCTCTGACGCCATGCACACGGATCCCGACTATTCGTGCGCCTATGTGACAATTCATCTCTCTAAAACCGACTTGAAGGGATACGGGCTCACGTTTACGTGCGGAAGGGGCACAGAAATTGGTGAGAAATCCAGGCTAAACTTTAGATAACATTTTCAGAAACATATTTTTATATATGTAAATAATTTTCAGTGGTCCAAGCCGTAAAAACTATGAGCTATTTGGTCGAGGGTGAAAACTGCCACGACATTTGGAATGATTTTGCCGGCTTTTATCGGAAACTGACCAGTGAATCTCAACTGCGGTGGGTTGGACCGGAAAAAGGCGTGGTACACTTGGCGACAGGTGAGTGTCACTTGTATAATTTGTACCTTTTATCTTGTATGAATGAATCATTAATTAATCAATCACTTGGCGACAGGTGCTATAATAAATGCACTGTGGGATGTGTGGGCTCGATACGAGAATAAACCGCTTTGGAAGCTGCTGGTTGACCTTTCTCCGGAAAAATTGGTTTCGACCATCGATTTTCGTTATATTAGAGACGTCTTGAGTCCGGAAGAGTGTATAAGCATGCTTAAAGAAAAGGGAAAAGAACAGGCGGACAGAGAAAAGGAGATTTGCACGACGGGATATCCAGCATACACGACGTAGGTGTAAAAACAATTATTGATCAGAATTTCAGAAGCCGAAACTTGTTGTAATCATTCCATATATTTAATTGAAAATATGCAGGTCTGTCGGATGGCTGGGTTATACTGATGACAATATAAAGAAACTTTGCCAGGAATATTTGGACAAAGGTTTCACGTCGTTCAAGGTCAAGGTGGGTCAATGCTTGGAAGATGATAAGCGAAGATGTAACATGGTCCGGAGCGCGATTGGCCCCAAGAATAATTTGGTAATAAATACATAAATATGTACTCCACAAACAGAAGGAATTGTTCTTGTGTTTTCACCCTTTTGCTACATTCTTTTTGCAACGATTTATTTATTACAAAAGAACTTATGTATGTACTCACAACGTCTCCTGTCTAATTAGATGATTGATGCCAATCAGCGATGGGAAGTACCAGAAGCCATTGAGTGGGTGACAGCTCTCAAAGAATATAAACCTTTGGTGAGTTACATATTATGTTTAAGAAAGAATGAATTAAACATTTACACGTTTTCATTCGCAAAAAATTATAAAATCGTAGTGGATTGAGGAACCCACATCCCCAGACGATGTCCTTGGACACGCAACGATCGCCAAGGTTGGATGATAACCACTTACATAAATGCGTGCTATGCATAAATAAAACGAAATAGTGATTTATTGACCTTATCGACAGGCTCTGAGACCATTGGGGATCAACGTTGCGACCGGAGAGATGTGTCAAAATCGAGTAATTTTCAAGCAACTATTGCAATCCAATGCTATTGCTTATGCTCAAATTGATTCCTGCCGAGTTGGAGGGGTGAATGAAAATTTGTCCATTTACTTCATGTGCAAGAAATTTGGCGTCCCTGTCTGCCCCCACGCTGGAGGAGTTGGTCTCTGTGAATTAGGTGGGTCTCTCTTATACATAGATTATGAGTACAATTCAGTTTCAAAGAGGGTTTCATGATTCCTTCGCATCCTTAGCCTTCTTCGTACCGTAAAATAATTTACCACGATTACGCGAGTTTGTTGGTATGGTAAGATTTTGTCATCAAAAATCAGTTTTACGATGCTTGACCCCTCGTTTTTTCTTCGTAAACTATTTTATGATACGACGAAATAATGAATACCCTCCAAGTGGGTAGTCAAAAAAAACTTAAAAATAAATTTGACTTGCAGTTCAACATCTGCAGTTCTGGGATTACCTTTCTTTAAGTGGGGAAAAGGAAAATCGGATGATTGAATGGGTTGACCATCTCCACGAACACTTTGTCACACCCATCACGGTCATCAACGGAAAGTATATTGCTCCAAAGGTGGGTTGAACAGAGAACAGAAATACATAGCACTGTGTGGTTTATGAAATGTTAATGAAATAGATATTTATGCATTGCATTTTTTCTGCAACCATTTACAGGTGCCTGGTTTTAGCAGCGAAATGAAAGAAGAATCGATTGCATACTACCAATTTCCAAAAGGAACTTATTGGGAGAATCGTGCCAATCCGGACCACATTATGCTCGCCCAATAAAAATTATGTGACATTAATTGCACAAAAAATGATTAAAATACATTTCACTAGTATGTATTTGGAAGCATTTGGAAGAATTTGACCTGGGTTGGAATAAATTATTTAATGGGAAGTATTTGAAAGCTTCGATTATGTCTTTTTCCATTTATGGCAAATTAACCAAACCATTAAATAATCACAATCATAAAATAATCATAATAAGTCGGACTGATCTTCATTATAAACAATTTCTGCTGTATCATGAATTTGTCAATAAATCAAATCAATTAATTTATAATTTCTTTGTGAACTAAGACAAACAGCAATTTAGGAAGTCGTGTTTCCTAACAAATTTTTCATATCACTTGTTAAAACATGTATGTACAGATACCTATGTACATATTTTGAAATTTGAAATTCTCCTCCTTTGCAGTTATAAATATGAATTAAAAATCATGGAGTATAGAAGTATGTAAATATGTATGTATCTACGATATATTTAATTCATTTGTAAAATTATTTATTTAAAACCAGTGTTCTAGTAAATTTAAATAGCAACTATTTCGAAATTCATTTAGTCCGTAGGTTTTTGCCACGTCGTCGTCAAAATTATTTTCCCCAGGGGACGGGGGCGCTGCCACTTCCGCATCTGGAGCAAGTGCATGTCTCCCCGTTGCAGTATCCGGTCGCGCAGTTTTGCGCATAGCATGACCCCACACAAGCCCAACGTCCTCCCCAACGGCAAGTCCCCAATTGGGGTGCGGCCTGAAGTGGAAAAATTTAATGTAAAAATTATTGTATTGAAAATTACAACTTTTATCCGTTAACTATGGATTTTCTGAGCAAAATTACGATTTATTTGATTGTACATGCATTTACCTCGGTTGGAGTAAATGTCGCAATTGCGACGATGAGTAATAGCCCGAAAATAACTGAAGATTGTTTCATTTTGAGAATTTCTTGGGAGTTTACTTACTTCATGAAAATGGTAGATTTGTTGAATAATGAAATATGCGCTCGAGATGTTCCTTTTATATGTGTGTCTTCTAGGGGAATAAGTGTGCAAATCAAATCATGCGAATTTAACTTCATTATGAAATTCTGTTAAATGTGGCTGGAATTTGATGCGATTAGAATGTGTTGACCATTGATTAAATTTAGACTACGCAGAAAGTAAACTTGAAAAAATCTGTAATTCCAAGAATTTTGGTATCTACATGGAAAAAGATGGTAAGTATGTATAAATGTAAGAGTGTTTATTTTGGTTCAGACCAGTAAATAGTTATATAATTAAATACTTAAATATATGTACATACGTACCTCTACGCATTTATTTTTGTATCAACAAATATGCATATCAGTATTGCAGGTCCTTGGGTGACCATGAATCTTCTTGGTGTGTTGACAACTCTCATTTCCATGCCAATAAAATTCGCTGAATACTGGATGAAAAGATGAGCACATATTTGTTTATATTTATTTCGATATAAAACGACTACACTAAATTTCATATAACTACATTGAGGGTGTTCATTATTTCTTCATATCCTTAGCTTTCTTCGTATCGGGGGTGGGGGTGGAATTATAAATGCCGCCAACCCCAAGGAGTTGCTTGTTCCCGATTTTTTTTAAATTATGCGACTTGCCCAAAATGCAACCATAAATTAAGTCATAAACGATAGTAGATATTTTAAAAAGCACTAATTGCTTTATTTTTCAAGTATGATTGTGCAAAATTTTCATAAATTCTACGCGTGTCATATAGATACATATGACCATGATCTTAATGTTTTTCAAAGTTACGACGCAAAATTCTAAAGTATAAAAATTATTAAATACATTTACATATTACAATCCTGCTCTAAATATTGTCATGATAATTAGAAAAAAGGTCCAAATTTCTACCCAATTTTCCTCCATACCATCTGTCCCCACTGTAAATATGTAGATAAATACGTCCCCACTAACAATGGAGGTCTTCCAACGTATGCTTACGATTTTGACCAATTTAGTGACAATCGATCACAAATTTGAGTAGTATAAAACGTGCATTTGGTACTATCTGCCAATGCTCAAGTTTAACGGAGATATTTGCATAAAAGAGAGAAGAAAACGCACCCCCGAGGCTGGCAAATTCTTCATTTTCCAAATTTGCTGCGCATTTTTCTCCTCTTCGGATGCAATATCTCTGCCAAACCGCGTGTTGGCAGATAGTACCAAATGCACGTTTTATACAACTCAAATTTGTGATTGATTGACTCTAATCCTAAGTTGGTCGAAATCTGTGAGCTGAGCACACGTTGGGAGACCTCCATTGAAAGTCGTAGTAGAGCAATAATTATTTATTCTTGGACAAACAATAAATAAGGAAAGTTTTACCATAATTCAAACCCATTTTATATTTCACTGGCCTATTTACATATTTATTTTGCAAGTATCCGGCACATGTCAAATACAATAGTTCATAAATTAATAATTCACGGAATTTGTCGATAAGTTTATATAAATTCGATTACGACCAACGTTTCAAAGTAAATTAGACAACCTGGCTACACATTTCGACGCAAATTAAATATTTACAAGATGAACTTTTTTGTAGTTCAAGTGACAACGCTTTTGCTTCTTGTGGGACTTCAGCTTGGAAATAACGTTGTCGCACAAAGTATGCAAATATACAAACAATAAGTTTAAAAAACCTGAAAACCCCTTAATGATTTTGAAATTATAATGATTTTCCATTATTCTTTGTTTTAAAATCTTTATAAAACAAATTGTAAGACGTGGCAATATTTTTTTTCTCATTGAAGATCTTACCACTGAGGGCGATAATGGCGGTCCAGAAGCATTTTATGACACAATCACCTGTGACGCTGATGAGGACGGATTAATCCGGATAGGGACCCTTGGCCTTAGAAAAGTCTACTACGCCGCACCACAAAAAGTAAGTCAACGTTTAATATAACATCTAAATACTATTTACCATCGTTTCTGGTATTACAAAACACCTGCGCAAAATTACTGCATACATAATAGTGTTTTTACAATGCCTTTAATTAGACCCGCCAAAAATCTGACAAAATGAATATAACTGCAAAAAATATAATCCTCAAAACGCTGCAAGTTTAATTCGTTGGAGCGATACTAAATAAGCTATTTTATGATATTTTTCATCATTATTGACAGTGTCCAACCATTTATGCTTCCTCGAGGCTGCTTTGAGTTTTTCATTTACAACTTTGTGTAGCGTTTAATTTTTACAATTAAGGTATGTTGAGACTTGTAATTTTACCACTAAAAAGTTGAGTCGTACACTTATGCAGGCACGAATATGTACATATATCAATCCGACTACTTATTACACCGGATGTGAATTTATGAACAACGGATTTTTTTAGCCGTGCACGCCCCCACGATGGAACTAATTGCCACAGCTTTATTACCAAATTATGTAGCATTACATAAATTTTTTATCCTAGATCTTACAGGGTAGCTACAAACCTTAACTTAAACACTTCTTTCTTTTAGTCTCCCTTCATCGAGTGTCACAGACTTTGTAGAGGAAAAAGAACTAAGCGCGGGAGGCAAATGCACTTGGCCGAGTTCCTAAATCTAGAGGAGCAGTATAATCTCAGCAATCTGACTTTTACCCACAACTGTACCGGTATTTTTCTACCAATTATGAGTAAAATGGATACAAGTTTAATTAGTTAAAATTTATACGTCATATATTATTCTAAATAAGATATTAGACAAACGGAACTCTGGGTGGGAGGGATCGCGTTGGATTACCTGTTAAGAATGCATATACGTTGAAAAAATCTCATAACTAAAAGACAGAGACGACGGTTGCGTCTCCTTGTGTGCCGAGAGATTTTTTGCTAATGAGGGGGGGCGGGGCGAACAGAGAAGCTGATTTTCATGTAAACAATGCAGGCAGTTGCATGTAAAAAGTTGCTTTGGGTTTAGAGAGTGACCGTTCCCACTCTCCAAACGGGGCATCGCGAACCAGAAAAGGAGAAAAATTTCGACTAAAACTTCTAATTTGCAGCTAATACAAAATGGATTGATTTCGTTTTGGTGGCAATAAATTCCCAAGTTTGTGCTTTACAATTGCCATGTTGCATAAATTCCATAATAAATCTCAGAGAAAAGTATTGAACTGAAACATGGACTCATATCATGTTTCAGTCCAATACTTTTCACCGAGATTTATTATGGAATTTATGCAACATGGCAATTGTAAAGCACAAACTTGGGAATTTATTGCCACCAAAACGAAATCAATCCATTTTGTATTAGCTGCAAATTAGAAGTCTTAGTGACAAAAATCATTTACATTACTGGTAAGTGGCGAGGAGAAAAAGTCAACTCGCTCACTAGGATGCCCAGACTGTTCCCTAACTCAAACTTTAAGCAACAGTCCTAGGCAAGTTCCAACCTCAAAGTGGATTTGGATTCATTCCGGAAAGTCGTTTGAAGACGGGATGGGTGCCTGGAACCCGGGCGAGCCAAACCGTGTCGTTCAACTAAACCTGGAATATGAGGCCTGCGTTATGGTCCGGCCATATTCGTATCCGTATTCTCATTACGGTCTGAATGATGCGCATTGTTCAGCAGTGCGCCCGTGCGTTTGTGAGGGCGCGATTATTTGAAATGTGAAAAGTTAAAATTGTGAAGAATACGAATATTAGGCCGGAAGAACGTATTTTAGATGTAATTAACAGTTAAAAACAATGATAAGGAAAAAATCCTAGGTGGTTTGATCGGTTGAATTCGAAATAAAAATAAATTTGACTGTAATTTAACAGTTTATAGCATAACCATACATTTGCTGTTATTTGTCGTAAATTTCCCGTAATGATGGTATACAGGGTGGTTTAAATGTCACGCTACAATGGAAAATTTTTGAAGGGGAAAGCCCTCTAAATCTCCAATAGTTACAAGATTTTGGATTGAGATTTTTATAATTATTTTCAAAACTGATGGAAAACTGATGACGAAATTCGTAAATTATTGAATTTTAGAGAGAAAATTTCGGTAACTAATGGAAATTTACGAATTTTTCCCATCGAAAAATTTTCCATTGTGGCGTGACATTTTAACCACCCTGTATATAGGCGTTTCCACCTTCGGAATTTGTATTCTTTCCAAAATGAAGGAGGTTCGTATCGCTTTTTAGGTAAAATTTAGACCTTCCTCTCCCATTTATAAAATTTTGGTTTGAATTACAGTTGTCTGAATTAAAAATCATGAAGTATGTGCAAATGATGTGTTTGTTTCACTTATAAAATTATTTATTTAAAATAAGTATTCAAATTGCTCATATTTTGTAAAGAAAAATGTGCCGAATTCAGTTGTCCATAGTTTTTGTCTCGTCTCCATAATTATTTTCCCCAGGGGACGGGAGCGCTACCACTTCCGCATCTGGAGCAAGTGCACGTCTCTCCATTACAGTATCCGGTCGCACAATTTTGCGCATAACATGACGCCACACAAGCGGCACGTCCACCCCAACGGCAAGTCCCCAATTGAGGTGCGGCCTGAAGTGTAAAATGTTGTTAAAATTATCATATTGCAAAATTTCAACTTTTATCAACTTAAACTCAGCCATAGCTTAATTGCGAATTTTCTTAACAGAAACAGAATATTACTCTTTAATCTGATTATTTGATTGTAATATGTATTTACATACCTCGGTTGGATTAAGAGTCGCAATTGCGACGATGAGTAGAAGCCCGAAAATAACTGAGAATTGTCTCATTTTAAGGAGTTTTTTCTATTTTTTTGGGAGTTGTTTTCCTTTATGAAAATGGTAGATTGCTTGAATGATGAAAATGTGAGCTCGAGATGTGCCTTTTATATAGGTGTCTTTTAAGGGAAGAAGTGTGCAAATTAAAGCATGCGAATTTAACTGCATTATGAAATTCTGTTAAATGTGGCTGGAATTCAATGATTATAATTACAGCGATTCAAATTTGTTGACAATTAGTTAAATTTATAGGAGTTTTTTGTTGACAATTAAGTTGACAGAAAGTAAGCTTGAAAAAATTTGTAATTCCATGAATTTTGATACATACATAGAAAAAGATGGTATAAAAGTAAACATGTTTATTTTGGTTCCGACCCGTAAATAGGCACATATGTACATACATACCTACATGCATTTATTTATGTACATATGTATATCTGAATTGTACATCCTTGGGTGACTGTAAATCTTCCTGGTGTGTCGACACCTATCATTTGCATGCAAATAAATTTCGCTGAATTCTGGACGAAAAGATGAACATATATTTATTTGTATTTACATATTTCTGTATAAAACGAATACATTAAATTCCGTGTAAATATACAGATTACAAAATTCATTTAATTTGAGTTGATAATTATCTCAATAATTTTTGAAAGAGCATTTCTGGTCTTATGCTTGGCCAATGAAGGAGTACAAATTAATATATCTAATTGCAGGAAGCCAGGAAAGTTCCTGAAATCTGGAAAACTTCGACGAATTTAATTATTTCAGCCAGTGATAATGATGAAACTGGTCTAAATTCATATGTACATAAAATATGATGTGACATGATATGACAGATATGACATTAAATATGTCATATCTGTTATCATGCATGATTGTCGTGTCTAAATTGGAATAATAGGGTGATATTTGAACAATCATTCAAATATGAATTTTTATGTACATTGTTGATTCTCAATTTATTAGGTGCCCCCATTAACATTTGTATGCAAAACTATCCATGCATTTAAGGAAAGTAAATTTTAAAATAAAATTTTTCACATGTGAATATAAATCTAGATATATACAAAAATGTTCATAACAAACAGGCATAATATCGCAATTTATGCACTTTCACATATTTTTACACATACCTATCCATGAAAAATAAATAATTACAAAAAAATTGGTAACTACAACACAGGAATAACCTGATACAATTCTCTTAATTTCCCCATACCAAAACTGAAAATAAAACCAAATTTACCCAACAATTGATTCCTTCTCGACAAAATATTTGCCCAAATCCTGCATAAACTTATTCCCCGCTTTAGGAAATATTTTCAAAAATCTGGAAAACTTTGTATCAATGTCGCTACCTTTTTTAAAAATCTCACACGCTGTAGAAACCATATAGGTTTGATTGTCAAATTGATCTCGGATATCAAATTCAGCCACACCCCCGCAAATCAGTTCATTATTGTTGTCAGGGAACAAAGAGTCGAAGCAACGTATCCACTCCCCTTGCCATTTGTACCCAAACATCAAACCGACTTCCCTCAATTGGGGAAAATTTGTGGAAAAGTTTAAGCTTTCTGAGTCAAAGCAAATATCAAAATTACGGTCGTCCCCATTGGGTGGGTTATCCTCCTTGGGTGCATCATCGCCACGGTCGTCGTCATAAATTAGAGATGGAATGTACAGCTTGAAACGCTTCAAGTTTGGAAAAGTGGGCAACTTCCAGACACTGTTGGTCAAGTCTTTGGTGAATGAGCTTAATTCTAAGGTGAGTGATTCCAGAGTGTTGCGATATTTGGAGAGGATCGTGTACAAGTGGAGGTGTATTCGAACGTTTGCATCGTCACGGTTATCGGAATGGATATTGTACAGGGTCAGCTCTTTCAGCGGTTTGTCGAAGGTTTGCAATGACTCCAATTCTTCCTCCCCACCGGCATTTGTGACGCGCAGTTTCTTCAGGCATCTGCGAGCAAATACGTAAAGTGAGGGTTACATTCAGTGAAATATTTCAACGTTCGCAAAACAATTCTGAAACACTTGTGGAAACATGGTTTTTGAACTTGTTCAGATAAGTTTTAACTTGATGGAAAAATAATGACGGTATTCACAATTGTCTTGGTACCCTTAGTATCGTAAAATAGTTTACGAAGTAAAAAACGAGGGGTCGAGCTTCGTAAACATCGTGTGTAGGCTTACTAAAGTGATTTTTGACTGCAAAATCTTACAACACTTACAAAATCTCGGAACCGTCGTAACTTATTTTACGACACAAAGAATACCAAGGAGGATATGAAGGAATAATGAATGCTCTCAATGTTTTTCTTATCCTGTGAATTCGATCGTTAGATAACTTAGTGAAAAAATGTTCGCAAAATAATGCTATAAAATTTGTTGGAAAATTATTTGCGAACTTGGCCATATCCACGGCCAGTTTCTGGTTAATAGCAAAATACTCCATGTATTTAGTATCCTAAATATCTACTTATAAATATCTCTGTCTAACTTAAAGCAAAAAAAATTTTGCAATAAAAATTCGCAACGTACTTTAGTAATTCTGTCCCCACATTTTTTAAACAAGATGGATTAGCCACGGAAAGTTCCTCCACTTCTGGGAACGCTCTGAACATATTGGTCAATCGCTCCATCCATTCTTCCCTAATCTCGTTTTTGATATCCAATTTTTTGACGCCGAATAATTTCTTGTCCTTCAAGAAATCCTGAGTAATATGTTCCAACTCGGCCCTAGGTGGTCCAAACCCCAAGTCATACTCCAGGTCAAATTCTACGTGTGTCACACTCTTGGAAACATTTAGGAGAATATCTTCCAAAAATTCGTATTGACAACTTCGCAAAATATGACCAGAAAATTTTAGTCTTTTCAGAAAAGTGAATTCTTTTACTAATTCGATACTCTGCGAAAATGCCCAATCGCTGAAGTTCTCAGTGTATGTATAATATCCAAAATTAATATCTAAATAAAATGGATTTCCAAATTTAGCCATTTCTCTGACACGTTTTTCCGTCCTTTTGACCTCTCTCTTATTTCGAATTATTTTGCAATCAAAGCTGATCCTGGTTTCGCTTTTGAGAACGGGGCTGGCTCCAGCAGCCCACATTTTAGAAACGAGGCGACAGTTCTTAATGTCAGGAAGAGTCAGTCATGAACAAATGGAGGAGACGACCTGAAAATTTGAGAGGAATTAATTATTTGACTTTTGTACGCATATTTATATGTAAATGTGGGGTTTAAAGTATTTACATACATCTATGTTGAGGGGAACGTGGTTAGTAACTTCTTCTTGAGGGGTCGACATTGCTAAATAATTTTGTGCGAACAATTTGAGGTATGTGATTTTTGCAATTGTGATTACTGGGAAGATTGTCTGCAAAAAAATTAGTAGAATTAAATCAATGTAAAGTAACATATTATCTTGCGGATGATAAATATATTTGCGTAAAAATATTATGTAACATGCAATATTACGTAATTTGACCTCCTCAAAATTAATGCATTAGTGTATAATTCGATAATCTCGTAAGCACTTAAAAATGAAAACTGTAATATCTCTCAAAAATGTACAAATACAATTCTGAATTTTTAGGTGGAAATATATTTATGCCGGATGTTTATGCACATGAGTATATACGTACTTATATGTATATGTATGACATTAAAGCATAATACTTAATTTAATTTACCTTGTTAACAGCTGCACAATGTTTATCCGTTAAGACGTTTTCAAATTTATGTAGATATACTAATTAAAATTCGATTTTTTTGCGAAAAATAGGGAGGGAAACAGATTACAGCCGGGTACGCACATACGTATTTAAGTTTAGCAATGAAACTCATTGGCAGTTATTTGTTAACATTACATTTATTACATATGTATGAATACACAGCGTATTTACATATAACGGATGTACGCAGATACTTACAACGACCATTCGTCACGCTTCCTTGATCTCAGGATATTCACCCTGAAGAAAAAATTGGATCAATCCACCTCCACAACAGGACATTCGCACGACGATTTGATTTCATAGCAACAAGTATCCAGAATTATACAGTGGAAGGCAGCAAATTCCTTACAATTACTTACTTGTTAGTATGTATGCATGTAAATGAGTACGTTTTATGATGCAAACACGAAACACTTTCCCCTTCTCTCGGGACCTTTATTACAACCTTTATTATTTTATTTATGTATTAGGACCAAACGATGAGGATTTCAGAAATATTTTCTAACATGAAAGATGATAATTTTGAATAAATACTTTTACTGCAAAAGAATAATGTAAAGCATTGTAAAAGATTTACAACACTTTCGACTATCGACATGCACAAATTAAATGTGTACATATATTTCGTAAATTTCTGCATGAGTGAGACGAAATGTGCAAAATTTACAAATTTAACTAAGACATATCGTGGATAACCTTGCCAAACTAATCAACCCTATCTTTAAAGATAACCTTGTACGGTTCCGGAGTCAATAGGATCCCCATTTTCGGTGATAAGCCAGGATTGGCCTTGGCATCATTTGGGTCAAACTTGATCTCGAACCTTTGGCAGATGTTGGTCGTATAGAGGAAAAGGGTGTCCCGCGCCAACGTTTCGCCGGCGCATTGTCGCCTCCCAATCGAGAAAGGAATAATGGCTTCGTGTTTCTTAAACGTTTTTCCATCCGGACTAAGAAAACGTTCTGGTCGGAAATTCTTCGGATCGCCCCAGATTTTCGTGCTGTGATGAATCCCGTGCTGATTTGCCATGATTCCGGTACCTTTGGGGAAGGCGTATCCTTTGTAAACCACGTCGAAAAGGGCTCGATGCGGTACTCCGACGGGGACGATGGAGGAAAAACGAAGCACTTCGGCAAGAAAGGCTTCTGCGTATGGGAGGCTGAAATGAATAATTTCACAAAATTTAAAAAATTTGGCTAGCTCTGTTTAAGTTTGAGAAGTTAAAATAGGAGTACTGTGTCAAATATGTTTTTTCGGATCCCCTTTTTTAGTGGACTTTTTGAGTTTTACTAATTTAATATATGTATGTATGATTTGCGATGTTAAATAACACGTTGTTGTGAGTACGCCCAATATAATAAGTAGTTAAATATCGCGTCAAATTTAAGTTCATAATCACATAAACATACTCACTTTGGCCTATCCGACAAACCACAGTGTCTCGAATTTCCAACTACCCTGTCAATCTCCTCCTGTAATTTTTTCTGTACTTCGGGAAACGTCGACAAGTAGAGAAATATCCAAGAAAGCGTCGTCGACGAGGTTTCTGATCCAGCTTCAAACAAGTCTTTAATAACACCTGTTAGCTGTCGATCTAAAAAAATTAAAAACGGGTAGAAATTTCGAATTATGAAGATAAATCTAGACGAAAATTTATATACATACATCCAACTTCCTTAAAAAATGGAGATTCCTCATCCTTGCAGGCATAAATTTCTTTTAAAAAGACGTCCACAAAATCTCTGTTGCATTATTACGATATCAAAAAAATTATTGTTGGGAAGTTTTTAAATTATTTACCTCGGACTATCTTCCGCATAATTTTCCCTGTGTTCTTGTACCGTTGAGGAAAAGAGGACCTTGAATCGCTCCAAGTGGTTCCTCCACAAGACGAGTCCTTTAAATCCTAAATACTTCAACCATGGCAGCATTATTTCCGGTCCCATCCTTTTCGCCAATTCTTCCATTGTTCTAAAAAAATTCAAAAATTCGTATCATAATTTTATACCCATTTGAAATTAAAGTTGGGAAATTTCGATAAATTGCATCAATCTCAGTTTTATGTTCTCACTCAGTCAAATCCTTCGTCAACTTCAAAATTGCTGGGTCATCATGTTTATATCGCTTTCCAGAGACGACTGTCCACAACGAGTTGACCACAGCGACGGACATCCGCTCCTTAATATTCGTGACAGGAAGACCTTCCTTGGACTTCATCCAGTCCAAAATTTCTTCAAGCTCGTCCATGATCAAAGCTTCCATCGTGCTCTTGCCAAAACCAAAATCTCGCAGTTGTCGGAGTGTGAATCTTCTGAGGCCCTCCCAGTGTCGCCCTTCCGTATTAATCACGCCTGAAAAGTAATACAGGGGTAAAATTAATTGAAAATTTGCAACCCTTTTGTAAGTAATCTGGTAAAATAAGCATGTCAACAAAGTTTTGCAACATGTACATATATAAATATCTGTATTGGGCGACGGCCCTTATTTTGCAAGTAATTAGATAATTAACCCAGTCTTTAACAGCTTAGTAAAATCCGTAAGCTTACAAACTTTTACAAATATTTCGAAATATTTCTTAGAAAAATTAGCTCGATAATTTTTATAACTTTACAAATACTCAGATCCAGGGGGTCTGTTTACTGATTTTGCAAAAGTTTGCAAAATTATTTTACAAAATTTTCAGATTTGAATGTAAAGGGTTTTGCAAAATTGTGGGAATTTCATAAAATTTCCGCAAAATTACAAAAATTACATGCTTAATTGAGGAGATTTTCAAACCACACATTACCATGCATTTGTCCATTTGTATACAAGTCGTTCACACCCCCGGCAGGATTCATCCGTCCTGCGAAGGCTGGTTCTTGGGAGAACATTTCCTTAACCATTTTCAAGTCGGAGACGATCACCACGCTACAAAAATTAAGCAAATATATGTATATTTTTTGTAACCTTAATATTATATTTATTTTATAAATTTGGAAAATTTGATTATTGATTAACCACTTCAACCCTAGGAGACGAGTTTTTTCATACCTTTCACCCCTAGTAACCGCGAATTTTTACCTCCCTTGACCCCGAAATTTTTATCTACTGCATGACGTTAATTCCTGGGCCATGAATTAAAAAATGTTGTTCCCACCGGAATTATTCTGGACACTTTTTTATGAAAATTGATGTGAATAACCTTTCAAGAAGGTATTTTGAGTTGTAATTTGCATTTTTGAGCTGTGGCGAACCACCAATGTTTATAGCCGAAAATAGCCAACACGCCGAATTTTAAAAATGATTGTAATTGCATGAAAAGTTAGACAAGCATGGAGTAATACTTGCATAATAGTACGTAAACTCGCAAATATTGATTATAGCGCATAAAGTGCCTTAGGAGCCGATTTTGGGCGGGAAAACCAAAAATCCTTACAATGACTTTAAATAGACAGCAATGACAATGAATAATTATCCCGTGAGAGGAAATTGCTCGAACATAGACTATGGCGCATCTGGTGAATAGAAATCAATTTTAAGCGGGAAAATTAAATTCTACTAATTCCTGGCAATCTCTCAATTTTTAATTTTCCCGCCCAAAAGATATTTCAGCGGCACCCGGTACGTAATCATTAATTTTGACGTAGTTTACCCTACCGGCAAGATTATTTGTGGTATATAATTAAATCCATGCAATGATGCAATTCATCAAACTTTTAGTTTTCTCGCCCAAAACGCCCATTTGTGCTACATGCGAGCAAAACAATTTCTCTAATCTTATCGTAAAGCGTTGTTGAAATAAATCGGTGTCGAAATTTCCTTGCAAAAAACAGTTTTCACAACTCGGCGTGTTGGCTAGATATAGCCACTTGGCTATAAATTTATTTTGCATTCCTTTCCAATGTTATTTCCTAAGAGACAATTTATCTTCCCGCCTAAAGGGCGGGTTGTTGACTCATAACTAACTCTTGCTTTGCTTTGCTTGGAGAGGCAATGACCTAATTTTTTTCCGGATACGACACATAGTCGTAGACCGGTGTGAACGGAAAATACGCCACATAGTCGTATCCGTTGTCAAGGGTCAATACGACACATCGTCGTATTCCGGTGCCAAGGGAACTTACGCCACATGGTCGTATTCGGTGTAAAGGTCAAATACGCCACATAGTCGTTATAGGGGCGAAGTGGTTAATTACTCTTGTAAACTGAATTGCAAATGTGTACAATTATTAGCATGAAAAAAATCATTGAAAAAATTTTATTACTTTTGATACAACATTTTCACTGAGTAAACATCCCCATATTCTTCCGCCCACTTGACGAATGACATGAAAGGATTCTTCTTCTCGAGCTGGAGAACATTTCCGAGGAATGGAAGCCCTCGTGGACCTGGAGAAATGTACATAAAACATCAATATCTACATACAGACCTTCAAAATCATACAATCCCGCCGAAATTTGGTTTGGACATTGCAAATTACTAGAAACAAATTTGGAAGTATCGATTTTACACTTGACTGTACAATTACAATTACGGACACTAATGTACTATTTTATACTATACTATTTACTGAAATGTACTATTGTGTCCATTATCAAAATGGTTCAAGCCAAACACATGTCGTCGAGGGTACCAGCACATGGAAAGCTTTATGGCTTGATGTTTTTTTTATAAATACTTCTTTCACTTAATAGATTTTTCATAGGATTGTTTCTATAAGTATTTTTATTGCACATAAATACATATATGTATACCTAAAAAAGTGCATATGTTATGCAAATAATATAAAATACATCTATGTATTTTTATTATCTGGTCAGACCAGACCACTGCACATTAATTTTTTTTGCAACCTTAACAAAACCCATGAGACATTTCTCTGATGTTTTAATAAGCCTTTTCGGTACCTACATATGTAGCTTCACAAGTAGGCCTTGAAAATTGTTCCGTGCTAAAAAAAAATAATGCTGGAGTTTTTATGGCTTGCCGATACTTGTTTTTGATCAGTTTAATGAAAAACGCGGAGGAGCAAAGACGTGAATTTTATCCTTTCCTAAAGAAACCATACTTATTTCTACCTTTTTTAGAGGATACAAAGTTTCGTGTTCAGGAATACGTAAGTGCACAATGGAGTGGGATAAGCTGGTCTTTGTATGTATTTGCGGCTGCCTGCCTATTGATGACGACAACAGGGAGGGCATGCGTTTGGAATTCCTAGGGGTAAATTACGTAATATTAACCAATTAAGACAGATTCCAGACACGAGACAAAAGCGGTAGTTAAAGTTATATAACTATTATGTGCATTTCAACCGATTACGATTACAAACCGGAACTATGAGTGGACAGCGACAGATTAGTCTCTCCGATCAATTAACTGGAGTTTTTTTCTTCCCACAAAAAAATACGCAAGTCAATTGTAGTTATAGAGCTGTCGTTTCTCTTTAAAAGTAAAATCTTAGAAAAAATGATAATAATCAATTACAATCAAAAACGATCATGTATCATTTTTTGCAAGAAATAATCTAATCGCTAATGGAGAATTTGGATCAAGAATTGATTGTAATCCACATACATACTCGCTAACCTTGATGACTGCTAAAATTAGCCCCCATATATTTATCTTTAAAGATATTGTTACTAAGCGAAATTAAGTATTATGAATAATTTGCAGTGGGGAGGTGTTACTCAGGCTGGGGAATCGTTTGAGCATGAGAGCCCCACAGGAATGTGCACCTGCGTTGCACAAGAGCAAGAGTGTAATACTGTTCTTTTTGTTCGGACTTGCACTCCAAAGACGAGCAAATGTACCGCTAAGGTGACGGAATAGCTTCGAATCAAACAATTTTAGTGGTAAACTAATCTTAAAACTGTTTTCAAGCCAAGTTTGAATGGCTCTTTATTTATAGATAGATAATTTTTATTAATCGGAAGCATACATATTATAATTTGTAGCAATTAAGCGTTGAATAAAAGTTTATCCAAATTAAATATGCATGTACATATCTGTCTGTTTGGTTTAGCCTAATTTACATTTCTTTGTCATGTATTGTCTCGTAGAATAGTGTATGACTGTTATTTCAACATTTTAAGTCAAATACAGACAAGCATTTCTCATCTCGCCATCTCACCTGGGGGTCTTATTCCATCCAGCGTTCCTTTTTTACTCCGCTTTATTACTTTGTAATAAAATAAAACTGCCACAACGCCGCAAACAATGAGTAATGGAAATGACAACGCCACCATTTTATGTATGTATTTAAATCCGTAAAATTCACTTTCAATTCACAAACGAAACGACAAGTTCTCACACATAAAAATTATAGTGTGTACTTTTCAGTTTGGATGGAAATAAACTGTGATAAAAACTCTTCTCTTCCATCAGTCAACTAACTAAAGTTTAAACTCAGACTTGCATAATATGTATAAATCTGCATGGGAACGGGTGCAAGTATATACAGACATCGGTTTGAACCGTGCAAAGAGCATGTCATCGATTCTACAGGGGTGTTTTGTTTGGACAAGGAATTCCATTATATTCATGCTGTTTTTATCACAAATCTCATATTGGAGTCAAAAATTTCCATCACGTACTTTATGCACTGTCCATTACGGTAAAAAAGATCCATACATTAATCAACCTTGAAGCCATGCACTCTCTCATCGTCAGTGTGATGATGGCTCGTGTCGCTTAATAAGTAAACTTGACCATGAGATCAAACAACTCGAATTTGCCAAAAAAATCCTCTGCCCAGAGACCTGTTCCGTTGGAAAATTGTGTTTTCAAGCCGTTTTTAAGCCGCAATTTAAATATAAATGACAATTTGGTGAATTGCAGTTGTACGTAGATATGCGTGCTTATTATGGGACTTAATTATATGTAGCTGCACATACAGTCAATGGAACAAGTATTGGCAACACCCACACAAGCTAAATAAAATTGGCTATAACTTTGGCATGCATTATCAAATTAGCATGGAAATTTGTACGCATTTAGCAAATCCAATGTAGTGTTCGATTATAATCATGTTTCTGATTTAAATCTAGTAAACATAACACAATCCTGATTATGACCCCAACGAGTCAGATGCAAGCCTGCAAAAAGTATTGGCAACATGTGGCCAAATTAATTACTCGAAACAATTTTCTTAACCATCTTCCACATTTCGTTACGGTAAGTTAATTAGGTGACAAAATATGAGGTTAGCTACATTTTAAGTCTACAGTTGTGTTGTCTGGAGCCAAAATGGCGACACCAAACGAGCTGTATTTGGCGCGGCGAGAAATAATCATGTCTCTTGCACAAAAAAGCTTTACTATCGAAAAATCAATAAGAAAACATACTTTTCCATATTTACTTTTGAATACGTAGCAAAGAAATATAAAATGACAATCTCAGTTTCTACTTTTCCATGATGCGGAAGAAAAAAGTCATCTACGCCTAAAACCTAAGGATGCCTCAAGCAACGAACCACTAGAGAGCGGAAGATTTCAGCTTCCAAATCCATGTTAAATTGGAGTATCAACTGTAGGGTCAACATATCATACAATCTGGTGATCAATCAAAAATTATGCCTTGGGGTTTCAGGCTCCAGAAGCCCGACCGACGCGAGAGTCCCCAAAGCGAACCACCTCAATAAATCGGAATGGGCTAAATATCACCCTAAATATAGTTCCGATCAATGAAAAAGGGCCTACTGGTCCGACATAGGCATATTTTACTTATTCGGAGCTCATTAATTGGTTCAAGTCTGGCGGATGCAATAAAAGACTCAGAAATACTAAAACGTTCGTATGGCAGTTTAACACATAGGTGGATCGATTATGGTTTGGGGTTAAATGACTAGGAGGCGGCGTGTTTACCTGGTCATTATCGATAAAATTATGACCAGGAAGGTGTTGTCAATCATTCCAAACGATAATTTGAAATCATTTAACAAAAACCTGACCTAGGAAAAAATTTCATATTCCAAAAATGCAGTGACCCCAAACATGTAGCCAAATTAACGATGCAAGTTTTTGGAGACCGAAAAGGTTAAGATTCTTTCGTTGGCTGCACAGTCTCCTGATGTGATTCTGATTGTCCGGGTTGAGAAAAGAGAGACCGATGGGAAACCACTAGTCGAAAAACGAGCTTGTCAAAAGTTTAAAAGAACTGTGGGCAGCCATATAAAAAACGTTATATAGGAACTTGTCGAATAAATTCCAAAGCCTATTTCTGCTCTTATTGTGTCGAGGGGAGGTGCCACGTAATACTAGAAGCACTTTGTCGCAGTAAAATTGGCATTTCGTTGCTCTATGATTTTTTAAGTTACAGGGTGCCAATACTTTTTGTGGGTTAATTTCGCAAATTTTCCAGCAAATTATTTAAAAACTGCGTTAATCTAATTTTAATCAGTAAAACATGATTATAATCGAAAACTACATTAGATTTTCTAAATGCGTACAAATTTTCATGCTAATTTGATAATGCATGGCAAAGTTATAGCCAATTTTATTTACCTTGTGTGGGTGTTGCCAATACTTGTTCCATTGACTGTAGTGGACTCGAAAGTATGCATGTATTTACAGGTACATAGACACTTCACATTAATACATATGTATCCTAGTATGCATCCTAATATCTGCACACATTACATATTCCAACAAAATTTTTACAAAATTTAATACCTTTCTTCCCAGAACGAGAATAAATTGAAATTTGTCCATCAATAAATGTCACAAATTTAAGAATATAGATATGTATGTACTTATGTACCAATTGTAATATGTACAAGTTGGTCTGTTCTACATTTTTCATCTTAATTTTTTTTACATTGTAACAAAATACCTCAATTTTGCTTATTTATATCTCGCTCGACTCGCCAGAAATGAAACCACTACTGAAACCGATATCCAGCCAATCCCCGGTAGAAATCCTCCCCAAACGAGCGGATGACTAATGTCCCACCCTCTCGTACAAATTGACCGTAACGCCACAATCACATTTGTTAACGGCATCCGGGTGAAAATTTCACGGACAATCGGTGTAATTAATTTGGTCGAGTAGAAAATTCCTGTTAATTGCATACCCATGAAAATTTCTGATAAATGTCAACAATTAAATAAAAATTTTGCATACCTGACAAGTACATTTGGGTGCATGCTATAAATATTAGAACAAATTGACTCTCCAATATTCCGTTGCATACAGTGCTGACCAAAAAACCTGAAAAATTTTGAGTAATTTTTATAGAGTGCTAATTTCATGAAAAATTTGCATATTACCGATCGTCAGGCCGCACAGAGCGGTGACATATACCAAACTGACAGCGGGTACCCATGACCCATTAATCGCCATGTCATACACGCCGCAAAGTAATCCAAAGAAAATTCCAATTTGTGCGAAGGTCATGAAACTTTGAGTCACCATGTGCGCAATGAGTCTGTGCCAGAGAGTAACGCCGATTACGTAATCCCTGTCGTCCAGTCCTGATACTTTATCCTCCATCCAGATTACTCCGAGGCCCATTGTTATTAAAAACATTAACCTTAAGATTTTCAAGAAATTTGCATAAAAATAAAAATTACAGTCTTATTTTTAGCAGTTATCAAATTTGCAAAGCTAACAAACTTTGTGTCGTGACCTTATTTAATTGCAAAGTACGATTTCACGACAAATTTTGCAAAGCTATATATAAAAATCGTCCTGCGATCCTATTTTGATTTAATTTTCGTAGATTATATATCTATAATTTCTACCGCTTGTGATCGTGAGGATGAATTATCTAGCGAAATAATTTTGCGAAATAAAAACATGTCTGTTTTCTGAATAAAATTGCAAAAACAATCCTATGCGTTTCTGGCAAAAGTTTTTCTAAATATTGTCACGCTCAATTTGCAAGAGTTGTCGTGAGTACGCCTACATAAAATTAATATTTGCATATCGTAATTAAGTATAATTAGCTCACAAAATTGGTAGACCAAGTTGCATATATGGAAGTAAGTCGAACGCTTCTGCACTCCCGTAGATCGTTTTGAACTAAAATTAAGAAAAAAATGTTTAGAAACCAAAGTATTTATGGAATGTTTAATTGTCAAATTAGGACACATACATGGAGTGGTGGCTTGATTAGATCTTCATTGATCGAGCATGAAGACAAAGCGTCTCCGACGTAAAGAATGTACTGCTCAAATATAACTTTTGTTGCCCACGCTGATATAATCCAGCCTTAAAGTAAATGCACACAATGTAAAAAATCACATGGCCAACCAAAACGATAAACCATATTTGAAAAACTGGATGTGATCGACATATCGACCATACCCAGTTTTCACGGAAAATTTGCATTAATCTAAAAGTACAAATTTAGCACATTACATAGTTGTAGATTTTGATTCGTCGGGAAGTGGCAAAAAATTGGCTTGGTCGATGGTCGACCATATCGCAAAAGAGTTGGATTGGTCAAAAATTATAAAAATATTCACACCTGATTCGGCCAAACGGACCGAGATGGTTGATCCTAGAAGCGATTCATTACTTGAAAAGTGTCGGTGGACCATTCTCTCTTTGAAATGGGTTTCGTAATCTGTCGGAAACTCAATGAGGAGCATAGTTCGTTCACAAAACATCCCGCCCACCCACAACCAGTCGATTTTCCTCCACCACTTGAGGATCCTGTCATTACCCCTGTTTTAGACGAAGAGTTGCTTCGGGCAATTTCCTCTTTTCCGCCAGGGTCCGCGGGGGGACTGGACGGAATGAGGCCCCAGATCTTGAAGGATCTCCTGGGGTGCAGTCAAGGAGAAGGGGGCGACCAACTCGCCGAAGCGATGCGGACCTTCCTCAACAAGGTCCTCAACGGTGGTGTCCCCTCAACTTTTTGCCCCCTCTTTTACGGAGCTTCCCTCACTGCCCTGAAGAAGAAGTCGGGCGGGATTCGACCCATCGCTGTGGGTAATACGTGGCGGCGCCTTGCCGCGAAGATCATTGTGGGAAGGATTACCCCTCAGTTAATCAAACATTTTTCCCCCCACCAATTGGGGGTTGAATCAAAGGCGGGGCGGAGATTGGCGCCCACGCAGCCCGAATTTGTTACGGCCACGACCACACCTCCCCAAAAGCGTTCCTGAAAATCGACTTCAGGAACGCCTTCAATGAAATTCGGCGAGACACGCTACTCCACGCCGTCCGCGACCACTTTCCCTCCATCTTTCCTTTTGTGGCGCAGTGCTACGAAAGCCCCTCGTCGCTTTTCTACGGGACCATCCCCATCCCTTCCCTCCTTGGGTGCCATCAGGGCGACCCCTTAGGCCCCGCCCTCTTCTCCCTCGTAATCCACCCCATCGTCGAAGCCATGGAAACGGAACTAAACTTATGGTACCTCGATGATGGGGCCATTGGGGACTCTCCCGAGAAGGCTTTGGCGGCCCTGGCAACCATTGCTAGGATGAGTGGTGAGGTGGGCCTTCACCTCAACCACGACAAATGTGAAGTCGGGATTCTGGGGGCGGAGCGGGAGGCCGCCATCGACATCCTGCTCCAATTCCAACAAGTTGCCCCCGGGATTCAGCTGATGTCCCCTGATTCTGCGATGCTGCTGGGCGCCCCCTTAACTAACGAAGCCTTGGGGGTGGTTCTGGCCACGAAGACGCAGCAATTGGCCACTTTCTCCCAACGACTCCTCGATCTCTCGGCTCATTCGGCCTTTTTCCTCCTGAGGGCGTCCATCTCCATCCCCCGGCTGATTTACTTTCTCCGCTGCGCACCGTCGTGGAGAAAGTTGGACGCCCTCGCCCACTACGACGCTACTCTGAAGGACGCCCTGGAAGGGATCCTCAACTGCACTCTCTCGGAGGCTGCTTGGATGTAGTCCTCCCTACCCGTGAAGGAAGGCGGCCTGGGGCTCAGGCACGCTGTGGATGTGGCGATACCGTGCTTTTTAGCGTCGGTCCACAGCGTCCTGCCCCATGTAGAACGTCTCCTTCCGGACCACCTCCATGGCACCGACATCGCCATGGCAGAGGGTGTGCAGCGGTGGACCGACCTTGACCTCACCGACCTTCCACTCGAAACCGTCAGAGGGATTCAATCGGCGTGGGAACGCCCCATACTGGACAACACTTTGTCCAAACTCTCCGAATTGGCAGTGATCCCGGAGGATACTGCCCGTCTACGTTCCCTCCGTGACAAATACGCCGGGGTGTGGCTCAACGCCCTCCCCTCTCCACAACTGGGCACCCTTCTCCCCAACGAGACCTTTCGGGTCGCAATCGCCCTCCGCCTAGGCTGCGATATCTGCGAGCCCCACAAGTGCCCGTCCGGGGCGCAGGTCACCTCCAGAGGCTACCACGGCCTCTCCTGCCGCCGAAGTAAGGGTCGTTGGTCCCGCCATGAGGCCGCCAACGACGTCATCGCAAGAGCCCTCCGGTCTGCCGAAGTACCCTGCATCAGGGAGCCCGCGGGGTGCTCCACTACGGACGGCAAGCGTCCCGACGGGATGACACTTGTCCCTTGGTCGCGGGGGAGGTCCCTTGTCTGGGGCTTCACCTGCGCGGACACATTCGCCCCCAGCTACCTCCCAGACACCGTGCGCCATCAGGGCGCTGCCGCCAGCAAGGCAGAGGACCGCAAGAGGAAGAGGTACGCTTTCCTCATGGATCGATACATTTTTGTCCCCGTTGCCATGGAGACCACGGGAGTTTGGGGCCAAGAGGGACTGGCCTTCATCCTCCAAGTTGGCCAGAGGATCGCCGCCGCAACTGGACAGTCCAACGCCGTTAACTTTTTACGCCAGCGGGTTTCGCTCGCCGCGCAACGTGGGAACGTTGCCTCGATTCTAGGTACACTTCCTCCAGGAAAGGAACTGGAGGAAGTGTACTATTTGTAGTCCGTTCTCTCTCTCTCCCATTCTTACGGACCTTTTCTGCGATTTTCTGCGTTTCTTTAAGTTAGGGACCTTTCTTGTGCGACTCTTGCGTAGTCAGCTTTTTGCGATACTTTGTGATTATTTTCGTACCAACTCTGCGAACACAGCTTATACTCTGATCAATAAAAACAAAAAATTTTTGGACGTTCGTCCTAACTTTATTTGTTGGATGCCATCGTCATACGATTTGGCGGGAATCTAAATATATATCAAGGTATGAAATACTCGCATATAGACCATTCTATTTGTTGGCGCATAATTTAAACCACGTTTACACGTAAATCCGGATAATCTATCCCAAATGTATATATTTAATCAGATCCGAATAACATACCCAAACAAATTTATCATCGAACTTGTCAAGAAAATTGCAAATCCCAATGTTTGAGAAGCATTCGTTGGAAGAGCTCAAATGATTGTTATCCTTGCAGAGTGTGAAATTGTCCGTATTGTGAACGAGACTGACTTTGACTCCACTGGGTTCTCGCCCGATGATATTTTGAATGAAGAAAACGCACATGATGGGAATCCCGAGCTGTCCTAGATAAAGCCTGACGAGTTTTCGAAAAAAATCGATAAAATAAAACACAAACCTGCATTTAAAAAATGTGTAAATCATAAAAACCTCCAATCTCTTCGATGTCGATGCCACCATTTTGAGATTAAAGCGTGGAAAATTGATGCATGGTTTCGTCTGATTTTGAAAGAATAACCTATCGCACCACTTTTGCCGGGAAGATGCACTGCAGCTAAATGCTCAGAAAATCGCTGATTATTCACGGACTCAAGATTCCTCACATTATTACGGTTAGATGTATTTTCATCAATTCGACAAAGCTGGGTGAAAACATCTGCTAATTTCGTGGATTGGTACAATGACAACAATGAAGTCGGACTGTCCTCAACTAAAAGATGACCACCTCGCAGAAATCCGATCTATAATTGGAAATATGTATGCGTAAAATATCATATTTATAAAACTATCAAGTTTTGTTTGGCTTACTTTGTCGCAAAATTTGGTTTCTTCGATATAATGGGTCGAAATTATCACGGTTTTTCCTTGTTTGGTAGAAATCTCGGTGAGGTATTCCCAGATCCTGCACATATACGAAATATATGTAAGCCTTATGTTATACAGAAGTCGCATGCATATTCCTCAGTATTGAACTTTATATAAATACCTCTGTCGCAATAAAGGGTCCAGCCCAACGCAGGGCTCATCAAGCACGAGTAGGGATGGATTATGGATCAGTGCCGCGGCCAAGGATACCCTCCGTTTCTGGCCACCACTAATTAATTGTGTAGGAATTGTATGCATATTAATTGCATACGCTACACAACGACTAATACATGCATGCATGGAACAAATTATATGTACATCCATACCTCAAGTTATGAATTACTGCGTCTAAATGATACAGGTCAAGAACTTCTGACACGAAATTGGTTCGACTCTCTATATCCTGTGCCTTCATTCCATACAACAATCCAAAATACTTTAAAGCTTCTCTGATAGTTAGGACACCTAAAAGCGCTGTCTCCTACGGTCAATTATACATGTATTAACATGAAATTTGCGTATTTACGTTTCCACGAGTTTAACTTACTTGAGGCATATATCCACAAATATGCCCAAGATTTTCTGGTCGGGGTTCATTGTAAACTGTGACTTGGCCAGCGTCAAGTTGCCGTAATCCTACGATACATGAGAGCAGCGTCGTCTTTCTATTCCCATTGTAGGAGAAAATTTTGTGAATTTTATATTTACAAGTACTTGATTTTACCGGTAATAAAATGTTAATTGCATACCCGCAACCCGTAGCACCTAAAAGACCATATCTGTTGAAAAAAATATATTATAATCTCAATTAAAGAAAATTATTACAATATTTCCTCACATTTCTCCATTGCAAACATTGAAATTGATATTTTCCAGAACCAAGTTCCCTTTTCCGAATCGCTTAAACCCATTTTTGATTGAAACAGCCATTATTCGACAAAACTATGTAACTTCTAGAACTATAATATATTGTCCGGTCTCAGGAGGAAAAATATGGCCACTTGCAAGTTGCAGCACTGGAGACAATTTCAACTAGTAAATTTTAATTGCAACGCGTATACAAGTATGCACATATGTACATACCTTGCTAAATAGTTATCCTGGACAGTAAGTACATGTGAAAAGAGTCTAGCTAGGACACTTCATCCATGCATATCTAAATATGCATTTAGTATTATCTGTTTGGGTAGTTTTGCAGGATTTCCATTGTACGAAATACATAAATAAATAGATAAGATTAATTACATACTAAATATACGCAGCAAATATATATGGATGTGTATGTACATATATAAAGTGTGAGTATTTAGTTCGTACCAAGTTTTCCTGCAAATATTTGAAAGCTCGTTACTCAAAAGCTGTCAGAGCTTCGACGCCATTTTTTTTATCAGAGGTACATACGTTAATGTTTAGTCCTTCAATCCTTCAACGATTGCTGTTAAGTTAAATATGTTTAAATTGGTCTCGGGTTTTGGCCATCGCGACGAATTAATTACGCACGGTTTATTTGCAATTATGGTATCTGTGTGAAATCAACTTTCAGCAATGCAGTACTCGAAGTGTGTATTTGATATGTACGTATATCTACAAATTATGGTAAAATTTGGGTAATTAATCCAGGAATTTGGGAATTATGCAAACAATGGATCTGTTAACAGAATCAGTTAAACCAACATTCCGCTGACTCCAACACATCGTTCGATATCCAGACAAAGATAACAAGTATGTACCTACGATGTCCTACCTGACTTTTCGCACGGTATCTTGAGTAGGTAGAAAAATAACCATAAATACTTCACACAGAGACAGATGTGCATGAAATGTGCAGAATTTTCTGATTTAGGTATGTGAAATGCATCAAAAGATGTAAGTTTGTTGAATAATTGTTTTATTCCGTAAGAAATGCATAAACGTAAACTCGCATTTGGTTAGTAACAAATTGTAAAATCATCAACGCATAAATTATTGATTTTACGAAGCAAATGTACCCGTTTTGAGTAATTTAAACATTATGGAATTAATTAATTAGTGAAAATATTTAAGTTTGTGTTTAAAGGTGAGCATGGTTGTTTTTGAGTTTCAATTAAACAAACTGTATTTTCCATTCGCACGTTGAGCAGATCACAATTTTTTTTTCTTCAGAAAACTAGATTTTGATTCATATTCTCTGCAAGATTAAACTTGCATGAATAAGTCTAATTTATGTGAACGGGATATCGAGCAGACAATTTGATATTATGTTAAAATCTTGTTGTCCATGCAATTTCATATTTACAATATACATTTGGATACGTATTATACAAAACTAGCGTATAAGCCCGTCTCTCGCCGGACTCGAGCTTATTTGATTTTCATGAAAATTGAGTGGAATCTTAGAAAACTCCAACCAATTAAATATTTTAATCTATATAATAAGCTCAAATTCTGTCACCGACGAAAGTCAAAGGAATTTGTAAAGAACGTGAAATTGATGATAGAAGTTGATGGTAGGAAAATCAAAATATTTAAGAAATCTAAACAATGCTCATGCCATACTACATACATATTCTTATGTGGTAATAAATATATGGTCACAACGAATGGATTCAATGATTTTAATCAAGAAGAGTATCATATTGTTATACCCGATGCAAAATCTGTTAACAAAGACACGTTTAACGTGTTCGACATATGTGACGTTTGACTTGGTCCACACGGTCACGGGTGTGTGGCATGTCAAAGCGCGTATGATATTATATTCATGCGCAGATTTCAAAATCTGTTCCAGTAGAAGATTTGACTAATTCATCGGAGGCCTCATTCCCGTCATGAACGGAATGGATGGGGAACGGATTCCATTCCTTAAATCTACGGAGTCGACACATGAAGGGAATGGAATGGAATGTGTATAGCATGGGCAGCCGATGGGAACATCGCATAATCGCGGGGACATTTTCCATCTTCCCTCTGTCCTCACCCTTCCGCGGCTACTGTGCATGTTGTCTGTCGTTAGGAACGCCATGTTCCTTATGTAAAGCTGCAGTGAGAGCTGGAAAGGAGTCTTGACAAAATATGAAATAGCGGAAAGGGGAATCCATTCCCTTTCCCTTCATGCAAAGATGTCACTACTTCGTCTGAAGTATATCCAACGGGAAGGGGGAAGGAACGGAACCCTTCCCCTTCGCCCTCGTTTGACGACTTCACTGCGGTTCCAGCCAGCACACCCCTAACACAGTGATAACCACATCCCAATGGTACAAAATCAAACAGATGTAGTGGCCATTTAGGTGCGAGACCCCACAAACAGATCACACCCAACACTGGGGGTGTAGCCACTTTCGACAGGCAAACTCCTGAGCTAATAACCGGCACCCCATATTCCTTTCAGCATACTCCACAAATGAAGGGAACGGAATTCCATTCCCCTTCCCTTCCATTGACGTGAAAATTTCACTACTGCGCCTGAAATATATCCAAGGGGAATGGAAGAGGAAGGGAATTCCATTCCTTAATGTGTAGCTGAAGTAATCTATCTTTAAATCTGATATGAATATGGTCTACCCATGAAGGGAACGGAATCCGTTCTCCTTCGCGTCATCCATACATAGCGAAATTTATGTCACTGGTTTCGGATCTGGCCTGAATGGGCCTGAACGGAACAGAAGATTGCTTAAATATACGTAACAAAGGAACTAATGTCCCTTCGGAAAGTGACTTCACCAACATTTCACACCCAGCACTGGGATAATAGGCAAATATAAATGATAATGTCTGGCATACCCCTTCCCCTTGAGCGATAACCACATCCCAGAGGGGCACACCCTCGCTTCCCCCCCAAGCAAAGCGATAACCATATCCCAGGGGGGCACCCCTCCCACCCCCCAGCAGAGCGATAACCATATCCCAGGGGGCACCCCTCCCACCCCTCAGCAGAGCGATAACCATATCCCAATGGGGCACACCCTCGCTTCCCCCCAGCAGAGCGATAACCATATCCCAGGGATGGGGCAAACCCTCCCAATCCCCCCAGCGACCAGATAACCACAATTAAGAGTTTGTGTTACCTTCCCTTACTGATAACCACCAAGCCAAGGATAACTAACTTATCGACTTTCCAACCGCTTGCACCAATGCAGCTGATATGCAAATCACTTTCTCCACTTTCATTTCCGTTTCGGAAAATAACTTTCACTTCCGTTGCAGACAAACATTTCCAGCTTATTATACAAAATATCATGATCTATCGAAGTTAATTTCAAATCATGGAGACAACTCGATAATTCTGCTTACATACTTGACTTCATGTATCACAATAAATAAATTGACACAATTTATTCCCTGATCTTTATTTAAGTAAGTATATTTTCTATATAAGACAATGACGTATAATTTTACGCACATAAACAATAAGAAATAGGCCGTTTCACACTTGTAGTGGTTAAATTCTTCACATTAAAGTTTTTGACTTATGACTTGGCTTTTGCTCATGGGAAATAAAATTCATGTCTTAAAATTCTTTAAGTCCATGAAAACCTATTTCTGAATTCGACTCCTACATACATAAGTATTTCATGTCTTGCAGTCTCCAAAAATTAATGTATATTTCATGAAAAGTCAAACACTTATCAACTAGTCACTGTTTCATGATCTTTCTTCTCCAACTGTTCTAACCACATGGACGCGTACTCCCCACCTTTCTCCAGGAGAGCTTCATGTCTGGAAATTGATTTTAATTCATTTTCATGTTCGCGTTTTCTCTCGTAAATAAATTAACTGCATTTTTAAAGTAGAATAATGAGGTAATTCACATAGGCCTTGGTAACTTTGTAAAATCCGCAAATTCTGCAAACTTTTAAAAAATTTTGCAGATATTTCTAAGCAAAATCAGCTTGCAAATTTTTGTAAACTTTCTCAGATCAAGATTCAATTTGTAAAAGTAAGTTAAATTATTTTAAAAATTTACGGATTTTATAACGTAACCAAGAACTGCGTGAATTGTCTCGTCATGTATTTAACTTACGATCCACTCTCAACTATTCGTCCTGCCTTGAGCACGATAATTTCGTCTGCATGTGTTATCGTCGACAGTCTGTGAGCAACTATCAAACTGGTCCTATTTTTACAAATGTTTTTGATAACGGATTGAATTTTTCGTTCCGTTTTTGTATCAAGGGCGGAAGTAGCTTCGTCGAGGATAAGAATTGGAGGATTTTTCAGAACAGTTCGGGCAATTGCAATGCGCTATAAATAGATAGAATTAAATACGATCCACGATAATAAAACATGTGCAATAAATATGAAAATCTAGCGTTTAAAATCTTCATAAATTTATACCTGCTTCTCCCCTCCGCTAAGCTTTAAACCTCTCTCTCCCACCTGAAAACAATGTGAAATTTATATTATATCATTTATTTACCAATTTTAATTTTCAACCAGATATCCAGCTCACCTTGCTGTCATATTTATCTGGAAATTCTAAAATTGCGTCGTGAATGCAAGCACATTTTGCTGCATGTTGGACATCATCTTGTGTTATTTGACTCATTTCATCAGTAGATTTGCCATACTTTATGTTATTGCTGAAAGAAGATAAGTTCATATCTTCAAAACTTAGCCTTATGAATGTCAGATAAAATTATGCATACGTACGTAATGGTATCATCGAACAGTACACAATCTTGAGGAACAACTCCAATTGCTCCCCGGAGAGAAGCTTGTGTAACTTTGGTTACATCCTGATTATCAATTAAAATCCGTCCAGATGACGAGTTGTAAAGTCGAAATATCAATTTCATAACGGTCGATTTGCCCGAGCCGGTTGGACCAACCTGTGGCAAATGCAATTAAGTATTTAATTATTTAGTTATTGTTAATCACCTAAAGTGCAAATTCAGATTATTAATGTACATATTTACCAATGCCATAGTTTTTCCAGCCTCCACCCTGAAGCTTATCTCGGAGAGGACTTCCCTCTCTGGCACGTAGCTAAACGACACATTTTCAAATCTAACCTCTCCCTCAGCGACCTCTAAATTAGGAGCATTTGGATCATCACAAATTTCTGGGGTGAGTTCCAATAAATCCGCAACGTCGGCCGCGTTAATTATAACTTTCTGTCCCCACCTGTTAAATATTACGCATAATCAATACATCTGTACAACGACATCAAAACCTTGTACACAACTTACTCATACATCCAACTCATAGACTCGAATGGTTCATAAGTACTCCAAAAGAACGCTTCTAGCATGACATAGTCACCCAGTGTGAGCCCCGAGTCTCCCAGGACCATCCAGTAACACCACATTTTCGCCGCCGTCTGTCCCACTGTTCGGACCACATTCTCCAAAAACCAGGACGTCGTCGAGGCAAATTTAGAATTAAATTTGATCAGAATCGACTCCTGAAATGCTTCCTTGAACCTGTCCACTTCGTAACGCTCCTTGCAAAAGTATTTCACCGTCTCATAGTTGAGCAGAGCGTCCACGGATTTCTTCATCTTTGCCTTCGAATCCTTCTTGTTTATCTTTTCGAAACTGCTTTTCCACAGGGACAGCAAAAATTTGGCTATCACGAGGAAACCCGTGGTGAGCAGGACGATGCAAGTTATCCTCCACGGGTATCGAATGGCGAGGTGGGCTATGGAGACGAATAAGTATAACCACTCGGGAATCACTTTGAGTAACATTTTTCGCAAAAAGTAGGTAAAGTCGGAGGACGCCGACTGCAATTTGGTGAGACGGCCGCCCGTCCCTTCTTCCAAGTGCCAGCGAACACTTTGATGTTGAAGTTTGGTGTAAATCTCGACCTAGGAAAAAAATTAGTCTGTGTAAACAAGTACCCTGGTTGAAAATTTTGATCGTTTTTAGCAGAAATTTTTTCCCATTTTCTGTATGTAGAAAAACTGTATGCTGAGCGATGTGTACAGAAAATTTTGCAAAGTTATGCAGGTACGTATATGCAAATTATTACAAATACATACGTTCTGCAAAATGAAACCTACAGAAAATATCTGCAAGATTGTGCAAAAAAGTATGTAGAGTTCTATGCAATACGCATATAGCGTTAGCAGATTTCAGCAGAAATCATCACAGTGATTCCAACCAGGAATATTCTGTAAAATGTACAAAATGCCGCGGTGAATGAAATTTACCTGCAATCTGCCTGCCGAGTCAGATTCAACATTTCTCCACAAGTAGGTACGAACATTATGACTGATCCCGTAATGTGAGGTCAAGTCTAAGAAGGCTGCAAAGAGGAGTAATTCCCAGCGAAAGTTGGCAAAATTCAGCTCGATCTTGGTATCTGTGTGGCTTTCGTCATTGTCCGTGTTATTAGTCACGGATGAAGTGAAAGTCATGGAGTCCACTGAAAGAAGGAAATAATGAGGTGAATAATTGCATGTGGTTATTAATTAAGAGAGAAACGAAATGAGGCGTAGTTATTGTCCTCCTTCTGTCTGCCAGTACATTAGCGGATAAACTTTTTGGAGTTCTGTTCACAACGCCGTGATGAAGAGGTCAAGGGTCAAACATATCGAGTTTCTTGTTTTAACAGCGCGGGGATTTCAGAAATCGTAGGGAATTCGGCATACGCCGATTTCGTGTAAACGAGGTCAAAGATCAAAAATGTCCAAACGTCAGAAATGTCAAATTCTCGAGTTTGGTAGCAAATAAAGCATATTATGCATGTAGCATTTTTCAACACTCCATTTCCGCTAGTTCATTATATCTGTTGCTCTATTTTATTTCATAACAACGCTAGCTTATCTATTTTTTTCTTACCAACTCGTTTATTCAAAACTTGCTGGTACAAGTCCAAGGGAAGATCGATGAGTACTAAAAGTACACAAATTCCTGCAGACACTCTCGCTTCATAACTTTTCGGGAGAAAGTATGGCTTCAGCAGAGATACAACTTTCCTCGTGTGTGCGATTGATTTGGTTATCTCGAGTTTATGATAAGCCTCAACTAGTCTATCACCGTATAGTTCATTCAATAATAAAATTCCCACGGATAAATATCTTACTAAAAATGCTAAATAATAATATGCAAAATATGTGGCTTCATCACTTTCTAAGCTGGAAAGGATTTGAACCAATTTGTAAAAAACGACTACATTTTGGACTACGAATAATCTACTTATCCATGATATAAAATTCTTTTCATTCTTCTCAATTTCGAAAATTTCAGTTAAAAATGGTAAACTAAATACTTTCAGAGCTAATGCTAGAGTAAAAAATAATTGAATATGATGAAATATTAGCGTAATGTCGATGGAATTTGATTCCGGCAGTACAAAAAATTCGAATAAGGATACGATCGAAGTAACGCCAACTACAAGTTTCTGAAAAATACACAAACAATTCTATTGTATAAAATCTATTCAAAATATGTAATTTACTTATTCAGGCTTACGGAAACATTCAATTTTATTTTTGTGGCTTGGAGATCCATAGTTTGATATAGTTTTAAGTTAACTATTTAATTTTTTAAATTTGAGATCGAGTATTTAAGGAATATTCTTCCACCGGAGGTGAACAAGTAGTAAGAATGAGTATGGGAAAGCACGCTCTTTTTACCGACATTGACATAGGGAATGGATCAATGAAAACCCATACATACGTTGTAACAACGTTTGTTGGTTGACAGAGTACATAGCCCATTCACAAATTGTTGTGTACTTATAAACGTGCGATAACGTCGGCTTTTTGCATGCGATTATCTATGGTGTGTGACGTGAAGCCAGGTTTTAGGTATTGCCTGATGAAATATATTGCATGCAAAACAAGTTCTGAGAAGGCAGCGTGATATTAGCGAAACATGACTATGACTGGAAAGTACATTTGTATGCATAGATCGTATTTGTATGTATGCATATTAGTAGGAAAGCAATCCAGGTTTCCGTCTGACATTGTGGAGTATTTACTTGTATGGGTCGTAAGATAAATCAATACGATTTCTGCCTCGTGACCCTGTGCCTTTTGTTACATTGATAAAGCTATGAACTTATGTAATTATGTATGCACTCTCATTACTGTTCACACTTACGATTTACTTCATAGAGAATGAAAAAATTACTAAACCATCATTATCATTCAATAAATTAGTGCTTAATTAGTGAATAATTTTTTCAAAATTTTTGATGCGATGAATATTAAATGATATTTAGCCAGTTTTCGTCCAAAACTTTTAGTACATAAAAAGTGGTGTTATAAGGTTTCAAATCAGTGTAGAATTTTAGATAACTGAATCTTACCCCCATTTTGTATGGTAGGAAAATATAGAATTTCTTTAAAATATGAAATTCCCTGTGTTAATTGCACTTCATTCATTTTTATGCACTTGGATGCATGTTTTTGCTTATGCGTTTTGCACATTTGTATGCACTTCATGCGTAATTTAGTATTTGTATGCAATGTATGAGTTTATATGCATTTGTATGTATGCACTTTTATCCAATGCATGTATAAAAATAATGTGTGCATATTGATTCGTAAATTTAGATAGTTACCCTTTGTCAAAAGTTACCATTCAATTTATCATCACTCATTACACAAAACTGTTACTCCCCACCAATGAATACAATTAAAATTAATTTAAGTATCTATCTAGGTGGCCCGACCAATGTGCAAAGACAAATGTGCAAACGACAAATGTGCAAAGACATTTGTGCAAACGATAAATGTGCAACCTGACAAATGTGCAGCCCGATAAATGTGCAAACGATAAATGTGCAACCGATAAATATGCAGGAATTTTTCCAACAAATGGTGCAATATATCTTGATATAATTTAAACATAAAATCAAATTACATCTCCTCAAAAACTAAAATTTGAAACATTAATTTTGTGGTGGCATCCCGTATGATGTCTGTTGAAGCTGTAGATCTTATATTGAGCAGTATTAATTTATTGTTAACTTAATATTTTACTAAATTATATTTTTATGGTGCATAAATTTCCTGGTACATACATCTTCGTGAATTCGTGAATTTTAGCCTATCGTATAGGCTGGAATTATGTACATATAAAAATTCTAAATTTCAATGAAATAATTCGGGATTTACTTATTTGCTGTTATTTTAAATTCTGTCCCCGCGGGGTGTCCCTAACTAAAGTTTAATTGTCACTAGCTAAATTTAGCATTACAGTGATTCGACACGGGAATTTTATTATTAAATTGACAGGGGTCAACCCCGTTATAATGATGATTAGTAATATTTAATAAGTATAAAATCTGCATTATAAGATCTCCAGCTTCATAAGCTTCACCACAAAATTAATGTTTCAGAATTCTTAGTTTTTTGATAAGATGTAATTTGATTTGAAGTGTAAATTATATCAAGATATATTGCACTATTTGTTGGAAAAATTCCTGCACATCTATCGGTTGCACATTTATCGTTTGCACATTTATCGGGCTGCACATTTGTCAGGTTGCACATTTACCGTTTGCACAAATGTCTTTGCACATTAGTCGTTTGCACATTTGTCTTTGCACATTTGTCACCCCATCATCTATCTACATTAATAACATGACCTAATTTAGTCTAAATGATACTAATTCAATCTATCCTTAAATATGACGGTGTACTGTTGCGGGCTCAGGATGAATCCTGGCTTCGATTTTAATCCAGGATTAGCCTTGGGATCATTTGGATCAAATTTGATTTCGAACTTTTGGCAAATGTTAGCCGTGTAGAGGAAAAGTGTGTCTCTCGCCATCGTTTCGCCGGCACATTGTCGTCTCCCCGTCGAAAATGGAATCAGGGCTTCGTGTTTCTTAAAGGTTTTTCCGTCTGGACTAAGAAAACGTTCTGGTCGGAAGTTCTTCGGATCGCCCCAGATCTTTGGGCTGAAATGGATCCCGTACTGATTTGCCATAATTCCGGTATGTTTCGGGAAAGCGTATCCCTTGTACGTCACATCGGTCAGAGTTCGATGTGGGGCTCCGACTGGGGCGCCGGACGAATAACGAAGCGCTTCACTGATAAAGGATTCGGTGTAGGGAAGGCTGAAAATATTTTGAATATTTAAATGCCAATGTTAATTTCAACTCTAAATTTACGACTTTGGAAATTTACCACTTCACGCAGCCATTTAGTAAATTTAGTAAAATTATTTTACACTCTTTTATAAAATAAAAAAACGCCCTTGATCTGACAATGAGTAAGTTTGCAAAAATTTGTAAGCAATATTCCTTCGAAATGTTTGTAAAATTTTGTAATAGTTTGTAACTTTACACAATTTTCGGATTTTACAAAGTTACCATCGACTGGGCGAATTTCTTCGTTTTTGTATATACATCTAAAATTCTGAATGGTTATTATTTTAATCCGATCAGTTGTTACGGAAATTTTAATAGTTTTAGAGGAAAATGATCGAGATATTAAAATTAGGTGTTTTTTAAATTGTTCATCTAATAAATTACATGCTTTTGTTAAAAGAAACTCACTTCGGTCGATCCGTTAAACTGCAATGTCTAGAATTTCCAACCACTGTGTCAATCTCTTCCTGTAATTTTTTCTGCACTTCAGGAAAAGTCGACAAGTAGAGAAATATCCAAGAAAGTGTCGTCGATGATGATTCTGACCCAGCTTCAAACAAGTCTTTGATAACACCGATGAGTTGACGATCTGTACAAAATTGTAAAGATTAATTTTAATATTAAATAGGTCACAATTTGCAGATGCAAGTGTATGAAAACAAATATGAAAATAAGTGCAAAATTCACATACTTCCAACGTCCTTGTAGAAGGGAGACTCCTCATCTTTACAGGAATTAATCTCGCCTAAGAATGAGTCCACAAAATCCCTGCATATTAAAGTACAAATTATTAATTACAAATTAAATTTAATATTTTGCCCATTAATCCGTTAATGAATTTATTGGTTTTTGAAATTTGTTGAACACTGGGGGTATTCTCTACAAATTTGCATGTTCGCATCGCAATATAATTTTGCAAAAGAATTTGGAGATGTGCAAGTTCGCAAATGAATGTCCAAGCCAAAATTTTTTGCAAATTTATGAAATTTGATTTTTTGACCATGCGAACTCGTAATGAATACCCCCAATTGTTACGTCTTTATTCAGACGTAACGACACATATCTGTCCACTCACCTTGGACTACCTTCCGTGTAGGTTTCCTTGTGTTCTTGTACAATTGAGGAGAAAAGGGCTTTCAGATTTTCCAAGTGGTTGCGCCACAGAGTGAGACCCTTAAATCCAACATATCTCAATAATGGTAACATAATTCCTGGTCCGGCTCCTTTGGAGAGCTCGTCCATCGTTCTAAAATGCAGACAGGTGATCATTTAAAAATCAATTAGATTATATATTTGTTTTGCATATTCTAAGTAAGTCATGATTTTCATTATACATTAAACATTCAAATTTTCCAAAAACAGGGTAGAATTTGCAATTTCAAAACTCAATTAATAACCAATTTACAAGGATTTTGGGGGAAAATTATGGGAAAATTTTCCTGAATATTTTATAAATTTTCTAGACTAATATGAATATCGTGCATATTCTATAATCATATTTTTGAGAAAAACTTTCAAATTGAAATGATTCGTTAATTTATCATCACAACCCACAAAACACATGCTTATCTTATAGTAAAATAACTAAAATTCAAATTATCAAATTACTCTGTAAAATCTTTCGTCAACTTCAAAATCGCAGGATCTTCCTGCTTATATCGCTTCCCGGTGACCAGCGTCCATACCGAGTTGACCACAGCGACGGCCATCCGCTGCTTGACATCTCGAACGGGAAGACCTTCCTTGGATTTCATCCAGTCCAAAATTTCTCCAAGTTCGTCCATGATCAGACCTTCCATTGTGCTCTTGCCAAAACCAAAATCTCGCAGTTGGCGGAGTGTGAATCTTCTGAGGTCCTCCCAGTGTCGCCCTTCCGTATTAATTACCCCTGAAAAGTCAAATGAGGATTTATTGCTATGCAAATCATTTGGAAATTTGAAATCCTACTGTATTAAAATATTTAATTTGATAATAAGCATCGTCATCTCTTTCACTACAGCAAAAATGGTTAATCTTAAATATTTAGAATCGCAACTCATTTAGCAAGTATTTGACTGAAGTATGTACATATGTACATACGCGAAATATGTGCTGGGTAAGTTTGGGAGCAAAAATTGTTTCGTTTGAAAACAAAGATTTTGCGAAATCTTCTAAATTTTATAATCCTTCACAAATTTGTTGATACACATGCTAAATTTGCTAGACTTGTATACCTTACCATGCATTTGTCCATTTGTGTAGAGATCATTTACACCTTCGGCAGGATTTAATCGCCCTGCGAAGGCTGGTTCTTGAGAGAACATTTCCTTCACCATTTTTAAATCCGAGATGACATAAACTCTAGAAAATTAATTATACCAATTAATCTATAAATTTTAAAAGATGCACAAATTAAAATATGTATATCCTATTGTTAACTCGAAATACATTAATTCATTACTATACACGCAGAAGCTGTGGGTCATTAAGGATTATATTATAGCTGATATGGGAGGACCTTGTCGTCATTGAAGGGGTATTTTAGGGGACCTTAATTCAACGCATTTACAGCCTTTTAAGTACAACACTGTAAGTAATGTAAATATTAAATAAACTTTTGCTTAACTTACGTCTGACTTCCCATCCTTGCCGAATAAATGTCACCGTATTCCTCCGCCCACTTTACGAACGACATGAAGGGGAATTTCCAATCCATTTGCAAAATATTGCCGATAAATGGAAGTCCCCATGGGCCTAAAAAATCCACATTATTTATTTCATCATTTTAGCCCAATAAATTTTATCCGTATGCCCTAATAACTGCATAATAGTATTTCTTACGAACTACATATATACATATGTAAATACCTTAGGTATTATACCTATTTGCATGATTTTGGAAATGATCGACTACGATCCTCCCTAAAATTGTGGTCAATTTTTAATTTTTTTAAGGTTTTTTGTAATTTTTTTTACTGCACTAGTTTTTCTGCCCCATCATTTATAAAAGAACAATTACAATTGTTATTTATTACTGAATTTTTCTAATCCTAATACTTCCATATTTAAAAAAACGCTTTATGGATTTATCTCGAAAGCATGCAGTAGGTATTTTTAACATAAGTATAATAAATATACCTAAAAACGAAAAAAACTCAATACAAAAACAGCACCCAGCCAAATATGCAACCTTCAACTATTTATTTGTACGTGTGTAAATATTTGTGTCCCATCGTTGAATAAGCAGATAGAGACAAAGCGAGTAACTTTGCATGAGTAGCTTCACTACATTTTCCACATGGATAAAATCTTTGTAAATATTACCAAACACTTTCAAACACAAAATAAAAATTTATAAAAATTCAGAATTATGCAACAGAGAAAAATAAAAATACTAAATAATTATCAATATAATTTCTAAATACTTACCTGGAGGAATTTTCCCTTCTAATTTCGGCTTATTTTCTTTTCTCGTAATATAATAAAATATAGCAGCAACTACGACCAACCCTCCAACCAACGGTAGAGACAACACCATTTTAAAATTCTCGTTAAATTAAAAATAAAAACTTACAATACCACAACTTTATAGAATAAAATCACTCTTTCATCTCAACCAGCAAACTGAGCTAGACTCGCTCACATGCTGAATACATATACTCATTTTTTGCATGCAAAAAACATGCCTTTTTAACCCAGCAACGAGTTGAACTCAACACAACACAACAACCTTGAGTCAATGAAATCATAACATCATCCACTCAAACATTAGACAATCTCCAGCAGGAAAATGTTCTGCCCATTGCCCTGCATCTTATTTATACACGCAATTCTGTATGTTATGCACATGCACAAATTGCGAAAAATTTGGCGGAGTCACATTTTTAGTTACTCCCTACTTGACTAATTACTTCATAATTTACCGGTAATGATTCGTACAGAATTGGCAATGATTGTATATTGATTGGTCAATTTTTCATTGACGGGTATGCAATCTTGTAAATTGTGACTTACGGAGATGTTTAGTTACTTGGATATCTCATAAGTATGCATGTAAGCTTTGGTTTATACATTGTTTATTATATTGGACGTGTATTTTGTAAAATTGGGCTCAATTTTTTTATACGTTTCTGATAAAAAATTTGTTTTGTTTTAATGTATTAATAACCATGGTACCACTCTCATGGAAATGCGTAATTTGATATTTTGTAATCGAAAATCACTGCAGACTAACTTTAATTGTAAAGACTTTAACATCATTATACATGATTGATACATATCTATGACTTAGAGAATAAGTAATTGGAACCAATACTAATTAATAAATAGTTTGCTAAAATATGTATGTATTTCTTATTAAAAAATATGATATATACATTTATTGAATATTTTATTAGGATTATTTAGATCATAACAAGCTATGGGCGGCATATTACATGGTAACAAAAATGATGCAGGATAAAGATTTATTAATAATTCTGATTTTAAATCTGAAAATTTAAAATAGCATTATAAACATCTTGTTGGTGTGCACACACTTTTTCTTGACATGTAACATTCAAAATGTTACATAAAATTTTGTCTTTTCAGCATTAATGTAAAAAAAACAGATTGTGTGGTGGGTGTGTATGTTAAGTCTATCCCAGGAGCCTACTTAAACAGTATATAAGTGTATGGATAACTTCAAGAAGCAAATAGTCTGCCCAGTGACCTGCCTTTTGATTTCGTACACACGAATTTAAATATATATGTTGTGCTGATTCATGAATCATGTGTCGGTGTTGCATTATTAGAGTTAATTTTTTTTGCTGATTATATGTATAGCATTCTCATTATTTACTTCTCTGGTTGTATTTTTTATTAAGAAAACCAAATTCATAATGCTCAAGTGCACAATTTACATCTGCAAAACCGTATCTTACTGCTCCCGTTATTTATCAATAATCTTGCGTAAACAAAAAACAACAAGTACTCAACATTGAAAATCAATTATTCTACGTCATTCTCATGGCGGTTTATAAACCGCTGATCATTTGGGGTGGGATCAGTCTCGAAATATGTAAGTCAAACCCAATATTACTTCAATATTCTACAACATGAATTCCCACATCGTCGTAATTATTTCCCTCTTGGTGATCACAGCTTCAGGTAAAAATACTACCTTAAAAAATTAAAGCTTGATCCCTTATTACCTCAAATTTTAGCTGCGCCAAATGCATCTCTGCTAAATGAAGAGGATCCGTCCCCCTTTTAAACAGTAACAAAAACCCAATTGACAAAATCCATTACCCAATCACTTTAGTAATATCGTATTTTCAAACTAGTTACGACATGCGGTGGGCTAATTGACTCATCCTCGGCTACGATAAATTTTCAAGCGGGAGGATCCATCCGAGCCGACATGAGATGCGTTTGGATGGTCCAAACCCCCAGCGTAAATAATCGATTCACTCTGACCTCTGGACTAGGAGGAGACGACGGGATCTATGTAGCCACTTATAACTACGGAAATATAGGCAGGCAACAAAAAATGTGCGGGCGTTTTTTAAAATTCTGTCAGGAAAATTGCAATCGTTCCCTGTGTGGAACCAGGTCTTCGTATTTGTTAAATATATGTTTTCGCCCATTCCGGAAACCTACACAGTTTAAATAAGATTAAGCAAAATTTACTCAAGGTTGGGTAAAAACGAGGATGACACAACCAAAAGGTAAAATTTATCCAAGGTTGTGCAAAATTTATGCACGCGTTGGACATTAAACATTACCTTTTGGTTAAATATTACACAACTTTGGACAAATTTTGCAAATTGTTGGATAAGTTTTACCCTATGGTTGTGTCATCCTTGTTTAATACCCAACCTTGAGTAATTTTACTTGTTTTTATTAGAGGGTAGATACACATATCTTCGCCAGATTTTACATTTTTTGCTGTAATTGTACCACTCTTTTCTAGATCTATCGTTGGTCAGAACTACACCATTCCTGCGCATCACCTAATCATCACCCTTAGCGTGGGTCATTCCCCTACGAGGGGATTTTCCTTGTCCTTTTTCTCCTCCGGGCTAGCCTTTTATGACGCACTGACCGGTTATGCCGACCTTACGACAACCTCTGGGAATTACGTGTACCCTCAGAATGGGGAGAACTACAAAAATAATGAAGACGCCGTGTTCTTCATCGTCCCCGCGGTTCCAGCCCAACCCACGCTCCGGTTTATTTATGTGGACCTTGAGTCCGACTTAAATTGCGTGTACGACTATGTCACAATCTATACTTGGTTCGACAACGATTACAAGCAGGTGGCACGGTGGGTGAGATATTTTTTGGGAAAAAAGAGTTGTATTTATTTGGATAATTTTTTGAAATTTCCTGCACTGAACTGCAAAAATTGCAGGAAATAAATGCTGCCATTTATACATATGTATGTACATACTGCGCCTACGGTTTGATTTTTAAAGGAGAACCTGCCTACCAGAAGCTTTGCATATTAAAAAACTTAAGTTTTAGTTTCGAAAAATCAAATCATAATTATTTCGTACATTGTCCGCTATGTTGCGCTTGTTTTTTGGATTATTGCAGGAATTTATGTATGTCTGCAAAAAATAAATTTATTGCAGTACTATCTTGCAAGTGTTTTTTACGAAAAAACTGGCAAGTCAAGAATAGTTTCAAAATGTAATTTCCTGTAATTAATTGGATTTAAGTTCGTTCGTAATGATGGTTAGCATTTATTTCATTTCAATTAGTTAAAATATGAATTTTCCCATCCTTCGAATCAAAAACTTTGAAGATTTCCTGAATTTCGAAAATAATTTTGAAACACTGAAATCTAAATATTTCAGAGTCTGTGGAGAAACACTTCCTCCGACGGTCACTTTCGTTGAAGGCGCTGGTCTCGTCACATTCCGATCCGATGGCTACATGAACCGTCGCGGATTCAAGTTTGAATGGGCTTAAAATTCCAAGTTACAATAATTTTATGTAAGACAAAGGTGGCTAAATATTATCATGATTGAATTTTCTAGAAATAAAATCATTATCATACTCGGATCTGACTGAAAGATAATTTTTTCCATTTATTAACCTATAGTTGTCCGTCTTTCTGAGAATGTTCACTGTCACTAGTAAGTCACTTAGGTCACCGCATATTTTCTCATATTGGTCATACGTATTTTCGATTTTGGAACATATTCATATTCTCGATCATTATTCGTTATTTTGTTAAATATAAGACTTTTGGCCAAATTTTAAGATTTGCATTGCAGACTAAATTGCCAAATAGATAAATAAATCTCCTTGACACCAAAATTTCTTCAAAAACGGAATATTTCTTCGGTATTTTGTGGAAAACTCGATGGTAAGGAGTGGATTTTTTTTCGATATTTTTCTCCCCAAATTTTGGAATTTTCCCTATACCGACCAATGTTAAAAAGTGGATTTTCGTGTTTTTCGTCAAACAACTAAAAAATTGGACACTGGCTGAAAATTTTGCTTGGTTGCTATCAGGTGTAATTATGAAATCAACATGGTACCAAAGGGAAATTTTATTAAAAATCAGGAGTCCGAAGGAGGTTAACCTCAAGGCAACAGTTAATTTATTAATCTACTCTAATAAAGTGTTAGTATGATCCCTGGGTCCCTGGGTCCGTCTTCGCAATGCAAATTGCCCCATACAGTAGACAAAGAAGGAAGCGGAGCAACCACTGCATGCATGCACTGCACTGCATGAATAAATGAATACATGAACATGTACACCCCACATACATACATCACTCATCAATAGTGGTTATCATGATAAGTGATCGTGATAAACACTATTAATTAATTATTTTAGTTTGAGAAACTCTACCCACAGCGAGTGGCATGTCAATTCGAATGTATTTTTGACGCTGAATCCAACGCCGTCAATGGTTTTGACCTGCGAGGCCCCCGTGACCTCGCCGTGACCGTGGTGTCCAAATCTGGCTTATTCGTGATGTCGCATATCAATTCGAATGTATTTTTGACGCTGAATCCGAATCCGTCAATAGCTTGGCGTTAATTGTAGAAGTTAACGGGGTTTATGGAACTTAACGGGAGCGTGAAGCGTGGGAATTTAAATAGTTAGCTATGCAGTTACTCCCACGCGACGGGAATTTAAGTAATTAACTATTCAACTACTCCCACAGGGGGGAATCAAATTTTACTGTGACCAGGTTAATTAAAATGCAGTATGACTTGGGCAAACCCTCAGTCTGATGTATGTATGTAGTATGACAAAGTCTCCACTGGGAATTATTTAAAATATAGTATGACGGATTTTTCGCTTTGGGCACACCCCCCACTGGAACTCTAGAACCCGGCCTTGGCCGGGCTATACGCTAGTCAATTAATAGAATGGTACGCATTTGCATGTTTCCGTCTGCAACGCACTCCTGGATTTCATCATGCAATACAAAGTCCGATCCCACGATAGCTTTACAAATACATATCGCAATAAACTTCATTAAACAGATATACAAAAGTAGCCAAAGTGTTACCGACAGCAATAATTTGTACGACGGTATTTACACAAGTCGCAAAAATTCAACCTCAACTTTTCAACACAGGGTCGCAGTCACAGCTACGTGTATTATTTGAAATTGTTTTAAATACGTTGGTTAATATTCAAAATATTGTTGCCCACCTATGACCAAGATGTCATGCCTTTGCATTAAAACTAGGCAAAGACAATTTTGTATGCACTTCTTATGAATAACTTTCTACAATGCTATTGGATCAATTCTTACTACTAGGATAGGAATAAATTCTGGCGTTTGTTTCGGAAGCCTTGAACCGGAAGCTAGGAAGCAAAAATTGTGTTTTATTTGATAGTAGCCTAGCCATACTAGCGGAGTGACGACCAGACAGACATTCGCGTAAAGTAGCTACATCCATCAGCTTAAATTTAAATGAACCTTGGAGTGATGATTTTTATGTTAATGTTGAATAATATTTCATCGTTAATCTTGTTCCAACATAATTAAACAAACCGTCGACACCGAAAACCAATTACACTACGTCATTGTCGCGACGATTTATAAACCGATGATCTCCTGGATCGTGATCAGTCTGCGAATTAAAACAAACGTGACCTTGCTTAAACATCCCATAAAATGAATTCCTGTACCCTTAAAATTATTTCCCTCTTCATAATCGCAGTTTCAGGTAACATAATAATTTTTATGGAAAACTTTTTCAATAAAATTTGTTAATTATTCCAATTTTAGCTGCACCGAATGTCTTTCTTGAAGATGAAGCATCCCCAATTTTAAACAGTAAAAAAAAACAATTTATGAAAACCATAATTCAAACACAATTATAATATCATCTTTCCTCAATAAATAGTTACCACTTGTGGCGGGTATTTTGAGGCATCCTCGGCTACGATAAATTTTCAAGTGGGGGGATCCATCCGAGCCGACATGCGATGCGTTTGGGTGATTCAACCTTCCAACGTATATAATCAATTCACCCTGACTTCATCAGGACTAGGAGGAAACGACGGGATCTATGTAGCCACTTATCTCTACGGGAATATATCAAGCCAACGAAAAATGTATAACCTAAAAAATATGAATTCGTCTCATTCTGCATTTGACAGCAAAAAATAACAAACAAAATTATTGTTACGATTTGCACATTTTTTCAATTTTTTTTGGCCGTGAGACAGCCAAGTTTCAACTTTTTGCCATATATATATTTGCAAAGTATTTGGCTTCTAGCTTGCTTCAAAATGCTGCAAAAAAATTCGAGGTGCAAGAAAAAGTCGCCACCTAGCGGCTCAACATTTGTGCTATACTTTATCATAGGAGTTTTCTGTTAGATGGCGCTAATTTGCTAATTTGTTTCGCATATGAAACAAATTACGCCTGCAAAAAATAATTTTCGCAATAATTTCTTGAAATTGCTTTCTTTCACAGTAGATACTGTTTGTGTATTCTTCTTTTTTAGATCTGTGGTTGGCCAGAATTACACCATTGTTGGACGTCTCCTAATTATCACTCTTAGCGTGGGCCATGCCCCAACTATGGGATTTTCCTTGTCATTTTCCTCTTCAGGGGAATCCGGCAGGCAAGTCTTGACTGGTTATGCCGGACTGACGACAGCATCCGGAAATTATTCGTACCCTGAAAACGGGGAAAGATACGGTAACAATGAAGACGCCTTGTTCCTCATTGCCCCCACCGTTCCGGCACAACCCACGCTCCGATTTACTTACGTGGACATTGAGTTCGGCTCAGGATGTCTGTACGACCAGCTCGCTGTCTTTACTTGGTTCGACAATGAATACAAGCAGACGGCAAGGTGAGTGATTTATATTTTTTACAAAAACACTATTCAAATAACCGAAAAACTCTATTGTTGCCACCCATAAATAATTTCGAATTGCTGACATAAATTTAACTATTTTCAGATTTTGTGGGGACACTATTCCTACCAGTGTCACCCTTGTTGGAGGTGCTGGTCTTGTCACATTCAGTTCTGATCGCTACAATGCCTATAGTGGATTCAAGTTTGAATGGGTTTAAAATTTAAAATTTCAATGCATACTTAAAGTAAACCTAATTGTATTCTGATGGTCGAATTTTATTGAAATAAAGCAGTAGTGATTATCTTTGTAAATATTAGTATGAACTTATTTATTCGTCATGTCGACTATCTATTCAAGGAACAGCTACCAGCACATTTTCAAAATTTGGAGGCGAAGCAATTACACATTCATTATTGTTTATTGCAGCCCTATTTATATCTTCGTGGGTTAGTTGGGTCAACAGTTTAAAATTTTTCTTTATGAAAACAAGTATAATTTTGGGCAAAGAAATTAGTAAATGGGAGCAAATATTCTTCTTCATACATAACTACACGCTACATACATCAAAAATCATTCATATAATAAAATAGTTTCGCAGCAGCCGTCCTAAACTTTGGTAAGTTTGTAAGTCCAAGCCGAAAATACTTATTCTGCCCAGTGACTTGCCTTTAATATGGGTTTAACATGTAAGAGTACATATGTAAATGTCCATTCTTCAAACGATGCTAGATGCTACACAATCCTACTTATGAACAAATTTCCTAAGTAAAAAAAAAAATTTAATGCGATACATCACGTCCACGTTTTATAAATACAATTTTTTGTTTAGATGTAATATTAAAAATGTTGCATAAGATTATGTTGCGTCGCCAAAACTAAAAAAATTCATGCATTGAGTGGCTGGAAGCTTATGTAAGTGTTTTCCCGTTGTCCACCAGTTCGCACCTTCACGAGGAAAATATTCTGCCCGATGACCTGCCTTTGATTTCACACTGGTATTTATATGCTGCACATATTCGTATGTATCGATGTTGCATTACAGTTTAATTTTTTGCTGATTTCACCCTGAATTATTACTAGCAGAAAACGACAAGTGAAAGTTGTTTAGTCTGGAATCTGAGTCAGCAATTGAGATATTCAATTTATCAATTAATTGGTTCAACTGTATGTAAATAAGCGCGTATAACTATCTACAACTTACATATGTATGTACAACGTGATTTCATCACACATGTACAAAGTCTGATCAGATTCTGCCCATTCGAAGTCTGATCCTAAAACGCGCCCATCGCGTGACCTACCTAAATAAATGTACAATTATTTATGCATCAATGACCAAGATAACTTCGTATCGCATGTAAAAAAAAAGATTAACAGATATAACAAAGTATATAAGAAGTTCGTATCAAAACTAGCATTTTGTCTAAATAACCCTCGCAGAGTGACCTTTCGAGTTAGAAAGTCGGCTAAAAAAGCTGTCTTTACTTACGTGCTTTATAATTTATAAATTAGTTGTCTATATCCATAAGACAAATTATAAGAAGCTGTCGTGTTACAGAGTTATCTATTTTACTTCAAGAGAGACCGACAGACAGATGGATGGCAAAAAGTATCTTCATTTCAAATGCGTTGCTTAATAAGTATCATACATACTATGACTGATAAATCTTGTTTCGACAACAACAGGAAACGCTCGAACCCAAAATCAATTACGCTACGTCACCCTAACTACGGTTTATAAGCCGATGATCTCTTGGATCTCGATCATTCTCCGAAATTAAGTCAAACGTGACATTCATTCAGCAAAAATGAATTCCTACATTTTTGTAATTATTCCCCTTTTAGCGATCGCAGTCTCAGGTAGAATAATAATTTTTAGAGAAGACATTGTATTTAAATATGACATAATCCCGGCTTTCCTCAAATTTTAGCTGCATCAAACGTATCAAACGCGAAATGAAGAAGACCCCTCGCCAATTTTAGCCAGTAAATAAATTCGCAGAAACACAATTACCTACATAGTCCATTAAATACAGACATGGATTTTCAACAAAAAATAATTGCTAGACTGATTTTGCAAAATTTTAGAATAAATACAATATAAATACAATAATAAATTCATTTGAAACTCCTAGTCTCTCTTTCTTGGAAACCCGCTAAATCAAATGTGTAATATAATCTTTCTTCGACAGTCACCACATGCGGCGGCCTAATCGAATCCTCCTCTGCTATCATAAATTTTCAACTCAAGGGGTCCATTCGTGCTGATATGAGATGTATTTGGGTGGTACAAGCCCCCTACGAAAATCAACGATTCACCTTGATTTCATCAGGACTGGGTGAAAACGACGGAATTTACATATCCACTCACCGCCATTATGTTATTACAGAACAGCAGAAAATGTAAGTACACTGTTAGAAATCCGCATGTATTGATTTCTCGGTATTAAAGTTGCTACCGATTGGTGTTAAAATTATCCCGGTCGGTAAAAATTTGATACCAATATTGTAAAACTTTAAAACCGGGTTATTACTACACGGTATTATTTATTAATACCACGTTGGTAAGGTTATATATGAATACCACCTGGTATTATTTTAATACTGGATGTCTAAGAGTGTATGTACATGGTGGTTTAAATGTCACGCTAGAATGAAAAATTTTTCAATGGAAAAAACCCCTAAATCTCCATTAATTAAAAGATTTTGAATTGAGATTTTTAAAATCTGATGGAACACGGATGACGAAATTCTTAAAATATTGAATTTTAGAGACAACAATTTTGGTAACTAATGGAAATTTACGAATTTTTCCCATCGAAAAATTTTCCATTGTAGCGTGACATTTTAACCACCCTGTATGTGGAATGAATTTGGCTCATGCAGAGAATTTCTTTTTTTGCTCGCATATTTTCACTTTCTTACTTCATTTTAGATCGGTTGTTGGTCAGAATTACACAATTTCTGCGCCTCTCGTCATTATAACATTCAGCGCCGGTCATTCCCCCACGAAGGGATTTTCCTTGTCGTTTTCCTCATCCGGACTCCCCGTCCAGAAATTCCTAACCGGTTATGCCGACCTAACGACAAAATCTGGAAACTATTCATACCCTGTGAAGGGGAACAGCTACGCAAACAATGAAAACGCCATGTTCTTCGTCGCTCCGGCGGTTCCGGGATGTCCCACGCTCCGATTTACTTTCGTCGACGTTGAGCCCCATTCATATTGCGGGTTCGACTATGTCAGAATATTTACTTGGCTTGGCAACCAGTACAAGCAGGCGGCAACGTGAGTGAAATTTTTTTGCAGAAAGTAACAATTTAAAAGGTTTCAACAGAATTGCTTCAGCCATTTTAAAATTTTTATTAGCTTTACTTTCAAAAAATATGTGACAATAGTTTTCATTTTAATCAGAAGCATGTAGATGGACCGTTTAACTAATCTAGAAAATAATTTTTCAATACTTTAATATAAACTTACATACGTATGATATAAATATTATACTTTCAGATTTTGTGGGGACAGGATTCCTCCGAATATCACCTTTATTGAAGGCGCTGGTCTCGTCATGTTTCATTCGAGTGACCGCTTGGTGAAGAGTGGGTTCAAGTTTGAATGGGTTTAAAATTCAAAAAGCTGTCATAATATAAAACGATTTGAATATTGTTATGATTGAATTTTTTCGAAATAAAGTAGTCACTAGTATGCATACAAATTCGTATTTGCTACAATGACTGTTTATTCAGACAATTTTTTTTAGAAAATGTTAAAAATTTGGGCACGAAAGAATTATAGCTTTAATAAAATATTCACGAAGCAAAACTTTGTTTTTTATCGATTACATCGAGTTTATTATAATTTTAGATTTTCGAGAAGAGAAGTTTTATGAAGTTTAAGAATCATATTTTCAAAGTATTTGAATTCTTATAGCCGCAGTTTTGCACGTAAACTTTCATGAATTCTCCAATTACGCCATTCTGGGCTGAAGCAAGGGTTGCGCAATTGTTGATCGAATCCACTCAGCAAAGAAACTGGTTTCCGTGTAAACTCCCGGGTATCCTGCCTGTGCACAACCGCGCCCCCATGACACAATTCCACAAAGGGCCTTGTCTGCTCCACACATGAGAGGACCGCCAGAATCTGAATTTAATGATTCACTTGATAACACCAGAATTTTAAATTTTACGGTTTAAAAAATCCCCCATTTTTAAGGAATTACTTATTAAAGAAGATATTCTCCACAGTTAATTGACAAATGAATTATGGCGAAAGCATGTATTTACATAAATTTGTACTTACCCGCTTGACACGAATCCTTTCCTTCCTCGCCTAAATAAAATTTAGAATTACATTAATATGTATTTACTGTTCATGTGAAAAAATATTGCGTTCGCCGAGCCAAATTTAGCTAAAAGGTTATCTGGCAGCTTACATACATATGTACTTAATTTATTATAATATCTTAGCAACTTCAAATTCTGGGACCGAAATAAATTTCTTTTTGGGATAAACTAGTAAAAACAAATTACGCCAGGTAACCTTTTAGAATTTCTGGGGCTACATTTTTTCCACACGAGTAGTAACACATTAGTATATTATAACATAGGTATGAATCTTTGATACATAACTGTAACACCATGACATACCGTAACAAACCATGCTATCAGAAATACTGCCCGGATAGGAGGTTTGACAAGACGGTTCCGCCACGAAGGGGACATCCACCTTCATCAAGACGTCTGGAGCTGGACCTCCGCTTTGGAGATCACCCCAGCCAGCAACGGTGGCAACGGCTGGAAAAATTGCACATATTTATTTACATATTTACAAGGGCGAACCAGATGATTCTGACGGTACCGGTTGGAACAAAGTTGAGCTGTGGGATCACGACGGGTTGGACAAACTCATTGAACACGAATGGAGGATCCACCTTGAGAAGGGTGATGTCATTGGAAAATCGGAGTGGCCTGAAATTATGGCAACCTTGTTAAAAATATCCACACAAAAAATTCCCTCGAGGGGTCCCGGAATTTAAGCATTTTTGCATCTTACAAAGGAGGTCTCCCAGCGTATGATCTCCAATTTTGACAAATTAGTGTCAATCATCACAAATTTAATTGGTATAAAATCTCCCAATGTCAAACTTGTGCAGAGATATTTACACCCGAATAGGAGAAAACACGCAGTAAACTTGGAAAGGGAAAGTGTAAATTTTAAGATGCAATTTTCTCTGCAAAACCTGCCCATTGGCAGCTAGTGTCATTTGCAAATTTGTTGTTCACTCTACATAAATCGGAGAGCATCCGCTTGGCGACCTCCCTTGTTAGTCAACCCACCTCCCATAACCCGGATGGTCTATGATCGCCACGACTTGTCGCAGTTGTTCGCTGCCCTCGCCAAAAGTGAGGTTGTGCTCCCCTGCCACGACCGAGTATACAGCCGCACCCCCAGCTTGTTGCATGCAATGAGCCGCCGACACGACCCACTCGGGCGTTACGATGGATCCGCCACACCAATGCATGCTGTTCGTCCGGCCATACCGCATGTCGACGATGAAGGGAAATTCGGACCGGTCCGCCTCCACACCTCCGACGATCAGGCGAGGGCGAGGAACGTCGAGGTCGGATGGTTTCGGCATGCCTGAAAATATTAAAATTATTAAAGTATTTTCAAAAAATGTTGAATTATGAAAAAAATTACCTGACGCCATAGCCACACATGAAACAATTATGAAGATAGAAAACTTCATCTCGGATTTTCTATACTTTTTTAGCCGTTATTATCTACTTTGAGGGCGAGATGTTTGTACGGAGTGATACTTGCTGAAGGAAATTATTCCGCTTTTATACCTTATCATCGTTCGGATGATAAGGTAATTTCCTTAGTTGTGTGCAATAATCTGCGATATTATGTTCCGATTTTTACTGGTAAGTTGAGTAGTGGTCTTTCCGATGGTGAAGAATGAACACATTTTTAGCAGAAGAAATTCCATGTTAAATAAAATTCCCAAAACACTTGGTGGTTATCCCGGACAAAGTAAGTAATAAGATACATAAGTACTTTAACTATCATCCTTACATGTCAGGGACAACGTAGCTTCAAAGTGAATTAAAAACCTGAGTAACATAAGTATTTAATTGGGGAACTTGATGCTAATTATGGATCAGTGGATATTGCCATGAAATTGCCCAACGGAGATGAGCACAACAAGTGGGGCTTATCCGAACGCATTACATTTGCTGGGTGTACGTAGTACACAATGTTTGATGAGGCACGAATGAGATAAGCAAGAAACAGTACATATGAAGTGGGATTTAACGCCATTAAGTGTTAAGATAAGTATGATGGATTAGAACAAACGATATAAATAAAATTTCCCAATTATGCTGTACAAATTTTTACATTTTTATTTCATAATCACCTTTGACCAGGTGTAATGTCATACCCAAGAGAAATTTTATCAGAAAATCAAACTAATTTCTTGACGTGGACAAGTTTGGCCACTCACAAAACGCCCAAAACCAAACCTTGCATTCCTTCAGTTTAATTTTTCAGAGGAAATCTGCGCCTAATGAAGCATAAAATTTAAACAGGATTAAAACCTGTCTCTACAAATGTTGCGTTGGTAATAGAAATACATAATTAATTCACCACGCAACATGCATTATTAAGAAAAACAGCGAGTAATGAAGTCTGACGATTTTAATTTATTAATTTTATTCTTGCATAGACAAGAATAAATTGTCGTTTTAGCACGCACTATGGTTTTCTGGGACATACATATGCCAATGCATCCTCAAACATTAACTATTTAAATCTATGTTTCGACACGATTGGGTGTGCAGGCAAGGTTATAAAATAAGCGTCATTAAGTAAAACTTCCATTATTAAAAAAACATAAACTTTCTCCTGCTCACTTTTACTGCGTTTACAATTCTCCCAAATCTACCCCATTTTTATGTTATGAATTTGCCAAATCTAACCAAATTTTACGTATTGATACATATTTGCAAGAAGGAGATTAATAAATTCTCCACTAGAACCCTTTGAGTAACTCAACAAAATTTGTTTTAATTATTCATCTTGTGCTTCGTGAGATTTCTGACTGTATCCAGGTAAATAATAAAAAAGTAACATAAGCTAACCCATTTTTACCTCACGCAGTGTATTCCATTACACAAAACTCTATAATAACAGCAAGTACTCATAAAATAATCTAATAATGTCATGTAATAATTCTAAAATTCAAATCAATCAAATAATTCAAAAAAAAAGTTCAGAGAGACAAACCAGCAGGTTTGTCTCTCTCGCGATTATTATTTTTCTTTTTAATTTTTTGTGAGTTATTGACCACTCCCAATCGTCGGGTTTGTGGCATTGTCATACTCTTGGACTCCGTTAGTCAGTGGTAGATGATTTTTAACACCTGGACTTCGGCTGACCTTTAAGTGCGGCATTGTGATTTTAACGTCAGCTGGCCTCCCCTGAGTTGCAGAATAGACTCTTCCAAGTTCTTGTTCCTGCTTACTTCAGTCAGCTCTTATTTCATCAGAAAAGAATCTCGGGGGGCACACACACGCTACAAAGTTTTTTTATGGTTCCCGTCCCCTCCCACATCGTTCTCTCGCCTATTTCCGCATCCGGTTGGGCAGAATTTTTCAACATAAAGCGGGCAAAGCGGTTTAATTTGCCCTTGAACAAGAGCGCTCTGACCGACGGCGCTATATAAATCTCGATCCTATGCAGGTCTATTGTTCCAGTTTTTAAATCTCTTTGGTCAATTATTAATTGGTGAAATTTATGCAGTAATTTCAACAACCATGGCGGAATGGAATGGAATTATGAACAACATCAACATCAACGAATAGGAAGATGGATGGACAAATTTGTGGAACATGTCATCGGGCTATCGGAAAACGCCAACTCACACTATCCTGCGCCTTGTGTGAGCAAAAGCATCATCTTATATGTCATCAGAATGTAAAAAGACCAGAAAGGGGGTACACATATAATAATGTTGTACCAAATTGGGTTTGCGCTAATTGTTCTCTACAAATTAATGAGGGATCGTGTCTTATTGGGACGGATTTTCTAAACTCATCAGCGCTACTGCAGGAGGACTACGTACCCCTCCAACCTCATACGTCGCAAGCCAACGTTACGAATCATTCTTCTCAAGATTATGCATCAAGTGGTAACAACTTATTTTATGGTCTATTGGATAAGAAAATAAGGGAATGCAAAGGTATTTTATTTGCACATGTTAATATCAATAGTATTAGAAATAAGTTTGAGGAAGTGTGTAATTTCCTACAAAAGCACACTATTGCTGTATTTGCGATTACTGAATCGAACATAGACGCTGAAAGAGACTTAACGTGTATGTATCAAATTCCTGAGTATTATATGACAAGATTTGATAGGGATGTGAAGAAAGGTAAAAAGTCAGGTGGAGGTTTAATTATGTACATACATAATACGTTTAAATTTGATATTTTAGACATTGACTTTCTAATACCTGGTAGAACTCAACTAGCTATTTTGAAAGTTTATCGTGATTATATGAAGCCCTTACTTTTTACCGCGTTATATAATCCACCTGACACGGATAAAACGCAATTTCTGAAATGTTTTACTGATCTTAATGTATATTTATCGAGTTTTAAGTATGAAAGGATTACAGTGGGTGATTTTAATCTGAATTTGATTAGAAAAGGAGTATTTGATATAAATACGTATAAATTATTGTTATTAGCCAAAGAGTTTAATATGTACCAGTTAATTAAAGGACCTACACATAATAGTGGATCGCTCCTTGATCATATGTATGTGTCAAATAAGTCAGATTTCACACAATCCTTTCACTTACCATTCGCTGGATCTGACCATGATATCTGTGTTTCTGCGAGAAAGAAACTTAAAATTAAAGTATCTCCGAGAATTGTAACTTGTAGAAAATTTAGTGATATTGATTGGGACTTATTCAATAAGGACTTACAAAGTTATATGGAGAATGTAAACTGTGAAAATATTGATGTCAAACACCCTGTCAAAACTGATGTAGAATTCAATAATGTTTCTTTATATGTAATGAATACGCTTGATAAGCATGCTCCAAGTAAAAATAAGATAGTGAAGAGCAAGAATGTTCCATGGTTCAACTCCGAGATATGGAAATTGGTTAAACATAGGAATAGTCTCCTAAATGTAGCGAGAAAGTCGAATGATGATAAAAAATGGAAAATGTATCGTAAAGCCAGGAATAATGTGAGATATAATATGAATAAGGCAAAGAGAATGTATTTTCTAAACAAATTTGAGAATGTTACTGGTACTAAGAGTATGTGGAAATGTGTTGATGAATTAACTAGCTATACAAAGAAGGATTTGCAACCAATTAACTCTTTAGTTATAAATGACGTATGTACCTATGACAAAGTGGTGATGAATGATCATCTTGCTGAATGTTTTGAAGTGAATGATAATTTTATTACAAGTAATGATGATGAAATGAATGAGATGATTGAAAACTATTGTCAAAACTATGATTACTCAAAAAGTAGTAATTCTGATATTTTGCCGTTGGAAATTAAGGATGATGAGATTGAAACATGTATTTCGAAAATGAAAAATAAGCAACCTAGAGATGTTAAAATGCCACCCATCTCTGTTATTAAAAAATGTAGGGAAACATTAGTGTCTATTTATCAATGTTTTTTATGTTCTTTATTAACAAATGTATATTGCCGCAGTCCTTTAAAGCTGCAAAAGTTACGCCTTTATATAAAGGAAAAGGAAGTCGATCGAGCGGTAAAAATTATAGACCTATATCTATTCTCCACATTTATTGTAAGATCTTTGAGAGGTTTCTATTCAATAGAATAAGTATCAGAGTTAAAAATTTGTTATGTGAAGAGCAGCATGGGTATAAGCAGAATAAGTCATGCATTACAGCCTTGAAAGAATTTACGAATTATGTTTATAGTGAGATTGAGAAGCCTAAAACGAAGGTTGTTGCTGTAATGATTGATTTTTCACAAGCTTTTAATTCACTTGACAAGAATGTATTAATTAAAAAACTAATGAATGAATTTAAAATAGAACCATGGTACATTTGTATAATTAGAGAAATATTCCGAAATCGTGTATTCCGTTTTTATAATGATGACAAGTATTATCATATGCCTAGAGGTTGCTGTCAGGGTAGTTCGCTCGGGGGACTTATATATAGTTTATTCTCTAATGACTTATCGAGGAGTATCGTGTGTAATATGTTAAGTTATGCGGATGATGTAATTTTATATGCAAGTGGTAATAATTCGGATGTTGTAATGGATGAAGTGTTTGCTCAATTCAAAAATGTATGTGACTGGTGTTTAGAAAATGGTATTACAGTTAACTATAGTAAGACAAAATATATGGTATTTTTTAAGGAGCATGATACAACTGAAAAATCTGAGAGAATGTTTTGTCAGGTAAATGGTGAGAATATTGAGCGTGTGTTTGAATTTAAATATTTAGGTATCTGGATTGATCCACACCTTAATTTTAAGAAACACTATGATGTTGTATGTAAGAAGGTTATAGCGAAATTGAAATATCTGAGAGGTGTTAAGCGGTATTTGAATGTTCATGTTTTAAAGATTATGATAAATGCATATGTACACTCAGTTATAAATTATGGTATTGAGATATGGGCTGTACAAACTGATACTCTCCTCATCGAACTCCAAAACAGAATAGACAGATTTATTTATGAATTTTTTGTGCATAAGTACGCTAAGAGGAAGTACAGACATAAGACTGACACACAATTTATTGATAAATTACGGAAAGATTGTAACTTTATGACAATATTAGTGAGAAGAGATTATGTCCTACTAAAATGTGCATATAAAGATATGATTGCAGGTAGTTGTAACTTCTCATTAAGAAATAATGTACGTACTTTTCCACTAATGAATGTGGATACTTTCTCCTCTCAAATATATAACAAATCTGTCAAATTTCGTACTACGAAGTTATGGAACGCGTTACCAAGAGATTTAGACGTAAGAAATATGTCATATGGGAAATTTAAAGAATTTTTATGTGAAGATATGCTGAAATAATTGTTTAAAAATAACGAAATGAAGATATATTAGTTAGTAGATATAGTTAGTTAGTAACATATTTGTATATTGTATGTGTCACTCGTGGAAGAGCATGGTTTGTTACTGTGAACTTGGTAGACACTTGAATAAAGCATAATCAATCAATGAATCAATCAATCAATTCTCATGAATAATTATACGTTTACGAAAGTAAATTAGCTCTTATACATACATATATGTACACATACGTATGTAAGATAATTTTTTTCTATTTTTTCAGGCGAATCTCCCCCTGAGATTCTCAGCCCTAAAAGAATATCTTACTGCAATATTTCCAGAGAGTAAATCCTGTACATACATAAATGCCCTCCAAACCAACTGCCCTGCTCAACTTATTATTAAAGATATTCTTCCTAATTTTATACGCTAAATCCTCTCAAGAATTTGCTCATACGAGAAGTCCCATCACTATTTTTTTATTCCATCATGTAAAAATGCCATCATTTTTCTAAGATATCCCCCCTCCAGCTCTCATAACCGATTGGAACGACAAGTTAAATCCTTGTGAATTCAATGAATAACGAAGGTACATTATTTTGAGACAAACGTATCCTTGATACAAACTATTTCTGAGGTACTTTTATTTTCGTAGTTTGTTCAACATTCCGGATGTCAGTATTGTCAATTGGAGGAGTGAGTTTGAAGTGGCTGAAAGTGCTTACATTCTGTCGATAACTCCAGGGTAAGGAAAAACCGGGTGTTTTGCCTTGAAAACTAGGTTTTACTGGGTTTTACTGAATGCTTAGGATGAACTAACAACGCTACATTAATTTGTTAAATTTATGTACGCATTTTATCAAGATTGGCATTTTACCATGAAACTTCAAAGCAAAATGCCAAGAACAGCATGAATAACACTAATATGATTAAAATTCAAATCGTGATTTTTAGATGGTAAAGGAAAATCCAAAAGAGATATATAGAAATCTTAGAAATATTTATTAATCAGAGGACTTACTTAATTTGAGTTTGATTAGATTAGATTGGTGCACCTGCAAATTGATTCTATTGATTTATCTAAATATTTTAGTTTTAGATTAAACCCGAGTAAAACACGGGATCGGAATACCCTGGGTGACTCCCATTCGTTTGTCTTTCAATTTCAATTATGCATGTAGATAAGTATGTTGAGAAAGGAATATTTGTACTCATAGAAATGAGCACATTTTCAACAACTTTGCACATATTCTATTTTATTGATTGCTCTTCAAATCCTCTTCGTCCTCTCGGTACCACCTAATGCTAAAAGCTAAATATATTTTTACTTCCTACCTAGTAGAGTGGACCTCATGAAAATTCTGTCTCGACCGGACTTTTGGTGACCATGATTCTGTATAAGTTCAAATAAATGAAAACTGACCAGGTGAATACTGTCGAATACTGTAATCCAGCATAAATGTGGCGGTAAATTTTGAAATTACTGTCTAAAAATATATGTAGTTATCCTCCCGTTACTGTTAATAACTTAAATTCTAAATTAAAGTGTCTTTTAACTAGGTATTCATCTTATTGCTTTATGAGATTTATAAGTGTCTCCAGCTCAATACTTAAAATAGATGAAACAAACTTTCGCCAGTTTTACTTCACACACTGAACGTTACACAAGTATATTACATTACACAAAATTTTGAATCAGATTCTCATAGGAACTTCTGATGACAATAAATCATAAAATAATCTAATAACATCCATTTTTATAAATAATTACATATTTATACGAAGGTCAATTCGTTATTAAACGATAAACATTTTTTTTAATTTTTACAGACGCATCCCAACTCGGAAGGAACTGTTGGAATATCTACATTAACCTCATACACCCACGACACCAATGCCCTCCAAACCAAAGGGCCTGCTCACCTTGTCGTTAGCGGTATCCGTCTTAATTTTATACTTTATATCCACCCAGGAATTTTCTCTTATGCGAAATCCCATCGCCATCTTCTTCACTTCATCATCTAACAATACCGTCATTTCCTTCCAAGACATCACCCCTCCAGCTCTCATAACCGATTCGAACGGTGGGTTAGGAAACCAATTGTTCAAATATGCCTGCGCTTACGCTCTCTCACAAAAATGGGGTGTTCCCCTCTACGTAAATAGTGTCAGGTCAGGGAGAAAATTATACCTGGCTCGGTTCTCCATCGCTAATTTGACGTTTGTGCAAAATGTGAATTCGCCCAGGAATTTGCACATCTTCACTGACGAGGACATCGTGTTCAACACGATCACTCCGGACTTACTACGCACCAAGATTCTTCAACATAGTGATTACTGCCAGTCTGAATTGTTCTGGCGAGAGATTAAAGACGATGTTATCAAAATGTTTGAAATCAAAGGCGTCGACAATTTTGGGCGGGATTTTAAATATTGGCGAGATTTCGTCCATTCAAAAAATTCTACTCCAGTAGCGGTGCACATTAGAAGGGGAGATTTTATTAAGGAGAATTCCAGAAATGGTGGATGGATCACTCCGATGAGGTTTTTCTATCTTGCGATGGAAAAAATGGTGCATGTTTTGCGTGAAAAAGGGAACAATAGGACTATTTCTTTTTTCATATTCTCCGATAGTTTGAACTTGGTTAGGGATGAAGTGCTAGCAACATTGGGGAAGACTGATACTCCTAAAAACGAATTTGAGGCATTGCGAGAAAAGCTAATCTCGGGCGGGATTTCGCTCCGCTTTGTGAATTCGTCCAGTTCAGGGGAGGACTCAACTTTGCAAGATCTCGCTCTTATGACGGAGTGCAAACATATGATCGTCTCCTTCAGCACGTTCAGCTGGTGGGGGGCATATCTTATAAAAAATCCAGATAAGGTCATTATTCGACCGAAGACAAATCCTCACTTTTTCGATAAGTATTCTCCTCCCGAGAAGAAAACGTTTAAGGCGATTATCATCGGGAAATATTGGTATCCTGATGATTGGATTGAAATTAATCCATTCTGTAAATAATTCTTGAAGGTATTTACTTATCATTCAATACATTATAAGTAGATAAATGTGGTGAAAGTAAATGTTGAAGCACACATACATTGTACAGATATCATACACCAAATTTGTAAATGGATATGCATAAAATAGTTATATGCAAATAATACTCACCAAATTTGTAGATGGATACATACATATATTTGCATAAAATAAGCATTCAAATTATACAAATGACAAGTGTCCTAACCTGAAAAATTAATGCTGTTAAAGGCAGACAAGATAAGTACTTTGGCAAAGGATGGTTGTGATGCATATCTGTAATAACCAAACCGACAAAAATGCAACTCCTAAAAAATGTATGTATTGATCCCCAGATTAATTCAAGTTATACTTCAACTATGGGATGATCCACTATTAATTTCCATGGATATATAACACACACAATGTCTTTATGTAAATACACTGCAAAAAATCTGGCGTAAATCCAGTGTGGTTTAGTCGCATAATGTATGTAATTTATTTGCATTTTACTGTGCCGGACCAGATTGTTTGCAGTTTAAATGTTGAATGTGTGTGACATACGTGAGCATGTATCGCTCATTGCATAAGTCCGAGTCAATTTATCACTCAAGAACAAGCAACTTACTACCAATCCGGTAATAAAATTATTAACTAGTCAATACCAGTACTGAGTATATATTTATGTGACACTACTACCGATTTTTATTTTTAAAAGTGTACCCGATAAGTGAACAAGATCCCCCAAGTGGATTGACGCCATCACCACCATTAAGCCTCCTCTATACACCCACTCAAAGGGACGAAAATTAAGAAAATTAACGTCTTCAAGGGTTCGTCAACAATTTAATTTGTTCAGATTTTGAAAACTCTTGCACCATCGTATTTAAACACGTTGTGACCTTCGTATGACCTGAAGGGTCATGGTCGCACAGTAAAGTTGCATCTGGTTTGACATTATGCTATGTATCTAATTTAAAAACAAACATAATCCTAACATGTCCCTGACATATTGAAATATCTGCGGACAGACGGACAGGCATTAAGATAAAATGGTTTCAACACATATTACATCACAATTTACATAAATAATTAAACACATGCTTACAAAACGTTACATAAACATTTTTGTATTTGTATTTACTCAGCCCAATCCGGACCCTGGATTGACTGATCCGACAGACAATTAATTAACACGTCCACAAATTTCGCCATGTCCCTCAAACCAATTCGTCTACAATTCATCTTACCTGCAACAACACTCTTCACCTTGTTTTTCTACGTTATTTTCACCCAAGAATTTCCCCGTGTACGAAATCCAACCATAAAATTTCCATCACGTGACAAAAATGTAATTTCCTTCCAAGAAATAACCCCTCCCGCCCTGATAACCGGTTCGGACTCCGGGATAGGAAACCAACTGTTTAAATTCGCCTGTGCTTACGCCCTCTCGCAAAAATGGGGTGTTCCCCTCTACGTGAATGAGGCCCGGGAAGGGAGAAGCTTATATCTGGATCGCTTATCCATCGATAACCTTACCTTTGTGCAACATGTGAATAAAACCAATGTGCACACTTTCTCCGACGAGGACATCGTCTTCAACACGATCACACCGGACCTACTACGGACCAAGATTCTACATCATAACGACATCTGTCAGTCCGAATTGTTCTGGCGTGCAGTGAAAGACGACATTGTCAAAATGTATCAAATCCAAGGGGTAAACAATTTTGGGCGGGACTTTGAAAATTGGCGGGATCTCATCAATTCAGAAAGCTCTACTCCAGTTGCAGTGCACATTAGACGGGGAGATTTCATCGATTTGAATCAACAACATGTCGGGTGGATCACTCCGATGAGATACTTTTATCTTGCGATGGAAAAAATGGCGCAAATTTTGCGGGAAAAAGAGCATAGTGCGAACATCGCGTTTTTTATATTCTCCGATAGTTTGGATCTAGTCAGGGATGGAATATTGGGGGAGCAGAATGAAACACTTGAAAGGGAAATCGGGACATTAAGAGAAGGTGTGAATTCTGGTTGGATATCGTTCCACTTTGTGAATTCGTCTAGCTCCGGGGAGGACTCAACTTTGCAAGATCTCGCTCTTATGACGGAGTGCAAACATATGATCGTCTCCTTCAGCACGTTCAGCTGGTGGGGGGCATATCTTATAAAAAATCCAGATAAGGTCATTATTCGACCGAAGATAAATCCTGACTTTTTTGAAATATATAATCCTCCCGTGGAGAAAATGTTTAAGACGATTATCATGGGGGAATATTTGTACCCTACAGATTGGATTGCAATTGATCGATTGATTAAATAACGCATTCTTCTAAAGGGCCGTACATAAAGCATATGACCGATTTATGGAGAATTTTTGGCCCAATCAGGGTATGCTACCCCGGGTTTTTGGGAGTATTAGGGTTTTAGTGGGTTTTAGTGGGTTTTGGGTTAGCAAATTTGAGCAATACCCACGGGTAGTCGGGGTAGTCCAGGTTTTCAAATTTAGTATTATAAACGGCCAATACTAACTAACAATTCTAAAGTTAATTAGTTGTGAGAATTAAATTAATAAGCTGCTTTGTTGAGAAATTACTGAAAAAGCAGATTTTTTCAAAACCTAATACATGAGACACAGATTCAGTTTTCCCCGAAAACCCCGACTACCCCCAAAACCCAGGTGAAACCCCTGGGTCCATAGATCGGATATTTTGCGTACTCCGGCCTCCGCGTACTCCGGCCTCCAGAAAAAGCTGCGTACTCCGGCCTCCGGAGGCCGGAGTACTCCGATCTATGCCTGGGTCTGGGTTTTCAATAGCAAAACCACGAGGTTTTGCTTACCCTGGCCCCAGCCGCCCTGGCCCATGTTATAATTAATACAGATGCGAAGCACAGTATGCTTTGATCCCTAACCTACCCCAAATCGATAACATGCTTTCTGCACAGCCCATAGATAAATATTTTGATATAACACTCTGAGGATTAGTGAAATTTGCGATTGCACAACTGGTTACTAAAATTTATCCGACGAAGGTAAAATTTACTTAACGTTGAACAAAGAACTATACAACATTGGATAAATTTTAACTTTTGTAGTGAAATTTATACAACCATATTTGTTTCACCGCAAATTTTTCCTCAACCTTGAGTAAATATTAATCAAATTTGTTTATATAGATTGCAATAATGTTAAAAAACCTTTTAGAAGACATCCATCTATATTGTTGATAATGATGATTCAATATTTGTACAGATGTACATATGTGCATATAAATCTATGTAAATATGTGCACTTATGATGTCCAGATATGCATTTATTTATGCATGAAGTAATTGCAAATTATACAAAACAAGGGCACACGTACTTATGTAACAGGCACCATCGAAACGAATCAATAAGTTAAGTAGTAAAATTATGCTAATATTCAAAAATTGAACTCGAATTTTGTTTTAAGCCAATTTTGAAAAGGTTATTTCCGTTTTGACCACTTTATTTTGCAAGCCACCCACCAGAACCTTTAATAAATTCATTTTACTGTAACTACGAGTTACTTTCCATTAACTGGACATGTAGTACATATTTTATTCCAATAAGTATTTATTTATGTAATCCTTCCAATGATCTATGTATTAATTTAGGAAATAAAGGGTTGAGACACCTTAATATATGCGAATGCAGCATGAAAAAAAACGTATTCATATGTGACGTCCTAATCCTAACCCTGCATGACTTATACGGAATTTAGCTCTTCCCTTTATTCCCTTTATTCCAACGGATTTCCAGATTTCGCGTGTGCATATTTGACGAAATTCGCAAATACATTTTGACTTCATACTTACGTATGTACATATATACAGCGTATCAAATTTCGAAAAAAAAAATTAAAACGTTGAAAAGCCATGGAATTACATTTATAAGAAGCACTATTCACTTTTTAAAATGTCAACCCCATAACTAATGCAAAAATGACGTTTACGTTTCAAAAGAGTGGCATAATTAAGTATGAGTGTGATAATGAATATGCGCAGAAAATAGTAATTACTTAAATTATATAAGTGTTTTACTTTAAATGTTTTACTCTGCAATTCATATAACTTCTACATTTTTAAATTTGTATATTTACGTTAGATGCGAGATTTTATTTAGTAAGTCAATTAACTATAGTTGATTGTTGTTTTACATATTTTTTTAATTTTCAACATTCAATTTACTTGTATTAGTTGTCTATTTATAGTGTCTTTCATTCTAGTGTATGCACGTGGTTATGTTATTTTGTGCAACTATTAAGGTTCAAGATTCCCAAATCTAAGTACTTACATACTGATAAGGACACCATAGCTAAGTAATAAAATAAATATTTAAAATAAACGTATGCACTGCACAGAAAGTGGCTTATTTACACATACACAAAATCATGATTAAGAACGCATAAACAAGGTCCCAAAAAAGGGGAAATCTTAGTGAGGTAGTGCAATCATAACTAATAAATAAAATTAGATTGCAGAATTTTTGCATCACCGCTCTCGGTACCATTTTTGACTGGAAGCATTAATCGTTTAAATAGAACACTTGCCCCCTCAAAAGATCCGATGATTTTATCTGAATAGAATCTCCAAATTAATACGTTAAATTGAAATTATAGATTTGTATATTTTTTAAACAAATAAGAAGTTCACAATTATTTAGCCATTATATTTTACATATCTATCTCAGTTCATTTAACCCAATTCTCGTTCACTACACAGTAAAAACGTTTTCCTTCCTCAATTTATTCAATAAAATTAAGAATTCATGCGTATACAAAGTAAAATTTACATACATATACTGCATCCAGTAAAAATTGTACCGAGAGCGGTGATGCAAAAATTCTGCAATCTAATTTTATTTATTAGTTATGATTGCACTACCTCACTAAGATTTCCCCTTTTTTGGGACCTTGTTTATTTATAACTTGTAATTGGGATGTCAATGTGATGATTGCATTGCACCACCCGGGTACACCCCCTTTCAATATTTGCATCCTGAATAATTTTATTAAGCGCTTGGGTTTCAACATTGAATTATTTCGTTGTTTCATAACCGATTCACGTTATTTTGGTCTTACAATATCTGGTATAAATTACTAAATGCCAAAAGACCTGACTGGAGGTGCAACACCAACAATAACAATTTCATGCATTTTTACCACATTTAAGAGTATTACTTACAGAATCAAATATTAGTTGTTCTGTTTACAATTTTGAATATTTATTTTGTGTTATACTTATTGGTCATGTGTCGTTGTCAATGACGATGATTCGTAGCACGTCTATGAATTTTCTGGTCTTCAAAATGGAATAACTTGGTCAATTCTTAACGGATTTTGATAAATGTATATTCAAAATTTGCGGGATAAATTGTTCTACAATTCGTGGGGTTCAAACTCTTGATAAGGTTTGCTAGTAATTTCCAATAATTACAAATGTGTTTCTAAGGCCATATTTTTTCTCATAATTCCGGTCAAAATCAAGTAATCCCTTAGTCGGATTGCAGATCGATTCTAAATTCCGTAACAATAATCGGTGCAAAATTTCATCAAAATCGGTTAAAAAATAACTGAGATATCGCAAATGGTCACTTTTTTGGGGTGGGTTAAATGCATACTTAGTAATTTTTTTCGTTGTTAGGTATTTGCCTCACTAAGAAAAACGCAATTGCATCATACATACATATATAGTTAGTATTTAGATTAGATACTTATGCAACTCAAAAATCACTCGTGCACTTATTTACATAATGTGGAAGCCGCTTATAAATATTTATGATAAGAACTTTACACTTCAGTGTACTTGTAGTTTGAGATGAGCAAATATTGAAGTACACTTGCAGGCACTATTTTCATACGACGGAAACATGCATGATAACCGAATTTTAATCGTAATCGGACTGGACTGGTGCCACGAAAAGAAAGACTTTTCAATTAACACCAAATTGGTATTGCCTATTTCGACGAATTTTTACTTTACTCCAACGTAGGATTTTAAGATTTCATCTCGCGTATGCGTATTTGTCGAAATTCGCACATATAAATAAATTGGGAATTAATATGTACGTACTTAAATACATTTATTTAGAAATATTACTCCTCAATGGGTCACTTTCTCCTGGGGGAAGGTTATCAACAGGGTGAAAATATAATTAGCTATTAAATTATAGCAGAGCAGAATTGCACTCCTCTTCACTTGATTTATGGGACCCAGCCTGACGCCAAACGGGTGCATGGCCGCCACCCTTTTTCGCACTACCTTTACCCTACCGCCATTTGCTTCTTGTCGAATTTTTGCACAAAACTGACACGACTTTTCAAACATGGATGTCAGCGGGAAGAGCATCACGGCTTGGATGAAGACCCCATTGTTCGCCATGGTGAGGAATGGGAGATATTCAAAAAATGGGAGAAAGCCGTGGAACCTGATGGCGCTAAAGGAACACACGACACAGAGCACGAACGGGCAGAAAACCGGCATAAATGGCGCCACGAACCACGCGGTGGATTTATTGTAGTAAGCAATTAGAATTTGAAACCTTCCGTAGTGCAATATTTTCTCGGATGTAGGGACTTTCTCTCCCATCCTGAAAATATTAGTGTAAAAATAAATTGAGAAAAATTTTAAAATTGCAATTTTTACAGTGTGTGATTTCTTACAGGAGTGCAAGAAACACAAAAAATAGTAGCCACCTAAAATCTCGTCATTTGTACTGCATCTATTAAATGATTTGTCAGCCAGATGGCGCTTATTTTTTGCATTTCTTGCACTCGTGCAAAAAAAATTCGCAGGCTCTTTTTTCCATTGTAAAACTGCATATTTTCCTCGAATTTTAAACTTACCGCTGAATACAATTCAACCAAAACGCTGTAGGAAGTAGCGTTGGCAATATTGTGAATACATCCGTTGCCATGATCATCCAAGCTTGCGAGGCTTTCACGTACCACTCGATTCCAACAAAGACATAGAAGGCGAAAGTATTTCCTCCCGCCGACGGGGGAATGAGAGAGTATACGTACTGCGGTTTTGTCGGTGCCACGCAGAACATTAGACTGACTGCCAACGCGTAGAAAACCACGACCCAGACCATTAACAAGGAATGAATATCCATACTGTTCAACTTCCAAATGACCGCTTTCGTTTTGACAGTAGCGTATTCTGTACAATGAAATATTACAAGTCTTTTAATACTATAAAAAATATGTAATATGTAAGTTGTGTAACAATTTAATTTTCGATTTAGTAATCGGAATACATCAAATTTTATAATCCAAGATATTAAGATATCGGACAAAAATTTGTAACATATAGTTCGACAACTCCCGAAATCAGAAGCATTAAATACTACGAATTACTACCTGAATGCCTAGCTTTGAACGACTTCGAAAAATGTTTATTAGAATCTAATCAGATTTTGATTTCGCTCGAGACATTGAGGCAATTCCTAGGCAACTTATAAAAGCCGAAAGTTTTATAAAATAATTGTACTTACTTTTACAAAATAGTCAAAAAGATTCCCTTGTTCCGATCAAACTTTCAAAAATTTGTGAGCTAATTTTCTTGTGAAATAGTTGTAAAACTTCGTAAGTTTACGGAATTAATGGATTTTACAATGTTACTATTGTAATCAATGCCTGGGTGAATTACATCCTGCAGTTTGTCCAGCTTAGCACCGAAAGTAGTCATATTGAGGCAAAAGCTGTCATGGATAAACGGTAAGCACTCACCTCGTTCCAACCTGGACACGGCCAGTTTCACCCCTTTAAACAAGGTAACCACTTCTTCCTTGTTTATGTATCCATTACAAAACGCCATGAGCCCCCAGCCGTTGATAAAGTTCCAGAGAAAGATCCACACAATGCCGGGAACGGAGGGATGCGTTTCATTAAAACTTAAAACTAGTCGATAGAGTAGGAAACATTGATAGAGAAACGTGGCCGCTGACGCCACAGAGTAGAAAATCTGTCTCCGAACAGTGGGACAAACAGAGAGCGCATCTTCATCCAAATCCCACCCGTACGGACTGCTTCCCAAGGAGGAATAAATATCGGAGGAAAACCGAATTATTTTTAACGTTCGTGGGTTAAACATTTCGAAATGTTCAAGCTAGAGGAACAGTGATATCTTGTCCGATAAGGTGACGACGAGACTAATCAAAATTGAGTAGTGAGTCAGCCGATAAGATACATACAATCAGGCCTGGCACCTCATTTGCATAAATCTCACTATGCCCATTTTCAGCGATATCAGTTTTCCATGTTGAATAAACTCTATGTCTCTCGCGAATGCGCAAAATATGCAAATGAGGTGCCAGGCCTGAGTGCGAGTATGTAAATTCCTGTTTGCATTTTCGAATGATGAAAGTTTGTAAATTTCCTATCTTAAACTTTCCACCATGGTTGTTTAAAATTAGCATCTGACTTTGTTAGTCACAGCGAGAATGTGTAATGTCGAATATTTATTGTCGAATATATAGTTGCAAATATTTTGGCAGAAATTAACCTTCGCAGTAGTACGAGGCCTCTATAGTGTCAATTACAGATAAATTATGCATCCAGGGAAATTTGTCTCGTTGGAACAAATCATGTATAATAGAGGCAATGGGAACGATGGCTTCGTATCTTGTTAATTTTGCCTCTATCAGCGTTTACATATTTATTTAATGAGTGTTATTTTAAAACCAATCATGGTAGAAAATTGTGACACGTTGCAGAAATTGCGATACAAGCAGATGCATATCGTTCTAATTGGATTATTATCCATATTTAGGAAATTGTGTATTTGTTCTTAATTGATTTTATGGTACATGCATATTTGTGCTTATGCAATTACACCCTGGAAATAATTGAGAATCGTGCGATGGCGTAATGTTGTAATTTTCCTTTAAATAATTGATAGGTTCGTTTTCACTGAAATACGTGTTTAAGGTGCATATAAATATCGGTATGGAATTGGTTACGACTTGTAAAGTCTAGAGGCATGTTACAGATGGATACATAATAGTTCTAAAATGCATTTCACTTCAAGGTGCCATTGCAAATTAAATTAAAGCAAATGACATGTACCCGGATACAAACATGTATTTAGTAGTACATACATATATACATGTGCATGCATACATGTATACGCATTTCCGTACATATGCACAGTACCATAATTTACATCGTTTACGACTATAAAACAAGTCGCGTGGTGATTAAAGATGCACCATGTCGTAGTAAGTATATGTAAGATAACCTTCACTACTATGTACAAATAATAATGGGCATTATAACGTCAAGCAGTCAGTTACATTTACTAATATGTACAAGTGAAGCCCTAATACCCAACAATGTTTATATTTACAGTCTAAATTTACTTCCGGAATTAAATAATATTAAAGCCATGGAAATTTTATATGCTTAAATTCGAATTAAAACAATGAAATCGCGCTCTACTCGTCCATACTACTAAAGCAATTGGCAAAGAAACACATTTTTTTGAACATTAGTTTTTGATTATAACATTAAAAATCTCATATTTGAAACCGATGACAAAGTCAAATCGTAAATTTTCGAGGTACACTTTGCAAATTCAGTGTAACTGGTGTTGTTAACCTAGGAAGTTGAAAAATGCCCCAACTTCCTAAATGTGTTTGGGGTTTGTTATCATGCAAAAATTTGCATTCTAATGTTTCCCTCATGGGGTTTCTGGTTTATTGGACAGCTTCGTATATCTAATATTATATCTAATATTATATTAATATATATGTACATGTATCTAAGTAGTTAATTATGCTGGGAACGTGCATATGTACACTGGGCATACACATCAGATTGACGTGCATATATATACATCAAAGTTGCGTGATCGGTTTCAACTAAATTTGTGGATAAAGTTATATAAGGAATTTGTATCACAAGGTCACTTAATTACGGTACTTGCACTTCCCGATTGTCTGGTGTGCTTACAAAAACTTTACTGTCAGAGGAATTGCCTAAATCAATCTATCGAATATGGTGAAAAGCGATTAAATGATTAAATGTATCGTTGTCGAATGCGCTGTTTCATTGTTTTTAGAGTTTCGTCCATTCGACGAGGTGTATAATATATTGTGCACAATCTGACTTTGAATTCCCAGCCCCGATCCTATAAACCCGATCCATCACTCCATTGTGCATAGCATTTCCTTTTTAAATATCACGTCATCAAAATGTAATTAGCTTAATTGATGAATCATTAAATGAAGTTTTGGAATTACTTGATAATAATTGTTTGTAATAAATTAAAATCTTTATTAGACATTAGCATTGTTTTATTTTATCCCAATTTTGTAAAGTGTTGAAACATACATGGACAAATTTCAATTTTAAAATATTTTTAAATCCTTCACACATGATAATTATGTAGTACAGAACGTAAACCGAGAATAAAATTTTAAGCACAATGAAACACATTTACTCTTTTACTTCTCGAGACAATGAACTCGACTGCAGTGTCTCACCAATTTGTTAAAGTTAACAAACTGTTTCTGGCAAAAGTAACACTCTCGCCAATTCGAAGCATTGTGCTTTCTCATGTGCTGAGTTAAACTGCTTTTCGAGTGACTCTTGTATTCACATTTGTCGCAGGAATGAATGTGACACTGCAACACTTCTCGGGTTGATTTTTCCAAATGCGTTTTCTATAAAATGAATTTAATTTGTAATTTTGCATCCAGTTTTTTTCTACAACATGATTATTTATCTACCTCGTGCTTTCGTGTGCTTCCCATCTGGGTGAAACCCCTCCCACACGTGGAACATTTGTAGGGCTTCTCCTTGGTGTGGATGAGAATGTGAGTCTCAAGTTCCCACCGAGTTCTAAACTCTTTTACGCAAAGGGTGCACCCAAATCGTTCGGGATTCTCAGAATGCTCAATTTTCTGGTGTTTCTCAACGTTGTATTTGCTCAGGTAGGTTTTCCCACAACCAGGGAACGTGCATGGGAAACGACGTCTTTCCTTCGTGCTGTGGACGGTTTTAATATGTTGCCGTAAGTTGATCGAGTCGAAAAACTCCCGATGACACGTGTCACAACTGGGTCGTTCCTCGTCATTAGTATGAATCCTCCACATGTGAGTGCGTAAGCTAGGTGGATTTTTATAAATTTTTCCACAAATCTGAGCAAAATGTGGGTTATGTGGTGGCTGGAAATTGCTAAATCTGTTTCGGTATTACAAATGTAAACGCTCACCTGGCATTTCACCTTCGCATCTGGATCATGTGTGGCGAGATGCTTGGTAAAGTTCCCCTTTTCTTTTATCGTCTTGGAGCACGTGGGGCATTCCCACTTTTTTCCTGGGTCAATATCCATCTAAATTCAGTTTTACGGAAATTTTTAAGGTTACAGGTCTCTAATAATTAAAATGCGGTAGACTTGTTGAAGCCAATACTTATTTGGAACCTGCAAGCCCAACTTAAAAGTTCAGTTTCCCAACTGTCGTAATTTCCTTATTTTTAATTAATTTTTAGCTTTTGTAGTTGATTTAATTAAGTTATTTTAGTTTAAGTTTAAGTTTAAGCATGTGAATAATCTGATTTATGCAGGGTCGTTTAACTGCCAAAGTTTTAAGAGAAGTTCACGGTGAAAAGTGGTAGTGATTCGTATGTAGTCGGAAAAAGGGGCTCAATGTTTTAACAAGAGCCAAGATGCACACATGCACAGAAATGGTTGACAAATTCATTTCGCCTTGCATAAAAATGAGCACGATTTTTTGTCGGTATACGCCTATGTTAAGTTGGTGAAGGGATTTTTTTTAGGATCTTGACTCCTCACCAGGACCGAAATGACTTATCTTCTCATGCTAAAATTAACATTGCATAGCCTCGAATTTTGAGTACATCGGAGCGATATTTCTTAGGAGTAAAAACTTGTGTATTGCATATTTAATTCTTACGGATAATAATCATAATATCATAATTTTTACGGATGGATAAATTTACATAGATATGTAGGTAGGTACGTGTATGCAAAGGCATAAATAAATATATACATGCATATAAAGAATATTTTAATATTTTGATTGTTGCTGATTGTTGTTGATTTTTGAATATGCCGTTTGTCCTTTGTAAATAGTGTGATTATGTAATTAGTGAATGCTTATTTTATTAGTAAATTTAGTTATAAGTCTAATCATCTGAACATACCACTTATAATTAGCTATTACACAGGATTTAATAGTATACTGCTTATCTTCTTCAGCCATGCTCTAGCAAATTTTGACGTATGTACTTATATGACATTAGTCATTCATACGTGTTGAATTGGCTAACCAAGGCAGTGGTTGATCATCAGACGTCGGATAGCGATAGATATTCCCAAATTCGTTACCACATTTCGAAAACCTTCCACCCCCCAGCCAACAATTCGGCCAAAATTCTTTGAAAGAATTCTGTACGAACAGGTCGAAATTACACCGAGCTCGAAAGCTGTCAGAATTCTTAAAGAATTCGATACGATTCCACTGCGAATTCGCACAGAAAAATCTTCAACGAATGTAGGCCGAAAGGTGACCGAAATTCGTTCCGATTTCTTTGTGATTTCACTCCGAATTCTTAAAGGAAAATCTTGATCGAATTTAGACAGAAAGATAGCCCGAATTCGTCACGATTTCTTGGAGATTTAGGTAATCTCAATTAGAGTACGAATTTTTAAGGAATTCTAGCTAAGGCTGCAGTCTGTTCTTCGAGGTGGCCATGAGGCTACGCAATTTATTACTGCTCTCCATCAGACAGAAACAGGATTTTAAAGAACAACTATAATTTGGAAATTTATCTGAATAATAAATCCTCTCTCCAAATTCAGACCTGGTAAGTATTTGATTTTGTAAAATGTTGTAGCAGGTTTTATCTCTATTTCGTTTTGCTTTTGGTAATTGTTCTTTGGGGTATTCAGATCACCATCGTCTCTGGAGGAGTGAGAGGATAAGAGGAAGTCGATGTAATTTCCAAGATGCCGATAAAATTGCTGACTGGCGATTTATTGCCCAAATATAGTCTAAAAGGAATGAAGAAAAAGCTTTCGCTTTCTACGCCGGCGGATATCAAAGATGTCCTTTACAGTAAGTAGGAATAAGTAAGGAGAATCATATTATGTGTATATAATTAGGATAGATTTCTTTCCTTGAATTTATTACAATTTTTTAATTATTAGGGGGTGCAGCAAATCTGATGAGCCTTTTGCTACCTGACCTTGCAAAATTTGATGACAGAATCTTTAAGGAGTTGACTAAGGCCCGTGATCGTATGTATAAAAGCAACAAGTGAGTTTTATTTTCTTTGCCATTAAATTTTGCAATAAAATTTTGCTTCGAATTTTTAAGTTTTTTGCTATTATCAATATATTGTGCAAAATATTTAAAACCTGTTTTAATTTCACAGGAAACAGCCAGTCAGCAACAACCTGTCCTCGCCATCATCACAGAATTAATTTACAAATAATTAGCTTATTTTTTGTTATGGTCATCTAAGCAATAAAATAATTCAAAAGAACAAATCATTTATCCAATTTTTCATTTCAATGTAAATCGTAGTGATTTCGGGCAGAATTCGACAAAATTCATTAGGATTTCTATCAGAAATCAACACGAAGTCTTGCAAGAATCGCAAAGAATTCGCACAGAATTCGGCGTAAAAATTCGTGACGAATCGTCAAGAAATCTGTACAATTCTGCGGACATTTCCCACCGATTTCTTCGGGATTTCTGTACGAATCGTCAAGAAATCGATCCCGAATAGGTCGAAAATTGTGGCCGAATTGATCCCGAAAACACAAAGAATTGTTGGCTGGGCCACTTGGTACAAAAATCGTCAACAATTGTTTTCACCCTCTCAGAAATCTGGACAATTTTGACCCTCCACTCGACCACAAAACTGATCACGCTCGCACCTAAAACTGCCCCACAAATGGCAAGCGCATACTTCAAAGCTTCCAAATATACCATGGCGAACTCGTCAAATTCTGGCTGAAACTGAATTCCGCTGTTAATTTGAGCGTAATATTTTTTAAATATTCCCTTCCCATATTTTCTCGTTCTGTTTAGCCGATCTGATGACCACGACAAATGCCGCCATGTCTCAACCAACCCCGATTCCACTAGTCTCTTGTGGGTCAAATAAAACCGGGGAAATATGAAATTTCGGTATCCGTGCATTACAGCGGTCGTTTGAAACCCTGTCTCATCCCGGCCATTGATGACAAATCGCTTACCCAGAAGTCTGATCGAGTCCGTACAAAATTTAAACTCTTCTTCCTTATTCATTATTGCAAATGTATCACTCGTTTCGAAATTTTTTAGTAGAGGTTTTGAATTTGAAATTGTTTTCATAATTTCTTCACCCAAAGGCCTTCTAAGACTGACAAAGGCAAGCCTCTTGTCCAGGGAATCGAGTGACCTTTGATACGCGGGGTTTGCCGCCATGGCCGACTTCAATTGCGGTATCAGAATACTCTTAAGGGTCGATGCGTATGAAATGGTGCGCGTCGATCTGTTCAGGGGAATGATATAGTGTCCGAAACCGCTTGTCGTTAAGACGAAGCTTGGAGGAAATCAGCTCTTCCATCGTTCGGGGTACTTTGGGGGACTCAGGAACCGTCAAAAACGAAAAGATCGCTCCCTGATACAAGTTTTCCATGAGAATGTAACACCCAAACAACCAAACGATCAAAGTGACGCGTCCATTTGCAAATGTCTTTGTAGCATCACCTCTTCCACTTTGCCCCAAAAGCATGGCGGCTACTTCAAATAGATCTTTGAAAATGTATTCCTTCAGCCCAAATCGATAACTGAATTCCGAGGTAGAAGCCGAAATCGGAACTAAACCTGAAATTGTGATGCACGAAACGACTATGAGACTCCACGTGGCTGCGTCGAACGGGAGCAGAAACGTCCCAAAATTGTTTGTTATCGATGGAAATTCGGTAACGACGGAAAATTTGAATTTGTCAAAATTCACGCCGTAAAGACCAAAATTGTTTCCCAGCAGATTGCGCAGCGTGTTATCCGCAAGAATAGTTCTGAAGCTTATACTCCCAACCAAGTCTCTGCTCACAGTCTCGTTAATTTCTCTCAAGTGCGAATAAGTAAAGTTAAATTTTCCTCGGAGAATGAACAACGGGCAAAAGTCGGGTGAATAAATTGTAAAGAAATTTCGCAAGGCTGGGTTGCACTCACCCTCTTGCTGAATACTTTTGTCACCCCAGTGTTGCACTACTCTCCCGCGAAGATTCAAATTTTGAGCGTCCCACACTACATCAATTCGACGAATGGTGAACAATAAGGTAAGTTTTTCTTCGATTAACGTCTCTGTTTTTGAATGGCAGGGTAAGCATGGTGTAAACACCGATTCGGGGTAATTACCGCTGAAAAGGACTAATTTCGAAGGGCCCGGTCCTTTAGCGTAACTCTCATAAATGTCTGCGTTGTGAGGATTGTCGACATGTGCGAATATGTAATCAGCGACAGGGGAACGTCGCAATGTAACCCAGAGAACATAGCTGTGATCCATTTTTGATGATTCGGCCAGATCCACGAAGACGAAGAGTGTTCGAAATCTGTGAAACTGGAGGATCGGGGTAAGATACACATCAACATGTTTAGAAGATGGATTACGTACGAATGCACCGATTAGTTGGGGTGTATAATTGTTATTCAGTATCACCTCGTGTAATGCGGGGGAGATGTGAGATTTGTTATAAGTTGTGACCAAGTGAAGGTCACCATCTTGAAATATACTGTTAAACAGCCACATGGCTTGGATATATTGGTTAAACAGGGTAATTATGAGAGTAAGATGATAATTCATGTTGTGGGTTTGCAAGTGAGTGGGATTTGGTTGCGATCAATTTTGAAATGAAGCCACATACAACATATTTACATTCTTGAGTGTATAAGAATTATTTTGTGGACGAGTACCACTGGTTAGGACATATCCAATTCCGATGTAAATTTTACATGTGCCTTACTCCATACTTTAACTAAAGGTCTTAATAACTGGTTTAAAACTTGCCCATCAGAAAAAATTCCCTCCTGGAATTACCTTTAATTTGTTATTGATAAACTTATTTAGCTAGTAAAACTCTCGTTTCCTTCCAGAAAATTGGGAAATTAAACGATTATAAAAGGAACAGTTTAATACAGTATTTTGTGCAGCGTCTGGTTAATGGTCGTTTATTAGATACCAAAGTTTTAAGAGAATTGTATGGCCAAGTGACTGAATTTGTACATAAGTATGTATATGTAAATAGTCAGAAAAATGTTTCATTCGTTTGTATGTATACATAGGTATTTACACATATACGTGTAAAGACATGAATACAAATATTTCTAAACTATGTGTACTTACACTCCAAATTTTGAAAAATTATTGAAGTGTGTAGGAATTGTGTAGACAATCATATCGCTTTTTGGAGTCAGGCATTTATGTATAACAATATGTGTCACAATACTATATGAAATCATGAATAGGAACAAATTCTCAGAAGGCAAAAGGTTTCCCCACTTTCCAAGAAAATGTTTCGAAGAAAAGTCATCACGATTATATTAATGGTATTTTTTTTGTTTTTCAGAAGTGCAATTTATATTTCAGTTCAGCTGCGGCTGCAGTTTTTCACGTATTTACAAACATACCTACATACATGCATTTATAAGAAACAAGGTGACATTTCAATCCGCTTCAAAATGCAGGATCGATAATTTTGAAAAGTGATTTTTGCAATAAAGCAGATTGTCATTTGTCCGTTAAAAAGTCCGGATTGCTTTTGGTAGACATGCGACTCTGCATGTATGTAAATGCATAAATGAGTAAAACATTTATATACTTATGTACATATGTACATACAGATTTTTCTTAATTTTCATCTTCATACGACAACTTGTTGCGACAATGCATAACATATTTATATGAAAATTTATTGATCCTCTATGACATAAATATTTACTCATGAGTCACTTACGATTTAACTTTAGTTTACATATTAATTACTTACGATTATATAATAGACGCATACATACATATGTACATACATAAGTACATGAATAAATATATTTATACATACATTTTAATCTACCGAGTCACCTTATCCTGTGGAAACGTTATCAATAGGGTAAAAATATAATTTGCTATAAAATTATAGCACATCAGAATTGCAATATTTCGCACTTTTTTAATTGGACCCATCCTTACTCCAAAAGTGTGCAGGGCAGCTGAACGTTTTCTCGAAACTTTGTCACTGCTCGAGTTAACTTCGTTACGAATGTGCCGCCGTAGTTTGTCCGATACTTCGTAAATAGTAGCGGCGGGAAGTAGCGTCACGACAATGAAGATCAGGTCATTGTTGAACATTATGGGAAACGGGATGTATTCGAAAATTGGGAGAAAGCTACGAAATCGAACGGCACCAAAGCAACTCGTGACGCACATGGCGGCAGGAATACAGACGGATATCGTGGGAGGGAGTAGTGAGACGAAGGCGTGGTTGTAGTAGGCGATAAGCACGTGGAATTTTTGAAATAGTGAGATCTTCTCAGAAAACGGGGTCGTGATCCGATCAATTCTGTAAGAAAATGTGGAGCAAATTTAAGTTACGTATTGATAATTAAGGGATTTTGATATTAGGTGTATTGGGACTGACGATACCCTTCGGATATCTCGGACGCAAATTAGGGTTTCACCAAGTACTACTGTCTAAAACTGTTCGACCCAAATACCCCCAAAATTATTGCCCTGATTCAAATTACTTTATTCCATGAAAACAGTAACTACGCCCTCTAATTTGACCAACCTGCGAAAGTAGTCCATCCAGAAGGCTGTAGGGAGCAGCGTGGGCAAGATTGAGAATACATCTGTCGCCATCATCAATACCTGAGAAGTCTTTGCGTATGCTTCGAAAATGAGAAAAATGAGGAAAATGACGTCCATCTTGTCCGGTTTGGAGGAGTAAATGAGAGAATAAAAATACTGTTGTCTTGCCGGAACAACGGAAAACATGAGCGTTACCACGAACGCGTACATCAGTGCGATCCAAATTACGGCAATGATATGGACATCGATTGTGTTGAACTTCCAAAATGTCCTCTTCATTTTAGCGGCTGGGTATTCTATAAAAATTTGTTTAACTTTAAAATATTTGCTCTGATAATTCTGGTAGTTTTCTAGGTGACCAAATCAATTAATGCCCCTAATATTTAGATAAATATTCCAGAGTATTTATGTGTATGCATGTCTATTCCGTAAGGAAGTATTTAGAATAACGAAATATCTAACTAAAAAAACTGACCTTTTATTTGTAAAATGTCAGAAAGAATTGAGTTTAACACGAATTTTTATAGAATAGTGTTTGCAAATAGCTCTGACTGCTTAAAATATATCAAAAATATGCTACCTGTAAAACTTCGATTGTAAATTGGAACAAGTCGCCGCAGCATTAACAAAATTCCGAGTAGTTAACAAAACCTTGCATTAATTCCAAAATTCCGAATTGGCAAAAGGTCATATCAGACATCCGTTGTAATATTGAACATAAACTCCTTACTCATATTCTAATTTTGATTTCGTTCAAATTTTGTTGCAAAATGTGTCGCAAATGAGGTACCCAAATTTAAGGCAATATAATTGCAAACGTCGAAGAGTTGCGTATTTATTAACATTCCCAATTGGATTAAAAATTCGGAAAAGGTAACGGATTCTATCTAGCGATTCCGCTCTGTTATTAGACCTGTGGATTATACCAAAATTGAGCAAGATATGTACTGTGCGGGTGAAGCTTAGCACGTGAAAAAGCAGTGTTGGCCCTCACATAACAAGAAGAACTGAGGCGCGACACTGCTTTTTCACGCTAAGCTCCACCCACACAGTACATATTTATCTTGCTCAATTTTAGTGGGACTTAAAATGCTAACCAAAATTCCATAATTCGATCGTGGCATACTAATATGGAAAATGCAATTATTTTGCAAAGTCAACATATTGGAAAATTTGGGTCCAAAATCAAGGCAGCGGCCAAATTCTAGTCCAGTATAATTTTTCAAAATTATTTACTGTGATATTTGACCAACTTTGAATGATTATGAGACAAAACTCAAAATTTGCAAAAAATTCGCACATTTTTGCATAGATCTCGAAAACTGCCGGTGCGCCACCCCTATTTTATTACGGATTACTGATCTACTCATTTTTACGCAAATTTTAAGCTATATAACTTGAAAATCGTTGGAAGCCGAAAAAAACACTATTTCATTGTATATATCTATCTTAATAAAATCTGGACGTTAAATATTGCTTGTTACCAATTCGTCAACATCGGACAAGCTCGCGGAAATTCTAAAGTGAAAACATGTGGAGTTCATCTTCTAGAAATTTAAAAATTTCCGAATATCTTCTAAAAGTTAAAACTGCATACGTACACATGCATATTTTTAGAAATCTAGTATTAAAATAATACCAGGCAGTACTCATATACGACTCTACCAAAACGGTATTGATTAGTAAGTAATACGATATGGTAATAGCTTTACCATGCAAAATTAAACAAAATTTTTACGGACCGGTATAGTTTAATTCCAAGTGGTAGTAACTTTATCACCGACCAATTAATACCTAGATACGTCACTATATAACGATTTAAATATATCAGTGTCCAGTTTGCCTAATTTGAAACCTCTTTCAAGATCTCTTGTCAAAAGTCTCACGCCATTAAATAATGCCACAAATTCCCACTTTTTCGTCCACCCATTGTAGAAAGTCACCAGACTCCAAACTGATAAAATGATCCAAATCCAGAGCCAAAGAATAGCTTGGAATGAGCGATTCGATTCCAATTTTTGCGAATGTTGGACAAGTCTCCAAATGAGAAAGCAAAGGAGAAAAAATGTATGCAAAACTGCTCCGAAAAATGTAAATTTCCTCGTCGCCGTAGTCGAAATGGAGAAAGTTCCACGGGCAGAGTTCCATTTGAACGGATTACTTCCCAGCGATGAGCAAATCTTCATAGAAATCTCGATAACTTTTAATGTCCGAGGGTTAAACATATTCACCGTTTTTTCAGATTTTTTCAGTGGGATATGTTTATGGAAAATAAATAAGTTTATCACTCGATTATGTGTAAATACGGCGAATATGTAGAATTTAAGAACAAACTTTATTACAGAGGCCATCCGTTCCCACGAAGAGAATGCAGTGCAACATTAAGTACTTATTAAGTTCTGTGACGGAAAATACTGAAATTAAAGAGCATACAATGCTAAAATTCCTTTACGATTGACCAATATTTCAAGGAAGTGATGAACCCTTTCACCAACTATATAGCGATAGATTCTCAATAAAACTGTCTACGGTCATGATTATTTTATGGGAGCAATTAACAAAACAGACAACAAATTACACTTATGGTTATTGCACCGGGTATGTTCATATGAATGCACTTTAAGTATTTTAATTGGGGGGATACACAATTAAATACTTACCCTTCCTGTGTATTTATGCCTGATCAATTTTTCGGATGTCTATGCCACGTTATAATCCATGAGATGGGTTATACTTAATAACTTAATGGATAGTTTGGTCAGCATGACAATATGGGGCGTTGAAAATAAGTTATGAAACAGCTATTTTAATGTCAGGCCAGTTCACAAGTAAAAACGATGGAAAAGTTAGATTTCGTCTCGTTTTACGACCTCGTATACATAGAAGAAAATATTTTGCGGTGAAACATAAGTTTTTCCTAGTTTTAGGCTGGTCGGCTTCGACTATAATCAATGGAGTTGACTACGATTTGAAGCATTAATTACAGTTCTTTTTTTGTAATAGTCATTTGGGTTAAATTTGACTCACTAGTCAGACTTGAGTTTTTGCGAATTAATGATTTTAATAATGTCAACGAGCCGATCCGCCCAATCGAGCGAGATGACACTATTCAAATAAATTAGTTTGAAAAGATCCTAAGTTTGACCTCAATTTAAAACAAATGACTACCATGAAAACCAATTATGTAGTCAAGAAAAGGTTGCCTTTGTACATATGTACATATGTATGTACATATATAGTATGTAAGTTTATACAATGCATGTACTCGTAGAAGCACGCCCAAAAAGTAGCGGTACAGGCAGACTCGAACTTTTAGTAGTTATGTAATTGTAGAAGGGATTCATTAAGGCAAAAACTTGCATATTGCATATTTCTACTAAAATACTTTTTATGGATTATAAACCTATGTAAATACGTAGGTACTTGTATGCAGAGACACGAATTGTATATTGTACAAGAAAAATATTTTAAAATTATGGTTGTTGAAATATGTATGTATGCGGTTTGAATGTGTCATTTGTAAATAAATGTGTGCACCGTGGCTACATATGTATGTTTGCCCTAAAGGCCTGATTTTTCAAATGTTTAGCATGGATTTTTTACACACACTTAACATGTACATTTACTCTTAAAGAAAAACATAAAAACTCAAGAAATATTTGTGTAGAACACGCAGCATGCACAGTTGGTATCTATTAATAGCAATAAGTTAATATTGTTAAAAAAATTCATAATAATATGTATCTTTAAATAACTGAATTATTTTTAAAAAAGACTAAATATTATTCAGGATGCCTATCTACATAAATACTCATTAAAAACTAAACAAATGTTGCGTGTTAATAAAATATCACATGCACACATACATAAGTTGATAACTTACCTATGTTATTTTTTTAAATTGCCTTACAATCTACATACTTATTTAATCATGATTACAATTTAACTTTAATTTACATATTTTAAAAATACATTTAAATCTACCGAGTAACTTTCTCCTGGGGAAATGTTATCAATAGGGTAAAAATATTATTCGCTATAAAATTATAACACATCAGAATTGCAATGTTTCGCACTTTACGAATTGAACCCATCTTTACACCAAAAGCATGCAGGGCGGCTAAACGTTTTCTCGAAACTTTTCCACTTCTCGCGTTAACTTCGTTGCGAATATGCCGCCATAGTTTGTCCGATACTTCGTAAATTGTAGTGGCAGGAAGCAGCGTCACGACAATGACGATCAATTCATTGTTGAACATAATTGGGAACGGGATATACTCAAAAATTGGGAGGAAACTTTTAAATCGGATCGCGGCAAAGGAACACGTGACGCACATGGCGGTAGGGATCAAGACGGACAACATGGGAGGGAGGAGTGAGACGAAGACGTGGTTATAGTAGGTAATTAGCACGTGGAATTTTTGAGATAGTGAGATCTTCTCAGAAAACGGGGTCGTTTTCCGATCAATTCTGCAAAAAGTTACATATTTATGTTCATACGTTTCTTAAACACCGTCTAATTTGACCAACCTCCGAAAATATTCCATCCAGAAGGCTGTAGGAAGCAGAGTGGGCAAGATTGAGAATACATCCGTCGCCATCATCAATACCTGAGAAGTCTTTGCGTATGCTTCGAAAATGAGAAACGCTAGGAAAATGACGTCCATCTTGTTCGGTTTGGAGGAGTGAATGAGAGAATAAAAATACTGTTGTCTTGCCGGAACAACGGAAAACATGACTGTTACCGCAACCGCGTACAAAAGTGCGATCCAAATTACGGTAATGAAGTGAACAGCGATTGTGTTGAATTTCCATAAAGTCCTCTTCATTTTAGCGGTTGGGTATTCTATAAAAATATGTAAATGTAACTTTCAATTACGATAAAAATTCTACGTTTTCTAGGCGATTAAAGGAATACTCCCAAAAATTCTATAATATACGTATATTTCCAGTCTCGAAATTTTTAGAATAACCAAATAAATAAAAAAATGACCTTTTAGTTGTAAAATTTCACAAAGAACAGGGTAAAAGGATTTTTTGTAAGTAGGTACATACATTTGTATTAGTGCTTGTAAATAAATGTTCGTCATAACGAACTCTGTGTTTAAATTGTACTCAAAATATGCTACCTAGAAAAATTCAACTGAAAATCGGAATAAAATATGTAGTTTAAATATCGTTTAAGACTTAAATCCCATTGCATCGCACATTTTCTTCCATAATTTGACAAAACATTTTCAAGGTGGGAATTGTACGTGGAAACGTAGAGAGTTCACACTAAATAGATACATATATCTTCTAGAAGTTTAAAAATTTCCGAATATCCCATGAAATTCAAATTGCATAAGTACACTCGTAGACATCCAGTATTAAAATAAAACCAAGGGTATTCATATGTGAACTTCGTGTATGACGTTCTACAATATCGGTGACAAATTTTTACGCTATAGTTATAATACCAAGCGGTAGCAACCTTAACACCGAGAAATGTGTGTATCTATACCAGATTTATAACAGTGTACATTTTGTCTGATTTGAAACCTTACCTCTTTCAAGATCACTTGTCAAAAGTCTCACGCCATTAAATAACGCCACAAATTCCCACTTTTTCGTCCACCCATTGTAGAAAGTCACAAGACTCCAAACTGATAAAATGATCCAAATCCAGAGCCAAACAATAGCTTGGAATGAGCGATTCGATTCCAATTTTTGCGTGTGTTGGACAAGTCTCCAAATGAGAAAGCAAAGGAGAAAGAACGTATGAAAAACTGCTCCGAGAAATGTAAATTTCCTCGTCACCGTAGTCGAAACGGAGAAAGTTCCACGGGCAGAGTTCCATCGGAACGGATTACTTCCCAGTGATGAGCAAATTTTCATAGAAATCTCGATAACTTTTAATGTTCGAGGGTTAAACATTTTACAATTTACTAGGTAATCAAATTATCCAATTTTAAAATTATTTATGGGGAATACGTTTGATTCAGAGCGAATTAAACTCCATATTTTTATTTATTTATAAGTTTATCACTCGACTACAAACGAATATGAAGAATTTAAAAGCAAACTTTATGGCAGAGTCGATACTTTCCCACTGATATCCATGCAGCAGGGCAACATTAAGTACATTTTTTTTCTGTGACGGGAAATACTGAAATTAAGGAGCATACAATCTTAAATCACTTTTATGGTTGACCAATATTGTGATGAGCCCATTCACCAACTAGGAATAGATTCTCAATGAAACTGCTGATGACTCCGGTGCTAATTATTTTGATGGGAGTAATTAAGAAAACAAACAACAAATTACACTTATTGTTATTGCTCCAGATATACATGAATGCATTTTAAGAATTTTGTGAGATAGACAATCACTTATCATTCAAGTGTCTCTTTCTGCCTGCTCAATTTTTCTGACGACTAAACATGTCACGCTTGGCATTTTCTAATCAATGAGATGGGTTATAGTCGACAATATCGAGTAGCATTTATTAAAAGATGCAATGAAACGACTGTTTTAATGTCAGCTCCTTGCACGAGTAGGATGGGAAGTTAGATTTTGTCTCATTTTATAGCCTCTTATAGGAAATAAAATTCTGCGTATAAACCTGAGGTTGTTTTTTGCTTAGGGCGGACCGGCTCCGACTGTAATCAATGAACACTCTGAATTGAAACATTAATTACTGTTATTTGTTTATACACAAGTCACTTGGCTTAAATTTGAGTACGATTTTGGGGCTTTTCAAATTATTTACTTTAGGTTTCGTGCTGTGCCACGCTTAAAAAGTTTTAATAAACGAGCCGATACGCCCACCTTGCCATTCATCGTACTAGACGAGGAACGTTTGACACGATTAAAATCAATTATTTTTAAAAGCCCCAAATTTGACTCAAATTTAAAACAAATGACTATTATGTAAAAACATACCTATAATTAATGTTCCCATTCATAGTCTAATTCTTTAATTACAGTCCCCGTCGTAATTAACACTATTTAAATCAATTAATTTGAAAAATATGAAAAGAGTAGTGATATGAGTAAGGTGTGAGGTATGAGATAATTGCGGCGGAACAATAACGAGTATGTATTTATGTATCAATTTCGTATATATCAATTTTGTAATTTTGTGTCCGAAACATACTTACAGGAGACTGAGACGAGTTTAGAGTCTCAACATAAGATTGCATATATATGTACGTACGATTATATACAGTCAATGGAAAAAGTATTGACAACCCCCACGCCAGCTAAATAAAATTGGCTGTAACCTTGGAATGCATTATACAATTGGAATGAAAATGTGTAGGCCTTTACCAAATATAATGTAGTTTTCGATTATAGTCATGTTTTATTGATTAAAATTAGATAAACACCGTTTTTAAATGATTTGTTGGAAAATTTGCAAAATTTACCTACAAAAAGTATTGGCAACCCTTAACTTAAAAAATCATAAATCAAAGAAACGCCAATTTTATTATGACAAACTGCTTCTAGTATTACGTAGCACCTCCCCTCGACGCAATACGAGCAAAAATACGTCGTGGAATTGATTCAACAAGTTTCTTTATAACGCTTTTCTATATGGCTGCCCACACTTCCTTTGAACTTTTGACAAGCTGGTTTTTCGAAGAGTGGTTTCCCACCGGTCCCTCTTTTCTCAATCCGGGCAATCAGAATCACATCGGGAGACTGTGCAATCAACGAAAGAAGCTTAACCTTTTCTATCTCCAAAACCTTGCATCGTTAAATTGGCTACATGTTTGGGGTCACTGAATTTTCGGAATATAAAATTCCTTCATATGTCAGATTTTTATCAAATAATTTCAAATTATCGTTTAGAATGATTATTTGGACCTCATTGGTCATGATTCCATCGATAATGACCAGCTACCTACGCCACGACCTAGTCATTTAACCCCAAACCATAATCGCTCCTCTTCTGTGTTTAGCTTTCATAGGAACATATTCGTTTTTGTGAGCCTATTATGGCAGCCGCCAGACTTGAACCATTCAATTTGCTCCGAATAAGTAAAATGTGCTTATGTCAGACCAGCAGAACCTTTTTCATTCATTGGAAGTCTATTCAGGGTGGTATTTAGTCCATTCGAATTTATTGAGTTGGTTCGTTTTGGGGACCCTAGCGTCAGTCGGGCTTCTGGACCCTGAAACCCCATGGCATGATTTTTGATTGATCACAATATTGCATGATATGTTGACGCCACAGTTGGTTCTCAAATTCAACATGGTTTTTGGGGTTAAAATCTTCCGATCTCGAGTGATAATTTGCTTGATTCATCAGTGGCTCGTGGGCGTAGGTGGCTTTTTTCTTCCGCACCATGGAAAAGCAGAAACTAAAATTGTCATTTTATATTTCTTGGCTACATTTCCAATAGTAAATATGGAAAAGTATGTTTTCCATTGATTTTTCGATATCCAAGTTTTTTTTTGCGAAAAAGAAATGAATATTTCTCGCCGCGCCAAATACAGCTCGTTTGGTGTCGCCATTTCGGTTCCAGATAACACAACTGCTGACTTAAAATGTAGCTATCGTCATATTTTGTCACCTAATTAACTTACGGTAAAGAAATGTGGTAGGTGATTAAGAAAATTGTTTCGCGTAACTAATTTGGCCACATGTTGCCAATACTTTTTGCGGGTTAATTTTGCAAATTTTCCAATAACTTATTTAAAAACTGTTTTTATCTAATTTTAATTAATAAATTATGATTATAATCGAAAACTACATTATATTTGCTGCATGCAAACACATTTTCATGCCAATTGTATAATGCATTCCAAGGTTACAGCCAATTTTATTTAGCTGGCGTGGGGGTTGCCAATACTTTTTCCATTGACTGTATATAAATAAATAGGTAGATAAATACATCACAACGATATATTGAGTCAATGGACAGTATCAGGCTCCCATGGCTAACCCGAAAGCTTATGCGGTATGTATGTAAGTACGTAATAAACCATAAATTATATAGATGATCAATGAATTTTCACATATTGTCGTATGAAGGTGAAAATTAAAAAAAATACGTACACATTATTATGTATGTACATATAGAATTTCATACATATCTCCCAAAAATAATCCGTCAACTTGTTCATGGACACACAGAGGTACTATCTGCTTTATTGTCAAAAATAATTTTCAAAATTTTCAATCCTTAAATTTGGAGATTAATCTAAATTAATTAATTACATCCAAATGTCACCAAATTTCTTACAAATGTATTTATGTACATAAGTCCGGAAAAACTGCTGCAGCTGCCGCACTTACATGTAAATACCTTTTTTATGTAGGTAAACATAAATAAAACTATTAATATACATAGTCGTGACGACTTTTGATGGAAACATTTTCTTGGAAATTGGGGAAACCTTTGCTTGTCTTATGAGAATTTGTTCCTACTCATTCATTTACTAAATGTGACATTTTTCTACCTGACTACAGAAAGCGATATGGCTGTCCTTCACAATTCTAACACACCTCAATAATTTTTAGTTTACTTATTAAAGATATGAAAATAATCATTCTCACTGTTCTCACGTCCACACGCTTGTTTACATCACTTGCATACATGTGAAAATTTTTGCTGCAGATCCGCTTACATATTTAAATAATTCAGTACAAATTGAAACTTCAATAGTTTCTTCACTTAATAAATTAGTTGACAATACAAAAGTCTTGTGTTAAATCTTTAATTTCAACATGGCACCGAGCAATGGTAAGTACTTGATTAGCTTAATTCCAAAATTGCTGTAGGTTAGGCTAGTTTGCATCCACAACTTCAAGAAAGTTATGATGCGCAGAAATCAGCATATTTTTCAAGTCAAATGTGCACATTTATTCGAGATGTAATTTGCATATTTCGGCTTCTGTATTTTTACATTCAAATTCCTAAACTTTATGTCGAAATTAGTTTCCGTATATATTTAGTAATGTATAGTTAATTGTAACCACTTTTCACTTTCAGACCACCTCTCATCTCAAATCAAACTCACACTGCAACACTTCATTAAAGCCAAGATGATCTTCTTTTGGACCCAGTTACCCTCAACAAGAAAAATCCAGCAGTACTTTCCCGACGTGGAGGATCCCTCAGATATCGAACAGATTGAGAAATTCTTTAGAGCATCACGGTATGTAATTAATATCAAGGAACTTTTTCTTTTCTCTCCCGCGCTGGTATCCTTCCCATACTATTAGCATGGGAAGGATACGAAGGCGGGAGTGTAAAGAAAAAGTTACTTGCTACTATGTACATGCATGTACATACATACATTTAGCACGTGCCAATTTAGTCATGCAAAAAATCATAAGAATCGTTCTAGCAACAATTTCGTTTCACACGAGTTACATACATTAATCGTTAAATAATAAGTGCCCTAATTAATAGGGGTATTCATTGGTGTTCGCATCGCAATATAATTTTGCAAAAATGCGAACTAAAAATTGACGAACATTTAGCAACGCTGGCAAAAAATTATTTTTGGAAATTTATTGCGTATGCCCAAACCTAGTACATATTTACCTAGTTTGCAAAATATTTTGAAAAATTATGCTACGATGTGAACATGCAAATTCATAATGATCCTCACTAGATTTGGATATGCGCAAGTTTACAAATGAATTTTGAAGCCAAAATTTTTACAAACTTTGTTTTTTTGCTGAAAAACAAGGCGGAATTTTACTGAACACCCCCAATATTAATTTCAGGATCTTCTTCTATGCCAAAATTAGACAGGTGGCTCGCGCCTTATTCGCCCAGAAGCCACACGCGCATTACAACGCCATCACGATTCGTGAGGATTACAAATTTTACAAATTGCTGAGCTATTATTTCGACCCACTTCGAAGTATTAAACCTCCCGAAGAGTTCCGCTGCACGGTCATTCAATCCATTCAGGATTACTTTGTCGCGCTGCAGACGGGAGTGGAAGACGAGTCGGAATTTATGAGAAGGGTTGGACAGGTATGAAAAATTTTGGCCATTAAAATTATTTATGCGGCCAACAGACTCATTTCAGATTTGTAAACTGTGTAAAATTATGGAGAAGTTTCATCAATTTGCGTCAAATGTATGTAGATAGCTTTTAGCGGAATTGGGTCAGATCAGAAATGATTACAAAATTTTGGGAGTTGCGAAACTTCATAAAAATTGTACAGTTACATAGAAGAAACATTAATCAGTATAAATAAGGTTTACATATTTGTACATGCTTTTCCATGAGGAAAGCAGGGTCAAAATCTCGTGCAAACTTGTGTCCCTAAATTTTTTTTATATAAGCAAAATTAAGTTTTGCACAGTTTACTATTTTGGTTATCCGAGCAAATTTCTATGCATTTGAATGTTTTCTACAGTAATTTTAATTGGTTTCTTTTGTAATGAAATTTAGGCTATGATGCAGATAGAGAAAGATCCCCCAGAGTGGTTACAATCCAGAGATTTCATGGAATTTGTGCATCCTGAAGGTGACCCACCGAGTCGCTAAGATTTCAAGGTGATGGACCAATTGGGCAGATGGTGGATTTTTTAATGAGTGGACTAACTTTTATAATGGGTTTTAATGAATAGTACAATTGCTGTGTGGAAATATGCAGTAGCCATTCTCAAATAATATCCGGATCCCAGCCACCGATTACGGTACATAAATTTGTAAAAAAATTAGTTGGCACTTGAAATTAGTTAATTAATCCGGATTGATTTTCAAAATTAAGGATTGAGAATTTTGAAAATTGTGTTGTTGCAATAAAGCTCAGATATTATCATTTATCCATAAAAAAATTGATGGATTGATTTTGGGAGATATGAGACGCTGTATGTAAATGTATAAATGAGTATTAGTCTAAATTTATGTTTGTATCTATATTCGTGACGACTTGTCTTGGAAACAATTTCTTGGAAACTGGGGAAACCTTTGCCTTCTGAGAATTTGTTCTTATTCATGATTTCATACACACATTAAATGTGACACATATTTTTTCTACCTGACTCCAGGAAGCGATATGGTTGTCTTTCACAATTCTAACACACCTCAATAATTTTTAGTTTACTTAAAGATATGAAAATAATCTTTCTCACTACTCTGATGTCCACACGCTAGTTCACATCACTTACATACATGTGAACACACTCGCATTTGTTGCAGATTCACTTAATATTTAACTGAGCAGATACTAAAAATTCAAGTTTTACACCATTTAATAAATTATTTGACACTCAGCCCCTGTCATCAACTCCTTAATTTGACCATGGCACCGAGCAACAGTAAGTACTCGATAGCTTAATTCCAAAATTTCCGTAGGCTAGGCTAGAACTTCAACAACACGATTTATTTTGAGTCAAATGCGCACATTTATATATTCAGAATGTATCAATATGCATATTGGGTGTCAGATTACATATAAGACTATTTTTATATACGCATTTCTGAAATTCATTCCAAAATAATTACATATTTTCATTATTTAATAATGCTGCCATAGTTAATTGTAACCACTTTTCACTTTCAGACCACCTCCCACCTCAAGTAATCAAACTCACGATGCAACACTTCATTAAAGCCAAGATGATCTTCTTTTACACCCAGTTTCCTTCAACGAGATCAATCCAGCAGTACTTTCCCGACGTGGAACACCCCTCAGATATCGAACAGATTGCGAAAATCTTTGAAGCGTCACGGTACGTAATTAAATATGTGCACATGCTAAATAGCACATGCCGATTTCATCCGAAAATCATAAGAATCGTTCTGGTAAAAGTTTTGTTATCTTATCACATTACTCGCCAACTAAATAGTGCCCGCATTAGTAGGGGTATTCATTACATGTTCGAATGTTCCTTTGAAAAAATTCGAACTAAAAATTTACCGTATTCATTTCGAGTTGGCACTTGGCACCTTTAGCAACGTTCGCAAAAAAAAACAAAGTTCCCAAGTTCGCAAAAAAATGCTTTGGAAATTAATTTGCGACCTTTCGCATCTCCAAGCCTAGTATTTAGTTTGCAAAATATTTCGAAAAATTATACTTCGATGCCAACATACAAACTCCTAATGAGCCTCATCAGCCCAAATTTGCAAATGAATTTTGAAGCCAAAATTAATTACGAACTTAGATTTTTTGCTAACGTTGCTAACAATGCGAATTTGTATTGAATACCCCCATCCAATATTTATTTCAGGATCTTCTTCTACGCCAGAATTGAACAGACGGCTCGCACCATATTCGGCCTGAGTCCACGTGCGCATTACAGCGTCATCACGATTCCCACGCATTTCAACCTGTACAAAACGCTGCACTATTATTTCGACCCGCTTCGAAGTACAGAACCTTCCGAGGAGTTCCAGCTCAAAGTCACTCAATCCACTCGGGAATACTTTATCGCGCTGCAGAATGGAGTAGATGCGTCGGAAATTGAAAGCAGGGTTACACGGGTATGCACAATTTTTTCAACATTTTTAGTCATCAAATTTATTTACATTTGCAGTCAAAAGACTCATTTCGGATTTGTAGCAGTGTATGTAAACTGTGTAAAAGTGTCAGCAATTTACGTCAAATGTAGATAGCTTTTGCACGCGGAATTTAGACAGATCGGAAACGATTGCAAAATTTTGTGAGTTGAGGAACTGCATAAAAATTGTACAGTTACATAGAACATTAATCAGTATAATTGAACTTACAATATTTGTAGATGCTTTTACATGAAAAAATGCAGGGTAAAAATCTAGTAAAAACTTGCGTCGCTAAATTTGTTATACTTATTTTGCACAGTTTATTACTTAGATATTTTTGTTATCCGAGCTAATTTCTACATTTGAATGTTTCGTGTAGCAATTTTAATTGGTTCCTTTCTTAATGAAATTCAGGCTTTGAAGCAGATAGAAGAAGATCCCCCAGAGTGGTTACAATCCAGAGATTTCATGGAATTTGTGCATCCTGAAGGTGACCCACCGAGTCGCTAAGATTTCAAGGTGATGGACCAATTGGGCAGATGGTGGATTTTTTAATGAGTGGACTAACTTTTATAATGGGTTTTAATGAATAGTTACAAATTTATGTGTTTAACATAATCTTATCATATCTACATACGTAGTCTATAGACAATTTTAGAAATAATTTACTTTGAGCATTTATTATTTTGTATTTTGTTATTTTTAGTACCTATTGCCATAGAAAATACCTTTTTAAGATGGATAATAGTTTTGCGAACTATGTTTTGCAATAAAGAAGTACTTAACATGTTTTTTGCAATTCACGATGTTTATTTTATAGACATATTAAGTAAAATTTACACACTTACGTGGTACAAAATGAGCCAAAAGTGCAAGTCTTTTTCGCATCGATTTCACCAAATTGCACATAAAAAATTACAAATTCAGTTTTGGGTGGGGGGATTAATATAGCATAGCTGTTTTTGAATTATATTCAACCACACCCCCTTCAAAAATTGGGGAAGAAAATTGGGAAAAATGAGAAGGTCAATGTACACTCGGTACAGAAAGAAGTAGATACCAACTTGCATTTGACATTTGACTTCCCTCATGAATATGAACATTTTGATGCATCAAGACTTTTAAAATTCGAAAATTGGCGGTTTTTCGACCTACATATAAATCGTTAAAAAAGTGACCTTAGCGGTCATTTCGCGGCTGACAACCTGATGCCAGATTTTTCTTCGTCAGAAGTGCCACATTTTCCGCTTTTGTTGTCCGCTGCGAAATGACCGCTACCATGACTTTTTTGGGGTCAAAGTTTCTGAGGGAGGGGCTTATACGGCAGGAGCCGTAACAATGTATAGGTATTTATGATATACATAAAGGTAATTACATAGAAGCTATTAAAACAGCCTCAAATCGCCCCAAATTTAAAACTTAAGCTTTTCTGAATTTATAATGATGATATGCATTCGAAAATTAACGCTATGAGGCTTATCAACGAAGTTATCAATTTTTCAGATAAGCAAATTTAGTTTATCCAAATCGCCCCAAACTTAAAACTTAAGCTTTTCTGAATTTATAATGATGATATGCATTCGAAAATTAACGCTATCGGGCTTATCACTGCGCTTATCAGTTTTTAAGATAAGCAAATTTAGTTTGTCCAAATCTCCCCAAATTTAAAACTTAAGCTTATCTGAATATATAATGGTAGTATCCACTCGAAAATAAACGCTATCGGGCTTATCACTGCGCTTATCAGTTTTTAAGATAAGCAAATTTAGTTTGTCCAATTCGCCCCAAATTTAAAACTTAAGCTCAACGATTTATCAACTGAACCAACTCGTGTAAGAGATGAAAAGCATCTCAACACGAGTTGGTTCATAATCCCGGTAAACAATTTGAAGAGAGTGAGAAGTGAGACGGACCACCATACGGCACTGGCAACGACAGTCAGCGGTGGTGGTGGATACCCACCAGAATCCGAGTCTCACTCTGCCTTTCGCTAAATAATGGAAACTGCGTTTGTGAAACGGTTGGGCTGGTTCAGCTCACGTGTTTATTACCGCATATGCATGCGTACAGACATATATGCAGTTAGCAAATTGAATAATTTCATCATTAAAAAACTGCATCATGATTTAGTTGTAAAATCATCAAAGCAAATACTGTTATTTTATTTGTATGTACATGTTTTGATATACATAATTATAAAATTTATGGCTGTAAAAATTCAACTCCAGTCTTCAGTATTTGCCAATCACCACTTTTTTTGCATATGCAACTATTTGAAAGCTGTGTATGTAAATGTGTAACAGGACTGAAGATTTTTGAAGATGAAAATAGCTTCGAAGAAACCGAAAAAGAGGGGACGTTGTACGGAAACAACGCCGACCGTTGTATTAAATTGCTTAATTGCTTGTATTTTATATTATGTACAAACCGTATAAATTAAAAATACCCTTCCCCGACACGGACACACAAAAAGGATGACGGAATTTGTGCGAGTACTTTACACCAAGTGTTTGTATGTTATGGGTGAAATTTACCAACGAGATGATTGAAAAGGTAAATTTTCTAATTAAAAGTGCATACGATAATGAATGAATAACAATTTCGGGTTACCAAACTCGCCATGATTAATTTTTTGTTCGACATGTTTATTAAAAAATTATATCCTCTCAAATAAAATAACCACCAACATAGAAACCACTCCCATCCATCCCGCTCTAACTTCCATTGCTGAACTCATAGGATTCCTTAAATTGATGGATTTCCACTGTAAATTAGCAAATGCTCCCTCCGGTAAGTCGTCAGTGGTTCCGTATCCGACATAGACGTGAGTGCGTCCTTCCTAGATATGAAAAAGATTATTTATTAGATTTAAGTGTGATTTTTTAACGTTTAATTGTAATGAAACTTACAATCTTGATATCGTCATCATCAGTTGAGTCAAGGAGACGTTCCCATTGCACGTAGGTGTAAGTTACTTCTTCTTCTATCGTTTCAGTGGCGTTAATAAAGGTCCAAGCGTTGCCGGTGTAGGGACCGCCAAGGCCATTCGTATCTCCACTAGCGAGAACTTTTTTCTCGTACTTTGGAAATACTGCTTGCCGATTTTGGAGGAGTTGGATCCTCGGGTCATCATTAATAGTTTCTCCAGTGGTAGTTGCCTCAGTAGTGGTCGCTTCAGTAGTGGTCGCTTCAGTAGTGGTAGCTTCAGTAGTGGTCACTTCAGTAGTGGTAGCTTCAGTAGTGGTCGCTTCAGTAGTGGTAGCTTCAGTAGTGGTCGCTTCAGTAGTGGTAGCTTCAGTAGTGGTCACTTCAGTAGTGGTAGCTTCAGTAGTGGTAGCTTCAGTAGTGGTAGCTTCAGTAGTGGTCGCTTCAGTAGTGGTAGCTTCAGTAGTGGTCGCTTCAGTAGTGGTAGCTTCAGTAGTGGTAGCTTCAGTAGTGGTCGCTTCAGTAGTGGTAGCTTCAGTAGTGGTAGCTTCAGTAGTGGTCGCTTCAGTAGTGGTAGCTTCAGTAGTGGTCACTTCAGTAGTGGTAGCTTCAGTAGTGGTCGCTTCAGTAGTGGTAGCTTCAGTAGTGGTAGCTTCAGTAGTGGTCGCTTCAGTAGTGGTAGCTTCAGTAGTGGTCGCTTCAGTAGTGGTAGCTTCAGTAGTGGTAGCTTCAGTAGTGGTCGCTTCAGTAGTGGTCGCTTCAGTGGTCGTCGCTTCAGTAGTGGTCGCTTCAGTGGTGGTCGCTTCAGTAGTGGTAGCTTCAGTAGTGGTAGCGTCAGTAGTGGTCGCTTCAGTAGTGGTAGCTTCAGTAGTGGTAGCGTCAGTAGTGGTCGCTTCAGTAGTGGTAGCTTCAGTAGTGGTCGCTTCAGTGGTGGTAGCTTCAGTAGTGGTAGCGTCAGTAGTGGTCGCTTCAGTAGTGGTAGCTTCAGTAGTGGTAGCTTCAGTAGTGGTCGCTTCAGTAGTGGTAGCTTCAGTAGTGGTCGCTTCAGTAGTGGTAGCTTCAGTAGTGCTCGCTTCAGTAGTGGTAGCTTCAGTAGTGGTCGCTTCAGTAGTGGTAGTTTCAGTATCTGTGGTCGTCGCTTCAGTGGTCGTCTGTTCGGTAGTAGTTCCTTCTGTGGTTGTCGGACCAGTAGTAGTTGAATCCGTGGATGGGTCAGTTGTAATAGTGGAACCGGTAGTCGTTGGTGTGATTGTGGTGGGCGTGGTCGTCGTTGGCGTTGTTGTGGTGGGCCTGGTCGTCGTTGTGGTGGGCGTGGTCGTCGTAGTTGGTGTGGTCGTGGTCGTAGGTGGCGCAGTTGTGCTTGATGAGTCCGTGTCTTGCGTTGTTGAGCTGGGTGTGGTCGTAGTTGTCGTTGGCGTCGTTGTCGTCGTGCTTGGTGGCCGTGTAGTTGTTCTTCCATCATATCCACCAATCATAACCTCTGTCCCATCCCACCCGTCCTCATTATTCAGCCCCAGCCCAACCCACCCAGTCCCCCTTACTTTTGCCGTAAACGAGATTTTTGTATCATCAAGGGTCCATGATAACACGTAATTTTCTCCAAATTTTTCACTATACGGATTCTCTTGACACGCAACTAAAGTTATCGATGCAATAAAAAATAGAAAAATTACAAAGCGCCCCATATTTAATTTAATCGAATCGTAACTATGGCAACAAAAAAAGACAAGTTAAACCACAGCTACCCAATTGCGACTGGTCCCAGGCATCATAAACCGGACCAATTTATTGCACTAATCCACGAATAAATACCGATGTCGGTCACTACGATAACAGAAAAACAATTCTTGTGCCGTGCGTAATCATGACCAAATTTTCCAGGGAGAACGGTTATCACCTTGGGCTCCTTAATAAAAGCAGCCACAACGAAATAAAGATAAGTGAGGGTGCCATAAATCTAGGTGACGCCAAGTTTTCAGATCAGATCACGCTTTCTGATAATGTCCGGATGTATGGCGTCCGACGAGCAGGACAAAAAAATGATTGATTGACGTACGATAAGACCAGATCGTAAAATAAAAAATTGGCAAAATTGAACTTGAAAAATGTGCATGGCATGATTATATGTATGTAAATATATGCAAGGGATATATTACATACAACGTTCTGTGTAGCGAGTTTTCATAAGTGTACATAATTATCCAGGTTATAATGCTCATATTTGCGATCAATAAATTCATGAGAAATCAATATTCGAAAATAGCAGAGTTAAGAAAAATTCTTCACGTAATCAATTCGATAAGTATTTATCTAGACAAGATATGCGAAATATTCACTATTCATTTGTACTAAACAAATATTTAGTTGATGTAGATAAGCCGATAGAATTATGCGAATATTGAAATATTGCAAATTTATTTATAAATCAATTAGTTGACAATTTGCAGTGCAAATTTTGCACTCATTTTATTCAATGCTCGATATTGATCAAGTGTTATGCCTGCATTTGCATTATCCTTAATTAGAGATTACGTACATACCTAAGCAGATTACCTATTCGCATGACGAAATCTATGGCGTGAATAAAATGCTTGCCTTTATTGAACGATAAAGATAACAGCTTTCGTTCGAAGGCAGAGTTATTTATGACTAATTACATATGAATTTGTGACAAACATGTTAAAAATTAATCAAAAAACATACCCAAACTTTCAAAAATACTTCAATTTTTTCGTAAAAATTGTTCAAAATAAGTGCAGAATAAAGCTCGAAAGACATATTTTGTTCTTCGAATTTGCATTAAATACTCCGTATACATATATATGCATATTATTCATCAAAAATGTATGTGTGTCATAATCTACATAATATATCCTTCTAATGTCAATTAATTATTACACAGGAAACGTTTAGCTAATAGTCTCCATGGAAATGGAGAAATCGAGATAACGTATCACATATTTAAGGGACCGTTCAAAAAATACGTAACTATAAATCCTCCTTTCTAAATCATCCCTTATGATGGGTCCCTCCCTTTGACATATAATTACATAGCCACCACATCATTGACGACTTCCGAACTTATTCCCTCTGCACATCCATCTTGAACGGTCCTTAATAAGAATCGGCACCACCACTACCACTTTCCCACCACATGCTCACTTTCTTTCTCGGACGTTTTTTGTGTTTTATTTAATTCTACTCGAAATTTATTCTAGTTTCGTAATTTCACAGTTCTTTTGTAGAAATAAAATTCCACATTGATCTCAAATGTCGCCAAGACAATCCTTGCCCATGTCATCGCCAAGGTCGGACGTCAGCTCAACCTGGTACAAATGCAACACTTGCCAAATTCTTCTCGAGTCAAAGTCACGTCTTTTGAAACATTTGGGGGAGAAGCATTTTGGAGAGAGGTAAGATATTTAAATTCAAATTAGTGGATCACATTTCCGGTAAGCTTTGTTAAATAGGAATTGCTCAATAAAATCTTGTAAATTTGAAATAATAATGTAAAACGTCCAAAGTTTGTGAAATTTTATATTTTTTTTCCTCGAAGGGGAGTATTTTCATAAATTTACAAGGGTACAGAGTTGTTTGAATATTCAGAATTAAATAGTTAACTGATTTATTTAAATAACTTCTCAAACAATTAATTCTTAATCATTTGAACGAAGAACACACTATTTATTAGGGGCCGTCCATAAATTACGTAACGCAAGAGGGGGGAGGGGGGGTCATGGGAAGAGCGTTACGAATTGTTATGTAGGGGGAGGGGGGTATAACAAATTTGTTACGTAACGCATTTCATAAACGCGATTAAAAATCGGATTGAACTCATGTCATCCAGAAGGTTTCAGTAGGTCCTCTCAAAGCTCTAAAAAAGATCAGATTTTTCTGCTCATCGCTCATTCTGATCTTTTTTGCTCGGCTGTGCGCATGAGATTTCGCTCAAAATCAGATTTTCTTGCTCAACAAAAAAATCGAGTTTTGGGTTGATTTTCTCTCTCATAATCCTGCTCATTCTGCTCCACATCAGCACATCAGCTGTTTGTTTACTTAAATTTTTCATTTAAAAATTAAGCAAAGTTTTCTAAAACATATTCTTTATCATTATGGGTCCCAAGACCAAGGTTAAGAGTACCAGTGTCGAAAAAGTTGCAAATCCTGTAATTTGTCGTAAAAAACGTAGCGTTGCAGAGATAGACGGCAAAGACTTTTCGCTGGACACCACATATAAAAATTGAAATGGCACATTATGTGGTCGACAATTATACCGCGTTTAAGGTAAATGATGGTTTGTTATCAACATGTAATTTTGTATGACCATATCCTTAATACAGCAAAAAGTATTGAGAACTAATTTTATATTTTTATAGCTCGACCGGCAGTACGAACTAGATTTGAAAAGGTTCGAGATGGACAAAGAGCTGCGACTAAAAGAACTGGAATGCGCAAACAAAAATCTAGAGAAAGGACGAGAAAATTCAGCGAAGCTTAGCGAAGCCGAAAACAAAATACTGGAACTCAAAATTCAATTGGAAATTCTTAAATCTAAGTCCTGAATATGAGATTTATAAAACTGTTTATTGCTGCTGCATAAAATGAATTATTTGAGATAATGCCGTTCGTTTTAATTCTCCTGCAATATTTTCACAGACTGGCACAGTTTCATCATTGTTGTCCTCGTTATCAATAAAAACTTCATCTCCCTCCTGCACCCATGGATTGCGTGGTATCATTATATTATGTTAAGACCACATAATGATAAAAATTCTAATATCTCTTGACGTTCAGTTATTTTCGGCATTTTGTGTAATTATCAAACTGAATTTAGAACCATGAAAATGATAAACAAACAATTGAACTTCCCACAAATACAGATCACGATTCTCAAGAATTATGATCGATTAAAAAGTGGTACGTTCAAGGTTTGAGCAGAAAAATCTGATTTTTTATTTTTCTGCTCATTGCTCATTTCGCTCATTTTTTGAGCCTTGAGAGCTCCTAGTGTACGCATGTAAATACGTTTTTCATTATGGTGCTCACATTAAAAGAAGAGCAAAATTCTTGCCTACTTGTAAACCATCATTCCTCCACAGTGACCTCGGAGGGCGATGGTGTGACGTAAGTTTCACGATTAATTGAGCCTTACCTTTACGATGAGAATTTGATCGGAATTTGCCGATCACCTGAGCCCCAACGAGGTCACTTAGGCGCCATGATGGTTGTCAAGAATTGTACTCATCTATTAATGGTCGTACGATAGTTTTCCGGGTGCAACTTGACAAAAGGTTCCATTGTGAGTCTTGGTAAACGTTGAGAGACCTGTCAGATTTACAATTTCCATTTCTTGTCGAATATGATTTCGGTTGTTCTTGAACAAGAAATTCACAAAATTCTAATTTATCTAGCAATTTAAAAGAAATAGAAGCAATAAAAGCGACATTTGTCTACACAACCTGGAACAAATGAAAATTTTGCAAGTTACTGTTAAAGAAATTACCTGCGGTGAAATCAAATTTACGTTACGTTACGAAGGGGGAGGGGGGGGGGTAGTCGAGAAGCGTTACGATGCCGTTACGAGGGGGGAGGGGGGGTCTATAAAATGATGATTTTTGCGTTACGTAATTTATGGACGGCCCCTTATTTTTATTTCATATTTTCAGCCCAAAGACATCAAGAAGGTCAAGTACATCCCGAGGAGTTAAGAAGTCATCCGATTATAAAAACCAATATGAAAAAATTTGCATTCGGCCTTTAGAAATTGTCGTAAGTAACGAGCGATTCATATTTAAACGGGTATCAAAAGTATCTACCCCAAATCGACCTCAACCCGCCGGTCCCAGTTCACCAATAAAATCAAGCCTGACCTCAATTCGACCTCAACCCGGTCCCAGTTCACCAAGTCGACCTCAAGCCGGTCCCAGTACAACAAAAAAATCAAGTCTGACCCCGCTCCGATCCGGTAAGAACAACCAAAAACAATCAATGGTCGCCTCACAGTCACCGGACGCTGACCTATTCATCTCAACACTGAATGTTCGCGACGATGATCTCGTCCTGCATCCAGGCTACTTTCCTTTCGTTTGTCGTTTCTGTGATTCAACGAACTGCAAGTCATGTGAAGTTTTTGATCAGACCAAGTTCTTTTAGAAGTAAGAAGGATAACGATACATATATTTTAAAGCATAAACTTGTTAAAAATAAAGTCCTTATTAATTGATACTTTGTACTTTCTTCTCCGCAGATACTTTGTATTTTTGCTACAACGTCCTGTGAAATTATTCAAGATTTATTGGATGACATTATTATTTATTTTGTCTCAAGAATTAACTGAAATTAAGTCAAGAAATGAATTATATATTACATGCACAATTACTTATTATCTTATATTGTATATCCTCACTTGTATGTACAACTTTAAATTTCCTCATCTTTGCCACGGTTCAGTCTGGTTAAGCAGAGTTATATTCAACTTCTAGAAATTAATTGATGTTTTTCTTCACCGGTGTTTCATTGTGTGATCGTATTTATGTAGTAATTTAGCGTTTTCTAAGTAGATGTTTTTCATGTTAAAAAATTCAAGACTCTTAATTATTTAGATACACTGTTTCAAAAATAATGTTACTCTTTTAGAGTGCAATTACTTTTCAAAAGAGCAACATTATTTTTATAAGAGTAACAAAAATAAATGTAAATTTCCATTTTCTATTGTTCACTATTTTATGCTGGTAATTGAATACATTAAAAATGAACTGATTTGTATTTACAACAATTAAGTGTGATACCGATTTTCCATGCCATGAATGACATCATTTATGTATTGTGACCACCATAATTTCTTATAAATATTTGCAAACATCATGATATAATATTGAGTAACATTGATGTATAAAATTCACCCTTGGACATTGACACTGCATTGGATTATCCTGAGTCACATGCGCTTCGTATCGTACCAAAAACCCCGACGTTAGAGTCGTATGTCATAAATAATTAATTATGATTATTATTGCACGGCTTTAAGACATGACGTGCCAGCCTCGTCTGACTTTATTTCTGAATGCGATCGCGAGTGACGCATCATATTTATTATGTCACATCACTGATCTGACATAATATATATCATAAGTTGTCTTCACACAAAAATAGAGAGCTTTGTCCGTGGGTGGAATCCCAAGATTTCATGACAAAAAGTGTGAATATCTAGTTTAGTGCAATTTCATACTTCAGTATGTATGCGAATATGCAAGTTTGCTTTATGCACCTATGTACTATGTATCTATGTACCCATGTATTACATATGTAATCCTTTATCTCTTCTCCCTGTCTCATCCTCATCCCAATATTACCAAGATATATGAAAACATACGTACATTAAGCAACATACACCTTGATAAATGTACGTATGTACATATGTAATATTATTGTGGCGTGGCGTATCTCCAACCCAAAGTCCACGTTTCATCCATGATATTTTGTTCTCTAAAGTCCAGCCAGTCCAGTACATGTTCCAGTCGCCGGCATATATCCGCATATATCCCAACGGTGAATCATCCTCCAGCCAAAACACACGTGTTTTTATCAATAAAACCACCATCGCTCCAACTTCCTCCCCACATTCGTAATTCGCATGCACATTGCATCGCATGTAGTAGTTCAAGTTTATTTACTGTGTAAAGATCTGGTCCCTCAAATTAAGTACAAATTTCCAATAAAAATGGCGATTCTATCCATTTTCGGATTCCTTGTCGACCCCACCGACTCGTATGGATCTCCACTACATAGGAAATTTTCCCAACATTTCGTCACCTTTATAACCACTGCGGTTTCCCTCGTCACTCCCACAGCGTTCCTTTTCCTCACATATTTCGCACTATGTACCACAATTTGGCACACTTTTCCCTTATCATCAACTATCTTGACAGTAGTGCTCGTGTTGTATTCACTTCTCGAAGTCGTGTTCTTTTTGTATTGTTACCTTTTGCGAAGACGGTTTAATCAAGTGACCTCGTTCCCTTATCTGGATCAAGATAAGCGCCACCGATACCTTGACCTTGTTATGCAGCATTGTGCCAATCCGTGGGTCTCGTTGTCGCGATGGTTTTACAAGCATGACGCCACGACCGTGTCGACGTCTTGGATGAGGGAGTGGATCGCGTGGGCGTTCTTTTCCAAGGACGGGGACGACCTGACGAGTACAGAGCAGGGACAACTGGACGAGTTGGTGGATAAAATCTTGGACAGATTTCCACCCCCGGGGGACAAAAGAGAGGACAAGGAGGAGGAAAGAGATGAAAATGAAGAGCTGAATTTCATGCGGTTACATTTCGATGAGATGGTGGTACAGCAGAAGCCATTCATTGCGTATTTGGTGAGTTAAGAAATAATTAAAGACGTAATTTAATTTATGCGTAGTAAATCTGCATGTAAATTTTACATGAACTTCAGTTCATCAGAGTAATTTATGCATAGCTACATATATTACTAAGTTTGTAATAGCATGCAAAATAATTTTATAAAATGCAGACGCTTTTATCTTTAAAGTTTATTTTGCATGAAATGAATTTAAAAATGGCTAACAATTCAAATCAGCTCTGAATTAAATTAAGATGTTAATCTTTCTTTATTAAAAACCATTACACGTTTTAAACTAATATAAGTAAAAATTAATCATTTGTGTAACTAAACATTAAAAAATAATCATATAAAAATTTCAATTAAAACCTACTAATTTAATCAAGACAATTAAATATAAATTAAATTATCAACTAATCTCCTTTATTTCCCCCAGGTAATTTCCATCATGCAATTTGGCGGATCATGTTTCCTCACCAAGGCCGGATTCACGCACCACGCCCTCTACACACCCACCGGATCCACCTCCACGCTCTCCTACTGGGCCTACAACCCCTCCACCCCCACCCACGGACCAGCCCCCACACCAATCTTCCTCATCCCCGGGATCGGAATCGGGGTCACGATGTACATCAACATCGTCAAAGCCATGCTCACCACGAACAAGCCCATCTACATTTTAAACCTGCCCCACATTTCGCTCAAACTGGTCACCTCCGTCCCCTCCATGGACGACACTTTGTTCGCCATCGATCAAATCTATTCTCGCCATAAACTCCCCGCCTGCACTTATCTGGCCCACTCGTACGGGTCAATCGTGACCACGTGGGTGCTCAAGAATCGACCCCCAACCTACATTTCGTCCATCGTCTTTGTCGACCCCGTCTGCTTCTCGTTGTGGGAACCGGACCTCATTTACAACTTTTTGTACAGGACGGCTGACTCGCCGATTCGACGTGTCGCGCAATACTTCGTGGCGCAAGACTTGCTCGTGGCGTATACGCTTTTTCGACGGTTTTGGTGGCTGGAAAACGTCCTCTTTCCCGAAGATGTCAACGTCCCGATGCAAGTTTACTTGTCCAGTCATGATTTCATTATTGATGCCGGCTCGACGTTAGAATATTTGAGGGGGAGGGGAGCCCAGGGGAATAATAATGCAGGGGGGAGTAGTGGCGGTGAAATTAATGTGGTGGAAATGAAGGGTTTGTCACATGGAAGTTTTCTCAATTCCAAAAAGTATACGAGAGAAATACTGAATTATTTGTGATTTAGGGGGATATTTAATGTAAGAAATGTTTTTGCACTGATATAATATTTAAAGGAATGCTTTAAATAAATTATTTTTGTATTGTAATGCAGTGATTGAAGTTTGTTGGGTAATAAGTCATAGAACAAGATATATATTATACTGTTTATGACAAGCAAATGTTGAGTGTGTATGTAAATAAATATTATATAATAATCGTTTAAAAAATTTGTTGCTACCTATTTGATACGCTAGTTACGCATTGCATTGCTTCACATCGTCATTATGTAATGTCATTACATTGTAATGCACTTCATGCATATATACACATACTTACATACATGTACCTACATACATTCACACGTTGTTAACTTATGTAATTATGTACACATGTAAATACTTAACTAGATACGTATGTACATACGTATTTAATGGGCAGGACATATCAGTCAACTTTCTTTCTCGAAACTCTTTGTATCGTATTGAAACTTTGAAACGTGATCACTGCATACATAAATACAACCAGTGGCCGCGGAAGCTGTGGGGACGTGTGGGGACATTAACATTGTAGGATAGGGGAGGGAGGGGTTTATATCTATAACATGGGCAGATGATGGGGACATCGAATAACCGTGGGGACATGGATTTGGGTGGGGGTGGGGGTGGTTTTATAAATGCCGCTTTTTTATCAAACATCCACTCCAGTTTCTGCTGACTCGATTTGCAACAAAGTTGATTGTTTTGTCACATATTAATTCAGTCAAGCATTTTCATGCTTTCGTAACGATTACATAAGTAAATATCTTCCACAAGTTCAAGGCTGGGTGGGCAGAATCCGGACCCACCACTTTTCATACAATCTACATGTACATACATACTTATTAAATAATTATGGGTTTCACTAACATAAAACTGTAAATGATCGTATTTTTAATACTGCATGGTTATCTCACTATCAGTAGCAAAATTTGCTTCACTGGAGAACCATGTTTGTCTATTACGCTCTTGCGGTTACTGCATTGCTGATAATTTACTACTTCCGTTTCAAAGATGATCGTAGCAAGGAACCACCAGGTATTTACTTCGATATTTCTTTTACACAATTTGTAAAACGGAGTTGCAACCAGATTAATTTGCTAATTCGCTTATTCTTCTAAAATTCCGATGAGTTACATATAATTTTTGACTTTATTAAAGTATATGGACCTGGTTAAGCTTGGCGATTTTTGGGCCAAGAATTGAAATCTGACTATGTAAAAACGCGTCATATATATTTAATTTGAAATTGTGCCTTTAAAAATACGTCTACTCGGTTGATTTACAAAATTTTGATCCTATTGAACTTATTTTGATGCTTTGTTGCAGGGCCAAAACCATGGCCAGTTATAGGAAATTTATTAGATTTGGTTATGGCATCTGATAACATGACCTTATCGCTGGGAGTCTTGGCAGAAAAATATGGAGAAATATATTCCTTAAAGGTTGGATCTAAGAAGTCAGGTGAGCATGTATTTTTAAATATTTACATATATAATTTGCATATTTATATTTACATAAATATGTATGTATGTAGATACATAACTATGCAAGTTGTAAAATGTCTAGACAATTTAATTTCCCTGTATTAAAGTTAAATTGGAAAAAGTTAAAGTTAACATTAAATTGGACGTAAATAAACATGCTGTTTAATAGTGGTACTCACATCGAAAGAAGCCATGCAAACCATCCTCACCAATGACGTCACGTTTGCTCGAGATTTCACGGGAATGTTTGCAGATCGAACTTTCAACAAAAATTTAGGGATTATCTTTTCCGAGGGTGAAGTTTGGGAAAAGTTGAGACCTTGGACGTTTAGAACTTTGAGGGAATTCGGTTTCGGTAAATCTTCCGATATGGAGTATTTCATTCAGGTGAAACAAAAATTCAAATTTTACAATCCCAGGAAATTTTAACATCAAATTTCCAGGATGCATCCCAGCGCCTATTCGCCTCAATTGATGGCAAGATCGGAACCGATAAAAAGAAGAGCTGCGACCTCAATGTCGAACTTCTCTACAACAATTCCATTCTTTCCATCATGTGGCAAATGGTGGTTGGTCAGCTTTCTCTGGACGATGACCCGTACCTCAAACTACTCGGAGAGAAAGGAGATGCTTGCATTCGATCCGGTATTTTTGGGGCCAGCATCGTGAATGCGTATCCATTTTTGAGATTCGTCTTTCCAAAGGCGTTAGGATACGACGTGCAAATGGACTTTTTCAAGACATGCAATTTAGTTGCTCTAGTAAGGGAAATATTTTTAAATTTGAACGATCGATGATGTGACAAGCATTTTATCCGGTTTGCAGAATCTGTTTAAGGAAATGGAAGAAAAATGGAGGACGACATCACATAAAACGCCGACAAATTTGTTGGAAGCCTTTGTCCAAAATTGCGGCATGGATCCAAAACTTTTTAATTGTACGGAAATTTACCTTAATAAGTTATGTCAAATTTAAGTTAATTAATAAGAATTAATTAACCTTATGTGCACAGGTGAATTTCCAGATAACATTTCAAGACGTGCTTTTCTCCAGCACGGACACGTCCAACAGTTTCATGGAGATTGTCATTCTAAATCTCATAGTTTATCCTGAAATGCAGGAAAAAATTTATCAAGAAATTCTAAAAGTTTCACCGGATAGGAAAGACCTCAGTTTTTCAGATAGAAAAAAGTATGCATTTATTTAAATTAATTTGTTAAGAAAAATTGTATACATATTTTTAAATAATTGTATAAAATTAGGATGCCGTACATCCAAGCCTTCTTCTTAGAGTCGCATCGAAAAGGTCGACTCCTCCAGAATATGCTGCCTCGTCGCGCTTTGTGGGATTTTTCTTATAAGAACTACATTATTAAAAAGGTGCGAAATTTGTGCATAATAATTGACGGACAGTATTTCTATGTACGCGCATTGTTTCTTGCTAGGACACCATTATCATGGTAGACACGCGGCTCTACAATGAGAGCGAGGAAAATTGGACAGATCCAGATGCATTCAGACCGGAACGTTTTCTTAACGAGGATGGACAAGTTGTGAATGCAGGGAGCATTATCTCTTTTTCCTTTGGTGAGTGTGAGTTAGATATTTAGAGTTACGTAATAATGGTCATGTAATAATTTATTATTAATTAACTATTGTCTCCAGGGAAGAGGAACTGTCCTGGAGAACTACATGCGAACATTGTTGCATTTTTGTTGGTCACCTCACTCCTCCAACGGTACAAATTGAGCGTTCCGAAAGGTCAAGAAATGCCCAGATTGGATTTGAGGACTGGATTCACTTTAAAACCGTATCCGTTCCAGGCGACATTTACGAGGCGGCCGTGATCATCAATTAAGCCCTCTTCACACCAAGATTTGGATGCAACACGAAACTTGTGGCATGGGTGTCAGTGGCAGAAAAATTGTGAATTGTTCACACGGCTGAATTTTCTGGCACTGGTAAATGTGCATTTTCTGGGAGACTAAATACTGCTGAGAGAAGCGGAAAATATGAATCTATGTTTACAAATCCGTTATTGCAGAAATTTGTAGGTTCTCTACTTTTCTAAAACCAATTTAATTTTAACTTCAACCAGATTAATCCAAATAGTGAGGGATATTCGTAATACAAATAATGAAATATTAAACTGTTTACAAGAATTCTTCTTGGCGAAAATCAAGTTTAGAGAATCAAAAAATAATTAAAATAATTTCAAATCGCGCGGAGTGCAAGCTGAGACTGGCTAAACCAATCAGCACACTCCATTTTTTCTGCTGCAGCTCTGTCAATTCATTTTTCTATTTTTTCCACCATAAGCTCAAATGTCGGGGCAACCTGAGACATTTGGCGCTATATGTGGAACATATAGTATGTTGTCAGGCACTCTTATGGGAAATGTCGGGGGCTCGTACAAAACAACGGTTGGGCGTAAAGAGATGCCGTAAAGTGCATTAGATGCCTCTCGAAAAGTTTTAAAATGACTTTTTTCTAATTCATGGTATCTTGAACCATTTTCAAGAAATTCAATAAAAACCGATTTTTCGGTTTCGAAATCATAAATGTTTCGCTGAATGAATTGGGTGCATAACACAAAGTTGTATGTAATAGCAAATATGTTCATAACCGCATTATCTATAATATTTACTCGAAAATTTTTTCGAAATAATGCTAGGTACAGGCGGTAAGTTCAAATTTCCGAAAAATTTTGCAATTTCGGCTACCAATTTCTCCACTGAGCTACAGCCTAGACGATACATTTTGGTAACCTAAACTAAACGGGATCGTATTGGGGAAGGTCCCGGCTAGTGCCCTCGACTGATTGACTTTTTCGAAATAAGCCTTGGTTTTTAAGATATGGCGCGATTTCTAAAATTAAAATCCATAACTCATATTTGGTATGAAAAAATAGAAATTTTCAGCGGTTTTGCCGCATAGCTTGTTCTAATTGGAAAAACTGCAGCACCGACATCGAGGAAAACGATGAACAGAATCTCTGGCCACGCCGGTTTGTATTTCACACTACTGATTTTGACTGCATGCCATTGATGTCGGTGCCATCCAAATCTTGGTGTGAAGAGGGCTTTATTGACGCATAAATATTCCACCAAACTCATGTTTTTTGCATGACTCGAATACTGCGTTTACATATTAATACATACATATGTATATGATATCCCATACTAAGGGCATTAAAAGCTTAATTTATAAGTTGTAAATTACAACAGAATAAAATTAATCAATTTTGAAGAATAACAGAGTTAAGTATGAATTTCATGATAATTCGGAAAATGAGACATCAAGCCTAGGATTCATATAAAAAGATATTTAAAAAATGTTGACGGAATCTCTTACAAATCTCGAAATTCATACTAATTTAAAAACATAAATTCCCACTATGCAAAGTTTAATGGTTTAAATTTCAGGTAATATGAATAGGAAATAGAAAAGTGTTGTGTGGTAAATATAATTGCATAACAATTTCATCAACTTTTCCACAGAACAAAGACTTGCTTTAGATTTTTCAGTATCAGTGCACTTAGGGCATAACGAGAATATGAGAGAGTCAGAGCGAGGGGTAAACTCTTCAACCGTCACCGAGTCGTCATTTCCAGCTGACGGAGAGTGAGCCATAACAAAAAATATATAAATATTTCCCCCTTGGGTATACCCCCCGCTATAAAAATGTCAGTAGTCGAAAATTCTAAATCGCGTAAGAAAAAGGGTCCTAAAGCAAAGAATCCGCCTCCTCCGGTCAAGTTGCCAGAAACGGGGGTCACCATTCCCCAAAGTTCTCAAGAACTGATAACAATCCGTCACGTTACGACGAGAAGCATCGTCATTTCCGTAATGAATCGCATCTCTCGTGACGCCATCGATCCGGAAACCTTCGCGGAAAACCTGTCCGAGCGGAAATGGGTGGAGCTGATGGTGTTAGGGTGTTCAGAAACCCACTCCACGTATGACGAGAGTATGGAGGTGGAGCTGAAAATGGAAAATTGTGTCAGTATCGAAACACTGGTGAAGAATGTGGGACAAGTGAGTTTTATGAAATTGGTTTAAAATTCATGAATTAATTTTGATTTTACTTTTAATGAAGGTCTTGAAAGGGAAGTTTTTCCTTTGTCGAACCATAACTCCTTCAAGCAAGATGGTCGGACTGGACGCCGCTGTGGAGGACCCGGAAGGAAAGCTGGCCATGCGACTAGCCATGTTTAATTACTCGGTTGATGCTTTCATGAAGAAGTCAGATTTCGAGGCGGTGCTCCCACTGGGGACGATGTTAATTGTGAAGAATCCCGTGTTTCAAAAGCCTTACGACAAATTCGCCGTCCTTGGGTTGATTGTTGAGAATCCGGCGGATGTAGAGATACTCAGCCCGAAAAGGATGAGATTGCTATTTCCAGGTACGCTACGATTTATAAATACATCAAGTAAATATCTTTATAATTTACCTTCATAATAATTTCTGTGTCCAGATGTTAAATGGGAGTCAGATCTACCCCTCGAATCTCGAGCCTTGCTGAAATCGCTCCCCTTTTGGGAGTTCTCTCCTGACCTAAGCGACCTCGAGATTGCGACCAAGCTCAAGAACGTTGGCAACAAGGGATTCGTCGAAAACCGATCAACCGATGCGATCCGATTCTACGACCTGGCTCTGGAATACTTACCTGACGACGGGGAGGAGATAACCCCGGCAGAAACGACGCTTCTAGTGGATATCCTTACCAACAAGGCGGCTGCTCTGATAAAGCTGGAATGTTTTAATCCAGCTCTAATTTGTACTGAGGAAGTTCTAGGGATGGATGATGGCCACGTGAAGGCGATCTATCGTCACGCCAAGGCGCTCTTTGGACTTAGACTGTACTCAGCATGTACTGAATTTCTGGACGAAAAACTCAACCAATACCCATCTCTTGGAGAGCAGAGTAAAGACCTTCTCAACTTGAGGTGCTTATCCTTAGCAAAATCCAAGTTAGTAAAAAGCAAATTTTAATTAATGCATTTAAATCCTATTTATCTATTTTAGCGGTTGAGAAGTTGGCTTTATTCATTTTTTTATTTATAAATATTCAGGAAAATTCTTCCTAAACTGGGCGAACCACCTGGCATAGAACTTATCCGTGCTCTACTCAGACCAGCGCCACGGAGCTTCAAGAAGCCTCAACCTCAGAAAGATTTACCGGTCGGGATGGTGGATCGCATCTCCGAATTTCGAGGTCCAATTGTACTCCAGCCGAGTAAAATTGGCGAGGGCGATGGACTCTTTGCCACTCAAGATCTCGAGCCTGGATCAATTCTCCTAGTTTGCAAACCCTTCGCCGCGGTATTTGTCACCCCGAAGGAGAAATGGACGTTTACATTCAACACGACTCCGCACGAATATCTTGTCGGTGTGATGGCAAATAAGATTTGGCTGGATCCTCATCTTGGCCGGGATCTTTACACCCTCTGGGCTGGACCTGAACTAAAAATCTTGACGGATAAAGACTCTAATGTGACAAAGGTGGATATTGCTCGGATCGAAAATATTTATGCATATAACTGTATCGAGGACTTTGAAGTTACGGACCCGAGCAATGAGGACGAGTTCATTTCTTGTGGTGTTTGGATCCCCTCGTCTAAAATCAATCATAGCTGCGTTGACGCCAACGTGGTTTGTCGGCACCATGACTCTGGCATGGTCATGATGGTCACTACTTTCAAAAAGGTGAAAAAGGGGGAGGAGATTCTCATGAGCTATGTCGACCCACTTCTGCCGTTGTGCAAGAGAAATTTTATGGAAAGTTATGGTAAGAAATGTTACATTTCTGCCTGAAAAGTAGTTTTAATCTGTTAGTTTTGCAGGTTTCACGTGCAAATGTCGACTGTGCAAAAAGGACCGATCCGAATGTCCCGTTGTGATTGCAAAGAGAAGGAAGTTACTCGAAAGTCTAAGCTACAATTCTATCACACGCGTGTATACGTATAATCACGACACTCTCGTACGTGACTTGGGAACGATCCTCGAAGTAGAACGTCTTCGTGCCGCGACGCCAGAGCTGAATTATGCTTTGGCGAATTCTAAAATTTTTACCATTGCTGCCGGCGTGTCGGTTGAAAAAGGTCTTTACACCCTGTGTTTCCACGTTTTAAAGAAGATATATGCCGTTCTGAAGAACGTCCCAACCACCTACATGCATATAGACCTCATGGAAGCCATTCTGGTTTGTTGTATGAGAATGAAGAAGGAAAAGTCTGAGCTTGAAAAATGGACGCAAGAACTGAGGAAATACTGTTGTATTTATGCCGGTACTTTGGAAAGTGTTCGGGGTGGATTTCATCCCTCAATTCCGGAGGATTTGAAAAAATATGGAATTGAATTCTTCGCCCGTGGCCCGAACTAATTAATTGAGAATGCTTAATATTTCTATTTATTGTCTGTCTTATGAGTAGTTTTAACACTGACTGTTAGTTTTATCCCATGCGTTGATCTTGTATGGCTAATTTTGTTGATTAGTTTTAGTTTTAGACGAGTTTATTTGCTTTAATCTACTTACTTTACACATTTAACTTACTTTAATATAACTAAACTTGATTAATTTACAATGAACAATTAAATTGGGATAAGTTACGAATACGTCTTGCGTGTTTTTGATAAGTGCTTACTTATTTCCAACTTTTTCCACGTGGGCGATTCGCACGGTAGACTAGCATTTAAGTACATACAGATTGCAGGAACACACATACAGCATTCACATGTGAATGCACATTAAATTAGCAGAGACAAATATTGAGTAAAAAATGTGAAATATGTAGCAGCTCAAGAGCAAAATCGTGAAAATAAACATGTCATTTGCTGAGGTGCATGCGAAATCAGAGGATCGCACGTTACTTTACATTTTCGAAGAAAATTATGCAGGGTCCATTGCAAAATCTACACACATGTCTATCAAAAGTTTCAATTTTTTATTCATATTTAGCAAATTACAAAATTTATTGAACAATTGTAAAGATTCAAAAACCCCATCTGCATACATAAATAATAATAAATATGTAAGTAATCCCAATTAAGAAATGAAACTAAATATTCACTCGATGATAAAACACGACTCGACGAATCCCATTGACCACTTTGATCCCTTGAGCATAATAATTGTCGGCCAGTGTCGCGTCGAGGTACTCGCTTGAGGTGAATTTAATCCTCATAAGGGTCTCCGTGCAGTCGGGCGGAATTATGGGAATTTCTGGCTCCTCCTCCAGTGGAGGAAGAGCGGGAGAATCTTCATTTTTCTTTGACCTTTTCATCTTCTTTGAAGGTAAAATACTTCTGGCGGAAAAACCAAGGGTGTTATCCGAGGGTAAGAGAAACGGATTCATTCTTATGTGGACGTTTGGATCTGTGATGAATAAGATTGCATTAGAAGAAGTCGGGTCTGGAAATGATGCCTGGGGTAGATCATCATCATCATTGGGTGGAGGGGGGAACAAATATTGTTCTTGTTGTGCATTATTGGCATGTTTTGCATGGTCCGGATTTGGTTTGGATTTTATTTTCTTTTTTGATGCAAGAGTTTGAATTTGTTCTTGAACTGGTGGCTCATCTAAATTGACCTCTGGTATAGAAGTAGGATCGTTCTCATTTATAGTGGTTGCCTGGTGGAGTTTTTCCTCTCCGGATTCGGGATGATCGGGTCATCTGATTTTTTCTCGTGTTTTCTTTTCTTCTTTTTCGAAATGGATATATTTGCTGTCGTGCTGCTGTCGTTGGGGTCAGAATCTGTAAGGCCTTGACTTTGGAGTGGAATAGATTCACCGTCCCGTTTCCGTTTCTTATTTTTCTTGCAAGTATTCGTTGCCGTGGAAGATAGAGGAGGTTCTGTATTCTCTAGTTTAATGTCTTGTGGGGGTAATTCTTCTGTGTCAATTTCTAAATCTGTGGGGTCGACAGTGGAAACAACTTTCTCAAGGATCACGCCAGAATTTTCATCCGTGTCACGTTTTTTCTTCTTCGTTCTTGGAGGGGGTGACGATGCAGTTGCAGTGGGTGATTGGTAGTCAAGCTCTGGTGTGGGTGGGGGTGTCAAATCCGTTGCCTCCAAAGTTGATTGTTGACCTTGATCATTAGTATATGTTTGATTTGGGACTAAATTGGCCTCGGTTTGACGCTGGTCACCACTGGATTTATGTTTATGCTCCTTCTTTTTTAGTTTCTTGGCTCCGTCCTGAACAATTTTAGCGTCTTCTGAGTTGTCACTTCTTTCCGTCTCCTCTGCTGGTCGTAAAGGTCTATTCGTAGACATCGCCTTGAAGAATTTATCTGGCTCGTAACTGACCCTTGAATAGTCCATGGATAAGTCCATGTTTGGATACGCTTCATGTAAAATGGCTTTCGTAATTGAAAAGTCGCCCCCCTTCGGTGTGGGATTGTGCAAGTACCGTACCGCATTCCAAAGATTAGCAACGTGCTCTATATTCTACGAGATTAAATGATGAAAAATTAGCATATCGATTAGCATTGGTATTTTAAATTTATTTTCACCTCTTTTTGGACTGCTGCTTGAAAAAGTCTACCGGCGAGAGCGTCCACTTTACGTTTAGCTCGACGAATTTCGCCGATCGCAATCCTTCTCTTCTCCAACACGCCGACATAAACCCAAAGGAAGGCCAAAGCGTCGATGACACCGAGTGACTCGTTTTTACTCATCTTATCCAACATGTGCCATATTGTTCCATTAGCTTTTTCGTTAGCAGGACAAACATCCACCATCTCTCTTATCAGTTTGGGCACATCCGTCAGACTCATGCCGGACTGGATCTTTTCTCTGAAAGAAGCTTGCAACCGCTGGAAGATGTGGGGGATCTCGATTCGTTCCGCAGTTTCGAAGATTGTCGGGTAGAAGTCTGAAATTGTCATTTTTACAGGGTCACTTCCGTAAACAGCTGGTCCAATATCGTCCAACGACTTGATTTCTGGAAAGCGTTTGTTTTGAGACAAAATTCTCGCTTTGTGAAGGATAATTTCCTCTATTGTGCATGTTCCTAGTTGGGAATGTCCAATTTTCACTAATTCTAGAACTGTTTCTCGACTCAGGGGACCCAACCTGCCTGAATGGTCCATCATCACCATGATTTGGTGTAGGTCGAACAAACTCTATAAATAATAATTGACATTGATTACAAAATGGAAATTGTGTAGCAAATATTTAAGTTAACACACGCTGGCACGACGAAGGATGCAAAATTGGAAGAATTCTTTCAATTTTCGACGACCTGCGTCAGGGGGAAGGTTTCTGTGGTTAAGAATTTCAGAAATTTCAGAATAAGCCCAACATAACGGAACCCAGTGATCGCCATGGTTTAAAGTCTGTAATGAATAAAAATATGAAATAATAAATAAAATGCAAAGGCATATCACAGCTCATATTTTTAAATTCAGTTTTAAATTAGTATTACCACTTTGTCCTCGAGAAGTTTGAGATATTGATGGATATAAGCGTTCGGTTCGGTCTTGGTATATAAGACCAGTTTTATAATAAGGGTCATCTCCCTTCCATTCTTAATTTTACAATTTCTTTGGTTGTTTGCAATATATTCAAAAATAATTTTATCGATTTGATCTTGAAACGGAAAGGTACGGGGATGCCCGGTTGGTCCAGGCATAACTACCATGTTTAAAATATGGTAACTGTACTATTTACGTATCTTATTTTAATAGTTAATTTTTTAATTAATTATTTGCGAGTTTTTCTTTGCAGCCGGTCGTAGGGATTTTGTCTGCAGCCGCGAGCAGTCGTTTTTTAGCATACGAGAATATTGAGCAATCACCAATCTGATAGTTACCAACCAAATGCATGATGCTTCGTTCATGAATTTATTTGCATGCATGTATTTAAATATATACATATTAAAATATATATTTGTAAATATGCGCATGTATTTAGTTCAAAGTTATACAAAAAATTGTACCCAATTCATTAAAAGAGGATTGAAAGATCAGTGGTCGAATTTTAAACGTTAAAAAAAATCTAACCGAATATAATTTAATTCCCCCTTAAAAATTATTTTCATGGAGTTTGAACTGATATTAAATATTTACATATCTATCAGTATTTAGCATTCAAGACACGACTTGGGATTCTTCTGGTAGTACAATAATTAGGGAATCTGTCGTGTTGGGTGGTTCCAGTTGTGGCGAAAGAGTCGAAATATTACCAAATTCTGGCAGGTCAACGAGGGTCGACTCTGAAAATGTGACATCGGTAACCAGTGGGTCCTCAGTGGAACTTGGTACCTCGATAGCAATGCTTATCGTGGTACTACTAATTTCTGGTGGTGTGAAAGTGGTCAGTATTTCCGTCTCATTTAGAACAGAAATTTGTTGAGTGTAATTGTAATTAACCGAGGAAAAAGTGGTTGAGGGAATCGTTATTGGTCGCGTGGTTGACGGTCTTGGACGGAAAAATGCTCCTGGTCCTGGTATTGGAATCGATATTGGGAAGTATTGCCCAATTCCGGTAAATATTCCGGGAAACTGTTAATTAATTTGGTACAATATAATTTATAAGGAAGTTTTTTCGAAGAATTTTAACAAAATACAGTAAAAAATTGAAATTTAGTAAAAATTTGGATAAATTATGAATATCCATACCTGAGCTACACCTGAGGCGAGCAAGATTGAGAAAAGTGTGAACGGTTGAATTGCTTCCATGACTATCTACCAGGTGCTTGGGTGTGAATAAAATTAGCAAACAGTTGGTGCTATTTATGCGACCGGAAAAAATGATGTTATGCGGAAATTGAGATCTCCAATTTAAATTTGACATTGCCTTTTTTGTGTTAAAATAAGTTTCTGGAGTAATAATTGGAATACCTATATGCAAACTGGCAGATCGCATGTACATGTATAAATTAATGCATGTGTATTGTGTGGTTGCAATAATGCTGCATAAAATATTTCATGATAAATTTTGGATATGTCAAGTCATCTTATCAATGATAAGTTATCATTCTCTTGTTAGTTACAAAAAATTGTGTGAGTCATCCAACATACTATTCCCAAAATTCGTCAAAATTGACCCTTCCCTGTGCACGGATCTTTGACAAATTTTGTATGCAAATTTTTGTTTGTTTTGTAAACTCCGAGTAAGTTTTTCCCTACAGTTTTTCAAATTCATCAAATTTCAGTTCAAATTTATGAAATTATTTTGTACAAATTATGTATACAAGCAGTAACGCTTTACTTTATTACTCTTGTTCGCATAACGAAATATTGAATGGTTTGTTGCTCAACGGACGGCATACTTCTCATCGTCACACGTCTGTCAAAACATATTAACAATTGTTTAAGATTGGCAATTGCTTAATATATGTAATTTGAAGTCACTTCAAAGTCTGCAAGACGATAGTGGGACTTTGCGAGTCTTGAGGGCAGTTGCACACAAATGCACCCAAAACTTTTCACATGTTTATAAAAATACGACTTGAACACTTTTATAAATCCAGTATTAAAATAATACCAAGCGATATTCATACATATATGACTATACCAAATTGGTATTATTTAGTAACTTATAAATAACTAGTACCGTGTAGTATATAAGAGCTTGCTTGGTATTAAAGTTTTGATGTTTCGGTAGGAAATTTCTACGGACCGGTACTAATAATTTTAATACCAAGCGGTAGCAACGTCAATACCGAGAAATCAATACCTGGGTGGCTAGATATACCAGATTTCTAATAGTGAACGTACATAGACCATTTGACTTCGAAATGGACTTGTGCATAAATGGTGGATTTTATGTTCAAATATAATGCATGATTAGTCCCCAAATTTGGCGAAAAGGGCTCACCAAGCTTTTTATAGAACATACGAAGAATTGTGCGGACGACGCGCATTTCTCTGACTCGTCAAAAGTTAGGGAAAAATTTCCATGTCTCGTATCCAAATCTGATGATATAATTATTACATGAAATTACAATTATTTTTTAGTTTTTTCGAACACATATTTATTAAAACTCACAATCCTTCCCACATTGGTATCTCGCCCGAGAAATTTTTGTATAACTGTCGCGCCCTTCTTTCTGCGTCATGTCGAAAGTTTCCTAAGTTAAGAAAAGCTATGTTATATTCGAATTGGGGGATTTTGGCACTTTAAATTAAACATACCATTGTTACAATATCCGCCATTGCGTAATCCAATTCGTCCTCTTTTTCGGGCACGATGTACTCAAAGTTTCGATAAACGCAGATTAAGAAGCACTACGAATATAAAAAATTGAAAATTTTGTTTTATACCGGGTGTCAAATATTATCCCTGATAAGCATATTCAAACATGGCCAAAATATGGCATAAAATCAGCTTCAGAATTATTGAATCCATAATTATGTTATTGTTGGGGTCATTTTCGTGTCATTTGGTGGAGAACGAGAGGTATCCATCAAATGACACCCTGTCCAAATATGGTGTGGGGTGGGTCTTTCTTTACCTAAACATTTTCATGCAGCGGAAAAAAATACGATTTGCATGTAGATTAAATGATTCTGAATCCTGTTTTAATTTTGATCATGTTTGTTTCAAGGACGGTTTGTCCACGGCGTCGAATTTGTGATCAGCAGATCTGAACTTTAGAAGGATACTTTGCCCCAGAGTTTCCACGCCTGATCAAGATTCCGATGGTGACAAATCGTCGTTTAGGCCAGCAGATAGTTTGTCGGGATGACAACCTAGAACCATTTTCTAACGATTTGTACATAAAACGAAGCTCACCAAATAAGACGCCGTCGTGGTATCGCGACACTTTACACTTGCCCCGAGCACTCTAGATGAAGGTTCTTTAAATCCTGGATGACATCCACTAATCCCATGATTCAACGTTGCGTGGAAGCTAAGAGGTCAACTTTTGTAGTAACGACTCGGTTAGGTAATAAAAATTAAAATAGTTCAAACCCGACCAACATCGAATTACCGTTGCCTTTGTTTATATCATTTTTCACGTAAAGAATTAAAGGATACGGCTGCCGTATGCCGAGCCGGATACTGGAATTTCACTGTATGAATGTACAGCATTTGCCGTAATATGCAAATGCATCAGCACCAGTACCAGTGATTGAGGTGCAAGTAACCACTTGCAAGAAATAACCGAAGAAAGTGGTTTTACAGTGGAAAGGCAAGGCCCATGAAACTACTTTCCCCGGCTATAGGTCATAGAGCTCGTCTCTAGATGCGCATATTTTTTTGCACTTTCTTGCAATTTCTTGTACCCTAAATTTTTTGCGTTTCTTGCTTTCCAGCGCAACAAATGTAGCAGAAATCGAAACACTCACCATTACAGCATAACGCACATGGTTTCCTCAGCAAATTGGATACCCATAGCAGCGGATTAATATTTGGGTTGGTTGGGTTTTGGTTTACAATTTACTACGCAATCTACAAAAATCCATCTTCGCTTACCGTTGGAAATATTCTTCTGCGAATTCCTGTCCATGCACGACATGCAAAATAAGGAAAAGAGGAATTAAAGGCCTACAAAACATTTTTTGAAACCCTTATGTATTTGAAATTTAATCCATTCGTTGAAAATTCTGGATAGCGACTGGATCAATATGTTCATTAAAGCAGCTGCATTATTGTGTTACACTTGGAATGTTGTCCTTGGCATCTAAATACGTAATACTAAACTATAAATTTAACCAAGCTTTTAACCCTTCATTACCATTCAGGAAAGGTTACATTGTCTAGAGCATGAAATCATGACAACAAAGGAATCGTACACTGGATTGATTTTGCAATAAATGGTGTTTTTCATTGTTACTTACATACATATTTATTGATGTTTATTAGATTTGTCACAAATCATTTGTGCATCCATTAATGCCACCATTTTTTAGCTCAACTAATTTACACCTGAAGCGAATAAAGAAAGCAATACGGGTAATATTGCACCCTTTGAGCTGATATTACATGTATGCATGTATTTAAACGGCAAACATAAGATTAAAGCAATATCATTTAAAAGAGAAATACTGGGCGTACTCACGGCAAAGCCTCGTTTAGAATCGCAACTCATTTACGTACATACAAAGCCTAAAGAAATTTGCGTTGTGTTAGTATTCAGAAAATTAAATTTAGAAAATTTCTCGAAGCTATTAACACAGTACTGTTATCCTATTTTGATTAATGTACATACATATAATGATTTTGATCAGTTATTTGATGCACGGGAACGAAGCTAAAAATTAACAAGTCTGATAACTAAAAAAATACTTAAAATATATGACGTTTCAGGCCACTTGGCTTACATCTTTATAACGTGAATTTTACACATATATTAAACCTTATGTCATCAACACTCAATATGTGAAGTATATTTGGGTTTATCGAAACACAACGAAAGCGATGTTACTTAATTACCTAATCTCATTTTGCACATGAATCACCCTGCATTTTGTCCGAACGAACTATTTGATTCGTCTCATAGCCTTGTCGAAAACGTCTGGAAATGCTTTTCTGCAACTGCTCGACGCCTGCCGAACCTTATCGTACGGAATTGTATAAAACATTTGGCGCAAGTCTTCCTTATTCAAAAATACGTCCGCATACAATCCAAGGAATCTAAATAATACGTAAATTGTCACTATTTTGAACAATTTCCCATCATCTGTTAGTTTCTTTAGCCTGGAAAGTTACCCATTATTTTTTAGCACATATTGTTCGCATTCACGAATTCTGTCGGCAATACTGCGACCTGCGTTGATCGGAGTTCCATAAAAGCCAAGATCCATGTAATCCCCACCATAAACAGCTGGCGTCTTCGCCATTGACCGATTCTGAAGCTTCACTGGACAAAGCCAAATAGGGTAGACCTGTGCCAATGTCAGTGGTAAGGTACTAATTTAAATATGCAAATATTAGTTAGTCACAACCTTGTAAATCGTGTCACATTTTTGCAAAAATTCATCCAATTTTACAGTAGGGACGCAAAAATCTTGAAGTAGTTGAATTCGAGTAATAAATCTGTAGAAAAAATTTGGAAACAGGGCCCACACCGCGTGTATATTCAAAGGATGCACCCATCCAAAGACAAGCATGATTAGCGGGTTACTCAGAGCGGGCAGTGTATTTTCAAACTGCCAAAACATTCCTCGCGAATGTCGATGAAAATAGTCGCGGAGAGGAAAGTACTCAATATATTTGGCATTATTTTTAGACGATTTCATTCTGCTCATCACGTTTTCCACGATATTGTGAAAAAACGGCTTGTACCATCGATTAATATAATTTATCCGAGAAGGGTCGGACGGGTTGGAGGTCATGTCGCCAAACATGAGCATGACGTCGGTCATCGAGTAAATGATGCCTTCCACGTACGCGTGGTTCTTATTTCTTTGCTGCATTAGCTTCACAGCGTTCGGGATCGAATCGACGTGGACGTACTCGATTTGCATGTATCTGAAAATACGGGGTTGGATGAAATTAAATATGGTCAGATCTTTTTTAAATGAGAGGTTTTTACATGTTTATGATGGCCAATTTCTTAAAAATCAAATAGGGATAAGACTAGTTTTCTCGGATGTGAATGAAAACTTACTTTCCAGCAGGGATCAGCGGTATAGATACTGAAGTGAGAAACCCGATCGTTCCGTAAGAATGAGAGACTGCGTAGAAATAGTCTGAGTTTTCAGTCTAAAATTAAAGTTTACAATTTCAATTTCTCTGGATCGTTAAAATTTTTAGCGATATATTTTAGCGAAATATAAATATTCCTCTGGAATAAATTTGAGGATTTTATTGTTTCCTAACCTCTGAACAATTCAGAACGTCGCCATCAGCCGTGACCAATTCGAAAGAGGTCACAGCATCTGCAAACACTCCGTAGTGATGACTACTCGTCTCACACCCTGCCCCACAGATTAGTCCACCTGAAAAAGTGTCAAAAAATTAAATTGTGTAGGTGACTTCAAATTTAATAGATAAGATCTTACCGACTGTTAACGAATCCAATTCTGGAACAACTGGGATGGTAAATCCCTTATCCGTAAGTATTTTAGTTAGTTGGCCCATCATCATTCCAGGCTCGACGATTAACCTCTGCCCAAAATTAATTAAACAATTACTTCATTGCTAATTACTAGACAAGGAAATCCTTTATCTCACCTTGTTCTCCACGTCGATTTCAATTATGTCATTTAAATCCACTTCCACCTTGTAGAAACCTCTTTTGTCAACTTTATGAATTGAGAAGCTCTTCCAGCCTGGTTTCGCAGTGCACATGTGACCCTTTCTGCCACCCTCGATCCATCGCCGAACTTGAGCCTGGACGTTTTCAACCTTTTTCGCATGTCGTTTGTGAGTCGTATAACAATTTCGGGTGCTCATGTTAAAATAATTAAATATTTTGACACATGGTCCGATGAAAATTAAAAGAACAATGAGCATAACGAAGTCCAGGATGGACCGCAAAATGGAACGCCTTGGTTGTTTAATTGCCATTGTTGTTCTCGTGCAAATGTTACCTTGACACTAGACTAGATTTTTGATGACCTGGTAATCTTATAGCATGCATATTTCCTGTCTGGCGCTTCATAAAGAAGAATCAAGAATTAAAATCTGAGCTTGTTAATTGTAACAATGTTTCAAGTCGGTATGAAAGTGTTTTTTTTGTGGGAGAAATTATTCCAGTTTGGGTTTCGCATGTGATGAGATGTCTCATGAGATTTGATAAGGTTAACTGAATGCTGAGCAAGTCTTGTTTTGTGGTAACTATTTACTATGCTGGTACCTATTTAATATGGTTATCCAGATATTTAAATATGCTATGCTTTATTACGATTTCTGCCCTGTTGCGCAATATATTTACTTACGTAAGGAATGTTACGATTGTTGATTTAAAGTCTAACATTTATTGACGACATTGTCTCTGAATGCAATCGGATTATTTTAATTCCCATGGTTGGTCTAGCTTGACAGTAGACTTGTTGACTTGAAATTTGCTGAATACATTGTAGTAAATTTATGTGGATGTGTCTTTAGTTCGATGCTACTGGAAGTTTATAACTTTTGATTATGCAACATTTAGACTATGAAATTTGTTGTTTTTGCTGGGTAATTTTGTTTTTTACGTTTGCATTCATCAACATCAATAGGGATTTATTCTAATATTTTGCATCATATACATACAATTGTACCACTTTAATCCGGTTGAATATGTATTGGAATATTATGTATTTATACAGTGTACATTGTACAGTATATATGTATGTGCGTGTAATGAGGTAACCGGAAATTTCGGTCTCAGAAATATGGTGCAGACAGGGAACTACTAAATAACTCGCCAATTCAGACTGGATGATCGTCAAGATGCCAAGAGTTCGATAGGTTTTGATCCCTTTTTCAAATCCGAGGCCAAGCCGAAATTTTTTATCCACGAAATTGATGCCAATTGATGAATTGAGAGAATTTATGGCCAGATAGGTGACAACAATACCGTTGAGGATGCATAACCCGCAGAGCACCGTGGTGCAGATGAGGATGTTGCTGATGAAATAGGAAAATATTTGGACGAGTATCTTTACAAGAGCGGGGTAATGAAGGACAAATGAATAGAGGGGATTACTTTCAGGTTCGAAAAAGCTAATATAAACGAGGACTGAGGGGAATATGAAGACCAACCAGAAATAGGCAGCAGAGACTAGCTTCTCTCCCAGAAAGTTGGAATTCGTCTTAAGACGTTTTGAAGGTAGTAATGCTAAAGATAAGAATTATTCGACACATTCAAATTCGACAAATCATATGCCAATATAGTCCTAAAGATGAAATTTTTAAGTATATAATTATGCCTGTGTAAATCCATATTCTTAAATCTACTCTGTTATCCCACCTTGAATCTGAAAATTGTATGTAGAAAATTTCTCAAAGCTATAAACGCAGTACTGTATCCTATTTTGATTAATGGTATAGATAATTTTGATCAGTTATCTTTATAATACTGGGGAAGCATAACCTCCATCATCCCGCGCTCGTATCCTTCCCATACTATTAGCATGGTAGGGATACGAACGCGGGAGCCAAATTTTGATGGAAGTTATGCTTCCCCTACTATAAAGTGAATTTTACGCATATACTGAACTTTATGATATCAGCACTCCATATTTGGAAGTTATTTAGGTTTATAGAAACACAACTAAAGAAATATTACTTTATTTAATTTGCACATGAATCACTCTGCATTTTGTCCGAACCGACTATTTGATTCGTCTCATAGCCTTGTCGAACACGTCTGGAAATGCTTTTCTGCAACTGCTCGACGCGTTCCGAACTTTGTCGTACGGAATTGTATAAAACATTTGGCGCAATTCTTCATTACTCAAAAATACGTCTGCATACAATCCAAGGAACCTAAATAATAAGACATATACGTACATAAATTATCACTATTTCGAACAATTTCCCATTATTCTGTTTCTATACACTCTTAGAAAACTTGTATTAAATCATTACTGCCATGACTCTGCCAGCACTGGTAATAAAGGGCAGAACAGTTTAGAATTTTTATGGCAATGGAAAATTTACCACTTAGAAACAAACTACTACCAATCTGGAATAAAGTTATTACCAAATCAATACCAGTGTGGAGTTCATATGTGAGTACCAGATTTTTAACAGCGTAAATATGCACATAGCTTGGTTCACTAGAAAAACATTACCCATCATTTTTTAGCAAATATTGTTCGCATTCACGAATTCTGTCGGCAATACTGCGACCGACGTCGATCGGAGTTCCATAAAAGCCAAGATCCATGTAATCCCCACCATAAACAGCTGGCGTCTTCACCATTGACCGATTCTGAAGCTTCGCTGCACAAAGCCAAATAGGGTAGACCTGTGCCAATGTCAGTGATAAGTTGTTAAGTGTTAATGTGCATAAATACATATTGTATTTATGCGGTATTCACAATTGTCTTCGTATCCTTAGTACCGTAAAATACTTTACGAAAAAATAAGGGGTCAAGCTTCGTAAAAATCGTAACCTTACTAACGCGATTTTCAAAGATAAAATCTTACAAAATATCGTAATCGTCGTAACTTAGGTATTTTGCGATACAAAGAATACTACGGATACGAAGGAATAATGAATACCCTCATTATTTAGTCATCACAACCTTGTAAATCGTGTCACATTTTTGCAAAAATTCATCCAATTTTACAGTTGGGACGCAAAAATCTTGAATGACTTGACTTCGAGTAATAAATCTGTACATAAAATTTGGAAACAAGGCCCACATCGCGTGTACATTGAAAGGGTGCACCCATCCAAAGAGAAGCATAATCAGTGGGTTACTCAGAGCGGGCAGTGTATTTTCAAACTGCCAAAACATTCCTCGCGAATGTCGATGAAAATAGTCGCGGAGAGGAAAGTACTCAATATATTTGGCATTATTTTTAGACGATTTCATTCTGTTCATCACGTTTTCGACGATATTGTGAAAAAACGGCTTGTACCATCGATTAATATAATTTATCCGAGAAGGGTCGGATGGGTTGGAGGTCATGTCGCCAAACATGAGCATGACGTCGGTCATCGAGTAAATGATGCCCTCCACGTACGCGTGGTTCTTATTTCTTTGCTGCATTAGTTTCACGGCGTTCGGGATCGAATCGACGTAGACGTACTCGATTTGCATGTACCTGGAAATACGGGTTTCGATGCGAATTATGTATGGTCTGATTTTTTAAACGAGAGACATTTTTGCATGTGAAGTTTATGGGGGCTAGTCATCTCTTATATAAAAAACCAAACCAGTGAGGCAACGATAAGACTAATTTTCCGGGATGTGAATGAAAACTTACTTCCCAGCAGGGATAAGTGGTATCGTTACTGAAGTGAGAAACCCGATCGTTCCGTAAGAATGGGAGACAGCGTAGAAATAGTCTGAGTTTTCAGTCTAAAATTAAAGTTTACAATTTTAGCTTTCATTAAAATCTGGAATGCAATATCTCTCACAAGGGATACTTTCGAGGTGATAGTCTTGTCCAGGGTACCCACTATGATTTTTAGAATCTACCAGGACTCTAGATGAACGACCCATTCTTATTTCCGTGTAAAACTCACATTCGGCGCCATGGCGTGGCGCCACATTCGCCGAATTTGAATGTTTTTATTTTTGAAACCGTCATAACTTTTGAAATCCTGCACGGATATTCGAAATTGTTAACAGAAATGATGACAAAGAGTTTAAATTTCGATTTGAATGATATTTTTCAAACAACTGATTCTTTCAATTTTTGGAAGATTTTAATATTGTCTTAGATGTTGAAAAAATCTTAAAAATATCTCAAAAATAAAATTTTTTGATATATTTATGAGTGTTTTTTTTATACATTTCTTAAAATTTTGACCTTCGTGATCATTTTAAGGCCAAAATTTTAAAACCCTCCGGAAACTGCAAAAGTAATGGAGGTTTCAAATTATTCGAAAATGCGGACTTTTGAGCCTTGCGCCACGCCACGGCGCCGAATATGAGTTTAACCTGGAAATAAGAATGGATCTTACATCTAGGGTCCTACTAGATTCTAAAAAACATAGTGAGTACCCTGGACACGACTATCACCTCGAAAGCATCCCTTATCAGTTTAATAAATTCGAGGATTTTATTGTTTCTTAAACCTCTGAACAATTCAGAACGTCACCATCAGCCGTAACCAATTCGAAAGAGGTCACAGCATCTGCGAACACTCCATAGTGGTGACTACTCGTCTCAAGACCTGCCCCACATATTAGTCCACCTAAAAAAGTATCAAAAAATTAAATTAGGTGACTTTAAATTTAATAGATCTTACCGACTGTTAAAGAATCCAATTCTGGAACAACTGGGATGGTAAATCCCTTATCCGTAAGTATTTTAGTTAGTTGGCCCATCATCATTCCAGGCTCGACGATTAACCTCTGCGCATAATTAATTAAGCAATTAAGCAACTTGTTTGTTAATTACTAGACGAGGAAATCCTTTATCTCACCTTGTTCTCCACGTCGATTTCAATTATGTCATTTAAATCCACTTCCACCTTGTAGAAGCCTCTTTTGTCAACTTTATGAATTGAGAAGCTCTTCCAGCCTGGTTTCGCAGTGCACATGTGACCCTTTCTGCCACCCTCGATCCATCGCCGAACTTGAGCCTGGACGTTTTCAACCTTTTTCGCATGTCGTTTGTGAGTCGTATAACAATTTCGGGTGCTCATGTTAAAATAATTAAATATTTTGACACATGGTCCGATGAAAATTAAAAGAACAATGAGCATAACGAAGTCCAGGATGGACCGCAAAATGGAACGACTTGGTTGGTGAATTGCCATTATTATTCTCGTGCAAATGTTACCTTGACACTAGACTAGATTTTTGATGACCTGGTAATCTTATAGCATGCATATTTCCTGTCTGGCGCTTCATAAAGCAGAATCAAGAATTAAAATCTGAGCTTGTTAATTGCAACAATGTTTCAAGTCGGTGGGAAAGAGTGTTTTTTTGTCGGAGAATTTATTCTGGTTTTTCATGAGATGAAATGTCTCATGAGATTTGAGTAGGTTAACTTAATGTTATTCTTGTCTTGTGAGAAACAATGTTGTTCATATGGGTATCCAGATATGTATTTAAATGTGCGATATTTTTATTAAGATTTCGGCCCTGTTGCGCAATATACTTGTGTGAGGGAGGTTAAGACTGTTGATTTAAAATCTAAAATTTATTGACGACATGGTCTCTGCATGCGTTAGGAATATAACATTTTATTTTAATTCCCATGGTTGATTTAGCTTGACAGCAGACTTGTTGACTTGAAATTTGCTGAATACATTGTAGTAAATTTAAGCAGATGTGTCTTTAGTTCCATAATGCTACTGGGAGTTTATAAGTTTTGATTATGTAACATTTAGAATAATACTTAAATTTGCTATTTTTGCTGGGTAACTTTGTTTATATCTGCATTCTGGAGTGTGAATTTATGCAAATATTTTGCCTCATATACATACATACAATTGTACCTGTTTAGTCCGGTTGAATATGTACAGAAGATGCACACATAAGCATGTATTGGAATATTATGTGCAGTATGTATGTATTAATGAGGTAATCGGAAATTTCGGTTTCAGAAATATGAATATCGATATGTAGATATATTTAAGTATCTAGGGATTTAGGTACATATCTATATTTATGTATATTTAATTATTTATATATATTTAGATATGTATTATATTTTAGAATTTTGGATATACATAGGAAATTTAGTAAATGACGAAAAATTAGAAAAATTAATATGTGAATATCCCATTTAATTTGCTTAGAATTAAGATTTCAGACGCTTTGTAGTGTTTATGCTTGTCTGTAGATGACATTTTATTCTTAAAAAATACGATGCTAGTAGTAGTAACATTCTATTTCCGTGCCAGTAACAAACTCACCGTATGATACCCTACTCGTTCCAAATATCTCAAAAAGTAATCCATCCGCACCCCGTGCTTAACCGTGTCCACAGATCTTAAGAATTCCAAATTTATCGAAATTGGCTGCAACCCTGCAATCATTCTCCTTCTAATCTTATCGCGACCATAAAATCTACAAATCTTCATCCTAAACTCATTCGACAGCATGGATGCCTTTGCGATGTAATTTATCGAAAAAAATTCAATCATCCCTCCAAAAAGTAGGCAGCAAATTGAAAGTGAGACAATTACCAGGGAAATTTTACCACCCGGTAAAAATTGCAGGACAAAATAGTACATGGCAATAGTTGCTAAGACAACGGCATGAAAATGATGTAGACACGGAACTACTAAATAACTCGCCAATTCAGACTGGATGATCGTCAAGATGCCAAGAGTTCGATAAGTTTTGATCCCTTTTTCAAATCCGAATCCAAGCCGAAATTTTTTATCCACGTAATTGATTCCAATTGACGAATTGAGAGAAGTTATGGCCAGATAGGTGACAACGATTCCGTTGAGGATGCATAATCCGCAGAGCACCGTGGTGCAGATGAGGATGTTGCTGATGAAGTAGGAAAATATTTGGACCAGGATCTTCACAGGAGCGGGACAATGAAGGACAAACGAATAGAGGGGATTACTTTCAGGTTCAAAAAAGCTAATGTAAACGAGGACTGAGGGGAATATGAAGTCCGACCAGAAATAGGCAGCAGAGACTAGTTTCTCTCCAAGAAAGTTGGAGGTCGTCTTAGGACGTTTTGAAGATAGTAATTCTAAAGATAATAATTATTTAACACATTAAAATTCGACACAAATCATATGTAAATATAGTCCTAAAATAAATTTTGAAGTATATCATTATGCATATGTACATTAATACATATTCTTATAGCTATTCTGTTATCCCACCTTGAATCTGCATATCCACTTGGAGAGCGGTTTCATAGGACATGATAAGCTTTCGAAGATTAGACGATTTCAAAAAGAACCACAAAAACGGGACGCAAATGCATGCCACATCCGTGATGACTAATGTGGCGAGATACACTTTCAACTCCCGATTTTCCTGTGGGGACATTATTAGAAGTTGAAAAGTTCTGGCTACAACGACCGGCAAAACGATCAACGTCATAATGCCAGTATAAATTTGAAAGGTTCTAAAGCTCCATTCTTTCTCCCGACAAGGCTCCGCTTTGTCAGACTTCTTGATCCATTTTAATGTGTAACAGGTGAACCAGGCGCTGCGTTGAGCGGCGCGGACAGCGTGCTGAAAATATCGAAAACCTGCATCGTTCCACATTTTGAAAAAAAATGTATCAAGATTTAAGAATACTTGAGCTTGAGTAATGTATGAATTTATGAGTGAAATGACTATCTGTCTATCGAGTAGAACTGCGTCTATTTGTTTGTTTAAACACGTAAGTAAATTTTTTCCCGGACAAGATGGTTATAATTTTGCATACCTACTTATTTATTTTGAAACATAAAAAATTTGTGCAAACTTTTAGAGTTTGAGTTATAATTTAAGAGGTATAATTAGAGTTTAATTGGAATATATTGTCTTGCAAAATAGTTTTATATGTTGAGGAACAATGTTCTTGGGCGACATTAGATGACGTAGTTCGTAACTATGTGTAATGTACGTAATTAACCTTTTTGGCTACCAATTACACATTTGTAACAATTTTTTATCACTTGACTACCAAGGTAAATATTATTCGAAATATTATGCTGCCTATCAATTACACTACTTCTATAACAATAACACATTTGGTTACGAAGGTCTTATGGAAATTTTACGTCATTCGGCATTTTGTAACTTAATAAATTTCAATTATTTTCCACATTTGCTATCTGATTTTTTTAAATTCGCTACTCATTACACACATTTGTGTAATTTATGTGTGCAACGAAAAACAACCTCGTGTGTCATTGATCGCCAAAGGATGTTATAGTAAATATGTAGTACGTAGAAATGCACACGTGTGGAATTTGTAGGCACAGTAATATTTAGAAAAATAGCTTGATATAGTCCAGTGATAAAAAATCGTTACGCAAAAGTGTGTAATTTAGTACGTAACGGAATATTTCCGAAAATTAACTGGTAGAATAGGCAGCGTTCATAAACTTCATAATGGAAAAAGGGTGGATGATCAGTGCCCCATGATATGGCGTGCCTATGTGACAAATTATAAAAAGGGGTGGATGGGTCGAAAATTGAAATGTCTCCAAGAACACTTTTATGTTACGTTGAATTTTTTTCAATTTTGAGCCACCCGTGATTTATTTTACGTTTTTTTGTAAGTACTTTAGAAATTAATTGCTGCAAAATCGGTGCGCTTACTGGTGAGTTTACTACAGTCAGTCTGGTTCAAGTGCCGGGGGATTGGAACTTAGTAGCTGGGTAACGTCACCCAAAAGTTCCGATTCCCTGGACTTTTTAGTTATGCAAGTTACAGGGAAACGGAACCCACTTGTCGCAGGATTTAGCGGGCCTCGATTCCCCGGTACCCTCTTACGCAAAAGTTACGATTCCCCGGAACCCAACATTTTTCTTCCATTTTTCATAAATTGGATAAATTTCCGCAGAAAATTTGAGATATCTCAAATTAACCTCCCACAAATGTAGAACATTGGATAAAAAAATTAGAATTTTTTATAGTGGCGTTTTTCCTAAAATCACAAATATCTGACAAATTTGAGGAGCGGCAAGCTCAAAAAGGTACGGGAAATCGTCACCCAACAATTATTTTCTAGGAAAAATACAATTATTTTGCAGTTATTGTTACAATTATTAAGTTATTATTATGTTACAATTATTTTCACATAAAAATAATTGTATTTTTCCTAGAAAATAATTGTTGGGTGACGATTTCCCGTACCTTTTTGAGCTTGCCGCTCCTCAAATTTGTCAGATATTTGTGATTTTAGGAAAAACGCCACTATAAAAAATTCTAATTTTTTTATCCAATGTTCTACATTTGTGGGAGGTTAATTTGAGATATCTCAAATTTTCTGCGGAAATTTATCCAATTTATGAAAAATGGAAGAAAAATGTTGGGTTCCGGGGAATCGTAACTTTTGCGTAAGAGGGTACCGGGGAATCGAGGCCCGCTAAATCCTGCGACAAGTGGGTTCCGTTTCCCTGTAACTTGCATAACTAAAAAGTCCAGGGAATCGGAACTTTTGGGTGACGTTACCCAGGTACTAAGTTCCAATCCCCCGGCACTTGAACCAGACTGACAGTATTGCACACAATTCCGAGAAATTTACGAATGTGGACTAGGTGAAGCGGATTTTTAGCAAGGATAAGATAATATACTTGGACTTCTACTCCATATAACAAATCGACTACATATTAGTCAAATGGTCCTTACACTCTAAGAAACCTGGTGATAACTATCACCGCGCGGTGGTCATATGTGACTCTACCGGAATGGTGACAGCTGCAACCACCGAACGGTGACAACTGCACCACCGCACGGTGATTGATCATCACTAAGCTGGTGATGGGCATCCACCCTCCGGTGGTCTTCTGCCACCTGCCGGTAGAGTCACATATGACCACCGCGCTGGTGATAAAATTTCTTAGAGTGTATACGCCCGATTTCATAACCATCACATATGTATTTATTACTCGATTAATCATAATGAGACATTTGCTGGTAAATATAATGCCGATGTACTTATTAGCTCACCCTGCGTAGCATGAGAGCTATTGAATTCCTCTTGTCCGTCCGTCTGTCTGTCTGTCTGTTAACGAGTTTTTTGCATCAATTGATGCTATTTAAAAATCCCCTTGACCATTATAGAATAAGTTAGGCGCACCATTGGTATTGAACAAACCGAATCGAATTTTTTAATAAATTAATAGCACCATTGATATCTAACAATCGTTAACACAAAATGATGCGAAATAATTGGGAGAAGGGATGCAAAACGCACCAATAGTGCAAAATATCCGGGAGAAATGGTCATACAATTTTGACAAAGTTTTCAAAATTATGTATCCCGGATGGTCGCTAATGCTGCAGTAATGGTGCAACGGCTAGCCGTTTTCGTTGCACTATGGGTGCAAGAATATATACGAGTTATGATTTATTTTTCCAGCTTATTCCTCATCTTCGGTGCAAAGTTCTATCTAATCATCATGACCGGGTGAGCTACTTCTAACGTTACTACGGTTTATTTGAGACCTAAGCCAACCTTTGTCCAAATGAATACATACACAAAATTTACAAAATATTGATTAATGTCATGCATACATACGTACGTACATATGCACATAATGCATGTATTCTCATATGTAATTAAAATTATTTCTTATTTCACATAAACTGAACAACCTCAACCTATTTCACTTATTTACTCCCTAACCCTCTCTCATTCCTCCTCACAATTTACACGACCTAACACTTTGTTGCATATAATGCCCCATGCAAAACTGCCCCAACCAACTTATTTTATTGTACAATTTTTGCAAGACGCCAGTGCGACAGCCAACATTTGTATGCATTACATATGTCTATCTATGTGTATCTCACTAATTACTCACTTGTAGCAACTTGCTATATATGTATTACAATCAACTTTATCACCTTCATTAATTTAGGTATATATATATTTCATATATCGATATATGTCTGTACATACCATTACAAATTACTTATGTCATGTTATTTATTTCAGTCAGTAAGTGCATTTAGTTTGAAGAATGTCTAAAAAGTGGAAGCCATTAAAATTTAGACTTTTCGAAGATGTGCATAAAATATACAACTTTTCTGGAAATATTCATCTCCAAAATATTTGTAGTTAGTGTTGTGCTAAATTGTATCGTGGTGGTGCATTCTGCTTGGATAACACCTAGAATTTTGGAATTGGCAAGATTTATTCCAGATTTTGACCTACCTGAGTTTTCATTACCCAGTTTTCCTAATAGCCTTAACAAGAATAGGGTAGTATCGGGAACGGTAAGTTGGTATGTCCATGTTATGGAGAAGTTTCCATCAATAAATAAATTTCGATTAATTTTAAAAATTAGAAATAAGATAATATTCTCTGATACGGTTTAAAAAACGAGTTTATTACAAACGCTTAGGTCAATACAGCTAATATTTTTGGATTTAGTCACAAAATCGAAAAAGCCGCATGAGAGCTTTTAAATAGTACCTTAAGACACAGTGACCGGAAGTGGAAGGGTGATTTGTATCCTACATCTATATCTCATATATTTGTATGATCTAATACAAATATTAATACAATTTTACCCTTCCGTAGCATAAGGAAATAACTTTTTACGTATTTTAATTTTTTTTGTCGATTTATCTCAGGTCGTTATTGCCATACTTAGACTGCTACCTATTTTCATTAAAGATTAAAGATTTCCACACATTTTTCATTAGTCCACAAATTCCATAATAAGATCAATTCTGTCTTAAATAGGTTGGTCAAATTGAGAATCATGGCTACCCCTCAGAATCCCACACAGTTGAAACAGAAGACGGTTACATACTTCAAATTCATCGAATCCCCACAACAAAGGCACCCCTTAAAAAATCTCAACCCGATAAAATGCCTAAATTTCCAGTTCTCTTAATGCACGGGTATCTTCAATCTTCGGCGGATTGGGTGATTAATTCGCCGTGGAATAATTCACTAGGTAAATAATTCAAAATATGTATTGGGTGTAGTCACGTCAACGAAACAAATTCAGTCGTAGTTTGAGAAATAGTGTAATGTTCCGATTTGTAAACATGCACATTCTTTGAGTACATTTGCGAATAAGTTTTTCAGCAGAAAGTTCTTGCAATGGTAAAAAAATTCTCGAAATCATGCAAATTGTCCATTAAATACATAGATACTTTACTTTATTTGCAAGATTTGCAACCTATATGTATGTGATCCTAAGTTATTGTCATCAAGATTATGCAAACTTTTCTGTATGTACAGCATTCCTCCTGTCCGATTCTGGGTTCGATGTATGGCTTGGAAACGCCAGAGGAAATTCTTATTCCAAAGGACACACCAAATTTCCCCGTAATTCAAATAATTACTGGGATTTTAGGTGATGACAATATCAAAAACTAAATCATATTATTTTTCGTACAAATTTCCCATGTTTTCATAAATACGTATGGATTTAGTTTCCATGAAATGGGCAAGTATGACCTTCCAGCCATGGTGAATCACATCCTGGAACAAACTGGGAAACGAAAGGTTCACTATGTCGGTTTTTCTCATGGAGCAGCTGTCTTACTTACAGGTACATATTTCGTGATTTATGTGGACTCTTGAATTACTCATATTTAAGGTTGATATTGATACGCACAGGTCTTTCGACGAGGCCAGAATACAACGAAAAAATAGCGTCCGGTATTCTCCTCGGACCCAGCGTGATCCAGGAGTATTACGTGAACGGATTTTTACACGCGTTTCCCATCAGCGCAAGAATTCTTAATGTATGTATGCATTTCAATATCTCCCTTTTTAAATTTAGCAGGCATCTCTTTATATTTACACCTGAATATTTTTAGGGAGTAATCAATAATTTTGGAGCGCTACCCTTGTTTCCTCCCATGCTGGCTGGACTTATCAATGCATTCCTGACACGTTTCTGCCATCCGAGCTTTGACCGGATAGGAATTTGTTGGAATTTTATACACTTGGTGTTTGGAGATGATGACAATCTTATAACCAAGGTATTTATTTATCCTCCAATTAAAACATGAGGTTTTAAAAGCTATTTAACCTGCCAAAAATTGGCACATTTTTCGCACAAGAGACCCTCATTGAGATTTTACCCTGAAATGAGACTTCTCACTGCTGTGAAATTTTTTAAAATATCAGCCATTTGTAACGAGTTAAATAATTTACTTCACTTTTCTTGTCGTAAATAGGATCAAATGCCCATAATAACATCTGCAGCACCGTCCGCCGCTGGACTTAAAGGTTTGGCGCATACCGTTCAACACGCCGTTTCTCATCGTTTCGCCGAATACGATTATGGAACGGATCGAAACTTGGAGCTTTATGGGACCTCGTCTCCTCCATCCTACAACTTGACCAAAGTTACCATTCCAGTCGCTATATTTGTCGCTTTACACGATTCCTTAGCTATGAAGGAAGATTCAAAAATCCTGGCGAGAAGCGTACCTAATTTATTGAGTTATAATGAAATCTCGTATAAAAAATTTAACCACATTGACTACACGTATGGAGGAAGTGTAGCTTTTGGTGTGTACTTGAAAGCTATGGAAAATATGAAACTAGCCGAAAATAGGGAGAAGTAGTAAAGTATTTATTTTTACACTTATAAAAATCCAGTATTAAAATAATACCAAGCAGTATTTCTAAATGACCAAACGTACCAAAATGGTACTGATAAGTAATACGGTGCAGTCATATGCAGATCGGTGTTAAAGCTTTACGATATCGGTAGCGAATTTTTACGGACTGGAATATCTGTAATTTTAATACCAAGCAGTAGCAACTTTAATACCGAGAAGTCAACACTTGTGTGACTATGCCAGATTTATAACAGTGTATGTATACATAAGTTCTCTGATTTGATTTTTTAAAAATTGCATAACATGCATAAAAAGGACTAAAAAAATGCAACTTCGTAACCGATAACACAAAACTTATGTTTGCATGTCTGATTTGTGTTTGTAATAAATAAGTACTTTTTTACATAAGAATAAATTTGTATCTAAATCGTAGATCGGACCATTTCGGGTATATTTGTTGGTCAAAACGGGACCTCAAAATTACTACAGCCGGATAAAATGCTTAATTATCTCGTTTTGGTAAGAGATAAAGACACACGACATTGTTATCTGCATTTAAATTTTTTACAACCATTCGAGAAACATTTAGTGACCATTACTTGCATGCTTTTGTCTAGTTTAATTTTCCATTCATGCTCAGAGGTTTTCAGTAAATCACCTCATTTATAGGGTTGTACTGATGTCGGTGAGAGAGATTTTAGGTATTTGTGACATGCCCTATTTGGCCACCATTTTGATTAATGGCAAGGCCAATGTTATAATATACCTAGAGGTACTCACTACACCGTATTGCAACTCATTTGGCAAATTTACGAAGCTAAAAAAATATGTAGTGAGGGGATTCGTGAAATTTAAAGTATAAATAAAATCGTAAATCTCGTAAATCTCTCAAATTTATTTATAAAAATCCTTTTTAAGCTATTTTCAAGAATTTCTGCAATTTTCTCTTGCTGGTGATTGTGAGGATTTTTAAAAATAATTTTTCAAATCAAAAGATCCCCATTTGCTGGGTAATCTTGCAATAGAAATCTTATGATTTTCCAGTAAGAGTTTTGCAAAATCTTGCAAATTTCGCAAGTCACGTTGCAATGCTAAATTTTCGAGATATACGAAATATGCAAAGGTCGACGTGATACTAGGAGATTTATGCCGTGCCAAAATTCTGAAAATTCCAGGCAATTAAATAGATTCATGCCCTCGACATTGTACAACTCTGATAATCACACTACATACGTGCCCTTTCTAACTATTGCAAGACATTTGCTTGCTTCCCCCTCCACTATTTATCCCATTGTCTGCACACCTCTCAGTCGCTGTCAATATTTTATCATGGTTGCATTGTTAAAACACCTGGAACATGAAGCACAATACCTATTTAATCACCTTTTCTGCATTTTTAACTCTTAATAAAACAACAGTCATATTTATTACATAAAACACGTATGCGCTCTAGTGCATATTATCTAACTCATTATTTATGGTAAGCGACGCGTTATTACAATACTCAGCATTAAATATTGCAGCCTCCAAATCACTTCTAAGCTATACGAGGCGTCAATATATGCTGTTCCAATTTCGCGATTATGAAATATTTAGGTTTGTTTAATCGCACAGAGTTATTTCTTTAGTTATTAAATAATAATGCCGGTTTGCATTGTGAGTGCAAGCTCAAGGGTTTTGAGTACAACCTAGTTAAGATTATTACCTACACTAATAAATAACCAGGTAAGCAAGGTCGACGAAATGCACCAGTGTCTTATTTTCCATGCTGATAAGAACATCATTTCTCTGATTTATTTACGCATCCTCTGTAATTACACTCCTGATGATACAAATATACACACGAAAGCTACATTAAGTTTGCAAAGGAAGTGCAAAAAAAACTTCAATTTCGTCCATTGTATCAAGTTTGTTGCGTGTCTAATGAATATTTTGGGATCCGTTTCCATGTAAGGAACTATTTTCTCTCAAGCTTAATTCTGGAAAGGCTGGCTGTCGTGCTATGGAATGATGACACTTGGCAGTTTTTGGCTCAGTCGACATGTCTCGACATGAGGTGAAAATGGTGTGAATCCAGTGTATTTTTTGTGATTCCTTAATCATGAGCTAATTGTGTGATTCGGCAGCTATAATAACTAGGATTAGGTAATCTATATACTTATGTACAGAGATGTGAACTTTACCTCGATTGCGATGTGACGTGATTAAGTAGAAAAGTGCGATTTGTATACGAGCCACATGTGGTATTAGTGACATTTGGCAAATCTATGTAATTTGTTACGTTATCTTCTGTTTGTTCGGAAGCAACAAATCAATGGTAAGTAATTTCGTTACCGAATACTTTTATAATGTCAATTCTGTATGTGTTGATGAAAACGTGATCCATGATCATTATTAGAATTTAAATCAGGAAATTAAGATTATTAAAGGTGTGAAAAACATGTCATTTTCCTTATTTTGAGTATATCGACACAATGTTTACGTACATATTTATATTACAAGTTTAATGCATCTTTCGTATTTACGTTTAAGTATTATCCCCAACCGCTTATTTTGGTTAATTTGCTCAAACCGGAATTGACAAATTTATTTGTATTACAAAATTACAGTAAATTTTAACGCTTTATGTACTGATTACATATTTGGCTTTTAATATTATAACAATGTAATGTGTACATTTCGATGTACATATGCAAAAGTTTGCAATTTTCCCACTCACTCGGTTCATATTCAAGTTTTTGATCACACTGATTTTGAACGTAGAATAAAATTAAGGAGTAAAAAATACAAAAAAATTGTTTAAAAGTGAGCAGGCACAAAGTTCATATGTAGATGTTTAATACATTTTGTACATATGAATTATTTCAATTTACCGATTTAATTGTTTCACAGTGCCTCTGGGAAATGTATCCGCACTAATTTCTACACCTTTGACAACTCCGGCGACCCATAATACCACAGAGACATTGGAAACCATCATGGGGCACAAAACTTTGCTTTCTGCCAATTCCAATAACCTGGTTGGTGGGACGTCGCAATATGATCCCGGTGAAATGGCGTGGCTCATGGGATGCACAGCTATTACGTGGATTATGAGTAACAGCAAGCGTGCATATTTTTGAAATTTAAATTTTGAAATAGCCTAATTATTATGACAAATAGTTCCAGGAGTGGGCTTTTTCTACAGCGGTGTCGCTCGAAGCAAAAGCTCTCTCAGCCTTCTGATGATATGTCTATGGACTTGCGCCATAGTTAGTTTTCAAGTAATTCAAAAATAAATAATTTGAGACGATGATAATTATTTCAGTGGTAATAACTGCATTATTATCATAATTTGCAGTGGTACTTGATCGGATTCTCGTTATGCTTAAGCACAAAGGGAAACCAAATCATAGGTGAATTTGATGTGATCATTTACGATACAATTGTTTATTAGACGTACTCACGACGACGCTTCGCTTATCTTGCAAATCTCGTAAATTGAGCATATCCTTAGAAGTTTTGCTAACTTTGTAAGGTGCAAAAAATTTTGCTGGCAAACAATGAGATTTGTGTTCGGAAATGCTCAAAATTCATGTTTTTATTTCAAATTTGCTAAACGAGTTGTGATGCAAATAAGGCGTTGACGTGAGTACACTCATTATTGTAATAATTATTTTTTGCGCGGAAAAATAAGGTGGGTTGGACCACTTATTCCTTACGAACACTAACCAACCTTACCACGGTAACCCTAAAATCCCCACGCTCCTCGTAAGCATCTGGTACGGACTCTTTGCCGCCATCACGCCCACCATCATTTTGGGCGGGATCGCCGAAAGGACTCGTTTCCTTCCCACCATCGTGTTCATTTTTTTCTGGACCACTTTTTGCTTCGATGTTTTAACCTACTGGACCTGGAACCAAAATGGGTGGACATATGTCTTGGGGGCGTTAGATTTTGGCGGTGGTACCCCAGGTAAGCAATTGTTACTAAATTATGTAAATCAATAACTTTATCAAGAGTATTATATTCCTTAGTTCATTTGTCGACGGGTGCAGCCGCTCTTGCATTTGCAGTCATGGTGGGAAAACGGATCGACACCAGTGAAAAGCCACCCCACAATATGACCAACGTCTTTTTGGGGACAAGCTTCATCTGGTTGGGATGGCTCGTGGCAAATGCGGGTTCCGGTCTTTCACCCAACTTAAGAGCGGTCACTGTTTTTGTCACAACAAACATTTCCGCCTCCATGGGTAAAGCAACAATGGGTCAAATTAATGTTATTCAAAAACTTATGTGTTAAAAATTTCGATTTTTTTAATTTATCAAAATTTTGTTTTTCAAATTTTCTAGGAGGAATCACTTGGGGAATTATGGATTACATTCGCCACGGAAGAAAGTGGTCCGCCTTAGGATTTTGTACAGGGTCAATATGCGGTTTGGTCGCAATTACACCTGCATCAGGGTAAATATTTAGCGAAATTTAAAAAAAACATGCAATTCAACCTTGCAAAAATTTCGCAAAATTTATTATCCTCCAGATACGTCTCACCCAGTTCCAGCCTCGTCTTTGGCGTAGTTGGTTCAATAATTTGCAACTTTTGCGTCGACCTGAAACCACTCTTGATACGAATTGAGGCTGACGATGCATTCGACGTATTTTGCGTGCATGGCATTGGTGGCATCGTGGGCAACCTTCTCACCGGAGTTTTCGCTCAGAAATCCATCGCCGCAGTGGATGGCAGCATAATTGAGGGGGGTTGGTTGGATGGTAACTGGAAACAGGTGGGGATTCAGGCCATCGACACGGTCGCCGGGATGGTGTGGAGCTTCGTGGTTACTGTAATCTTGCTTTATGTCATCAATAAAATACCCGGACTTCACCTGAGGGCTGATCCCAAGGATGAAAACGAGGGGTTGGACAAGGCTGAAATGGGACAAAGCGTAAATGAATATGTCGAAGAAATAAGATCAGCCATAGAAGATTGTACGACGACGCGGATTACGGTTGGTTCAAGTGACATTGTTGCGTTCAGAAAAGTGGAAGGTCATAATAATGGAGAAATTAGTAAGGAGAAAAGGCATGAAGATGGGAATGATGAAATGGCGGAGAATGTGGTGGAGACAAATTTGTAACGTAATAATAAGTACAAGTACGTAGAACTATTATGGCGGGTCACAAAAATTTGTATAAATCTCACCATGCCCCATTTCCCGTGATACGGGCTTTAAATGAGGTGACTAGCCTGAAAAACTGTACTGTAGCTATGTATTTAGTTTGTCCAAAATAGCCAGTTTCGGCCATCTCACAATTTTCCGTTTTCGGCTATGTACACAAACATTACGGATCTTCTATGCAACATACTTATACCAAATCTACATATGGTTTTTGGGATTGATGTGATTGTCTATTTTGATACATATTTCCTTAATGTTATGGATAAAATACAACACCCATTTTGTACATATATGTAATTAATAAACTTACAATATACATATTTCCTAACGTAATCAAAAGTAGGGGATTACTTATAAATACACAAAACCGTATAATTGCATTGCCGTTGCAATACTCAATTAGCCATTTCGTAATTTAACAATTATTCACTGATATCTTCATGCTCCACGGTTGACCATCAATTTTTTAACGCCTTCTACATACGTGCGATAATACTCTTCCCAATCAATCTCTTGCGTATCCGTATAAAACAAAGTTTTATCAATTGTGTTCAAATCCAAATTTAAGTTCTCTGCATTTTCCGTTGAGAATGTCCACCATTTATTCAAGAAAAATCCGTATGCCTCAATAATCGCGAGACCACGGCGACACTGTTTCGCAAAACTAAATAATCATAGCAATTAATTAATCACTATTTTTTGGTCTGATTAATTAGCAAACCTGGATTGTTTTCCGTTCAAGCGATTCACCAGATCTAGAATTATACAGGGAATGGTTGCGTATATCCAATTCAATAGATGGAACCAGACCCGTGACGTGGTCATGCTTAGCCTTGGCGTTCCCATTTTGCACGGGTAATTTACGTCTTTCAAGTATTGTACCAACAAACGGATGACCCTCCCGTTGGAAATACGACTTTTCGGGGTAGAACAGCAATTATAGACGCGCAAGTTTTCGCAATTTCTTAATTAAACAGTATTTAATTAGAAATGTTAAAAATCCCATTGCAAACTAACAAAGGTCGGTTCCCGACTGTTTCTAGTGTCCAGGGAACCCATTATGTTTTTTATAATCCACAAGGATCCTAGATAAAGGATCCTTTCATATTTTCTTGTAAAATTAATTCGTACATAATTGCGCCCTGGCGTGATGCTACATTCACCAAATTTGCCTGTTTTTACTTTAAACCGACATAACAAGCGTGAAAATATTCACAAGTTCTTGAAGTCGAACTCGGCAGAGCTCATTTTTTTAATTTCGAAATTTTCCTAGACAAGGGATCCATAGAAAAAAACTTAAAATATCTCAAACACTAAAGATTTTTATTTTTCATTTCTTAGCCCAAAATTGTGAAAAATCCACGTAAACTTCCGAAGTTATGGATATTTGAAATTGGTCGAAAATGAAGATTTTTAAGTTTGGCCCCACGCCACGGCGCCGAATATAAGTCTTACATGGAAATATGAATGAATGCTTTATATAAGGTCTTAGTGGATTTAAAAAATATCAGAACACTAGAAGCAGTCGGGACCAAATTCTTTGCAAATTATTACTTTATCCATGCAGTCCGAAAACCCGCAGCGATGGCCAAATTCGCCACCACGTCGAGAGGTACTATGTCAGAGTACGAACTTCTCTCTCCGAGTAGACAACTCAGAAGTCCTGACCCTGTGGCGGCAATAATTGCAGAAATTCCATTCAGACGGTCGACGAATCCTGCTTCCGGTTCTTTCCAAGATGCACAAACTACATAGAAACAAAATTTTCAGTAAGTTGGCATCGTTATAAAACGTAAAAACGTACTTATCGACGGACGAATAATAGCGATGGGTAGTTTTCCGCCTTTCTCAATGATTAGATTCTCCGCCAGAGCTTTGGTGTATGTATAAGTGTTGGGTTTATTCCCAATGAGGCTTAATTTTAATCAGCAATTAACTTGGATTCACAAATAATTAATTTCAATTTCTTACAGTGGTGTTAACTTTTCTTCTTCATCATCTCTTAAATTCTCGATAAATCCAACATTTTTGATATCTAGCTCGATAATATTTTCGGAAATAAAATCCTCATCACAATTGGCAAATGCAGTGGAAATGTGGACGTATGCCTGCAATTTGTTTAGATTACAGATACAAGTGACCAATCAAACTGATTGTAACGCGAACCTCTAAATTTTGAACTTGGTGACACAAACTCAAGATTTTCTCCGTCCCACGATAATTAATTTTACAAGCGAGTTTGAGTTTCTCATCGAATTTGACCGTTGCTGCGGAATGGATGACGATAGACACGGTGGAAATTATATGTTCGTAATCTTTGCCGGATACGCCTAATTTTGGCAGAAGCAAGTCTCCTGAAATGGCGCGGACTTTACTTAACTGGGGAAGCGTCGTCTTTTCTTAGAAGGTCGAAAATCTAAAAAAATTGGAAATGTTATTACGAAATTTTATACTTTATGCAGTATCAGATTTACCGGAGAAGCTAAAATGTCATCCAGTCGGGTCTCCACATTCTGCCCTCGTTTATCCCGAATTAATACATTAATTGTGCCAATATTTGGACAAGATCTTAGCAACTTTTCTAAAATAGCTTTTCCCAAAAAACCTGTCACACCAGTAATAAAAACTGACTTGTTTTCGTAAAATTTCTGAATTTCGCTAGACATTTTTCTTTCTGTTGCTTTTAGTTGACACTAACGTGTTAAGATTAGAGAATATTTAAAGCAGTGTATGCAAACACCAACGGACAATTCGACAAGGTTTTCACGCTACTGTCCAAAGTTCAAATTTGAATCTTAGGCATATTTATAGTAGAGCTTCATGTGCGGCACTCGAAGTATAGACCAGTGGACATATTGAAATGTGTACTGCTGCATACAATTTCTGTGTGACGTAAATACATATGCATGAACACACGTCATACAGATATGGATCCATATAATACACGCCCTTAAGAAACGTGACACTCTTTGGAGGAGGGGACCTCTACCTTTCACCCCCAAGATTTTGATCCTTTTGGGGTATATTATTGCATCCTATGTATAAGTCTGCTTAATTCCTGAAGTGGTTTTATTCCTATGCCCTTCTTTTAACCCTTCACCCCCCTCAAGGCGACCAAACCATCTTTAAAGGCTAGGCAAAAATCCAGTTGGAAAGCACTCGTTGTGGTCCTGAAGAGCTGCTAAATATTAAACTCTACTTAACTGTTTTGAATTTTTAACTATTTTCGATAATTTCGTGACCAAGGTTTAGTTTGATATTGGATATAACCGATATTGACCAAGCTGCTGTATGGAACTTCAATCGTCGCGCAAGAGGTTTCAAAATCGGAGTAAAACTGGATTATTGGTGCATGTTTAAACAAGCGAAAACGGTTTTTTACCCTTTAAATGGGTACCATTGGGTGCCATTTTCGGGTCACAACATATTCAAAAGGCATTCAAATCTGGGGGTGACAGGTAGAGGTCCTCTCCTCCTTATGGTCATATGCAAAAACGGTCAAGTAAAGTGTGTGTGAATGGACTCCTTTCAAACCGCAAATTGACGTAGGTACACGCATATTCTAATAGAAATCTCATGTTTTCCCACGGGTGTTGGGAACAGTGTAAGATAAGAGTTTAAAAGGTACGTTACAAAGCATCACGTTTAATCATTTAGCAATTTTTAGTAATTAATGGTTTATTAAATCATTTATTACTTTATCCTTGTTGTCAAAATTTCCCTGATATTAGTGGCTAGGCAAATGAAAATTTTGTCGTAGGTCATTAAAAATTAAGCGTCATTACTGTCAAGGAATTTAACCAGTTTTATTAATTATCTATCGACAATTTCCTCCGGACGTAGATAATTCCATTACAGATGTATGTATGCAACTATTTAGTAAAAAAATACATGGCTAGTCTTGAACAATTATAAATATTTTGTCGGGATGATTATTATTTGAATAATTATTCCTCCTGTTAAGTATTAATCTCTTTCGTACTATTAAGTTTTAATCAAATTTCCCTTCGGTTTCCTCTTCATTTAAATTAATTTGGAGAATTTTATTTCAATATATGCATTATTCATAAATATTAATTTTATTGCATTTATAACACATATAATCACTAATCATAAGTATGCAATACAGACTTTGATCGAAACATTAATAAAAAGACATATTTTATCTTTTTCCCACCTCCGCAATTTCGATTACCGCAGCAACCGCTAGCTTTACAAATTCAGCAATCTTATCAAAGCTCACTTTGTCCAGGGTGTCCTTCAGGGTGTGGAAGTCAGGATTTTCAGGGTACTCTGACCCATCGGAGGCGTGGAACCCGTGATGCGTGAAGGAAGCGTGGTCAGAGCAGGCATATCCACATTGAATGTTTATCCACGGATAGGCGCAATACCTGTCGACGACAAGGCGGACGAACGTAGACAATTTTGGCGACGTATAGTCGGTCACAATCCCGATCTGGTTTGGACCTTCACGGAATCCCACCACGTCAAAATTCAACATGGCAACAACCTTGGGAGGAAATTATATATTCGAATATTTAATTCGTAAAATGCACTCGCTCACACAAAGCGGCAAAAGGATTTTAAACAGGACAAGGGTTATAAAAAACGCATTTTTTGTATAAACATTAAAAATTCTACGTCAAAAAGTTAAAAATTGGTAACTATTTCAGCTGCTGTAAAATCTACAAATATTTACTAACTCATACATATATCCTTTAATTTTTGGTATTACCAAAAAAATGATAAGGTAATGACGCTTATTCGAAAGATATCATTGTATCCACGCCGGAATACTAACTGGGTTACCTACCTTCACCCTGCGATCGGCATAGTCTTCCGCGATATCCATCGATCCACGACGCCCAATTTCTTCAGCTGCGTACCTGGACGAATAAATATGGTTTAGATTACAGATTTAATATGCAATTCATGCACATGCGTCCAGTGATCTCCTCGAATTGACCGATACTTTTATTTTACAAATTACCATTGAAATTCGATCGACCTTCGTGGAACAATCCCAGACGCGATTATAATTCTTAAGGCTTCCAACACTGTTGCACTCCCGCTCCCGTTGTCATCTGACCCAGGTGCGATACCGTTCATCGGATCATCTATATTTATGGAGTCGAAATGCGCTCCTAGGATGACGACGTCGTGCCTTAAGACGATGTGGGATCCTGTTAATGGAAATAATTTTTACCGCCATTAAATTCATAATTCCCGCCATATATCATCATAAATATGTGCATATTAGTAGCATGCATAATCTAATATTTGGAACGTGGACATAGAAATTTGACACTTTCTGACCTTCGATCCGTACGATGATGCTGTTTTGAGGCCAGGAATGCACAAAATTTCTGACCGTGACCCTTCCTCTATATCGCGTCTCATTTACGGCAGCTTTGACCGTTTCCTCCAACCATTTCTGGGCAGCAACACCATTCGAGTTATTGCAGTATCGGTTAGGAAAATCGTCCAAACGGTCGATAAAGTTTTTTATTCTGGAAGTTCTAATGTTTTTCAAAGCGTCGGCGATAAGTTCGTGGTAGCGTAAAGTTTCCGGGATTGCTGGAATTAATAAAGACGGAAATTTGAATTTGAGGACTCGCATAATTTCACATCTGTTTCATAGCGGATGCCTAAGATGCTGATATATATAACATCGAAGGTAAGATTCATGGTGATCATTGATCACTGATCAATACGACACAGGTAACTTTATATCTGATCCGGACAAGTAACTAATCACTCAGTAAATTGGTTAACGTATTTGTGACACAAAATAGATACATATGTGTAACAAATTCTTTGATATACTGAGGCAATTCACGTAGTCCTTGTTAAAATTGTAAAATACGTAAATTATATGGGCAAACTTTTGCAATATTTTATAAATATTTCGAAGGAAAATTAGCTTTCAAATTTTTGTAAACTTACTCAGATCAAGGGCGTCTCTTTTTAGTTTGCAAAAGTTTTCAAATAGTTTACAAAACTTACGAATTTTGCAATGATTGCATGAATTAGAGAAATCGGTGCCAGAAAGAACAGCATCTCGAGAATGAAATCAATAATCATTTGTATGTATCACTATTTATTACGCATACCGTCTGCTGAATGATTTGGATGTAATCTATCCTTAAATTTCCTTGACGTAAAATCCAGAAAATTTATATTTTGTTTAACCAAGGTAAAAATCTCATCGTCTCCTAGCCACGAGCCTGTGTCGGTTTCGTTCACTTTGATAAGTCGTTTTCCGTCGTGCGTTTCATTACGCGATGTCAATACAGAAGCTACCTGTGCTAGCACGATTCCAAATTTAATTATTAGCATTTTAAATTTTTTAATAGATAATGTTTTAAAACTGTCCAGGCTTGTAGCCTTCGTGTCAACTCAACCACAAACCAACTTTGAAATGATTAAAAAGGACTAAAAAAGGATGGAATGAAAGGTCTAAAGTTATTTATGGCGACCTCTGTGAAGCCAATTAAGGGGTTAAAAATGGGATATTTTATTATACCCCACAATTCCTAGAATTTCCAATCATGAATATCAAGCACATGCATAGAGACAGGCCCTGGTTCAACTTTCTCCTAGCTTGATACATACATACATATGTGTTAAGTAGTAATCTGAGGTGTTAACTAATCAATCCTAATGAACGGAGGCAAATTGAGACTTAGGTTATTATTAAATACTTAATAATGTGGGGTTAAATATGCATATTTCATCGCACACTCCAAGTTGTCCCTGAATTTAACATATGCGAAGAAAATATGTATGTATACTTGTATTGAAAATATTTCATATGCACAAACATTCACTCTTAATTATAATCTGCACACTCAAATCAACCTGGGAGCTCATGCTCGAACGCGTCCTTAACTTAGCGACGTCGTAAATTAACGACGCCTTAATAACGACAAATTATAACAACGTATGCTCATCATTTGTCGTCAAGGCGTCGGAAAATGTTGTCGTTATGAGTTTAACGACATTGTCGGAAAAAAATCGTTAAAATTTGTAATCCATTTCCGATTAAGGGAGTTCACAACGATCTTGGTAACTGAGGAGTTTTGTTCTTGCGTTTACTACCACTTTATTTTAGGTGTAGGAGTGGGATAAAATTTCAACCCACTTGTAATAACTTGTCAAACTATCCAAGAAAATTCTTAAGTAAAATGGGGAAGTCATTGTGAGCAGACATGTTTTCGAGTTTTTAAAATTATGTCATAATTTAAAAAGTTACAGAATTTACAAAATCAAGATTTTAGCTTAAAATTTGTTTGGAAATTCCGTTACGGACTAAAACGGGTATTCAGAAAAATGCAAAAATACGGGTCCTCTTAATATTAAGTGTACAAAATTAGTTTTAAGGTAAATGCAACTTTTAATCTAAAGCTAAATTTTGATACTATAAATAAGTCGTTTTGAAAAAATTAGCAAATTAATTTTTGAGCAAATTTACTATGAAAAATTGCGAATTGTGAAAAAATTTTGAGTTATCTAAAAATCTCATTTTTCATAAGCACAGAAGCGCCGCATAATTATATTTTTTCCTTCAATCTCTCTCGATTAGGACTGCCAATGACTTCGACTCGAACTGTTCGAGTCAACGCATTTGACTCATGAGTTGCTGAGGATGAGTTGAATTGAGTTTGAGTCAATTCATTTCAAACGACTCATTTCAAAATGAGTGACTTGAACAATAATGAGTTTGAGCTGACTGAGTTGCGGAAACTCATTAAGAATTTTTTATTGTCAATTTACCCTTTTTAAGATTTTCACCTTGATCGTACTCAGCGAAAATTTTATTTAAAAATCAGAAGTTCAAATGGGATTATTTGGCATCTTTGTAATGCATTTACTTAATACGTTACTCTAAAAATAGGTGAGTTGACTAATATTATATGAGTTGAGTTTCAGTCATTGACATTTAGTTGAGTTTGAGTTGAGACGAATTTGAGTCGACTTGAGTTAGAATCGACGATTTATATTATTGAGTTGAGTTAACTCAACCCATTGTCTCAAAACTCATGGAATTGATTCAATTTTTAGCCCGAACCAGGGCTTATGTAATTGTCATGTCCGTCCGTCTGTCCGTCCGTCTGTCTTTCGATAACTCTCGAACGAGTTGACCGATTTGGACCAAATTTGGTACAGACATGTATCTGGGCAATGCAACGACCGAGTTCGAAGATGGGTTCGATCAGAAAAGTTTTGGACCGGTGGGGGTCATATAAGTGGGTGGGGTATTATGCACCAAAATTTCAAAATTGTGATAGAAAGCTGAAATTTGGCATGGAGCGTGCTAATAGCTCCTAAGGAAAGAATATGAAGTGAAATTGGAAAATTTTTCAACCGGAGGGACCCGAGGGGGTGATCCATACCGATTTTTTCAAAATCATCCAATCGAGCTGAAATTTGGCATTGAGCGTGCTAATGACTCCTAATGGAAGAATATGAAGTGAAATTGGTAAAATTTTTGTATAGAGGGACCCTAAGGGATGACCCACACCGAATTTTAGAAATGGTCGTAAAAAGCTGACATTCGGCACGGTGATACTTAATGGCTTCTCATGAAATTATATGAAGTCAAAAATGGACAGAAAGTAACCAGAGGGGCACTAAGGCACTAAGGGGTACCCATACCGATTTCCATAGAATTTTGGAGGATTGAATTTCTAAATTTTAAGAATACTATAAGAATAGTAGCAAAATAGTAGCACATGAACATAATTTTATAGAAAATTCTGACAAACGTGAGTTTACTAAACATTCCTGGTTCGGGCTAAGCAAAGCTGTACTGATAGGTTTAGAAATTGCATTTGATCTATAATTACTATTTTTTCCCGTTTGTAATAATTAAAGCTCTAAAATTAAAATTTGATTTTAATTGAGATATAAATTAAAGAAATTGCATTTAAATTTAATTATGTGCCAATCTCCGATAACAAAATTTCGGGCAGTCCAGCGACCCAATTTATCCTAACAAAAAGTTGGCGTCAACCTACGCAAACCAACATATACCCACTCCCTGGTCAACAATCGTTAATAGCTTCTCGACCCACTCCACCATAAAATATTTGCATAATATATGAACTGATCTTAATTAACAGCAAATTACGACAAATTTATCTCGTTTCGACAGCTATTTAGGCGTCGAAAACTTTTACGACAAATTCCATGGTCTTACCGACAGTTAAAGTTTTGAGCATACGTCGGTGTCGTTACTAGCGACAAGTGCTAAGGACACATGCTCAAATGTGTCCTCAGCAATACCGACATCGCTAAAAATTATTTTGAGCATGTGTCGCTAATTTTTACGACGTCGTTAAGCTAACGACGCGTTCGAGCATGAGCTCCCTGGTAACAAATTATTACCATGCAGAACCACTATAATCCTTTGTTGTCAAATAGTCACAATAATTCTGCAGAATTTAAATTTATCACCTGGCCTATACATATGTAAATTTGAATTTCATTGAAATTATTGTCGCCATTTGGCATAAAACTGAAATCAATGCGGAAGAGCATGACAGTTAAAGTAAGACAAATTGATGATCAATAAAATTTAGATAATTACCTTTTGCATCGTCATAACCTGTGTAAGTTCAACTTGAAGTGGATAGCATATGTACATTTACAGACATTCGTATCCGGCATGATAGATTGTGACGTACACACATATGTATTTGTACATAGTACATGTAGCAATACCTTTTAGTGAGATGTGTCAAGTGCCGAAACCTTGCACTGAACCGGAGGATGAGTCACCTTTACTACAGATATTGCGAAAGGTGAGCAAAACATTGATCATGCCATGCACAGACATGCATGCATCATCAGCCACGCCGGTTAATGTTTACGGCAGTGTGGTTCCAACGGGAAGTTGTGTATCTCGGTTATTTTTGCATAGTTGTGCTTGGTTTGTAGAAGACAAGTAATCACCCGGGCAGAACCTGAAAAAATATATAATTTTGATTCAAAATTTCTGAATAAAAACATTACATATTCCAAACAAACATATAACAATTGGAAGTTTTTTGCACTACATAATTGTACAATTCGCTATGGCCCAATTACTTGAAGTTAGAGGTAAATATACGTACTTAAATGTATTCGAATTTAAATATCTGAACTTCACACATTTTGGTTTCAATTAAAAATATTTTTGTTTTGCAAATGTCCAGATTTAGATAATGAATTGAAGAAGCATCATTACAATAATGACTTGAGGACTCCAAACATGGTAATAATTAGCCAACCACAGCTGCAAAAAGAAACTTCATCCAGCCAGCCGATTAACAATTTGGAGGACAAGTCATCACCCCAATTATGCAGCAAGTCTTGGTGGTGGGCTTGTTTGTGTGCTCCGATAGCGTTCTGCTGCTGCTGCTGCTCAAGCGAGAAATGTGGAAGACCTGAGGAAAACGGGGATAACAATAATCCTTCGTATGGTGGGTGTCATGGTGGGGGAAATTATAATTACGGTGGTTGTGGAAATTGTGGAGATTGTGGGGGGTGTTGCGACTGTAGGTGTTGTGATTGCGGTGGGGGCGATTGTGACGGGTGCGATTGTAGTGGGTGCGACTGTAGTGGGTGCGACTGCAGTGGGTGTGACTGCAGTGGGTGTGATTGTGGGGGGTGTGATTTAGGTGGATGCTAGTACATAAATAAGCTCGTTAAAATTACCAATATTTTTTACTTCCGGTTTTTTTCACATTTTGGTCACATGTGCAAACTAAATAAACAAAAAATTAATTTTCGTGTATGTCGAGATCAAATATTTTGCTTAACTGGAAACTTTTATTACGAATACGAAATAAACATAAACGAGTCCACGTATTGCTTAATTTGCTAAAATTGAAAAATTTTTGTTACAGTAGAATGTTATGTATAATAAATACAATTCATATGCATTACATTTGAATAAATGTGTTTATTTATCTCAAAAAATATATGGAGTAAAATATGTAGTGTTGATTTGATCAATCGGCAGTGATACGTTTAGAAATTAACGTGTTTTAGAAATAAATTTGAGGTTTGTGTGCCACGAGTGAAAACATGCATATGCACAAGTATGTAAGAATCTCCTGTGAATATTTTCTATAAATATTTCCGCTATTATCTATAACAAGTAATTAACACAAATTAAGTCAAAGAATTAGCCTAAGTATTAACTAATCTTATGTACTATATAACTTGTAAAAGCATCTATTCATCCTCAGTTGCATTCATGGATGTATAAGAATGGGGGAAGCGAGTAAAGCTCTTTGTTAACCCCTTTGTGACCGAAATAATTGAAATTTGCTTTCGTTTGGGGACCAGAATTTTATCAGTTAGTTGTTGCTACATAACCAATTTAATTTTACCAATAGTGTAGCTACGTCACCAAAATGATTTTAAAGTAAGCGTAGTTACGTCGCCGATTTCACAGTGGGTGTGCAAACCATAAAGGACCGAATTTATTTCGGCAACTTTTGGTGATTTTATTTAACATTAAGAATTTATTTATGCATATTAGTAAAAATTATCTGCAGTTCATTACAATAATATTAAGTTATTGATTCATACATTTTGATAGTTTAGCAAGGTCCAAGTGGTTTTCTCTGATCTTGACCGGACGTTTTCTAACATGTTTTCTAAAATGTTTCGTTTTCTAAAATGGACATGTTTTCGCCCGTGGTGGAATTTAAAAAATCAGCCAAAGTCAGGAATTTTAAAACGCTCTAACCTCTCGAATTTTAATGCGATTTCAAAAATTAAACACAATTTTTGCTCAGAATTACTACCCTGAAAATATAAAACCTACAGTGCAGACTTGATATAGCCCGAGTCAGGCCAAGTTGTGCTTATCACTCAATCCGACTTTTTGCATGAAATTTTATCGCAAATGCATATCAATAAATTAAAAAATTAAATTTGATTTTTCCAAATTAAATTCATATTCTTCTATTAGTAACAATTACCATCCTGTGTAACAAATTTCGATCCGAAGATTACAAAAAAACAGTATGGGTTACCCAATAGGGTCCCTCTATGTGAAAATTGTTCCTATTTTAATTAATATTCTTCTATTACCAACTTTTCTACCAAATTTCAGCTCGATTTGATGAATTTTAAAAATCGGTATGGGTCACCTCCTCGGGTCCCTCCAGACGAAAATTTTTGAAATTTTACTTTGTATTCCTTCATTATAAACCATTATCAACCTCTGTACCAAATTTCAGCTTTCTACTCCAGTTTTGAAAATTTGGTGCATAATACCCCACCCACTCCGATGATCCCCACCGGTCAACCACTTGACCTATTTCACCCATCTTCGAACTCAACTCCTCATTTGACCCAGACTACATGTGTGCAAAATTTCAAGTCGATAGGATTAGTTATCGCAAACCAGACACACAGACAGACGGACCTGACGGGTACATAAGCCATGACTCAGGCTAAAAATTCAATTTAAAAAAACTTTTAATTTTCAAAAAATTATCGTTTTTTGCGTCTTTAAAAATTCAGTTTTTTTTTAATTCCGCCACGGGCGAAAACATGTCTATTCTGGAAAACGCTAAAATACGGGTCCGCTTATTTCTGAGCGTGAACAATTTAAAATTAGTCTTACAATCCATTGCAGCGAACTACAGTTGTAGTTTTTGCAGATATATAGTTTTTGGTTATGTGCATAAATAAATGCTTCGTGAAAATTTTGTAAAATAAAATTTTGACTTGTATGCATGTGTGTATTTTGTCTTCTTGAAAATTTTTCCGCAGTACACAAATGTGTGTAGTTGGTCCCCAACGTAACGGGGAAATAGTACACAAATATGTGTACTTGTCCTTTACGGAAAGAAAAAAACTACACAAATATGTGTAGTTGGTCCCCAACGTAACTACAAAATAGTACACAAATGTGTGTACTTGGTCCTTAACGGAAAGCAAAAAAGTACACATATTTGTGTACTTGGTCCCCAAGGGAAAGCAAAAAACTACACAAATATGTGTAGTTGGTCCTTAACGGGTTAACAGAGTAAGGAGATTATTTCTGGCGAATAAGGGGTGGGGGCACCTACGTCGTACGTACTACATGTGTTTTTGTATAGAGAAATCGAAGGAGTGAAGTTGTACGCCATCCAGTTTTAACCACAATTAATCCACTTATGATGAAGAGCTACTAATTGTGGCCTTTCAAACTACAGGGCTCACCTTTACTCACTTCCATCGGAATTGCAATTTAACTGTAGTGTTCCATAGCATTGGTTGCACTTTAAGTTACATCAGGGTATTCCGACCTGGGTTTTAATGGGTTGGGTTTTATTGGGTTTTAATGGGTTTTAATGGGTTGTAAATGAATAAAACCCACTGGGTTTTACCATGTTAAGTGGGTTTTATTTGGGTTTTAATGGGTTTTATTGGGTTTTAATTGAGTTTTACCTTAAAACTAAATTCTAAAAGTTAAATACATCTCCTATACGTTAGAAGACGTTATCTCAATTCATTCTAAAGCAGTTTATTTCATTACTATTCTAGTATATTATAATTCGGAACAAATCAACAATTGACTCCATCCTTTAGCATCACAGAATTCAAGTGTTATAAAACAAAAATAATTTGAGAATAGATACAAATTCCGAATTATTTTTGTTAAGTTATTACTTAAAACTAATAAAACCCAATAAAACCCATTTAAACCCAATAAAACCCAATAAAACCCATTAAAACCCAAATAAAACCCAATTAACATGGTAAAACCCATTAAAACCCATGGGTTTTATAATTCTTGATTAAAACCCTGGGTTTTTCCGAACCCTGAGTTACATACATACCCACAAGTTGTGGTCCACAACAACCAAGGCTAATGTACTTCATGTATTTACATGACATTGCCCATATATTTTAAATAAGTGATGGGTGAGCCAAATACATAAAGGGTGTTAATAAAGTCCGATCCCATGCATTTTTTGGAGCGTGGTTGTTACAAATTCAGCTGGAACTTTTGAACCAGTGAAGTTATTTATTTCAAATTTTTACCATGGGAGGAACAACTAAACGTGTAAGTCATGAGCATCTTAGAGTTGAGATACAAACATTGCATCAGCAGGGGCTTAAACCTACAGAAATTGTGCAAAAATTGGGCTGCAGCCGCAGAACTGTTTGGAAATGGAAGAATAAAAATTTTGTCCACGACAAAAAGCGACCAGGGCGACCCAGAAAGGTGTCACCTACCACAAAAAGAATGATTAAAAACAGACTTTGCAAGAAAACCGGTAGTTCATTACGTAATTGAGCAAGGGAGTTAAATGACTCAAAACGCTATAAAGAGAAGAAGAAGCAAATTAACTGTGTGACCGTGCAAAAATTTGTGAAAACTACGAAGTGGGGTCACACAGCTTACAAACTAACCAAAAAAACCTCTCATGTCACAAAAATATATCGATGACCGTCTGAAATTTGAAGAACTCCTTCAGAAAAGTGCCCATTTGAGTGAAAAAAGACTTGGTGAAGAATTGCGCAGTCACATCCTTTGGACTGACGAATCTATTATTGAACTATATCCAAAATTGAACCAACAAAATGTTCGTTACAGGACAGAAAACAAATCGGATGTACCATCAAGAGCGATCCCAAAATTCGGGCTTAAAGTTATGGTAGCGGGTGGATTTTGTGCACGTTGCGTGACCCCTCTACATATCATACCAAAAGGCAAATCAGTCAATGCAAAGCATTATATGGAAAAAATATTACCTATCTATTTCGATAGCATGGGGAACAAGGAAATATTTCCGAATGAAAGAAAAATAGTTTTCATGCAGGATGGTGCTATAGCCCATACAGCAAAAGCGAGTTTGAGTCTCATCAAGACGCAAGTTTCAACGGTCTGGAGCAAGGGGGTGTGGGCCGCTAACGGCCCAGATTTGAATCCCCTGAAGAACCAGTGGTCCATACTTAAGGAAAATGTATACAAAGAGCCACAACCCCGGACGAGGGAAGAGCTAGTAAAAAAAAGTTCAAGATGTATGGAATTCGATTTCCAGAGGCACATTGGAAAAATTAGCACAGAGCCTTAAACAAAGAGTTGAGGGCATGGTTAAAGTAAATGGTAACAAGACCAAATACTAAGGTAAATATGTCGAACATTTTTTGTAAGTATCACGGGTAGTTTTTTTATACTAGCCTTCACTTTTTTACAGGAAAAATGGGATCGGACTTTATTAACACCCTGTACATATTTACTTCACTGACTCATCTTTGCTGCGGAATGTGAGTTATGAAAACTCCGAGTTGTGAAAAACTTTTTCTGAGTCACGCCACGTCTGGTTATTCTCGTCTGGATATTAACAAATCTACACAATCAGTCAAGAATTGCTGCTACTATGGTTAAATTAGATTTCTAATTTGAACACAATTTAATTTTTTCATAAGCTGTTATTCAAATTTGTGCAAATAAATTTGTGAAAATAATTTTAAGAAAATTAGAACTGAAGATTCATGTTTTGCAAATTCTTGGGACCATTTTGCTTACACGTTATGATAGATATTTCAGACATACTAGAAAAAATAATTACGAGTTTGAACGCCAAGATTTGTTTTACACTCTTAAGTAATTAAAATCTAATTTCACTTTATTTCTCGATAAATGTATGTATATGTATGAACAACATTATCGTTCTATATTGGGGTAACATTTCTTCGGCTAATGTCCCCATAAAATTTTACATATTCACCAAACGCCATACACAAGCACGCTACTAGACAAATAACCAGTAGAATGAAAACAGTTTGAACACTGTCCTCAAGTTTGATCGCCTTTTTTGATACGTCATATCGCAGTAAATCACTGCCATCACGTCTCCTCTC